ATGCTGCCAGGGCACGGGCCAAAGTATCCGGTCATAACCGGCACACTGTCGCCGCAGGCCCTGGCGACGGTGGCCAGACGCTGGGCCAGGTAGTCGTAGAAGGTCTGGTCCAGGTGTTTGGCATCAAAGTGGCGATCGATAACCTTCTCCAGGTTGACGTACTTTGCATCAATGCCCTTGTCCTGCAAGATTGCAGCGACGTACTCACACGCTAGTTTCTCGCCCGTGCCCACGATGATGTCCTTGGACTTTGGCGACACCTCATTGATGACCTCGGCGGCATCCAGGAACACTTTAAGCCGTCGACATACTTCCGTTAGACTTTTGGACACGCCATCCTTGATCTGTTCGGAGGCCATGTTCTCCTGGATGGCCTCCAGATGGTCTTCAAGGATCTCCTGCACCTCCTTCTCGTGGTTTCCGGCGACCTCGCTCAGGACGGCGTCAGCGGCCTTGACCAGGCGGGTGGTAGTGCCCTTGGACTTAACATCAGTGCTCCGCGCCGAACAAACCACGATGACCCGGTGTGTCTTTAACAGGTCACTACAGGTTGGCAATGCGTACAAAAGCAGATGTATATTGATTAGTTACAAATGGTGGCTCAAATGCAAAAAAAATATAAATAAAGAAACACGGGCATTTATTGACAAATGGGCTTTGGGCCTCTTGCAGTACCATTGTGCATAAAAAGGCAGGGACAAAATCAAAGGCCAAGTTGTGAACCACATGCGCGCCTGCATAGCTGACGCAATTCAATAACATTGTGATTTTTTATTCCATTCACATTGTCTTATTACATTGGAAGAAAAATACAATTATTCCCCGAGCCATCTCAATACAAAACAAAAAATCCCAAAGCAAGTCACAAACACATTTTTTTTAAGATTTTGTATCAGATACTTACGGAATGATTTGGCCGCAGATATTTTGGATAAACTTTCCAACGCTGGTTCCGCCAAACTTGAGCACTAAGATGGGTTTGTCGATGGGGTTCTGAATCATTGCGGTAGGCGAAGGATTGGAGGCAGTGTCTGACATTGCTTGGTAGAGGTTGTTGTTGTTGTTATTGTTATTGGAATGTATTGAGCTAGGTGAAAAGTTGAATTTGAAAAAAAGGGTGGGAAAAAATTAAAACAGCTATGTAGTAAGTTGTGGTTGTGTAGCTGAAACAAAAAATGGAAAACTTGGAACGATTAAAAGATAAGGAGGAAGATAAAGTGAAAAGATGCGTTTGCTCGGCTTTTTTCCTCTATTTGCAAACTTTTATAGTGTTTCAAGATAAATAAAATAGTGAGAAATAAAGTACAGAAAAAAAATGTGAGTCAGAGCAGAAAAAAACAGGAATTTAGATCGATTACTCACACAAAATCACAGACCTATTTCTGTATAACTGGATGACGGTGAAGGTTGGAGAGGGGGAGAAGGCCAATGGGAGCACCTATCTTGATAAACCCAAAGTCAATTTTTTTTACCAACTATTATAATAAAATACAGCGATCGGCCATGATAACAAGATAATGATTAAATTGACAAAATTTTAAAGCGTGGTTTCCCGGAAGCGTTATTTCGGAATTAAAAACTGGGGCAAGGTCAAAAAAAGAAAAAAAAGAAAGCTCCATATGGTCATTTGCTTCTCGATTTGGGATAAGGTGCTGTGGAAAATGCAATGTAAAGAACCTGTGCGTTTATATGCATTTGTGTGTGCGAAGTGTGAACGTGTGGGAGTTGATGACACCGCTCAACTTGGCCATATGACTAAAATGGAAGAAGTGCGCATATAAACATTCATTGTTGGTAGAGTACGCTTGATGCTTACTTTGTATCCACAACAGCGAATAACTAATAGAGACCACCATAAAAGCAATACCAACCATGGAATCGACAAATGTAAGCTTGCAAATAAATGATTTGTATGCCAGAAGGGACAAGGAGCAAGCAGAAACAAGCATATACATTAACAAAGTAGTCTATTCAAGCAAAAAAAAACACGTAGAGAGGAGTGACGCAGGCCGACATCGACTACTTCACCTCAGCAGGAATCAACGTGGTCCATTCCAATGAGCAACTGGGCGGCACATACAACACCGACTACTTCAACAAATACCACGGCGCCTCACAAACCATCGTGTTCCCCAAGTGCACCAGCCAGGTGTCCACAATTCTCTCCCATTGTAACAACAGCCACATCAGCGTAGTGACACAGGGCGGCAATAGCGGCACAGCAGGTGGCGCTATGGCGCAACAGCACGAGCTCCTGCTTTCCCTGCGCGACATGGACCGAATTCGCGACCTCGACGTTATTTCTGGGGTCCTTGTGGCCGAAGCCGGCTGCATTTTGGAAACCCTCGATGAGCACGTTCGAAAATTCGAATACATAGTTCCGGTGGATCTGGGTGCCAAGAAGCGCTGCATGATCGGCGGCAATGTGAGCACTAATGCTGGGGGCCTGCGGTATTTGCGCTACGGCAGTTTGCACGGCAATGTGCTCGGATTGGAGGTGGTCCTACCGGATGGCCAGGTGCTGGACTCGCTGTTTACGCTAAAAAAGGATGCATCCGGGTACGATGTCAAGCAGCTGTTTATTGGTGCCGAGGGCACCCTGGGCGTAGTCACCGCCGTGTCGCTGGCGCTGGCGCCAAAGCCGCAGTCCGAGCAGCTGGTGGTCTTGGGGATGGATGATTTCGTTACGATCCAGCGAACCTTCGTGCTTGCCCGCCAGCTGCTGGGCGAAATCGTCTCGGCGTTCGAGTTCTGGGAGCGGCGGTGCAACGAGCTGGTGGTGCAGTACGAGGGGTACAGCAGCCCGCTAAGTGCCACGCACGAATTCCACGTGCTTATTGAAACCAGAGGGTCGCTCGCGCGGCACGACTGGGAGAAAATGGACTTATTTCTGGCCCGGCTGCGCGCAGGGAAGTTGATCGGCGAGAGCCGGGTGGTGAGGGACCCGGCGGAGATGGAGCAGGTGTGGTTGTTCCGGTCGCAGATGGCCAATGCGCATATGAAGAGCGGCTGCATGCACGTGTATGATTTCAGCCTGGCGTCAAAGCACCAGCACGAGCTGCTGCGTGCAGTCAAGGCACACCTCCATAGACACAAGCTGTATGGCTGCGAGCAAGCCGCGGTGCGCGATGTCACGTTCTTTGGGCACGTCGGCGACGACAACATTCATCTGCAGGTAATCGCCGATGAGTTTGGAGGCGCTGTAGAGGAGGCCATGGAGCCTTGGGTTTACCAGTGGGTCGGCGCGCATAAGGGGTCGGTGGCTGCGGAGCATGGGCTGGGCGCGCATAAGGGGCAGTTCCTGAAGTACTCAAAGTCGCCTGTTCTTGTCGACGTGATGAAGGCGCTCAAGCGTCTGCTAGACCCGAACGACATCATGAATCCGGGAAAGCACGTTGCGCGCGCTTAACGCCGTCCAGGGTCAGGGGTGGGCGGTTGATGGCAGCCCAAATAGGGAAAGAAGCAAGTAGGCCAAGTGGTTTATTGCCTGAGGGATGCATGTGATGGCAACTGCTTTTTTAAATTGTTTTTTCAGGACGGAGCTAGGCGAAAAAAATGAAGGCATTGTTCCCCTTTTTCATTCCTGCGTTTATTTCTCCTATTTTTATTATAATAGCGCTCCAATTCACATTCACATTCAAATGCTCGAAAGGTACGCTCGGTTCGTCGTCAACAACGCGGCGCAGGTCAGTTCGATCGAAAACGGGCTACGCACGCTCACATACATCCTGCCCGGGCGGTTCGCCGACGCCGAGGTGGCCTCCGAGGCCGTCTACACTCTGGTCAACTTCATCGGCACCTACCACGATGGGCTCCTAGGCAAAGCGGCCAAAAGGGGGCTCCTCGTCGACAAGCAGGGCCGCCCGGTGGACATAGAGGTGTCGGCATTTAACCGGTACCACGGCAAACAGGCGCAGCGGTCGGACATTTACCGGGTCGCGGCTCTACTTCTAAGCGCCCTGCAGTTTAGCGAGAAGCTGGTCGAGATGGTGGTGGCCAAAAGGCTGGGCGAGCGGGCTCGGTGGAGGTCAGTCACTTGGATTGAGATAGTGAAGGCAGCGCTGCGCATGGTTCTGCTGCAGATTAGCGGCAGGCGCATGGTGACCGGCAGCGTTGTGCAGGAGCGGATGGTGGATCCTGGGCAGCTAGGCTCGCTGCGGAAGGGCCAGAAGCAGCCGGCGGCGCTGCAGGGCCAGTGGAGGGGCGGCCGCAGCGGGGTCAGGTTCTCGGGCGTGCGCGACATACTGTCAAAGTCCGAGGGCTCAGCCAGCCTGGGCGGCATCGTCACCGATGCCGTGCGCCATGCTGAGAACGTCGCCCCCATGGGCGCGCTCGTCAAGCCCTATGGCGCATGCGGAATGGCCGGCGAGCTTCTGTTTATTCTGCGGCCGCTCCTGTACGTGCTGGCCATGCGCAGGCTGGGCGCGCGCTCGTGGCGGCCGTGGGCAGGGTCTCTGGCCGCGGAGCTTGTCAGCCGGTGGCTGGTTGCGCGCGACTTGGGCGCGTCGGCCGGGGAGCGGTCTGTGGAGCACGACGAGGTCAGCCGCCGAAAATGGCTGTTCTTGTATTACCTGCTGCGGTCGCCCTTCTTCGACCGCTTCACCCGGGGGCGGCTGGAGCGCGTGGCCAACTGGTGCAGCAACAAGCCGCTGCTCAGCCTGGTCGGCTCCCTGATCCAGGACTACCAGCCACTCTGGAAGCAGTACTACTTTTACACCGCAGCGTCATAAGCGCATTAGTTTTTCTTCAATCCTACATATTTATTGCTTTTTTGCTCTCGTCGACCAAACCCACAATGGTCTGATGTGTCAGCGGCGACAGCTCATGCAGCGGCAAGAGGTCGCAGTTGAATACGCAGCTGAAGCTCGACAGAATATGCGGGACCAGCTCCTGGGCTTCCACGCGCCGCGAGAGGATCTGCTCCAGAGACACAGCCTCCTTGCCCTCCAGCCCACAGGGCACAATATGCTGGAACCAGCGCATATCCGTTGAGCAATTCAGCGCCAGCCCATGCAGCGTCACGTATCGCTTAACCCCGGAGCCCACCGCAGCAACCTTCCGCCCACCAACCCACACGCCAGGAAACCCCTCCCAGGGCTGCGCCTTGACCCCCAGCCGCATGCAGGCATCCACGACCGTGTTCTCCAGGCCCTCGACGTAGCATTTGACGCCCAGGTGGTGATTGCGCAGGAAGACGCTCGGATATAGGACCAGTTGGCCTGGCCCGTGGAACGTTATTTCACCGCCGCGCCCGGTTTCAACGTACTCGCTGCCGAGGCTCCGCAGCCGTTGGATTTCGGACGGTGGCAGTTTGCCGCGGTTGCGCAGCCCGTTGGTGTACACTGGTGGGTGTTGGAGGAGAAAGAGGGTGTCGGTTAGTTTGGGCTGCTTGTCGGGCTGGCTGCTTGGCTTGGCCAGGTTGGCCAGGTTGGCGATGCGGAGTTGGTTGAAGCGTGTTTGGATGTGGAGCGCCTGGAGATAGGGCACGGTTCCGAGATCGAGGTAGCCCATGGGTGGCAGCGATTGGAGCTGCGCGGGGGTGCGCCCCAACGTGCACCGCCTCAGTTCTTTGGCCGCAAAACCGATCGTGCGGGGAGAAAACATTGCTAGAAATTGTATTTGCGGAATAAAAATAAAATAAAAATAATAGTAATTGTAAATTGTAAATTTGATACAGGTCATTATCACCCGCTTGCTTAGCTCGCCAATCACTTGGACGGCCAATCGAAAATGGGTTCAAACCTGTGAGAATAAGTGGTTAACACTGCTGGAATATGGAAAAATAGGCATAGGCCAAATTCTGCACATATTTGCCCCAATCGTCTTCTGGCCCTCTTTGCGCGCACGACCAGGCATTGAGGAGACAGAGGGAGAGGGGGAAAGGAAGAAATGATGCCACTTCGCTGTTATTAAATGTAGTAGGAAGAAGAGAATGGAAAAAAAGAGAGGCATTTTAGATAATATCCCACATCCCATCTCCAAGGCCAGTTATCCGCACTACCAGTCTCCGCCCTCGGCCTGGGACGAGGCCGAGGCAGACTGGCGGAACTGCGGGCGGAAGTACCTTCCGGTAGCAGTCCTCTTCTCCAGCCCCTGTGTGGCTCTCTCAGGCTTGGCCCTATTGATGACCTTCAAAAAGTCCTGCACCCTGGTCCTCATCCTCGAGTGCATATACGCCTTGGCGCATTTGATATGGTAGTGCAAGTAATCTCTGAACAGTTGGATCTGCGAAATCGTCTTATCCCTAACCTCGCTGTCGGCAAAATGCCTCGGAAACAGCACAAACGAAACATACCCGACGCTCTCATCCTGCTTGAGCCCCGACAAGTGGCGGATCTCCATTGGCGCCTCGCGGCTAGAGTACACCACCTGGGGCGCATTCTGGATGGCCGCCTGACGACGCGCATCCACAAACTCCTGCAGGAAAACCTTGCCCAGCACCCGATCAACCTCTTCCTTAAACAGAGTGCTGAAAATAACCGTCACACGGTCCTGCTGCGCCTGTACATAAATCGCCTCGTCATCGCGGTAATGCGTGGCCATCAAGGGCCCGGCTCCTTCCTGCTGGGACTCCCAGAACTCAAATGCCCGCAGAAACGGACTCGCCAGGACATTCCGCTTCAAAAGCGACACATGCTTGGCCAACGCCCGCTTGTCCTCCGGCAGCGAATCCAGGTTGAACTGCAGAGCGATCTGGCACTGCGAGCCCGCTTCGGGTGTATGCACATACGCCCCGTATTCCTTTCGGAGAATATCGTTGGCCCCGTATTGCTCTACCTCGGCAAAGTACTTCATCTCAACCGAGAGGTTGAGCAGATTGCGCTCGGTTGCGGATGTTTGCACGCGGTAGATTACATTGTCGAAATCTACTAGCGTGATGTCCACTACTTCGGGCTTTTCGCTGGTGAACCGCGCGTAGAGGGTTTCCTCGAGAACGTAGCTGTTGGGCTCCAAGAGAATCATTGTAAAATAAAGAATAACAAGTAGATGGGCTAGATGGAGGTTGAATTTGAATTTTAAAGGAGAGCGAAAAAGAGTGAAATTACAAATAAATCGAATAATTGAATGCGCTTTGGCACACATGTATTTTCTGCAGCAAGCAAAATAAGGAACTTGAAAAAAGTGGGGTTAGGTGTAGGAAAAATTCAAGCACAGCTGCAGTTCAATTGTCTCTGATGCTGCTGCTGCTGCTGCTGATCAAAAATCAACACATTGCTTGATCGAGTTCATAATATTGCACACACATGCAAGCAGTATCCGAAAACTAAAAAAAAAAATTTCCTCAGTATAATCCATTTATTTCTTTTTATTTGAAAAAATATTTATTCTTGGTCGAGCTTAATATCAGCTCTCTGACAAGCATCTAAAAACGTTTGTGTGACCTCATACTGAACAACACCATTAACCTCGATGCGAATAAAGTATCTGCGTCTAGCATTAGCAAACCAAGTCTTAAACCTCTCTCTCGACATCCCCGCCACCAGCATAAGCCTCTCTCTCTCTTCGCCCCTGGGCTTTGGATTAAACCTATTTTTATAAACCCACTTAAACAGCTCCTTTTTCTGCTTTTCGCTGAGCGAAGTGCGCCGAGCCACGCGTTTGGTCTCGACATCCGTGCCTTCGTCGCGAGAGTGAGAGGGCGAAGGGCTGGCGCTTTGAACCTGTTGTTGTTGCTGGCACTGCTGTTGCAATGTAATTGTGTAAAAATCGGAATTTGGTATTGGTGCGGTTAATTGGTGAGAAGCAAAGTGCTGCTGTTGCATGGGTGGATTGCTTGGTGATTCCAAAAACACATGCGCCGGTTGCAGGATAGGCGACACCTCTTGCATAGCAATTGGTTGCAAAATGTACGCAGTCGCTGGCAGTGATACTGTGGCTAACCCAGTTTCTTGGCCATGCCCGATAAACCCTTGCGGGTGATTTGGCACATTAAATCCAAAATTCTGCTCTGTCGGCCTAACAAACATGTCAATATACGGAAATGGGTTTGGTTGCGCAAGCTGAGATATATTGAAATTCAGTACCGGGGAAGTCCGGTAGCTCGGATAAGGCAGGGCCATGGATGGCTGAGATGTCGGCTTGGATAATGTGTTGTGGTGTGGGTATGCCTGGGCTGCCATCATTTCACCCATTGGCTGCATTGCTGAGTTTGGCAAGCTTAATGGCCCTGTGGTGGTATCGGGGAACGCGGGAAAATTGTATAATATGTCGGAATCCATATTGGGTACAAAAATAGTGGGGTTGGCGTTGCTTGGTACGAGAGGTCTGGGGAGATTTGCGAGTAGCTGCAGGTCGTTTATATACTTGATCGCCAAAGACATTCTAATGCTGGCTGTGGAACCTTGGTGGTGGTTAATGGCTGCTGTGCTGTCAGTATCCACGTCTTGCTGGTTTTGACACATTTTGGATATAAACATATGAAATAAATGCGATGAATATGTTGCTATAAATTGGGGATAATAAAAATAAATTTGAAATAAATGCGTTTAAAAAGAGATAGTAAATAAAAGGGTGTGGGCGAGAATTATAATGAATTCTAGATGAAAAAGAAACGCAGCTCATGTTGGTATGTATCTGAATGCAAAAAAAACGATGTAAGACCAGCCTCGGTTCTTTATATATGCGTATCAAGTGACTATTGTCTCATCTTTTTTTTTTGAACGTGTGGCAACAAAAAAACATTATTTCACAAGCTATTTTTATCCAAAACTTCCAAACTTGTTTTATTAGCCATGTCAAAAATTGATATTTTATCCTTCATGTTTATCGGTATAGGTAAATTCTTCCATAGCAGCAAAAAATGTAATACTAACATGCATCTGCCAATATCCATTTTTGTTTTATTTTCAGCGCTCTGTTTATTTTTTATTAAGATTGGAAGGAAAATAAAAAAGATAGTGCAAAAAAAGATAATGAATATCTACAATATTGGATTTACCTTTGTGGATTTGCACACCCTTCTCTGCACAGGTGTTGCGCACTTGCATGAAAATGAGTTTTTGATTAGGTATAGGAACTAAAATTAGAGAAATGCAAACATATTTATGTGCCTGTGGTGTGCTTTTCAGTGCATCGTAATTTTATTTGACAACGAAATAAATGTGAAAAATGTAGATAATGTTCATGCGTATCCTCAAACATAAATATGCTTGCTTCCGATGACATGCGTTTTTTACGGGAAAAAATAAGCAAAAAAAAGGAAAGAGGATATTCGAAGCCAGAATAAGATAATGTATCACTACGCTGAATGTACCAAAAAGCAACAATGCAGGCACACAACAAGACCATCCGTTGTTATGTTTTAATTGTATTGTTGCAGTGTGAGAAGTAGCAGCAAGATATTTTTAAATGTTCTTTTTCATATTTTCATCCAACAGCTGACCGTGAGGGTTTTACATTTACATTATTTTCATTATAAAAATATAAAGAATATAGATATATTCGCTGAATACAATTGTTTTGCCTTGCATATATTCAATGGATCATGCTCTGAATACAACAAAACTTTTGTGCATTGTTCCTCTGAAACATTTTTTGGCAATTTCATTTAACAAGATTATTGTAAATAAGGGGGCATCATTGTTAGCAACGATGACTTATTTCTGACATGTGCCATATGCAGTCACTTAGTTTCTTCTTTGTTTTTTAAAAATATCGGAAATAATGAGTTTCAACACTGAGTATCCATATGTTTCTGAGTCTTTCATTTTGAATTCGTTGATTTATCACTAGAAAATATACAATGTAAGGGAAAAAGGCAACAGAAAATCCGAATCAAATCAGGTTAACAATATTGAACTTGTAAACTGCGTGCAAACCAGCACAAATTAAGATAACTAAAGTCAAGTTTCTAGATGGCCAATCAGCTCAGTGGCTATAAAATAACTCGTAACAGGAGTTATCTTATCTCAATTGCTGCATGCTGATGGGAAATAAAAAGCTCTTTTGCAACCAAAACAGACTCGAGCTTTGTATTTTCGAATATATACTCACTTGCAATTCAGACAGCCCAGTTTTTGGAAGTCCACTTGCTGCCCTGTGTAAGGATAATGTGACAGCACTCGGTATACGTGGTAGTTGTTCTTGTAATGTTGATGCATTGTACTTTGCCTACGAAACAAGAATTATATATTGTTACATTTCCTTTACTTTTATGTTTCCTTTATTTTTATCGCCAAGGAGCACAAACTGCAGGAACAGCTCTGGATCATATTTACAGGGCTAAATGACAAGCTATAAGCCCAAAACACTGAGAATGAGCAGAATTTCAACCTAATGCATGAACACCAGCCAACAGTTGAGACTGGAGGCACTGGATGTGACGCAAGCGGCGAATGCACGCGCCCGACAAAGGATTTGCATCCGTAAATCATGTGCGCAGGATAAGGACAGAAGATATATGAATGTTATGCTTATTGTTTGCCATAACAAAATTATTTTATACTTAAATTCACATGCTATTTCACTCGAGGCTCTACGCCACGAGTTTACAAAAATTGATAATTATCCGTTCATTTTAATTTTTCTCTTAACAAGGGTTTTCATCTAATAAATTTCAAATGTTTATTATCTTTCACCTTTTTAATACGCCAAACAATAAATATAGTGTCTCCTGCAATGGAGGCAGTTGTCCTGTACTTGTTGTAGGGCAGCCACTTCTGTGTAACAAAAAAGTGGTGGTGAATGCATTGGCGCTCATCTACTCACATGCCTAATGCCAGCTCTTATTCATTTTTTCATAACACGAGACCAGCCTGCGCAAAATGACAATCCGATATGTTCACTGCACTGCACATTATCTTCAAAAAACGTATGGGTGCACTGAGGATTCTGCACAAAATGCATGGCATGTATGACTTACCCACATGCAGCTTGTAACCCATGTCCCTGCTGCAGTGGACCCTGTGCTAGCTGCGCTGCATGCTTGGAATGCCATGTAATCGTGTCACAGGGAATTTAACCAGACAGCTCCCGAAGCACTCCGACTTATTGTATGTAAAAGCTGAAGTGCAGCCAAGGTAAATGATTATAATTTCATATGATATTAGCAAACAATGCTGCTCCTGCTGTGAACAATATTGATAATTTGCCATTCATATTTTTAAAGCGAACACCATTTACATTTTTTTTACAAATTATAAATTGATTAATCCTGATATATTGCTAAGCATCTTGAAAGACAATTATTAGGCCATATCAATATCGTCCTTGCGCTGCCTCCGCCTCGGGGGCTCAACGTCCATCAAGTCAAAGTACTCGAGCGCACGCTTGCCCCGCAGCAGGCGCTGCCCATCGTTGACCATCGGGGACGATGCTAAAATATTGTCGCAGTCATCAGAAACCTGGTCTCTAGCACTAACTTCGCCAAGTCTTTGAGGCGTCGCCGCATCTCCAGAATCGCCTTCTGGGATATTAAATACGTGGCCACACTGTGCATCTGTGGGCTTGGCCGCCTCCAATAAAGGCGCGTTCGATATCTACGAAAATAGGGTATAAATGATATGAATAATACTGTTGGAAAGTCCTTTACATATTTCCGTAAAACAATAATAAGGAGCGCAAACATTTAACGTAGCCCATTTAAAAACAAATTCTACCTCATGGTTGTCCAAAACATTTTGCTGCAGCTCCACCTGGGATTGTGGATCATTAAGGGCAATATTCAACGCAATATCTACATTTTCCGGGAAATCTATACAAACACAATACCAAAAAAGCCAGTAATTTAGCAACAATACTTTTTGCATTTGCATGTCATGGTTAACTTGTGTTGTGAGATCCAAGTAGCTCAAAAAAATCTGATAATTGGAGTTTGGTGTGTTGCAACCCAAACTCCAGGGCAAACACAAAATAGGCAGCACAAGATCTATTCTGATTTCAAATGTCCACGCTTGATATATTCCTCATCATCCATATCATCTCTCAACACTCATTGTGACAAATAAAGGCGAGACACAATCATGATGCCGTGTTTTTGCCAGAGGTAAAAAGTAGAAATATTGTTTCGCGTTTCTGAACAAGCTAACTAAAGGGCGGGGCAGTACCTTGCGTTCCAATGTTGTGCCGGCGTTGCTGGTAATCATGCTGCTGGCTAGGTGTCGAGGGAGAGCGTCCAGCCCCCGGTCCAAAATGTGTCGGTCTCTGCGCTAAGCGTTTTAGCCGGGCAAACTCAATTAGCCTCTGCATGCTCAGTTGGTTGCTCTCGGAATGCGCCATCGTGCCTTCTGCATTCGCCGCAGCAGCAAAGTACTCGCATATATCGTCGTAGCACTGCTCGTACCCGGCACTGTGCGCTGTGTTCCAGTTTTCGCTTGCCATTTTGAAAAGCTGCGTAACATTGGCGGCTGACGCTCGAAACACCGACGCTAGCTCTTTGTCGTATGCCTGCTTCTTCTCATTTGGCTGTGAATTGTTGTTGTATGGGGCCGGTGAGGTTGGTGTCGAGTACGAATGACCGCCATTGAGCGAGGACTCGTACATTATGTGTCAATAAGTTAGAGAGGGTGGGCGTTGCGTGAAGTAAAAAATGTACAAGAAAAAATATTGTGGAGTAAGCTGTGGAATGTAAAGGTGGAGAAATTTGAATGTGTCAAAATGCAAAGAAAGGTTGGAATGCGTTGTGAAAAAATTGAAAATAAAACCTTTCACCGACTGTTCGTTTTGGCGTGAGACGCAGCCAAACGCAGTTAGGCTTTCATTGGAGCTCGAATGTCAGCCTGTTGAGCACACTCATGAGAAAATAAAAGGCGGCAAGGTCAGAAAAATATTATTAAAGTTGATCTGATCACTGATTAGCTGCCAGTTTCGTCACATGCACTTGTGCAACCCATATAGCCGCCAAAGCTGGCCAGCACGCATAACCAAGCCAGTAGCACTGCGCGAATATTCCATGATGCTGCATTTACTAATCATCATCATCATCATTCTGCACAATTACTTGATTTACAACAATGTCAGACGGATACAGCGCTCACATCACCAACGACAAAAGCACGGCACCCGCCAGCAGCTATTCCGCAGCAACAACAGCGGCCTTGAGCACCGCCCCCGACACTATTGAAAGCGCCTCGCGGAGGGCATTCAAAAGCACGGCGCTTTATCTGCAGGCAGAGCTAGAGTCAGCGGGGTCAGACATTCACCTTTTGGAAAAGCTCAATGATGCGTCTATTGCAAAGTACGAGGGCATCTCGCGGCAGGCTCAGGATATGCTGGTTCACGCTTACAAGATAAAGCAGACGTACAACGAGATGGAGTCCCAATTGGCCGAGATAGATACACTGGTGGAGTCCATAAGCAACCTTGAGCAAGTGGCGCAGGAGCTCGACAGGTTTTCGCTCCAAATAGAAGCCAAGTTCCAGCGCTTACTCAAGTAGACCGCGCGGCCAAACGACAATGCATACCATGCCATAAGCTTATTGTGTGCTGTCATGGTTACTTTGTCCACTGCCATTGTAGTTTTTTTAGCTGATTTTCTCCATACAATTTTTTAACATATCATCTGTACACCAAAACAAGTTTGTGAAACCATGGACGAAATAAAGCTAAAACCGGTACGTTCTTTTTCAGAATATATTTTTCCTATATTAACATTGCATTTTGTTTTACGCACAAAGCACGCTAAAGACGCATAATTTGTATATATTGGTAGGAGGCTATCAAGGCCATATTCAAGACCGCTTGGAAAAGGCCAAACACCGATAGTAAGTGCACTTATAAACAAACGTTTTGTTGGCTGACATTTGGCTATATGTCTAATAAAATATATTGTCTGCAAATGTTATTATAGTCAAGGGCGACGCGCTGGAGCTGTCAGCTGAGTTCCTACTCATGTTTGCCAAAGAGGCCATTGACCGGACCAAGGCCAGTCGCGTGGAGTCGGGAGCCGGCCAGCCTGTGGACGAATCAGACCTAGAAAAGGTTCTAGCGCAGCTAATGCTCGATTTCTAGCAATAGTATTTCGAAAAAATGAAAATAAAAATTAGTCATTCGTTTTTCCAATGCCCACTTTTGCCACCCGACTTTTCAACAACACGTAGGTCTTCGATGCGCATATCCTTTGATACGGCCTTGCACATGTCAAACACAGTCAGCGCTGCGATTGAGACGGCCGAAAGGGCCTCCATTTCCACACCAGTTTCACCCTTGCATTTGACTTGGGCCTCGATGGCTACCGCACAGTTCAGAGGGCTGCTATGAAGCCTATCTTCAAGCGCGAATTCAACAGAAACCTTTGTAATTCCGATAGGGTGACACAGTGGGATTATTTGCGAGCAGTTTTTGGCGCCCATGATTCCAGCCACCTGGGCGACCGTGAGCACGTTGCCCTTTTTAATCTTATCCTGCTTGACCAAGTCAAATGTATCCTGGTTCATGCGCACACGCCCACGGGCTATTGCCAGTCGTTGTGTCGGCAGTTTGTCGCTGATATCGACCATGTGCGCGTCTCCCGCTTCGTCTACGTGAGTCAGCGAGGATTTAAGCCGGGTGGCAGGGACAGACAGGTCCAAGCGGCTGAGTTTAACAAGCATACTGCATATTGGCAGTTTCAAAATGCGCGCGTTCAGCTTTATCAGAGTATTTGACATGACGATGGTAATGGCAGGAAAAAATAAATGTATATATAGGCAAAAGTCAAGACAATGTATTCTTTATTGAGGCGATGCAATTGCGCGTGCTTTGTCGGACAGAAAAACGCGTTGGCGCCCCTTATTTTGTAAATACTTTAAGGTTATGGATATTAGCAGGTGTGGTATTGGTGTTTCTGCCGGATTACTAAGAAAAATTTTAATGTTATCCATGCCACATCCTACTACAACATATGTGCAAATTTGTTATTTAAATTTCAAGCACAAACTAATTGTATAAAACACGTTAGTTTTAACCTCCAATTTTAATCATCGGGCGGTTTGGAAGCTGCGACAGAATGTCAATGCCCGCGTGTGCACGCTGCTTGCGCTTGATGGCCTGGCTAATTGTGCTCACAATCTCTGCATCCGAAGATCCGCTTCGCAGCAGATCGCGCAGGCTAATCTCAGTGTTCCCAAACAAACACACTTTCAAATTGCCATCAGCCATGACACGCACACGATTGCATGTCGAGCAAAACGAGTGCGTCATTGAAGTGATAAACCCAAACTGACCACGATACCCCTTAATCCTATACCCCTTTGTCGTGTGGTTGTCCTCAAGCGGCAGCTGCTCAATGTTGTCACCATATATTTTCCTCAGATTGTCCAGCATATCTCTGTATCCGACCATCTTTTTCTGACCCCACTGGTTGCCATCAAACGGCATATACTCAATAAATCTTACATCCAGCTCCTCGTCGTGTGTCATCTCGACAAAAGCAGGCACCTCGTCCTCGTTCATCCCGCGCATAACTACGACATTAACCTTAACAAATTGAAACCCAAGTTTTCCCGCTTCGGCAATTGCCTGAAGCACATGTGCACCGCCCTTTCGTCGCGTGAGCAGCTCAAACTTGCGCGGGTCTCGCGTGTCTAACGAAATGTTCAACCCGTCGAGTCCAGCGGAGCGTAGCAATGGAAGCTTGCGTCGTAGGGCAATACCATTGGTGGTGATGGCAATCTTGCGGAGTCCCAGGGGCCGTAGCTCGTTGAGGCCCTGGATCAGCTCTACAATGTCTTTGCGCACCGTGGGCTCGCCGCCAGTCAGCCTGATCTTGTCAACGCCTTGTTGCACAAATATCTTTGCTACACGTATTATCTCCTCGGTGGTCAACAGCTTGTCGTTTTTTGTCAGATCAATGCCTTCTTCGGGCATGCAGTACTGGCACCGCAGGTTGCACCGCTCGGTTACCGAGATGCGCAGGTAGTTGTGGAATCGCCCAAAGAGATCGGTCAGTGCGGGCAACTCTTTCTGCTGTTCGGTACTTGGGCTGGTATGCTTTTGCACTGTTGAAACACCTGCGCTCTTTGTTGGCTCTAGAGAATGATCTGGGGTGTGCTCAGTGCGTGTGCTGCTTATTAGACGAGCCGTGGTGGCGGTGTTTGGAATTGCATTTGAGAACGTAAGCTGCGCCGCTTTTTCGGTTATGAGCCTGATGAGCGACTGTGTCCGAATAACTGGAATTTGTCGAAATAGTTTAAACATTAGTTTTTGTTTGCAAATTTAGAGAATAAAAAAATATATAAACTAAAAAAACAAGAGCAAAACGAAAAAACAAATAGTCGGAGGTGCATCCTGCATCTCCGTGTCCTAAAATGGAAAACTGCATACATGTCATGTGAGCGAGGCTAACAAATTACAAGAGTTGCACAGCTGTTTTTATTCACTGCAGATCTGGCCCCGACACATAGTGGCTATAATATGTGCACATGTTTGCATGCTAAATATGCCTTCAATTTTGAGTAGTATTTTTTTTTAAAAAAAACCATATGCACAAATTACTGCGGTTAACAAATTATTTTGATATTGCTTATATGTGGGTACCACTTTTTGTATTCGCATACAAACCTGTCCATGCCCAGTCAGTCTGCGAATTTAATATACAAATTGGTGATGTCGGGAAGCTGAACGAGCAGATAATGAATATACACGGCAACATCCCTTTCCAAGCAGCCATTGGTATTCAAGTTTGTAATATGGAAATAATTTGATTTTTTTACCTGACGGCAGAACCCGGTGGCTGCTGATTATGCGGTTGGTCAGGTTCATCAATTTGTATGCATGTTCAGGTACATGATTTATTAAAAGCTCGTTGACTATAAACGTCTTTAAATCCAGAAGATATTTAATCAGCTCCCAAATACGACTCAACTCGCTTAGTTATGTCACGATTATACTTGTTAGCTGACCCCATTTGATTTTCGAAAAGTCCAATTCAAATCCACCTCCGCGCAAACATATTGTAGAATCGGTTGCTAATCTTGCCATTCCAAAAAGGTGATTGGTCAACCTGTAATATATTGTTCTGTCCATTTGGCTGGGGATTTCAAAGAATAAAGTCACTTTGTTAATGCGGTTAATATTTGATTTCTCTAACATTTTAACCGTGCTCGTTGAATTGAACACGATAATATTGTCCAGGTACTTGGGAAACACATATATTGTAATGCGATTTGGACTAGCTATAATATATATTAATAGAAATGAGACTACGGGAAGAGCTAAAGAGCTCACTATTCAGAATTCGCCGTACGCGTAAAATATCATAAACATATTTTACGCGTCTGCGCTGTCACGTGACTCGGCCCCCATTTCTGATGTCACATTCGCCCCTACTTAAGATCAGACTCCGTCGGTCTTGGCGATAGCGCGCGCGGTTAAATATCGTTCATATGCTTCTGTCTCATCCACGCTACTCTTGTCCTCCCATGTTCGTCCTTCTATTCCATATCCTTCCCACTGCACCAGGTATTGGCGTTTTCGCCTCCACACACGGTCGTCAACAATCTTTTCGACCTGATACTCGAGGTGTCCTGCAACTTCTACAGGTGGTGGTTCAGAGCGGAGTGCGGCACGGTGATCGTCGGCAGCATGGTATTTTTTTAGGTGTGACCACGAAATGACCGGGTGAATGCGCATGTCGAGTGGGAGTTTGAGGCGGAATGCATTTCGGCCGATCTGTTCTTCGACCTTGTAGGGCCCAGCCCATTTATGTTGCAGTGAGTTGCTGGACCGGTTACGCAGGTAAGGTGGCGTTGTAAAGTTCGTCGAGATCATTACTTCATCGCCTGGCACAATGTCGGGTGAGGTTATCTTCTTGTCGTGGTTTCTGATCATGCGTAGCTGTGCGAATTCGATGTTTTCCTTGACTATTTCGCTAATCTGTTTAATCTTCAGGATTGTATCGTCGGCGTCGGTATTGGGCTCAGCAGTTTCCATGTTGAAGGCGATGGTGGCGGCGTTCAATGGTTGGAAGCTATAATTTGCATAGAATGGGCTGTGCTGTGTCGAGCTGTTGCTGCGACTATTATAGGCGAACTCTGCATGCACTATGTGTTGGTTCCAGTCGTTTTGGTAATTGTTGCACGTCGCACGCAGCATTGACTCCAGTATCTGGTTCACACGCTCAGTCTGTCCATCAGTTTGTGCATGGCCGGCAGTGGACATGTTGAGTTGCGTTCCAGTTTGCTTCCACAGTGCCATCCAGAATGCAGAGCGGAATTTCGGATCACGGTCTGATATTATGGACTCGGGCAGGCCATGTTGGCGGTAGATGGTCTTGAAATACAGGTCGGCGGTTGTCTGGGCGGTTGCGGCATTGTGTGTTGGTACAAAGTGTGCCATCTTGGACAGGCGGTCAACGACGACCATGATTGCATCATATCCGTCCTTTGTCTTAGGTAGGCTGACAATGAAGTCCATGCTCACACTTGACCAGTTGCGTCGCGGGATCTGTAGCGGCTGTAGCGGTCCATCGCTTGGCCTGTTGCTGCCTTTGACTCTTTGGCACAGGTCACACGTTGTGACATAATTCTCGCAATCCACATACATGCCTGGCCAATAGAATAGTTCACTCAGCTTGTCGTATGTTGCTTTTATACCCGGGTGTATTGCAGCATCATGGAACTCGGCCAGCAGTAGTGATCTGTCTTGCTTTGTTCCGACGCAGCGGCGTCCTTTCTTGAACAGGACACCACCCTGTGCATGGAATTTGTTTGTAATGTCGCGCTCGGCTCTGGATGTTGGTTCTTCGCCACTACTAATCCTCTCCATAATTTTCTCCAACTTGCTGTCGCCCTTGTAGGAGTTCTCAGGGTTCGCGCTCGTCTTCAGCGTTAGCGCTTTGACAGCAGCCATGCGGACTGCTATCCTCCCCCCTTTTCCTGAAGAGCCGAACCCGTTGGCTCCACCGGCTGTCTCCTCAAAGGACTTGACCTCAGTGATGTGTGAGTGTGCGATCTTGGTTGGAATCAACTGTGCTATGCGGTCATGTGCAGCGAACGGAATCTCTATATTGCCTGTGTTGAACAGGAGTACTGAAATCTCACCGCGGTAGCCCCCGTCGACTATTCCTCCGAGCACCACAACACCCTTGGCAGCCAGGCTACTGTGTGGGGCAATGCGCAGGTATGTGCCTATTGGCGCCTTGGCGGCGATGCCTAATGGGACAAGGTGTTGGGCCTTGGGCTCGAGCACAAACTTGGTTATACAGTATACATCAAATCCAGCGTCATCTGGATATGCCTTGCAAGGCATCGTCGCATCGTCGTGTAGCAGCTGAACCTCCATGCTGTTGGCAGTTGTGCGTGGCACAAACAGTGCGCACAGTTTCCATTTTTCAAATTGGTCTATCAGGTCGTCGTTGTGCGTATTGTCCTTTGGCTGGTCAGTCTCCATGGTTGCACTCGTCGTTTCTGCAGCCACTGTCTCTTGTGTTCGTTTGGCTTCTGTTTCGGCTTCAGCGCGACATCCGCGTTGGTAGTTCTTGTAGTGCAGCGACTTGCGCACATATTCAGCACGGTTTAGTTCTCTGCGCTCATCGGCAGTCAAATATGTTCTGTCGACCACGGCTGGCGTTGGCGGAAAATTCGTTGTCTGTGCAGCTGGAGTGGTTGTCTTGATATTGGGCATGGGTATGGGCATAGGTATAGGTACGGATGTGTGTGCGGCGTCATCGTTTTTACTCGTGTTGTTCAGCGGGGCATCATTTAGTGGTATAGCTGGTGCAGTCAGTCCTGTCGGTGGCGTCAGTGCCATGTGTGGCACCTTGCCTGAATGTGACGCTGCGTATACTATGTTGTCGGGTTGCGATTCGAGTGAGCGTGACAAGCCGTCAGCAACTGCATTTTGAGCGCCCTTGCGGTAAATGATTTTCATGTCGAATTCCTGCCAGATATCCAGCCAGCGGGCCTGGCGCGGGGATATGTTGTTTTGCGTCTTAAGGAACTCGATTGATTTGTGGTCTGTAATCACTTCAAACTTGATGCCATGTAGGTAATGCCGCCAGAGGACCAGTGCACGAATGATTGCAAGAAGTTCTTGCTCGTGGACTGCATAGTTGCGCTGTGCTGGTCCCAGCTTTGCCGAATAGAATGCCACTGGGCACCACACCTTGTCATGTCGTTGGTGTAGGACACCGCCAATTGCAGAGCCGGATGCATCTGTCTCGACTCTCGTTTCGCAAGTTGGATCATACTGATGGAGTATTGGTGCTGTGGATAGTTGCTGCTTCAGCTCGGTGAAAGCCCTGTCAGCCTGGTCGTTCCACGAAAAGTCGGTATTGCATAGCAAATCGGTCAGCGGTAGTGCTATTCTAGCATAGTTTTTAATAAACCGGCGGTAGTAGCCGCTTAATCCAAGGAATGCGCGGATGTCTGTAATTGTCTCTGGCGTGCGCCACTCTTTAACGGCATCTACTTTGCGTGGGTCAGTCGCAATACCCTTGCCTGAAATGACAAACCCAAGGAAGTCGACTGTGTCTTTGAAGAATGCACATTTTTCGGGTTTTGTGTGCAGGTTGTGCTCCTTGAGGCAGGCGAGTACATCCTCGAGATCTTTTGCATGGTCGGCGTCATTCTTTGAAAAGACTAAGATGTCGTCTAGGTACACGATGCACGTTTTGCCAAGTAGGTTGCGCAGCGCATGGTTCATGACACGTTGGAAGACGGCAGGGGCATTTGTCAGCCCGAAAGGTACAACTGTGAATTCAAATGACCCTTGTTTTGTGCGGAAGGCAGTTTTGGCGATGTCTGCATTGCAAATTCGCACCTGGTGGTACGCCTGTACCAAATCGATTTTCGAGAAAACTTTTGCGCCACGGGTGTCGTCAAGCAAATCGTCTATACGCGGCATTGGGAATGCATCTTTTATCGTCACTGCGTTCAGGCCACGGTAGTCAACACACAGGCGCATTGATCCATCCTTTTTCTTGACAAAGAGGACTGGTGCACCCCATGGGGAAGATGACGGGCGGATATACCCCTTTGCAAGTAAGTCAGTCACTTGTCGGTCTAGTTCATCCATCTCTGCATGTGACAGGCGGTATGGTGCCTTGGTCACAGGTGCTGTGCCCTCATGTACATGGATTTCCATCTCAGGGCCGCCTGGTGGTGGTCGTTTGGAGGGCGGCTGATCAAGGACTTGGGTGTATCTGGCATGTAGCTCCTGTAGCGCCCTGTCTTGTGTCGTCGTGGTTGCTGCCACATGGATTGCTGGATTGGTATCGTTGTCAGGGAATGTAATTCGTAGCCATCCCCATTCCTCAATTTGGTCGTTTGCACGTGCAGTTTTCAGTGCACTGATTGACATAGGCTTCAGCTGGTCCTCGTCGGTCCGAGGCTCTGCATTACCCCGGATGGACCAGCTTTTCCCGCCATAGTCAAATGTCACCTTGTCAAGGTGGCTGTGGATCGTGGCCTTGTGTTTTTTTAGCCAATTATTTCCTAATATTATATCTTCGGAAACTGGGAGAACAAGGCAATGTACTGTAATTGTTAGGTTGCTCAGGAGGCGCAGCGTTACTGTGCACGACTCGGTGCAGTCCTTGTAGTGTGCGCCATTGGCCAGTTGTATTGGTTGGCTGTGTTGTAGTCGTTCGGATTTCAGTTTAAGTCGGTCGCGGGTCTGTTCGTTGATGATGGTAATTTGTGATCCATTGTCGATGAGCACACGGATGGCTTTGGTGTCTATAGTTGCATTTAAAATCAGTTGGGGCTCAGGTGAGGTTTGTCTGTTAATAGCGGTTTTATTTGGGGGGCAAACGGCAATTTCAGAGATGATAAGGGCAGAGGACTCACATCCACTCATGCCCTTCTTGCTTTTGGGTGTGTATTCTTAGGGCAGCGATGCCACTTGTGTTCATCACTGCCACACCCAAGGCACACGTTGTTGGCAGCCCACTTCTCAAACATCTCCTTGGTACAGCCCGACTGCTTGGAGACACTTGCAAATGGCGGCAGGCCACTGCGTCTCCTTTCTGTCTGCACTGCATTCACCATTATTGCATCCACATTCATAGCTGTATTATCATGACGGCCATGAATGCGCAGGAAGGCTCTGGCACGGGAAGTCAGTGCATCAATCTCGTATACTGTCGAGCTTGTCGATTCGCTCAGAATCTGCTGGTTGAGCATTGGTGGTAGCTTCATGAGGAAGGTCGTGGTCACATGCCTGTCTGAGAGTTTGAATTCCAGAATTTCCGCGAGGTACTTGAATTGCACCACAAACTCCTCTAAGGTCTCTAATGTCCCAGGCTGTTGTAGGTGGTAGTATTTGTGCAGTGTGTCATAGTATGACACTGCACGCGAGTATGTAGTTGTCAGGAACTCCTTGAACGTTCCCCAGTCGCGGTGGTCCTTGTTGTGTTCTGTACAGTGTCTGCGGTACTCGTTTTTCTTGTCTGTTGGGATCTTGTGTGAGGCTACAAATACCCACTCACTCTCGTCTAGCTTTGCGTGGATAAAGTGTTCCTCAGTATCTCTCACCCAGGGTCCAACGGCAATTGCCACCTTCTCTGCGTTGTCCTCGTCTGGTGCCAGTGTCGGGCTGAATCTCATTGCCGATTCGTATGGCGACATTCCAGTCATGGTTACTGTTTTTTTTTTTTTTTTTTTTTTTTTTTTTTGTTTTATATATATATATTAACCAGTTTGTCTGTCGGTCAGTCAGTCGTTGATGAGGAAGCGCGGGTTTTCGAACTCGAGGTGCTACCAAATGTAATGCGATTTGGACTAGCTATAATATATATTAATAGAAATGAGACTACGGGAAGAGCTAAAGAGCTCACTATTCAGAATTCGCCGTACGCGTAAAATATCATAAACATATTTTACGCGTCTGCGCTGTCACGTGACTCGGCCCCCATTTCTGATGTCACATATATGGACGAGTTGAAAGCTGCACTTGTTTTGTTTCTAATAAATAGTTTTGAAAGCTTTGGGAAATGAACCTACAAGTTCCAGGTAGCATTGTGCTGAATAGCGTGCGTATTCGAACCATTTGACCTTTGTTGGTCTTCCAAGTTCATAAACCTCAAGTCGAGAAAAGTTGATAACTCAAACACCAGCTTGTTTGCCGATGGGTCTTGCAAAAGTAAATGCCACGAAAAAGCAGGGGGGACATTGTTGATATCCATAGACCGGATAATAGCTGGGGTTATGGATAGGAATACAAACTCAGTGTTGGGCATGTATTTGATTGTCAGTTGCGTGAGGTTAGTAAACTGTTGCTTGGAGTCAAATAACGTGTAGCGGCTGCTTTGTATGCTGTTCAAGTTTTGGAATCCGTTGATAGGCCTGCTGGTGACCAATATGTTTAGGTTAGTAGTTGGGTTGATGTTAAACCAAAGGTTTGCCACATTGGGCATGTTTGCCATCAGTCTGTCGGCAAAGCTAGAAAACTCTGACGTTAACCCGCTGTGGGGCTCATCCATGACCAGCTCATTTGTCTTTTCGGTGAGCTCATTGATCACCATGCCAATATAACATGCACTTGACCAGTCATATATATCAAAATTAAACAAATCCATATATTTGTCGAGAAAGCGTTCGAGGCTTATCTGGTTGTCCAAAATGACATACACATTTCTGACAAAGGGTGTCATGTTGGTGGTCTTGAACAAACCGATATTTGTCAAATCAGCAGCGTCTTCCGGATCATCGGATTCTCCTACAAGGATGTGCACTTTTTTTGTAAATCTTGCGCATGGCTAGTATTCTCCACGAGGGGCAGACTGAGAGCAAACGAAGCGTTTGTCCTCATTTCCGAGTTGTGCATATCTTCCCAGTTTTCGATGCGTAGTCCAATATTAGCTGTATAATCACCAGTGGTAGGTCGTGAATGTGCAGCGTGCTTGAGGATTATGACAATCGTAGAATTTATTTAAAGAAAAGGGTATATATATTAGTTATGAAAGCAAAAAAGGGAAAGAGAGGAAAATGAACAAGATAATTTGTGCTGGCTTGCTTTCCGTCTTTTTTTACCAAGGTCTTTGTTGGATTGAAAATGAAGTACTCAGGTGTATTTTTCTTGTTTTGGCTGCCTTTTATTTCCCTTTGTTGCAATCTCTTATGCAATTAATTTAACAATGCTTCCCATTTTGTCGCAATCCATATGTCGAAAATAGTCGTTAAAAAAACTAAACAAAAAATACTGGTCAACAGTACATGCCAGATTTCACGCATTCATTTGAGATTTAATTTGTATTGTGCATTCTGCCTGTAAAAAATATTGATTGTATCATCGCAGCTTGCAGTCCAAACATCGTACGCTATTCGCAATTAGTATGAGCGACCGAACAGGGCGTAGCGCTTGGCATCCTCACCGCACTGAACGCACTTGGTTTGGCCATGAACAAGGGGAGGGTTCTCGGGCTGCTTGTAGGGCAGGCACAGGGACTTTGCGCCCATCGAGGGCTCCTTCTCGTCCTCGAGCTGATCCTGCAGTTCGTCTCTGGTGCTACGGGCCTTAATCTGGTCCTCGCACTCAGATCTCTCGCACCAAGGGATCAAAACCATGCACTTCTTGTTCAGTGCTGGCACAAAGTCCGCCCATTTGAGCACAATCTTCGTGTGATCTTCCATTTCCTTACGAGCCCTGGCCAGCATCTCATCGTGGATCTTGATAAGCAGCAGCTGGATGGCTGCCTCCATACCCTCAAAGGCCATCTGTCCCTTGGCAGAGGTGTCGCGGCGGACAAAGGTCACGGACTGGTTCACAAGATCCTTGGGGCCAATCTCAAGGCGGATGGGCACACCGCGCATCTCCCAGTGGCTGAACTTGAAGCCAGGGGTGTAGTTCTCGCGTAGATCGGCCTCGGCGCGAACGCCAAGCATCTTGAGGCGGGCCTCGACGTTGAGGCAGGCATTCTCAATCTCGCAGCGCTCCTCGTCGGTCTGCTTGGAGCTCAAGCCACAGGGGACGATGACAACCTGGGTCTCGGCCACGCGCGGAGGCATGACCATACCCTTGTTGTCGCCATGAATCATGGCCATCACACCGATGGTGCGCGTCGACAAACCCCAAGAGGTCTGGTGAACAAAGAGCTTGGGGCGGTCGGCGCCGGTGGACTCGGGGTCCTCGACGGAGATTTTGAACATCTTGGAGAAGTTCTGGCCCAGGTAATGCGACGTGCCGCCCTGGATACCGCGGCCAGTGGCCGGGATAAATCCCTCGACGGTGGTGGTGGCATCGCCACCAGCAAACTTCTCATTCTCGGACTTGACACCCTCAATGACGGGAACGGCCAGCAGCTCCTCATAGACACGGCGGTACAGAGTTAGGATCTCGCGAACCTCAGTCATAGCGCCGTCCTTGGTCAAATGTGCGCAGTGCCCCTCCTGCCACAGGAACTCGCGGGTGCGCAGGAAAGGAGTGGGGTTCTTGAACTCCCAACGCACAACACTGCACCACTGGTTGAGCTTCAAGGGAAGATCGCGGTGGGAGCGGATCCACTTGGCGAAGTAGGGGTACATGACAGTCTCGGATGTCGGACGGATGGCGATGGGCTCAGCGAGCTCGGTCGATCCGGCGCGGGTGACCCAAGCAACCTCGGGCGCAAAGCCTTCAATGTGGTCCTTCTCACGCTCCAGCACATCACCCGGGATAAACATGGGGAAGTAGGAGTTCTTGACACCCATTGACATAATGCCAGCATCGAGGAACTTCTGGATCTCCTGCCAGATAAAGTACGCCAGAGGACGCAGAATAAAGCAGCCGGAAATGGGGTAGTTATCGTACATCTCAGCTTTCATCAGCATCTGTCTGTACCATGTGCTAAAATCACCCTCCTTGGTGACATCAAGACCCAGCTTGGTTCCAGAGACCTCCTCGGCCTTGGGAGCGGCAGCGGCAGCAGCGGGGCGGCTAGCTTTGGCAGCGGCAGGGGCGGCGGCAGGGGCGGCAGCGGCTGCGGCAAAGTCCATCTCAATAACATGGGTAAGTCCCTCGACTGACTTGATGAAAGACTTCAAAGTCTCGTTGCTGATAAATACGGTGCGTGAGCTGTCCAGGGGATGGAATGCAATTTTGCCGGTGGTGTCGTTCAGCAGAGCCTTATCGATGACGACGCGCACGCTGCCAATGTTCTCCTTGGGAACCTGGGACAGGGCAAAGGGCGAGACTATATAGTGGTGCAAACAAAAACAAAATAGATAGATGTCAGCGAATTGCCATTTGGTGATTTTTTCGGTCGTGGTCTGCAGAGTGTGCATGAAACCATGCGCAGGACTATAGTTTGCGTCACCACCAAAAAAGCCCTTGATGAGCACGCGCGCATTAACATGAATATAAAAATGAACGCGATCAACAGAGGAAAGGGGGGAAGGCACATCTACAAAAAAATGTGACTCATGAAACAAAGCACAGAGCAGGCAGGCAGACAGACATGTTCTCGTGAAAAAAGAGCACATTGCGGCATGTCAAATGTTTTTTTACCTGATCCCTTGGCAGTCTGGAAGATGCCACTGAGAATATCGTCGCTAGCAAAGCGCAGATCCTTGAGCTTGAGCTCAGTACCAATGGTCTTCGAGTTGGTCGCGCTCACATCCTTGGCAATGACCACAACGGGCGCGATGGCCTCGGACTTGGGCTGCTTGGGCTTGAAAATAAGCGTCTTGGTCAGCGTGTACTTGCTGGGCAGACCGCTGACAGTCGAGAGAGCCTCGGCCCACTGGTCGACGCTATCCACGGCGGCGTGCTCCACGGGAGGATCGCTGAAACCCATTGTGCTGAGTTTAGAAACAAGAGCTCCGATATCCGACATTTGTATGTTAGAGACGATTCGGGAAGAGCAAATATTGAATGTATAACACGGCGGTGTGTTCTTATCTATCTGCGGATAGGTCGATTCGACAGAGGGGGGTGGATGGGTGTATAAATAATGAAATGCGAGCTAAATAGAAATGAAAAGCGAAAACAGATTGTTTAGAATTCAATTTTTTTGTATTTCAATTTTTTTGCATCGGTTCAAATTTTTCGAGCTGCGATTTTCGTGTTATTTCTGCTTTGAGATCCTGAGCGCAGCGGGCACGCCCAAGCCGCTGGTGGGAAAGTTGAGAATGCAAAGAAAATTTTTTTTGCAATCATCTGCAGAATGTATGGGGGAGAGAAGTGACCATCATTATGAAAAAAAGTTACCCTGTTGAGATTTGGGCATATGTCCAAATGTATCAAAACTGATTCACAGAAGTGACAAGTGTTCTTTTGTGGCACAGATTCAGCAATTGCGTTGAAATAAAGCTTGAGACCAAAGGGTAATCAAAAATGATAATTCCGCTCGTAAATTAAAACGCTGATTACCTTTTTACTGTCGTTTTGAATACGCAGTGCCATTTTTCTTATAATAGATAAACAGTTGTATATCTCTAATAATTAAAAGCACAAAGCACAAAACACAAAACACAAATGTACATCAAGCTCCTTTACATTGCTAAAATTGTTTCTTTTATTTAATACATTTTCCCCTTTAAATAAAAGAGAAACAAGACACACGGGGTAGCATTATTTGCCAAGTTATTTTTTTTTGAAAACTGAAAAATCATATTTATTTTATTTTCTCTACTCTCAACCAAGTGATTTTTTACTTTCACAAGCATTACAATTTTTTAGACTACTCTGCCAACTACTTTTACTATTGTTTTTCTAGAACAATGTCCAGCTTTAGCCGTCTTCCGTTTGTCGTTCTCGACCTAATTCTATGCGAGGCTGTAAATACCAGCGAAAAGGATATCGACAACTGGGTAAACAGCCTGCCAGTTCTGGGTGTCTGTCGCAAGTGGAGAAAAATTGCAGAAAGTTTAGTATACCACAATGCTATAATGAACGGCTACGACCAGCACAAGACTGGATTTATCGACCATTCAGACAATAAGACCACTGGAAGCAAGCTTATCAATACAAACATTGACTTGATAAAGGCCACTGGAAACACGCATCTGGTCAAAACCCTATACATCAAGATGGCAAATTATCAGTATTGTCACTCGTTGTTTACTGAAGCAGAAACCATATTTTCATTCAAACAATGTGACTGGAGCGGCGTCACCGAAATTATAAATGATGGCTATATAATGGGAGTTGGCGGCGACGAGAACCAGCTCCAGTCTGCTCACAATCAAGATATCAGATTGTTTACCAAACTGCTTGCTGAAAACATGCCAAATGTTTGCAATTTGCACTTGCATACAATCGATCAAGTTGGCCTTGTATCCGCCATGTCAAGCCAATTGGCAGCACTGTACTCTCACAATTTAAAACTTTTAAAAAGCTATACGCCGCTGTTGCTTATAGAACCAGTCCGTTTTGATATAGTGGAGATACTCGACATTAACCTCGATGAGGATTCGACGCAATCCATACCAGAAATTTGCTGCCAGAATATTCAGAGCTTGACCCTAATTAACTTGACTAAATCATTTGCATGGAGAAAACTAGTAAACACCAAGCAAACGAATAATATTACGTTTCATAGCTTGCGCAGCTTGAAATTAAAAGCAGCTCCCGAGTCAGAAATAGAAGAGCTCGTAGGCCCTACAAAATTGCATTTCCCAGTTCTTGAATACCTGGATATCAAAGTTCCAACGCTCAATTTTGTGGAGCATGTTATGAATTTCGAGAATTATACGCGGCCCAGCGTCACAAGGTTGCACATTAACGTATCAAACTCTGACAATGAGACGCATTGGGGTGATAACATGCTGATACAGTACAGCAATGGTCTTGCTAACCGTATCAAAACTTGCATGCCCAAAGTGACCCGAATGCGCTTGGGCGAAAAGGTTACTAATGATCGTATTATATTCTACGACAAATTGGTCAATTTGTTTGTGAACCAGCTTGTTCACATTGATTTTGCTCATCCAGTATTATTCACAGCAACTCAGTTTTCGTGCGAGCTAACGCACTTGTCATTAAATGTTGATTCGATTGATTTTCGGAGTATTCCGGCAATATTCGCCGAATCGCTAAAGCATTTGGAACTTAACAGTGTTGATTATTCTTTTGCCTGGAACATGTTACAAGTCAAATCAGCGGGCCAAACAATAAACTTTAAGCATTTAGAGAAGCTGTCATTAGAATACAGTGGTAATAGCGAGAACTATAACTTGGACTGCCGGCAATTTATACAAAGCCAACAGGAGCATTATAACGGACCAATGCTTTCTTTCCCAAGGCTGAAGAAATTAAAACTCTATAATACCACAATCAATAGTCTCCAAAGAATAATATGCCCTGGTTCCAATCAATTGTCCTGCGTGAAAGACTTGGTAATTCAATTTAACGGGCACATTATTGAACTTGATGGTAGCATAGATAAAAACAAGTATATGCAATCCACATCTAATTTTGCCAAATATTTGGCAGGCAAAATGCCCCATGTCCAGCAGTTGACCATGACTTCATCCAACGAGTCTAGCAAGTACATGAAAATATTCTGCAGCATTGTGTCAGATTACTATGCTCGCCAGCTGGAAGCTTACATTTGCTATATTCCCGTTGCGCTTTCGGTTGATGGGTTTTTGCCTGGGCTCAGACATTTGGAAATTGCCATTGACCGCTTGCCACTTCCCAAAGTGAACGCAGAAAATATTGAATTTATCCACATACAGGGAAACCTGGGCAATTTTTCTTGGAATAACTTTACTGAAAGTAATAACCATGAAAATATAGTGTTTGATAACTTGAAAAGTCTCAGTTTAATGCAGTTTAACAGCAAATATGTAAAAAAAACTCCGACTAAAGGGGTAAATGACGGCACAGCAATGTGTGACCACAAAGTTACACTGCATATGCCAAAATTAAGCAACATTACGCTTGAAAATATCGTCGATTGTAGCAGATTTTTAAATGCGTCCATCAGGTTTAAACATATCCACAATGCGTGGATCAGAGGCTCATACAAGACATTAGCCATGTTCACTGATTCCAATTCAGGAGTAATCGAGTCGAGCTATGTTACGTTAGAGCCAAATTCCAATGGCGATAAAAATATGGATATGGATCGTTTTTACAAAATAACGAATGGGTTCTTTGGAAAAGCAACCAGAATAAACCAAGCAGATCTTGTCCTGAATATCAACATGGATAGTTGGAACGCAGAGCAGATTATGTGGACAAATCTCTATTCTTTAGAAATCAACCAGCCAACATGGTATGGCACAATTATAGATACCCTTGCAAAAGCGCCCAGCCTGGCCGAACTGATGTGTGATGATATTATATACAATGATTTTGAGCTAAAGCTGGACCAAGTCAATCCAATTTCAACCAGCTTGAATAAACTGCATTTGCGCGGCAATGTTGATACTGAATTCATAGATATGGAAAATGTCTTTATTAAATATTTACTGTTGACACTGCCTACGCTAAATGGTGTGTATTGGGCGGATGTTGAATTTGATTACAAGGTGTTTGTTGAGGAGTACAGCGAATTATACCCTCACCTGGTGAATATTTCCTTTTGGTTGGTTTATTGATTAGTATGTGCTGTTGCAAAGTGCAATCTTGACTATCAATAGCCATTCTATTGTTTCAAACGTGCTTTGTTTTTTTGTGGTTTTTAATATATAAATTGGTATAAATATTTTTGTTTGTAGAGATAATTAAATCCGACGGCGGTAATTTCCCCGAGGCTGGGTGCGTTGGGATTATAATGTATTTTACTTTATTTTATTTTCTAACAAATCTTTTTTAAAAATTAATTTTTTTGTGTATGTGTGTTTTGTGGATTATTTTACAACCATGAAGGAAAAAGCTCAACAGAGCTGAAACATAAAAATAACTTTTTTGCTTCAAAAGTATTTAAACAATAATAAAAGGGGGGGGGAGAAAATAACAACAATTTGGGCCAAAGAAAAAAAGAAAATTCATCTCCAGCCACCATCATTGCGATTCCCGTTGTTGGTATTGGTGTTATGAGGAGGATGTCCATGACCACCTCTACTGCCAGCACCGCCGCTGGCACCATTACTCCCACGCGGATAAGGATGGTAACCACTACGAGGCGCCGCCGTTGAATTGCGATTACCCGCATTCGCATAACCCGCATTCCCACGCCTAGCATCCCCACCACGATAAGGCCCAGCAGCATTACTTTCCCACCCACCATCATTGCGTGTCACTGGTGGTGCCCGGCCATTATTCGCACCATTGGTCGCAGTACCGTAGGGCTCCTCCCGGCGCACATACCGGTTGCTATCACGACGGTTCGGAGGCGACGAGTACTGCGACTGATGGTGCCCACTTTGCCGCTGCTGCTGTTGGTGATGCTGCTGTGTGGACTGATGGTGCGAGGGCGCCTGTGGAGGCAAAGCCTGCTGCTGCTGCTGTTGCTGCTGGGCCCGTTGCTGGTGACGGATCTTGCGACGATCAAACTCATGCGAGTGTTCAAATTTGGGCATATCCTCGGGCCTCGCTGGGAACGGCGCAGTAAAGAAAATACGATGTTTAAGCGCCGTGGCCGCATCCGGGCGTCTTTTCGGATCAAGCTGCAGAAGCTGATCAAGCAAATCAGCGGCATCCTCGCCGAACCTCACAAACTCCTCGCGCACATGACGCGCATAAGTGGCAAACTCAACCACCTGATTGCAATCAGGAAGGTCCCGCCACCCGGGCCACGAGGCTGTGGTCGGTGAGCCGCAGATACGCATAACCTGGTCAATCTGGTTCAAATCCGAATTGCCTTGGAACACAGGCTTACCCACAAGCATCTCAGCGAAAATGCACCCGATGCCCCACATATCGATGGCTGTCGTGTATTTGCGTTCGCCCAGCAAAAGCTCTGGCGGCCGGTACCACCGCGTGACAACGCATTTGGTCATGTCCTTTCTTTCGTCCGGATTGAACGACCGCGCAAGCCCAAAGTCCGCAATGTACAAACGCCCGGCGTTGTTAAGCAGAAGGTTACTGGCCTTCATGTCGCGATGCATGACGTGGCTGGCGTGCAGGTAAGCGGTGCCCTCAAGAAGCTGGCGCAGATACAATTTAATGTGCTCCAGGCGCAGATGGATCTTTGGGTTCTCCAGGAGCCCGGTCAGATCGTGCTCCATGTAGGGGAAAACCATGTAGACGGACGGCGCCTGTGTGCTGCCCGCGCCCTCATGGCGGACAAGCATGTCGGACAATGGTACAATGTTGGGGTGGCTGAGCGACTTGAGCAACTTGATCTCGCGAATGGCTGTTATCGGCAGACCCTCCTTCTCGTTATGCATCAGAACGCGCTTGAGCGCCACAAGGGTTCCTGTGGACTTATGGATGGCCTTGTGCACCTCGCCAAAGGTGCCCTCGCCCAGCTTGGTCGTCAGCTCGTAGTCGTCGAAGGGTGAGCAGCCGATGAACTTTTTGCCGTCGCGGCGCCAGACGCACATTGGGCTCGAGTTATTGCTGCTGATTGTCGGGCTCTCGGGAACCATTTGCTGGCCACTGCCGTTGCCGCTAGCGCTCCCGTTGCGCATCAGGGCGGTGGTCGGAGGATTGCGCGAGCTGCTACCCGAGTACCCGCGGCCGCGACCGTGCATGGCTGCGCTGTGGTGAGCGTTGACGTTAGCACTGGCATTGGCAGCCGATGATGGCAGCGATGCAGCCATATTGTCTGCCGGCACTATCGGCGCTGCATCATTTGGCATGGCTGTGTATGTGTGTGTGTGTGCGTGCGTGCGTGCGTGGGATTGCGTCTGCGTGCGTTTGTGTTTACGTGCGCGTGAGTGGGTGAGTGTAAAATAATGCCGAAGAATATGTAAAGAAAATGATATAAAAAGGTGGGGGATTGGAAAGAGTAGAAAAAGGGCGATATGAATAAGCAGGATAATAGCTATAAAAAGAAAGAAAGCAGCGAGCGGGGCCTAGTGCTACACAACCTCCTCCTTTTCCTATACTTCTGCAAGCCCTGTGTAGCAAAAAAAAGAAGAAAAAAAAAAGCCAAGTGGTCAAAGTCCTTTTTAAAAAACGACGTCTTTATGTTCAAGAAAAAAACCCAACCGCCTTTATATGCCTTTACGCCTATATTCGCTCAACCGCTTTACGAAGAGAAAATAAAGGAGGAATCTGCTCTAATTGCCAAGTCTCGAGGCAAAAAAAGAGAAAAAAAACCAACGCGGGTGCAAATTATTTGTGCTCTGAGCGGTTGTCAATGCGCAAATACTCGGCCCGTACGTATCACTCTTATCCTTGCACTATTGTTGACGTGACGCGAAACAAATAAAGAGAGAACTGTTCTGCACGCCGTTTTTTAGTGTGAAATAGAAAAAGACGATATATAAACGAAGGAATTTTGGCAAATGAACAAGGAAAGAAAGGAGAAAAGAAAAAAGATACAGAGGAAAATGGGCGGGAAAGCAAAAAAAACGGAGGAAAGGGGTGTGGGAAGCAAGAAAAAAACATCAATCTCGATGGGCCTTTGAGTTTTGTTGAGGCGTCGCAGCTGCCAAACGAAAAAAAGCATTTGTGCTCTGGATTGAACAGCCGTTGTGTTGATTGAAAACAGAAAAGCCCTTTTCACACCTTGACGCACCACTCTTCCATTGTTCCTCTCGTTGCAAAATATAATATAATATAATAAATAAAAAGTAAAGGCGAGGCAAGCCTGCACAGGTCCAGACACGCACTTTGGCAGCTGGCATTACAAAAGCTACAAAAGGCTTGAAAATGGCACCGCACTTTGATCCGCCCATGTGGGAGCAACGGCGCATTTGCATAGCAAACACACTGTACGCGCACAACGTGCAAAGCGTTCTAGAGGTGGGATGCGGCGAAGGCAATGTTCTCTCATTCCTCGTGTCGCCATCGCCAAACGACCAGCACCCAATCACGCACCTCACAGGCCTGGACATTAGCTCCTCAGCACTGAACCTCGCCTCGCAGGCTCTGCGCCCCACCTTGCAAGACACTCGCGACCTGCGCACCGACCCGCTGCACATCACGCTCCTCCTGGGCGACGCCACCGCAGGGCCGCTTGGCCAGGACTTCGATGCCGACGCTGTCGTGTGCTCGGAGGTCATCGAGCACGTGCACGAGGCCCAAGTGGGCGCACTGACCGCAGCCATATTCGCCATTGCCCCGCGCCTAGTCATTGTCACAACGCCCAACACCGAGTTCAACGCCAACTTTGCCGGGCTCAACTACGGCACGCCAGAGGCGCGGCTACGCGACGCCGACCACAAGTTCGAATGGACGCGTGCGCAGTTCGAGCAGTGGGCGGATGCTGCCGCCGAGGCCTTTGCGTACAACCTTGAGGTGCGCGCCATTGGGCTGCGGATGCGCGGCGCTTCGGAGGGCTTTGTTGCGTGCGGCGGGTGCTCCCAGATGGCTGTGTTTGTGCGCCGCCCGGAGGCCCGGCGGCGGAGCCAGCGCGAGACTGGTGCGGGAAGGCCGGTTGTGGTTGCAAGGTTTGAGTATCCGGTTTTTGAGGGCCCACGGCTGTCTGGTGCGGAGCTGGCTGGGCTGGTGCGCGAGATGGCGCAAATGGTTTCCGACTGCGAGTCTACGTGCTTTGGCTTTGAAAGCCTGTGGGACGTGCTGGAGGTTAGGCAGCAGTTTGGCAGGAGGAGCGCGCTGGCCGAGTGGCTGGACGCCGGCCATGGTGGAATATTCGCTGTTGCCAGCAGTGCTAGCGGCTCTGCCGCCGGCCGGCGGTACCGCATCGGCAGCTGCAGCTGAGCGCAGCGCTTTCTTTGTAGTTTTTTGTAGTGCTGCTTTAGGAAAAATGGGTGCCCGGAGCACGCATGATTTCCCTCCTTCCTGGTCAATTGTGCGTGGCACGTGCCCACGTCGTAATAAAGTGCAAAAGGGGCGAGCGACCAAGCGAGCATGCACGCGGAAAAAGAGAGGCCTTGTTCTATTTTATTTTATTTTTTCCTTCTGCTTTGGTTCAATTTCCATTATTTATTCTTTATATTGCCAACGCCTACGAATTTCTACACCACACATACAGCCTCTCTCTCTCTCTCTCTCACTCCCGCTCTCGCTCCGTCTGCCTGTCTCTGTCTGCCTCGCCCGCGTTTATACTTCCGGACTCTGCATTTATATACCCCCCCCCCACGCTAACAGCAGCTCTAGCTTGACTATTTTTATTCTAAAGATGAACATTGGTACTCGGACCGACAGCGACCTATTGTTTATAAACTTTAACCAGGACTACAGGTACGCAACAAAAACAACGACGACGACACAACCCAAACTAGTCCAAAATGGAAAGGGCTTTAAACAATTCATTTAATTTGCATTTCAAACCCAGCCTTTGCTAATTGGCTCTTCCTTTTTCCACTTTTCCTGCTAGCTGTCTGTCGGTTGGCACAAAGAACGGTTACAAGATATACAACTGCGAGCCCTTTGGCAAATGCTACGCGCGGTCGGAGGGCGGCATCGGCACAGTCGAGATGCTCTTCTGCACATCACTCGTCGCACTCGTGGGCTCCGGCGACCAGCCCGCCTTGTCGCCACGGCGGCTGCAAATAATAAACACAAAGCGACAGTCCATCATCTGCGAGCTGACTTTCCCGACAACAATTTTAGCTGTCAAGCTCAACCGCCGGCGGCTAATAGCCGTCCTGGAGGAGCAAATCTACGTCTACGATATCAGCAACATGAAGCTGCTGCACACTATAGAGACCCCGCCTAACCCATTGGCCATCTGCACTATGTCGCCCAGCAGTGAGAACTGCTTTATTGCGTATCCAACCCCGGCATCCCTCAGTGCGCCGCCCAGCAAGCCTGGAGCTGTGGGTGAGATTCCAGCCACCACAGATGTGATGGTTTTTGATGCTAACTCATGCGAGGCTATTAATATCATTAGGGCGCATAAGAGTCCGGTTTCCTGCCTGGCCATGAACCGCGAGGGAACCATGCTGGCCACTGCCAGCGATAAGGGCACGGTCATTAGGGTGTTTGGGTTGCCTGGTGCCCACAAGATTGCGCAGTTCAGGAGGGGCGCGTATCCGGCCAAAATCCACTCCATCACTTTCAATGCCACGTCAACGCTCCTCTTGGTGTCTTCAGACACGGATACCGTGCACATCTTCCGTATCGCCGACGGCGGCCGCAATAAGGCGGCATCTGCCAGCAACACCGCCAATACGACCTTGCGTCATTCAGACTCTTATGCCAGCTCCATCACGTCATTCGCGGATTCGGACTCCGTAGCCGATTCATACTCACCCAACGGAAATGGCAATGGCAGACACAATGGGAGTAAAGGAAGAGGGCATCAGCAGCAATCGGCAGCGCCCTTCGAGGGTATGCTAAGGAGGGCGTCGTGGAAGGGTCTGGTCAACAGCAAGATTGTCGGCAGGGCTGCGCAGTTCATGCCCGATGTGATTTCGGAAATGTGGGAGCCATCAAGAGACTTTGCGTTTTTGAAGCTACCCAAATCTAACATCCAGAGTATCGCCGCCATGTCGAGCTCGACTCCGCAGATCATGGTGGTTACGTCGGATGGATACTTTTACCAGTACAGTATTGATCTGGATAAGGGCGGCGAGTGCGTATTGCTCAAGCAGGACTGCTTGTTGGATAGCGCCGAGGAACTGGGCGCGTATGCCAGTTGAAACCCCCCCTCCCCTTTTGTTTAATTTTTAAAAATGAAATTGTGTAATTTGATATATAAAAATATGAATATCGGATTTAGTCCTCATCCTCGTCGTCCTCATCGTCATCGATGCCCCCATTCTCAAAGTCCTCCAAGAACTGCGCAAACTGCTCAGGCAACTCGCCCAGAGCCTTTGCGCCATTAAAGCACTCGACAGCCTTCCCATATGCCTCCTCCTGCTCCTCCTCCTTGTCCAACAAGTTGCCCAAATTCAAAAACACCTCTCCACGCAAAAGCAGCGCCTCACCCAAATCCACAATGCCTTCGACCAGCGCACCAGCTCTCTGCAAAATTACAATCAGCCTGGGCTTCTCCGGCACCTCCCCGGTCTCCTCATCCTGCTGCTCGAGCAATAAATTGGCAGAAATCCACAGGGCGCGGGCAATCGCCGTCTTAATGGCATCGTCGTGGGGCTCGGGAAGACCCTCCAGGGCAGCTTGCGCCCAGGCAACCAGACGCGTGGCGGCAAAATCCTCGAGGCGTTTGCTATCGGCAAGCGCAAGAACCATATCGGCCATGCCCAGAGTCTCTGCCACGCGACTGGCCTGGCCACTGAGTGCGCCCAGGGCGCCCTCCAGCCTGCCAACAACATCATGGATACTCACATCCTCCGCTCCCTCAGCCAACATGTCCAAAGCAACCTTCGCCAGCCCCTCCATAACCTTCCACCCAACCTCCTCCTGCAACTCCTCGGCCGTCTCGAGTCTCTGCTTAGCCAAGCCCAAATACTCCATTTTCTCGCCCTCCGAAAACTCCGAAATACAGTACAAAGCCATTCCGTAAATATAATAAAACCTAGAATCCATGCTCTCCTCCTCCTCATCGTTAACCCTCAGTATGCGATCGCATTCGTGGATGGTTCCGCGGAGTAAAGTAATAGCTTTGGTGGGATCATCTGCGTTTAGGGCTTCGAGCGCTCCGTCGAAGATTCCTTCGAGTTCGTCTAGCTCGTTGGCTTCTTCGCCATCGTTTTTGAGCATGATTGTGGCGGTGGTTTCGTCCCCGAAATCATCGACTACTTGGGCGCCCGAGGAGGTGGCTGATTCGATGGTTGTTTTTTGCTTTTTGGTCGCGCGAGCTTTGAGACCCATGGGGCGCTTCTTCTTCTGCGAAGACGCTGTGTTGTTGTTAGTGTCGCTGGGCATTGTAGTCAAAGAGAATATAAAATGAATATATTTGTGTAAAGTTATTCAAAAAACCATGTTGAAATGGAAAGAAAAGGAATGTGTAAAAGTATTATACACACACGCATGATTACACAGACACAAAAAATTTTTTTACATAAATTTTGTTCAGAGGTTTTGGTGCTGATTTTTAAATTATTTTTTTTTTATAAATTTTTTGGGTGCAAAAAAATGTTTGAATAGGCTCTGGCCAGCACTACTTGAAAAAAAAGCTGTGCTGAATCGGAGGCTAGACCGGTTATAAGGAGAGCACCCCGAGGGGAAAGGTCTCCAGATCTGATTTCCTCTGCGAAAACACTAGCGCCTGACGAGCATAAAATAAGCCCCGCCATGCAACTCTGTGCGTCGGTTTTTTTAGACAAAGGAAATCAGTAAAAATGTGTGGTGTGGCAAAGAGTGAAGCAAAAAATATTTTGTTTAATGTCATCAAACATAATAAAAAACAACACTTATGGTTACTGATCATGCCCATCGGTAATTTTTTTTATGCACTAATAATTAGAGTGGGTGGCATGTTGCCATACTTTTTGTGCACACCACTGCTGTCCTGAAATATTTAACTCGATACTTTTTTGTATGCGCAAATTTATGCTCGATTTGCACAAACAACTCCACGCACCATTCTATTTACTTTTTACACCATGTCATTGGCTGAACTCTACAACAGCAACAACCATAGTCTCGGCGATGACTCGGAAGACGACGAATCCGATGACGAGTTTGTGCCCGGCCTAGCCGACGACGACAATAACGACGCAAGCGACAACGACAGCGACGATGGCGAGCACAACGACCGTGCTGCTACAAACGACGACTCGGAAGAGGGCACTGCGGTTCCTCCTGAGGAAATCGAGCAGCAAAAGCGCAAGATCGACGATATCTGGCAAGAAATGAATTCGCCCACCACACACCAACAAAAGATTACCCACGTGGATTCCCAAGAAATCAAAGAAGAGCCCAATGATTCTACAGCAGGTGTGGCTGAGGTTTCTTCGGCCGACAAAGCTGAAACAACAGCACAAAACGTGGTCGTGGTGGCAAGTGATGGGTTGCGCAGGGCGCCGAAGCGGAAGGCATCGCAGTTCAGCAGGATGGCGGAGATGGTCGAGCAGCGCAGGGCGAAGAAGGAGAATACGCTGGATAAAGCGCGTAGAGAGTGGACTGGGTTTGTGGAAAATGAGGGAATCCGCGAGGATTTGGACAAGGCAAATAAGGACGGCTATGTCGAGCGACAAGAGTTTTTACGGCGCGTTGATGAGCGCAGGTACGAAAAGTCCCGGGAGCAGAAGTAACAGTGAAAAAGCATTCATTCTTTGCGACTTTAGCTTGGATAATGAATTAATTAAATGATTATGATTACTCAAATCGATACATGTGAGTGAGTTTCGAATTTGGCACAGGAAATTAAAGCACACTCTTCTCTTTTCGTAATGCGCCAAAACAAAGAAAAATTATATAATCATACGATTCAGATAAGTGGGGGGTTTCTCGTCATAAGATCGGCTTTTATCCTTTGCTACGTGTTTTACTCTTGTGGATAATAGAACACAAACTGCCATGCAATCATGCGTTGTCAGTTGTAATATTTGAAAATAGTAGCATGTCGTGTGAAAAAATGAACGTATGCGCTTGATTTCGCATTTGTGGCATATATCATGAGCTTTTTCTTTATTCCCGTTTTGAGACATTTTCATACGTCATTTGTAGTTTTTTTTTTAATTTATATACGAGCGATTGCGGCAGACAGCAACATTTTGCTGGCTAACTCTTGTTTCGTTCTTTTCTTCATTAATCCGTTTCTTCGCTCTTCTAAGTTTTGTTTAATCCTTACTCCTAACTTTTTAAACTTTTAAACCTTTAAACTTACTGCTACGCATCTTGACACTATCATCCCAACCATTCTTTTTCTTTTCGCATTACATTTATACGATTATCCTGCACACCTTAATTACAATGACCATAGGTAAAGAATGATCCTCAAATTTTTTTAGTGGCAGATCGCGTCCAATTCCCCTCGCGAGTCTACGCATCATGGAAGCTCATATATTTCTTTTTAAATGCACAAGAGCAATGAAACACAGTGCCAATTTGACTAGAGGGGATGGGGTCATATTTATATATTTTTTCCCACACTGCGACAACATATTATCCTCCCCCCTCTTTGTCAATCCAGCCATGTCTGCCAGTGCAGCAAATGTATATTTTCATTTAATTTTTCAGAAAAAGGAGTCATCATCATTGTTGTTCTTTTGTACCCTCTTTTCCACTCTCACACGCTGTAACAAACATGCACACGCTCGTGTGCGGTATTTTCATCGGCTTTCCAAAAAAGGAGTGAAGCATTCGCTCTTTTCCAGATTCATGCGTGAGCATTTGTGCTCGCCTTGGTTTTACTCCACCTCCATCTCCGCACTCTTTTTGCCTCTACTTTTATTTCCTACTATTATATATATATATATCAATTTCTACTAACTCGCTCCACTCTTTTCTCCAAATGTTCTCGTTGCTGACCGCCACACGCACCGCCGCTGTCGCCGTGCGCCCTGCTGTCCGCACCCCGGCTCCCAACGGCATACGCACACTGGCCACATCTATAGTTGCCACGAAATCCACCCACGCAGCCAAGGTCACACCCAATGCGGGGGAAAAGGTGCTTACCCTGGAGACAATGAATCCGAACCTCCGCGCCATGGAGTACGCGGTCAGAGGTGCCATTCCCATCCGCGCCGAAGCACTCAAAGAGCAGCTAAAGTCCCACCCAGGATCGTTGCTGTTCAAGCAGATCACGGCATGCAATATTGGTAACCCGCAGCAGCTGATGCAGAAGCCCATTACGTTTTTGCGCCAGGTCACTGCCCTGATGGAGTACTCTGACTTGCTCTCGCCTGATATGATCGAGACCACACGCAAGTTGTTCCCCGAGGACGCTATTGAGCGCGCCAGGCACAATCTCTCTTTTGTAGGGGGCACTCCGGGCGCCTACACGCATTCGCTGGGTATATTCGAGGTGCGCCAGAATGTTGCGCGGTTTATCGAGCAGCGCGACGGTTTCCCTGCCAACCCGAACGATATTTGCTTGACCACTGGGTAAGTGTTTCAGCTTCTTCTTATTTTTCATTCTTGCGGTGGTCTGTCTAGAAGAGGGGCGTTTCTTCTGGAGATAAGATGGGTCGCAGATAAAGAATCATGGACATCCGCATATCATTTTCGGTGTATTCTGCATCCAGACTACTTTGCCACATGGTTGGACAAAAACCTGCTTTTCAGCCATTAAACTGGACTTTTTTATTTCATAGACGCTGTGTTGGCTTGCTGGACTAAAAAAAACAGCATGAGTTGTTTCTTTTTTTGTGTGTAGTGCTTCCGGGGCCGTCGAGCGCGTGCTTGATATGCTGGTGTCGGATCCCAGTGTTGGCATTATGATCCCCATTCCGCAGTATCCCCTGTACACGGCGTCTCTCACGCGGCTCAACGCGCACGCCGTGCCCTACTACCTGCAGGAGGAGAAGGACTGGCAGCTGAACCAGGCCGACCTGGAGAGATCGCTCAGCGAATCGCGTGCCAACGGCATCGACGTGCGTGCGCTGGTCGTGATCAACCCAGGAAACCCCACAGGTGGATGCCTGCTTGAGTCCAACATTGCTGAGATCGTGCGTTTCTGCGAGCGCAACAACCTGGTGATCCTGGCTGATGAAGTATACCAGTCCAACATCTACACAGGCACTAACCCATTTGTATCATTTAAAAAGGTCGTGATGCAGTTGGGATCAAGCGTCGAGCTCTTCTCCTTCCACTCGATCTCCAAGGGCATGATCGGCGAGTGCGGTCGGCGCGGCGGATACTACGAGGCAGTCAATATTGACGAGCAGGTCATGGGGCAGCTGCTCAAGGTGGCGTCGGTCAGCCTGTGCCCCAATGTGTCGGGCCAGATGGCCATTGACATGATGGTCAACCCGCCCAAGGTTGGCGATCCGTCCTACGCCCAGTACGAACAAGAGATGGATGACATTTACCAGAGCATGAAGCGCCGCGCAAAGAAGCTGGCCATTGCCTTCAACTCCTTGCCCAACATGAGCTGCAATGACGCGCAGGGTGCCATGTACCTGTTCCCCAATATTGAGCTGCCCAAGGCGTTTGTCGAGGAGGCAAAGGCCAAGGGCCAGGCGCCCGACTCCCTGTACTGCATGCAGATGCTCGAGGCCACAGGCATCTCGGTTGTCCCCGGGTCGGGATTCGGCCAGTACCCTGGCACTTTCCATTTCCGGTCTACCTTCTTGCCCCAGGAGGACCTCTTTGACGACTTTATCGATGGGTTCAAGCGTTTCCACCTCGGCTTCATGCAGCAGTACTCGACCAAGAATTAAAAAAATACACTTAAATATGGTCTCAAAAAACGACTTGCTTTTAGCGCAATACACTGTGGTGTAAATAGATTTTGTAATTTCCAGACATTTATAACAAAATTCTAGCTTTTTAACCAAAGGATTTTAAACCGTTTTTCATGCAAAAAGGCATCTTCAGAGCCAACTGAATCTGAGTCTATAGCAACAACCAAGATTTTGCCCAAGCCAAAACCCAACAGCCCAAGCGTGTGTGCGCAAGAACCAATTTGTCCCTGATGCTTCTCTTCGAAAGAAGAAGCGAACTGATTAATAGCTGCAACCATAGTGGTCTATTGCCACTAGTTTCTAAACATCTGCCAGGCCGCTAGCCAATCTATATAGGGGAAGGATGTTGATTTGCAGGATACTTGTAGTCTCATTATTTTCTTTGGTGTAAATAACATTCAAATAATAAAATAATGAGCAAAACAAGCAAAAAAAATTGCGCTCATATAGTGCAGTGCTCTCTCAGTAGCTCCCTGGCCTTAACAACAGCTCCAGACGCAGTATATATTGTCGCCAGATTGTACGCTGCCTCTCTGCGCAAATCACACATGAAATCGGCATCGCCACCATGTCCCGCACCAGCAGCCAGTCGCGACACAGGCAAGGAAAACACCTTTGTATAACACTCCATGGCCAAATCCAGCACACCCAAGAAATGGAACGCCCGCGCATAGTTGTACGCAATCTCCTGCGTTACCATAACATCGCACCCAACGCCGCTGCGCATCCCGCTGTGCTCGGTATACTTGCCCATAGCCTTCATCTCGGTAACATACTGGAGTTCGGCATACCGCTGAATAAAGGCCAAGCCGCGTATCGCCATAGCCTGAGGATCACGCGTATGCCGTTTTGTAGTGTGCACAAGGTAGGCGACGCCCAAGTGCAATGCCACGGAGGCGTCCTGAGGCATCATGGCCAGGGCCAACGTGTACTGCATGATAGATGTCTCGCCCGTGCGCGCCACCAACATCATGTGTGCGGCCGTCGAATGCAGTGCGGAGAAATCACATCGGGTCAGGATCTTGTCTGCCGACCGGATCTTGCTCACTGTGGCAATGACCTGTTGGCTATTATTAGCCATGTCCTCGAGCAGTGGGAGGTTCTCGGCAACCGGCAGGTCAATCATGCTGGATTTCGAATAGTATATCTCGTCCAAGTCGATGAGCTGGCGGCGCACATACTTGTACATATTGGCCGATGTCAGCGTGACCGTGGCGCCGGCCGACCCCACCATTGCATATGCCATGAGCTTGTAGGTGATAGCCTTGTTCGGTTGATTGCCGCACCACCAGCGCACAATTTCGTACGTTCTCTCGTGGATGCCCGCGTGGATGGCAATGGAGAGCATGACCAGACGAAATATGCGCTTCTTGTCCTCTTGCCCAAGAAAAACGTTGGACTGGAATACCAGATCAAACATGTCCAGGGCGTCCTCGGGCTCACCGTCGAGCGCCAGGCACTTGCCGTACATTAAGAACATGTCAAACCACCGCTCGAAGGGCTGCCCGCGGAATGTCGTCGACACGTTGATGTCCGCCCTGTCTTCCGCATCAGCATCTATGTCCTCATTGGTATCCCCCGCTGCCGCCAATAATCCGCCGTTCTTCTTCTGCTGCTGCTTCGACAGCCGTTTTTTCATGCGTGCCAGCCGCCTCTGCAACGCTGTCTGGCCACCAGCTGCACCGCGCGTATCCGCGTCGCCATCCTGCACGCCGTTCTCAATATTAGACATGACGGCATTGCGGTACGTGACAAAGGGCCGGTTACGATCTGCCGGAAAGAACGCCCGCATGTGCCGCCAGTCGTTTAACAGCCGCTGCGCCGTCACACAGTACTCCTTGATCGCCCGGGCATCCCTGCTCTCTTCAATCGGGGGCTTGAGCAGATCAAGCTTTTTGAACGCCACCTCGGCATCGCGCATGGCCATGATGCACCGCTTGTACTCATCTTCGGCATCGCGTCGCCGCCGCATCGTGTTCTCGGAGGGCTTGCGTTGCTCGAGCTGAACCACATTGCTCGGCGTGTCCCAGATCTCTACAGGCAACAGTGGTTGGTTGCCGTGGCCGTGCATGCCGCTGGATATAGACATGGCCGCAATCTGCTGGGCCGACATTGTCGCTGCAGCTGCTGCTGCCGCCGCCTGTGCGGCCTCCTGCTGGATACGCTCCTCCCTCTGGATGTCCTCAACTGCCTGCACCATGCTGTACGCCAGGTCAACGTGCCCCAGCTCCTCGTAGACCTCTCCGAGCCACATCCGCATGTCTATGTCATTGGGATCCGCGTTGACCACGGCCTCGGCAAACTCGCGCGCACTGGCCAAATCGCCGCTCTCCTTGTAGCACTTCGCCATGCGCTCCCACAACGATGGCTGATTTGTTGCCTCGCGGTCCAACAAGTACTGGTACGTACTCAGGGACATCTCCATGTTGCCGACTTCGCCATACGTCTCGGCAATGTCCGTGTACAAATCCTCGTATGCCACAACGTCCAACGAAAACAAAGGATCAATGTGCATTTGCGCAGTCTCGTTATGGCCTAGAATCATCCGGCACTGGCCCAGCTTGACACGGAGTTCAACGGGCAGGGCGTTCTCTGTCGAGAGAGGGATATCAGGACCAATGGCGTACTCGCCGTCCATTTCGTCGTCCAGCTCCTGGTCCTCCCACTGGAGTTCTCTGCCGCGACTCTGTATGAACCTGGCACCACGCTTGATATCGACAATGGCTGCCTCGTACTCGTGCCGCAGGATGCGCAGCTCGGCAACCATATTGAGGTCATTGTAGCTGTAGCCGCCAAGCTCCTCCATGGGCACCGTCTTTGTGGGGTTGCTGCGGAAGTACGCGGCCCACTCTGGATCGTAGTCATCGTCCAACCTGTCCTCGTCGTCAATGACGGTGCCCTCATTGAGCATTCTCATATTGCGCTCGTTGATCCGGTCAGCCTGCGCAACGGCCTCCTCGGCGACTTCAACAGCCTGTTTGTTGTAAAATGCAAATGCATCGGTGAACCACTTGATCGGTGTCTCCAAGTCGTCTCTCTTCTTGGCATAGATCACAGAGGCCATGCGGATGATCTCCATATCGTACGGATCGGCCTTCAGAATCGCGCGATACGCCCGAGCCATGCCCTTGTAGTCCTCTTGCTTCTCCAAAATCTCCAGCATGCGCATCCACGCACTGCGGTCCTTGGGCTCATTTTTAGTCACGTGACTTATACAGTACAGTGCCTGCTTAATGCCCTCGTTGTAAATCGACTTGGCCACGGGGTTACCTAATTTAGCAGTATTTTCGTGCGCAATGGCCGCCGCAATATGCATCGAGTACAGGCGCTCCCACAGCGGGCTGTCAGAGGGATTAAGGTGCGCGGAAACCGTGTACAACTGAAGTGCATCACTGCTCTTCCCTTCCTCCTCGCGAATGAGCGCCATAGTGTTCCAAGCCGGCGCACAGTTGGGGTCCAAGCGAATGACGTCGCAAAAAATATTGAATGCCCGGAACAGATCGCGATCAACGTAACTCTGGTTGGCGCTGCCCAGGAGTCTCTGGACCTCGGGGCTGTATTTGGGCGTCTTTGGCCGCACCTTCTTCCTGGTGTTGCGCTTATTCCGCCCCGTCTTTCCATTGCCCTTTGCCTCAGTCTTATCTCTTTGCATTTTACGCTGGGTTTTCGTCAGCGGCTTGGCAAATCCAGAAGCCTGTCGCACAGACGCTTCGATAGAGTGCATGTGGAACTCTGCATCGTCTGAGGATACTGAAAAGTCGCTGCCCTCGTAGTTGCTGTCCTCGTCATCGTCAATAAACCCCTCGGGTATAAAAATGCTTTCACTGGGACCGCCCAGATCGCCAAAGGCCAAGTCCTCGTTATAGTTGACTTGCCGCGCACCCACGTTGCGCAAACCATGGGTAACATCAGCCCGCTGCGGCATGTTGTTGGTAAGACCCTGCATCAACGGTGTGTCGATGTCGGATGTGTCGCTGTAATCGTCTTCCATAAAGCTGTCCTCGTCCTCGCCCTCGTCATCCGAGTACCCCGCCTCCCCACCAGCTGTGGCAATAGCACGTCCCGAGTGCTTGCGGTGCGATGTCTTGGCACCGCCCAGACGCGGCTGAGAGTTATGCTTGGATGCCCTTTGGCGCTGCATAGAGTCAATGTCAACCATGCTCCCAAGGCCCTCAGCCGCAAGCATCTCAGCTGCAGATCTCACGGCCTCAATAAGCCCGGCATTGCTCAGCATGTTTGCCTCGTTGGCATTCTCGCCGTCGTCGCTGGCGTCGCCGTCGTTCGAGTATGGCATGTCAATGCGATAGAATTCGTCCGACATCTTTAGTGTGCGGATTGGAAATAAACTGGCGTAAATAAAATAGAAAGAGGAATGTTTATTATGATTTTATATATATTTTAAAAAACGAGCATAATATAACAATGGCAAGGCTGATACTAAAATAGCGCAAGTTTCGCAGCTTTATTTACCCACGTGGTGTCAGCAAAGAATGGGAATCTTCATTTTTATCTTTTTTGATGCACAGCTTAGAATAATGCAGGTTGCGGGGCCTGGTTCAATAGAAAAAATCGACAAAACTGTTTAACCAATATGCATATTGCTTTTATATCCTCCATGTCCAAATATTTTGATACTCGACCATTTGCAAATAAATTTATATAATAAATTTATATAAAAGCCAGCTTGGTGTGTACCTTTTTATTTTTCAATTGTATTGTTGTGATTTGGGGAGAGCACTAGTCACTTAGTGTTAAAAGTATGTTTGGGTTTTGTTATAGTTTTTATTATCAAGGGAATCAAAAGTAGAACTAGGGCCGGCCTTGTCATATATATGTATCTCATTGCCTTTGTTGTGCACTTCACCAGGTGTGCATTCCGTTGGCGAGAATTGATTCTTCTGCGAGCAGACCAGTATCTTGGCAAGTCAATGTTGTGGTTTTTGTATATGTGCGCTTGCGTGTATGCATTGAAAATGGGGAGCACATTTGGGTGGCATTATTATGTCCCCTGACTTACTCCCACATGGTCCCATTTGCACCCTATCAATCGGCATGCAGGTGGAGGCTTGTTTCGCAATTATCAACCTTGGCATCCATTTCCATATCCCCGGAATGCGCAACACTATAATCCCACCTTTTCATTCATAATCTTTTGGTATATTAAAACACGATCTTTTAATTCAACATCCACTTACCATCAGCCATATGCCGAAAACTAGCAACTAGTAGCATGTACCCTCAACCATACCCTGTTTGCTCTCTTGCCAGCGAGAGTGGGCCGAATGACGCATTATGTACATCCTGTGGATCGTCTGAGTATCATGCATATTTTTGCTAAATATCGTGATAAACCATGCTATTATATTGTTATTCAGAGTCACCTTTGCTGAGAACCCCTTAGGGGGGTCGCAACCCAGGCCAGTGACCCAGGCTGAGACCCGTATGCGCGCACAGATGCATCGGACAGATGCAGAACGTCACCCGACGTCCTGATCCAATCACATTTATTGTAAAGGTACATAGTGCTCATGATTGAACCTGTTTTTGCCAGAGAATTATATTAACAGAAATTGATGTAATTTCGAGGTATATTAAAATAGCATTTGTTTTGCTATTAACCCCTTTTAGATGTTTGTATACATGTGTACGGCATAGGAAATCCCATGTACATTATCATAATTTAGTTCCGATAAATACTAAGGTGTTTCCACTGTGAAGATGAAAACACAGTTTTCTAATAAATATGTCATCACCCTATTAGCAGTATTTTTTGTGACTGCTCTGTTTTATTATTGGTTTGTCTTTTTGGCCACATTCACAACAATATAAAGAAGAAAAGATGAAAAGCGTGACAGCTGCAAAAGAGATTTATTTATTTTCAGTTGACCATGAGCAATGGGAAGTAGCTGTTATTTTGTTTCACGATAAACCAATTCAACATTCCAACCCGCTTCACTCTATTATATTTTGCACACTCTCATCCCATTCCATTCAATGCCATATTATCCATTAATTTTGAACCAGTAAATGCTGCAGTTTGCCTGTTGATATTCGGCATAAGCGGCATTTTATTTTTTCCAACCTTTTAATTACTCTCCAAATTCTCAATTTTAATAACATAGCCGGGTCATTTTATTTCAACCACCAGCTTGCTATAACCCCATGCGCTCTGCGATGCAACCCAATTCCCATGAACTACGAATATTTGTTATGCTTTACATGCTGCATGAACCGCGAATATATATATTCATATGGCTCCGCTCGCCCAGCCATTATGTTTCTGCTTGATTGGTTGTGCATTGTTTTTTTTACCAAATGCGCAACGTACATTATAAATGAATATATGGCCAGCACTAGGCCTACGCGTAAAGCAGAAGCACACGTACTTTTTAATGAAAATATTTACAACGTATATTTGTCAGGCAATGACAATGTGTCGGGCCATACTCCAATTATTATTATTACTTTGTTATCCTGGACTAAATAATTAAAAAAAATTATCAAGCAGCAAAAAAAAGTAAAAAAATTACCCCGTGATTGAAAGCAAGGCATATTATATATTGGGCGTTGTTTGCAAGAAAAACATTTTAATGGGGCTCTCCATTTCATAGCTGCCAGACAGATTCAGGAAATGTTACGCTTTTCACCTTTTTTTGTTATTTTTTAAATTCAATAGTCGGTATAGTAGCTTAACTCACCCAGCTCATACATCACTTTACACACTTTGCTTTTTTTTGAGCAAACAGCACAAAGCCATTTATCTCGCCTTTTCACTGTTTTCAAAGTGTTTTTTTTACTCGCTTAGTTTACATAGAATATTCCTACCTCGTATCATCTATATTGCTTTATTATTCTTATTCTTCATTTCCCCACTTTTTAAGTATGTCATTTTGTTTGAAAGACGTCGCGCTCAAGGTAAACTCAACCTTGTGCCTGCCTGCCGCTACTCCTGCTACTTCAAATTATGCCGCTTCAACCACTTTGACTACTCTGCCCGCCACACCAACTGTCCCTTGCAGAAACAATGTGATTTGTCGTGTGTATCACGCCACTTTTACATTTAAGTACGAGACAGACAACAGCAACAACAAAATTTTCTCTCGGACAATCTACAAGTTGCACTATGCCCTTGCTAAAGAGCGCGCCGTTTGCTATGTGGCTGAGATCACCCTGCGCAAGGCCGAAAGAGAGTTTTCCGAGTCTCGCTGCGAGACCGCTAAAATTTTGCTGTGATGCCTCGGCCAGGCTCGCAGAATCAGGGGTTTTTGTGCCCAGGAGGAGGCTGCAAGAATTGCAACTGAGTCTGCCTGTGCCAGTATGGGCGTTGCAATGGCAAATCTGGAGTTAGCTCTAAGCGCCGCCGATGCCGCACAGACTGATTCGTTGGCCACTCATGCCGAGGTCAAGCGTAAGGCCGAGGCTGCTTGCAGCGAGGTGATTGAGGTTTGTTATAAGCTTGCAAATACGAGCTGCGCCGCAATCCAGCTTGCTGTCAAGAACACAACTGGCCGGCAGCGGATGGCCAACATCAACGGACAGCTGGACGCCGCCAAGCAGCAAAACAGGCTGCTTCAAGAGCAGGTGCAAGTGCTGCAGCGCGGCGCCAACAATCATGTGCATAATTTCAATGAGATCCACGACAAGCTTCCGTACCTAAGAAAGGTAGTTGCAAACTACAGCACGGCCGCAGCTGGTGGCCAAAACGTTTGGATTTACTGTAGTGCCACACTTTGTGCTGCCACTGCAAGCGAGCTGGCCAGGCGCTGAATCAAAACGGCACGCGACCTTGAATTAGTTCTCATTATTTTCCATTTCTCACTCTCTATTCTAGAAAATTGAATAAAGAAATAAAATGAAAATGAAAATAAAAAGCAGCTGAAAAAAATTCAATAGGGAATTGCAGCAATGAGAAATCAGAGCGTTGCCTTGTTTAATATTGGCATTGCTCATTTTATTTGCGCTATTAAACGGCATTTGTAGTATTTACAAAAAAAGAGGGGAAGCCCAAGATGGAATTGTTTTATACACTAAGGTGACTCTGAATGACAATATAATAACACGGTTTATCACGATATCTGACAAAAAGATCCATGATGTTCAGACGATCCACAGGGTGTACAGAATGCGTCATTCAGCGCGCTCTCGCTGGCAAGAAAGTAAACAGGGTATGGTTGAGGGTACATGCTACTAGTTGCTAGTTTTCGGCAGATGGCTGATGGTAAGTGGATGTTGAATTAAAAGATCGTGTTTTAATATACCAAAATATTGTGAATGAAAAGGTGGAATTATAGTAATATAAAACAAGATACATATCCTGACAAGCTGGCTTTTATATGGATTTTATAAATTTAAAATTTGTGCAAATGGTCAGGTATCAAGATATTTGAACAATGATGATATAGACAATGTGCAATAGCAACTACAAGCGGAGTAGTTGGATCAAAATAAATATTGCGCTGCTATTAGAAACAACACGTCGAGTTTGTCTTATTGGCAATTGATATTACAAGCCTAAATTTAAAGCAAAGAAATAATTAGATGTACTGGATGCAGCCTGTATTTGCCTGTAAACACAGCTTTCTTGTTTATAAAGCGAGAAAATTATTTTTTGCAGGAAACACCTGGATACTATTTTAATGTCGACCCAGTAAAACTTAGTTTGGTTTATTTGGAGTACAACAAATTATTTTTATACAAAGCGCAAAACCACCATGTATTTATATTGCTCGCTCTAATTATTTCCCGAGACTTAGATTATATTTAAATGGTACAATTTGGAGAAAAGAGGCCTCGGCGTGGATATTTTATTTTTGCTTAAAGGTGCACTTGTAGTCGCATAGCAAGACTATTGAAGTTATGTTAACAAATTTTGTTTGTATCCAGTCTGGGTCAACCTCTGCGCCTATCTCTGTCTCTGTCTCTGTGTCTGTGTCTCTGCTTCTGTGTATATTTGTGTAGATAACATGTCTTTCCGGTAATCACAATTTTGTGTGTGCGCGGTTTTCTATTGATAAAGTCACAAAATATGGCCACTGATGGCAAACGCTGTGCATCAGATTGTATTTGTCTAGAAATAATCTTGCTTGAATACTCCATAACTCGAGCAGTTTAAAGGTATGATTGGATGCTTAATTATTTGGTATATTAGTAGATTATAAAAATTGGGTTTTTTTACTTGCGTTAGATTAGACAGTTTTTTTAAGCTGTTAAAAAATTGAGGCGGCTTTTTGTATGTGCGTATTTTGCAAATATATAGTTTAAGGTCGGATATTGGCCCGGAAAACCCTAATATATACGGTTACAAAAAAGTGCGTGTTCGGCAACAATGCTTGTGCTATTTACTTGTAAAAATCATTGGACTATCCTGGATTTATTTGTCAGCAGTATCACCTCTATTAGTAATTTTTAATACCCCTATTAGGTTTAGGACTCATGCATTTGTCAGCACGAGTCCTAAAAAGGGCAATTATTTTGATTTGTCATCCGTAGGGTTGCTGATCAGCAACTATAAATGTTATCACTGCCATATACAGAAAATCAAGCAATCCAGCCCCCAACCTTAAGCATACAAGTACATAATTTTAAAATAATTACCACTAGTATCTCTGCTTTTAATGTTATTTTTTATTTTTATTTTTTATTTGGAATATTTTGTAGGCTACAAAACACGAGTAGTCACAAAGAGATAACCACTAAATCTGTATATACCTATATCAAAATAATTCATGCTGCGCTTGAACGGATGACAAATATAATTTTTATAGATGTTTATGTTCAGAATGTTTGTACATTTTGGTATAAATATGCCGCAAAGGAGGCAATAGCACAATTTAAAATGACTATATATTCTAAATATTCGCATTTGAACCCCACTATTCCCTCATACTCACAATTACTTTAAATCTTAATCGATATTATAATATTTATATTCTACTATTTTATGATGGCCGCTCAACATGACAACAATGAAAAGCGCGAGAGACCCACTCCCATCCTCAGCTGGAGCAACCTCAACTATGATGTCAAGACCAAGCAGCAGGGAGTGCGGCGAATCCTGCACAACCTCAGCGGCAATATTTATTCCGGCGAACTGGTTGCCATCATGGGCTCGTCCGGAGCAGGCAAAACCACACTCCTCAACGTCCTCGCAGGCCGCGTCCAAGAAGGAAGCCTTTATGGCAACATCCAGTTCAATGGCACCAAGCGCAATCCACACACTTTTAAGCGGCTCTTGGCTTTTGTTGAGCAAGATGATCTCATGTTCCCGCAGCTAACCGTTGAAGAAACGCTAAAAACTTCAGCAGACTTGCGGTTGTCCAACGAAAAGTACACCAAGGAGGAAAAACGCGACCGTGTGGACATGGTTATGCGCCAGCTGCGACTTACCCACGTCAAGGACACTGCCATTGGCGGATATGGAACCCGTGGCGTTTCGGGCGGCGAGCGCAAGCGCGTGAGCATCGGCTCAGAGCTGGTCACGGATCCGTCCATTTTGGTTCTGGATGAGCCGTCATCAGGACTGGACTCGTCGTCAGCCGAGATGGTGGTTAGTCTGACCAAGGAGATGTCTAGGGAGCGCAACCTCTGCACGCTGATGACCATCCATCAGCCCAGTGCTGAGATGGTGGCCAAGTTTGACAAGCTCATTCTTTTGGCGCAGGGCAAGCTGGTGTACATGGGACCAGCTTCTCAGGCGCTACCCTACTTTGAGAGCCTCGGGTTCCCGTCGACTAACTCCAACCCGGCTAATTTTTTTATTGATTTGACCACCGTTGACTTTTCGTCGGACGAGGCCATGCACAAGAGTGAGCAGCACATTCAATTTTTGGCAGATTCGTTTGCCGATTTCCGCGCTAATGGGAGCCAGCTTGTGGTCCATTCATCAAACGATTCGTCTGTTTCGGCAGCTACTGCGGATGACACTCCTGGACTTTCCGCCGACTTCAGCAAAAGCTACATCAGCAACGACATTACGCAGGAGGAGGCCAATTTGGTTCTGTACGAGCCCACGCCAACAAACAGCTGGGCCAGCGAGTTCTGGACACTTCTTAACCGTGACTGGATTCTTTTGAAGCGCCACAGATCGCTGGTACTTGGACTCTTAATCCAGTGCTTGTGCATAATTATCTTTATTGGCTTTGTCTTCTTCCAGCTAAAAACTGACCAGGCATCCATCCAGAACCGCATCGGCGCTTTGTTTATGTTCTCAATTATTTGCTCGTACCCGCTGGTTTTCCCAGTCACGACAATGATTATGTCTGGTCGCAGTGTTCTGTTGCGCGAGCGCTCCGCTGGAACCTATCGTATGACAAGCTACTTCTTTGCCAAGTCGTTGAGCTTTTTCCCATTGGCATTCATTCCGTATACAATTTCGTATATTGGCGTCTACTTTATTGCGCACTTTCAGTATGACGCGGCCAAGTTCTTTATTGGTCTGGCCAACACGTACGCACTGCTGTTTACCTCCCTGGCCTTTGCATTTGGTGTTTCCATGATTGTAAAAAGCATGGAGGTTGCTTTCATTATTTCGCCTGTCGTGATGTCCAACCTCATGCTGTTTGCCGGCAACATGGCTAACTCTAAAGCCGTTACCCCCGTGCTGAGATGGATCAAGTACGTGTGCATGTATTACTACTCATACTCGGCATTTGTGCAGAACGAATTTAACGGCTTGGTGTTCACATGCGACTCCAATGACACTGCTTGCTATGGAACTGGCGAAGAGGTTGTCAAGGCATATGGACTGGGTGAACAGGCTATTTGGCTGTGCATTGTGATCAACTTGGTAATTGGTGTGGGTACATTTGCAATTGCATATGTCTTGACGCGCTGGCTCGCCAAGCCCAGGTACTTGTGGATTTGAACATCTTTTCTTCATGTTTTTTACTTTATATTTTATGAAATATATTATTAGGTTACTTATTATTTGAACATACTAGAAACAGAAAGTGTGGACTGATTGAAAAAACTTTGCCGGCAATACCCATTTTCAATCATATGCAAAGAGTATTTTTACGACCACCTTGTGCCAAAGAATCCTGTTTGTCTGCGGTTAAGAGGGATAATATTGCCGGCAACATCAGTTTGAGGTGCGGCGGCAGGCGCCGGGTTGGCAACAGGAGCAGCAATAGCAACAGCAGCAAGGAAGGTGAAGACGAGGGCGGAGACTGAGAACTTCATTGTGGTTAGAATAAAAAGTGCTGGATATTTTGAGTGTTGTGTTGAATAGTTTAGTTGGTCTTGGTTAGAATAAAAGCTGTGTATGTGTGTATGGCTGTATGTGAATGATGTTTTTAATATTGAGATGTGCGAAATATTGCTCCTTTTATAACTTGTCTTGATACCGACGAAAACCTTTCAAGGTGTTTTTAAGACGTGAAACTTTTGTGGTTTCAAAATTAAAAAGTTTATTAATATTATATTGTGATTTTTTGGTTTGCATAATGGCTGTATACAAATTATTATCTCACGCAGCAGCTAAAGGAAGTATCATTATGCCTTGAAAATTGAAAATTGAAAATTATGCAATCTTCAATCTGCATTTTGCATTTTGCATTCTGTATTGTATATTGTTTAATGTTAAACATGCGCACAATTGTACAATGAAGACGTACATGTGATTTACCAAGTTTAGGCTTGTTGATAAAAGGTACTATTTTCCAAAGAAGTTTGGGATTTTATTGTCTGGCAGATTTATATATCATCCATGTTATTTTCACAATTGAGAACCAGTTTCAAAAATAAGATATAGTGAACAGCTCACGCTCAACTTACAATGGCTGTTTGTGTAATAAGAAATAATTAAGATGTTCGGTATAGACTGTTCTTTTTCATCTCATGGGAACATGGGAACATGGTAACATGATAAACAGGTTGACATGTCTGCAGCTTGTTTGTATAAAAACAAGAATAAAAAGACAAATTGTTCGCAATCTTGATCACGCAACGCTGATAATCAAGATCATCGAATTCAATCTTTAGCCTTGCTGCTACACAAAACAAAAGCATCAGGTATATTTTCGTCACTGTGCGGGTTTTGTTTTTTATTTACATTAGAATTCAAATTCAAATTCAAATTCAAATTCCTAGGCTTATTTTAATTTCAAACTATCATTTATTTTAAGATGGACGCGCTCGATATGAGGAATGTACCGCTGGTCAACATACTCAACGACACTCTGACAGAATACAACGACAGCCTGCGCACATTACTGGGCTTGCTTGACACAGAGGGCAACCGCAACACAAATGCAGAAGCCACGCGTAGTCGCGTCGAAACAGCCAATCGGCTAGTAAAATTGGACAACTTGCTACAACAAATATACAGCGAACTCGTCCAACACCAGCGGCGACAGGAGGCGATCCGCAATACGCAGGTTCTGTCAATAGAGAGTGGCAAGGCCAAGCTTGAGTTTATCAACAGTATGCTGGACGCCAAAGCGCAGCTAGAAGAGGTTATAACGGATGGGGAGAAAAAGCTGGCATTGGCAAAAGTTGCCAAGAAGGCTAGTCCGCCAGTGTCGGAGATTATTGAGTATGCGAAGAAGCTGAGCAAGTTCACTATGGCGCCGCCTAATTATGATCCTAATAGCGGAGGCATTCCGCCTGAGCCCCCGTATCCTGTGCTGGTTGCTATGCGGGCAGGTGTTTTGAGCAGGTATAGGATGAACAAGGCAGCTCGGGTTGATAACGCGGATGACAACGATGTGGATGACGGCGACTTTGCCAATGGCATGGACGACGACATGTTCGACGACGTAGATGACGACGACCTGCTGCTCGGCCTCGATTTGAATCCCGACCTGGAGTAACGAAAAAGAAAAATTCCATTCTAAACGGTCTATTGTCAATTAAATTAAAATAACATCATTTTATTGTGGTGCGAGCTAACTAGTACGGGAGTTTTATTCCGCGCTTCTCGATAATATGTGCCAATTCGCAAAACTTTTCCGTTGACACGTCCTGAGGGCGCAGCGTCGGGTCGATCTCGCACTCCTCCAGCAAAGCAATCCGCTCCGGGTCCCAATCCTTAAATATCCTAGCCAGCATCTTCCGCCTCTTCATAAACGAAAACCGCACAACATGCTCCAAGCTACCCAAAGATGACTTCAGCAAAGGCTTTTCCAATGGGCGCAGCTGAACCACCGTGGCATCAACCTTGGGCCGAGGCACAAAGCCAGATGCCGGGACATTGTAGATCTTGAAGGCGTCGCAGACAGACTGCGCCACAACGGATAATCTGCCCCGGGCCGAGTCCGAGGCACCGGCAGTTATGCGATCACCAACTTCCTTCTGGAACATCAGTGACATGGACACATTGGGGGAGTTGAAAATGCCTTGCTTCAGCGATAGCATGTGCAGCCATTGGATCAGCAATGGCGTTGCCACGCCGAAGGGCAGATTTCCCACCAGGTGCACGAACTCAAAGGTCTTTATCTCCCCATCAATGTTCGACCCGAGGTTTAGTCCGCTTTGGATGATATCCGCGTGGTTGACCGTGAGCATATCCCCTAGGAGTGCCTGGAATCGGCCGTCGGAGGCCTCTCGTAGTTGCTCCAGAGTGGGGATAAACCGCGGGTCTTTTTCCACCGCAACTACGTTTTGCGCGCCACTGTCGAGAATCGAACGCGTCAGCAGTCCTGGCCCCGGCCCTACTTCCACGCAGAGTGCGTTTTGTAGCTCGAGTCCTGATAGCGATATTATCTTGTCTGTGATGTTTTTGTCCATAATGAAGTTTTGACTGAGCTGTTGCTTGGCCTTCAAGTTGTATATCTTGATGAGCTCCCGGATCGACGGGAGCTTTGGCAGTTTTGATACTGACATTCTTTTTAGTTGTTTTTGGTAAAAAAAAAATTTATACCGCAAAAGAGGCTGTTACTGAGTTTTTTTATATCTTTTTCACCATACAAAAAAAAAGCTTTGGAATTAGCGAATAAATGTTTATACCCTTGGTGGATCACGACGCCTTAGAGGGCGCTGCCATGTGATGAATGGCCCACGATTATGTCTGCCACATTGAATTTTAGCCACATCCAGAACATAATGAAGACGTGAAATACGCATATGTGGCGAAGAATTTATGTTGTCACACCAAGAGAGATATCCTCGAATGGTTTTATTTTTTTCTTCAAGCCAGCTGAAAAAAAATGAAGAAAATATATGGTGAAAATATGTATAAAAAATAAACGTAAACATAAACATAAATAGAAAATCAATTTTTCTTTTACTCAAGCACAAAGCGCTCGTGCACATCCGTGTACTCGTCATTGTCATTATTCACAGCAGCAGTATCAGCGTCTCCGGAATTCAGCATAGCCTTATTAGCCTTGAGTTGAGCCTTGCGCGCATTATAATCAGCAATAGCCTCCTTAAGCCCTGTGCCAAAGTTGCGGTAGCAGTGAATGGACACATACACAGTGACCAAGGTAAGCGCTAGCGTGACAACAATGAAAAAGGTCAAGTACTTCCTGCTATCCAAATACGGGTCATTATCCTTGTCAATACCAACGTTCATGCGGACGATCCTGTAGATAAAGTAGGCGGGCGACAGGCCGAGGCAAACAATAACCACAACCATCACCCGTTTCTGCTCCACCTTGAGCGCCCAAAACGACAAAACCAAAAATACAATGCTGCCCGGGATGACCACGCCAATTTGAATCCAAGTCTCTGGATCGCTGACGCGCAGAACCAAGGTGGCCAACTGCACCGAGTACGAAATGAAAAAGAATATATCCAACTTCAACAGCGTCAGTAGGATCTGATGCCACTTGTATGCGCGTCGCAGCGCCAAATTCGCACCCAGCTTCTTGTACGTTTTCCAGCCAAACAGCTGGTACAGCTCCCACGTCAGCATGGCAAACGCCACCGAGCACAGCGAGTAAACCACCATCGTGGTGATTTGCAACACCCGCATATCATTGTCCTTTTGGAAAATCCCCGCCGATGAGCTCGGGTGGATATAAAACGTCGTGTACTGGATGAACGAGTATATCAGGCACATGACGTTGAATAGTGTCGCGGCAATGATCTGGATTGTGTTTTTGTGCGCAACTGCCTCCCAGCATAGCATCAGAAGGAAGAGCTGCGCGACTATGAAGATAACGTCGTAGACAATGAATGACTCTTGCGTGATGGACATTTTGGTGCTGCCGCTGAGTACCCCGAACCCCCACTGGCTCTCGACGCCGTTTTTGTATATGTTCACTGTGCGCTTAATAACGTAGCCTTGGATGCACACGATTGCAAAGACCTCGAGGAGCGCGACCAGAATGAATAGCCGCGCCCATATCGACGTCGGAATGCCCATGCGCTTTAGTGTCAACCGGACGGCCATTTTAGTCATGTGTATATGGTGTATAGGCAGCAGCAGCGGAATGGGAATTAAAATGCGTGTGGAATTGGGACAGAGAATAGACACTGGTCTGGCTGAGTGAAAAGGCGTGTGTGTGCTGTGTGTGCTGTGTGCTATGTGGTGTGTGCGCTGTGGCGAGGGTTTCTGGTATCGTGAGAATAGCTGGTATAATGTGTGTTTATATGTTACAGTACGTGAATAAAATAAGTACAAGCAAAAAAAGTGAATTTTGAAGAAAAATAGTCGGGCCTAATTGACAGAGTGAACAAAGAAAAACTGGAAGGACAATGTCAGTCGTAAATAAGGACACTGATTTTTTGTGTCCTGTTGTTTGGCTCGAAAAGAAGCAGGAAGAAAAATAAACGACTGGAAGGCCATACTCTGCGCTAAAATAGCTTTTTTTTTGTTATTGCTAAAACCTGTTTTTATTTTCTATTTCTGCGTTGATTTTTTTGATTTTTTGGCTGACGTGTTCCTATGGCTGTATGCTTTAACAGCACTAGAAAACAAAAAACTAATGAAAAAAACTTGAGCGACCTGAAGGGTTTCTGGTGATGCTTGGAACTGGGACTGGGTCGGGGGTGGGTTTTTTGCGCTGATGGGCTGTGTGGACCATGGGCGGACCATTAACAGCAAAAGCACAGATGAAATAAAGCAGGCGCAGCCAGCGAATCGCAAAATAAGTAAGAAAAAAGTGGGCCCTTTAAATGGAAGGATTTCATGCTCCGGCATCCACGCCCACGCATGTTCTAAATAAAAAATAGCTTGGCAACGCGAAGCGTAGCACAAATGCGGCCAAGAGCAAAAAAAACTACAGAGCATACAAAGCGAGATGAAACTGAGCGAGGGCCTGCACACACAGTAACAAAAGTGCGAGTATGAAAAAAGTATGGACTATAAGCAAGTGACTAGAATTTGATGCGCTGGAGAAAAAACTGACCGCACTTCGCCCAGAGAAAATAGATCCATAGATCTACTTGCTCTCCTTTGACCAAGCCCTGTCCTATGTTAAACAACTGACGGCTATAACTGCCACGATATGTGGATAAATCGATCCGTGCGCTGTCTGCAGGGAATGAGTAGTCGCAGCAGAGGGTGCCTTATTGCCTTTGCACCCGGCTGCTGGTGCTGGTGCTGCTGCTGTTGCTGCTGAGTCTCTGCCAAATCATTGCACTTAATTTCCCATCTCTGGCGAAAGGTGTTAACGCACTACCTTCTAACGAAGTGTAAAGGCAAGTGCGTACACACACTGTAACAAATCCCCAACCTGCGAGGGGTAGTAATCTTCGAGATTGCAAGTTTATCCTGCTCTATTTTAACTTTTGTTTTGTTTTATTCGTTTTGGATTTTATTGATTTCTCCGCTCTTCTCGGTCTGTGTGTGTGTGGTTTGTGTCTGCTTTTTTTAAACTATTTTTACCCTCTCTTTTTTATTTAGTCATCAACTCCATTCACATTAGACGCACTTTTTTTCCAACCCTCTTCTCGCTTCATCCGAATTGGCTAATTCGAATATCAAGTTTAATTTCCAGCAGTCTTGCCCAGCCCAAAAAAATCATGAGCGAGTACGGCGGGGGCGCAGAATCAGCGCCCAACAGCAGCAGCACAACCAGCAACAACAACAATAGCGGGGCCAGCAGCCGGCCGTACACGCCCAGCATGGGGGCAGCAAGCAACCTTGTAGCGGAAGAGAGCCGCGTAACAGCGTCGCCGGCACTCTCCGTGCGATCCGCACACTCCGCTCAGTCGCTACACTCAGACGTGCCAACGATCAACACGGGGATGGCCAACATGGGCGTCAGCAGCAGCGCGGTTTTGGGCGACGACGACGAGGTGTTCGTGCGGTCGGCAGCCGACTACCCTCGCGCCACAGTGGAGAAGGCAGCCGTGGCGCGGCTCAAGCTTGAGGCGTTCTACAAGGACCTGATGGGGCAGTGCATCGAGCGCAACCAGCGGCGCAAGGAGCTGGAGCAGCGGCTGGTGGCTGAAAGCGGGTCGTCGGAGGAGCGCAAGCAGCGACAGATGCAGGGCCTGGGCGCCAAGGAGAGCGGGTTCATGCGGCTGCGGCGCACCAAGCTCAGCGTCACGGACTTCCAGACGGTCAAGGTCATCGGGCGCGGGGCATTCGGCGAAGTGCGGCTGGTGCAGAAGCGCGACACTGGCAAGATCTTCGCCATGAAAATCCTGCGCAAAAGCGAGATGATCAAGAAGGACCAGCTGGCGCACGTCCGCGCCGAGCGCGATGTACTGGCGGAATCCGACTCAATGTGGGTGGTGCAGCTGTACTTTTCGTTCCAGGACGCGCGCAACCTGTACCTGATCATGGAGTTTCTGCCTGGTGGAGATCTGATGACGATGCTGATCAAGTACGATATTTTCCCCGAGGACGTCACGCGGTTCTACATGGCCGAGTGCGTGCTGGCACTGGAGGACGTGCACCGGCTTGGGTTCATCCACCGCGATATCAAGCCGGACAACATTTTGATTGACAAGGACGGCCACATTAAGCTGTCGGACTTTGGGCTGTCGACCGGGTTCCACCGCCAGCACGACTCGTCGTACTACCAGAAGCTGCTCGAGAGCATCCACAAGGAGCACCCGGCCGAGGGCAGCGGCGCCGCGGCAGACCCCCCTGCAGCAGCGGCGGCAGCGGCGGCGGCGGCGGCAGCTTCTGGCGGGCGACAGGCGGTCGAGACGCTGCGGCGCGAGATCCAGCTAACGCTGTCGAGCAAAGAAAAGCTGGCAACGTGGAAGCGCAACCGGCGGCAGCTGGCGTACTCGACGGTGGGCACTCCAGACTACATTGCGCCCGAGATCTTCCTGCAGCAGGGCTACGGCAAAGCATGCGACTGGTGGTCGCTGGGCGCCATCATGTTTGAGTGCCTTGTCGGATACCCGCCGTTCTGCAGCGACAACTCGCACGACACCTACCGTAAGATCATGCACTGGCGCGAGGCCCTGGTGTTCCCAGATGACGTGCGGCTGTCGCCAGAATCAATCCACCTGATCCGCTCGCTGCTCTGCGACCAGCAGAACCGGCTGGGCCGCAACGGCGCCTGGGAGCTGAAGCAGCATCCGTTCTTTAGCGGCGTCGACTGGTCGTCGCTGCGCACGCGCACGCGGCCACCGTGGATCCCGCCGCTGTCATCGATCACTGACACGTCGCACTTCCCCACCGACGAGATCGACCAGAACACGTCGCCGTTCGACGCGCCCGCGGCGGCCGTGGCCGAGTCCGAGCCGCAGAAGGACCTGGCCTTTGTCGGATACACGTACAAGCGCTTTGACATGCTGACCCGCAAGAACGCGTTTTAGGGATTGTGTTTTTTCTTCTATTTAATAACATTGAACTCGAGAGGGGCAAGGTTGTCTTGTTCGGACAGATGAAAAGGCGGCGGAGGTGCGCCGGCCTATACGAGCGGGTCTAGCGCTGTGATACTGTCGCTAGCATCGTATTGCTTGGCCAGCTGCCAGTATGACTCGCATCCGGCGCCGGCCAGCCAGTTCCTTGCCTGCGACTCGGCCGGGCAGACGCGCAGGCGGAAGGACCTGAACCGCCGCCGCTCGACCTCGCCCTGCCAAATCAAATGGCACGCGTTGTCTGCGCCCCCTGCATCCGGCGCAGGGGCGGCATGCGCAGGGGTGGCATGTGCAGGGGCACTGTCCAGCCGGGGCTGCATGTCGGTCCAGTCAATGCGCCTGAGCATCAACTTCTTGTACGCGCGGACGAGCTTCTCCGGGCCCTCAACCACAACCAGGCCCATGCGCGGGCACGCCAGCGCAACGCCCGTCAGGTGCATTTCCTTGGCATTCACCTGCACCTTATAGCGGTGCTGCGGGTGGGCCAGGTTGCTGACGCGGAATACCGCGGCCACCACGCCCTTGGCCTCCTCGGCCTGCAGCTTGGCGCGGGCTTTCTCAGCGCGCTGCTCCTTGGTAAGCATGCTGGCTTGGTTCTCTGCCTCGTGCTTTTCTATGCGCGAGCGCATCTGCTTGCGCACCTCGGCCTCGAGCCGCGTCGGGTCCGGCACCGACTGGTTGGCCATGATGCGCATAAAGTTGGACATGCGCAGCTTGGGCGGGTCCGGCGGCAACAGCCCAAGCATCACCTTGTCGCGGTGCTCCCGCTGCTGCTCCATGCGCCGCTGCCGCCGGATCTTCTTGCGCTCCTTCTGCGTCAGAATCAGCTTGCTCGGCGCAGCCTCCCCATTGGTGATCCCCGCCGGCGGATCAATCATCACTGGGTGCTGCACGTAAATGGTCACCGGCGAATCTGCGCCTGTGAGCTTGCGCTCTGCCGCATATGTGTTGCCGCCGAGAAAGGGCGCATCCCACCATTCGATGGGAGGCGGAGTCTGTGGCCGGATAGCCGTGGCATCGAGGAACTCCGTCTCCAACTGCGCCTTTTCTGCCCTTGCGGCAATCTCTGCCTTGAGCTGGTCCACGCGGGCCTCCGCGCGTAGCCGCTCGGCCTGCGCAATGAACCGCCCGGGCTGCACAAAGCTGAACTGCCGCCCGGCACGCCGCTGCTGCGGCTCAATCTTCAGGTGGCTGCCGAGGTGCGCATCAAGGTAGGGGTTCTGTAAGGGGTCTGTGAAGGATGCTGGAACTTCACGCTCGATCTTGAGCCGTTTTATCTTGGGCGCTTCGTCTTTGCGCTGGTTGGCTTTGATCGAGGAGATCCGCGGCATTGTTGGTCGCATGTTGCCAGGCTTGGCTATGTTGCCGAGCAGCATTGGGTGCAGCTCCGTCGACTGCCCCTGGCCTGCTGCTCCTGCTGGGCGTGCAATGGCTGGGCGAGGAGTGGGTGCGTTGCCGGTGCTGCTGGCTCCGGCTCCGGTTCTGGCTACGGCCCCAGTCCCGACTCTTTGCGCATTGAGCTGCGCTTCGACGCGCGCGCGCGTTGCTGCAATTGTGTCCTGTATAGACACTGTGTTGAGGGTTCCTGTGGATGGCGGCCGCGCCGCAAGAATGCCGAGTCTTGGCGTGGGCATCGAGGGACGTGGGTGTGACGGCCGTACTCCCACTACTGCTGCCCCTCCTCCTCCTCCTGATGGGATGTTCATCCCAGCTATGCGCGACATCACCTCCGCTCGCTTTTTTGCAATGAGCGCATTGATCTATATATAATAATAAAAGGGTGTAGAAAAACGATGGAGCAATGCCCCTTATTTTTTGTTTGCAATTAGAATTTACCTGCAAATAAACAGACAAATACTTCTCATTTTCAAAATAAAGCATACCTCTTCTTGGGTCGGCGGCGCCATTATCGACTATTTTTCTTTTTTCTGCTAGTGTGTGCGAGAATAAAATAGAGTGAAAAGTATTTCTTTTTTAAAATTCCCACCTCGCTCCACCCAAATTTTTAAATAGTTATACCCAACTGATTCAATTTTCTTGCTTATGACTTTGTCACATGATTTGAACGCGTTTGGATTAAAAAACGCGCTTTTTCCACTACTCTAATTCCAGTTTTTTGGGAACGCGTATATCCAAATTCTCACCCCTTTTTATATTTTGCACTCTTTAATTGCATTTTTACCTATATTTATTCTTTTTGTTGTGTTTCAATGATAACTTTATTTCCCTTTTGCGTCTTCTCTCCGTGTATATTTTTGTATCAATTCTGTCCTTACTTTTGTCTATAATTTTAAAAACAAAACTTCATTTTATATTGGACGTGTCGTACAGCTCGTTATTCACTCCTCTTTTTTTCTTGGAACCTGAATTTTCCATGTACGCATCATACACACACAGTATTATTCTGACAACAACAATAACAGAATGTATCTACATGCGCAATAGTGTTGGGAAACTATACGAATAACACGGACATGCCATGTAACTAAGAATGGAACCATGTTCCTTTGTTGAGCCTGTGAGCAAGGAGAGAAGGAGAGAAGATCACACAGCGTTTTGAGAAGAAAAATTATCCTTGCGAATTTCAATAGAGAAGGCTGTTTGTCTCCTCTTCTCACTTTTTTTCTCTTCCTTGCAATTGAAAAGAAGAAAAGAAAAAACTTTTTTCTTCCTGTTTGATTTTCATTTTTTTATTTTATTTTATTTTGTTGCTCAACACACCTTTTTTCTTACTCCAAACCTTTTATTTCGTGTAGAACCCACTCCTCCCCTCTCGACGGTCGCTTACACTTTATATTTCTTTCTTTTTGTTCGCTTACTCTCACCGCGCGCTGAATTCAAAGTCAAACAACAATGGTAAACACAAATTCCTATAGTCAAAATTCACAACACACACCATTCCTTTTTCTCCAACAACCTAAAATACACACACACCCTCTTTCTCTCTCTCTCTCGCTTCTCTTGTGTTTTTCCAAAAACTGTAAATAAAAATAATAGCCCACCTCTGGTGACTTTCTCGCTTCGGACGAAGAGATTGACATCGAGATGTTTGACTCCGATGTTGAGCTCAGCAAGACCACAAGCGCATCTCACAAACATTTGACGCCAGCGAGCATAATCAAAGACAGTGACAGCGACAGCGATTTCATGGACTCCTCCTCCAACAGCAAGCCCAAACGCGGATCCACAATAGTTGCCAAGCGCGGCGGTGGTCGCGGGCGAGGCAGGGGACGAGGCGCAGCCAGTGGAGCCACCAGATCAGCTAGAAGGGACGTCGATGTAGAGATCCTTGACGAAGAGGCATTTGATGCACCACCTCCCGCTGTTGCCAAGCCCCGCCGCGGACGGCCGCGCAAGACGCCCGTTGACACGGATGACTTCGAAAAGCCAAAAGCCACGCGCGGACGCAAGAAGGTCGTACCGGCCGTCACCCTGATAAGCGACGGCGCTGAGGAGGACTTTGACAGCGACAACGACGATGACGATGATGGCGAATTCGGAAAACCCAAAGCAAAGGCAAAACCCAAAAAAACACCGGTCAAGGGCAAGGCGCGACAAATGACGCTGGACGAAATCGAGATACCACAGAAGGATCCCGTGTTTGATCCCAGTCGGGTTGCGGAGCTGGCCGCGCGGTACCCGGACTTATATTGGAAAGAGTTGGTGACGGCTGCGGAATCACCCTCGGACTGCCACGTTATAGACGACTCTACGCGTATTGATTTCATCGACGACGAGCACCCGCTGGAGCTCTTGGCCAGCAATATGAGCGACCAAATGGCGCTCACGGGAATGGCGCTGTCCCCGGACGGCACCATGCTGGCGACATTCGGCAGCTCCGGACACGTTCACATCTGGGACACGGACTCCTTCGAGTGTCTGACCACCCTGCGCGATCTAAGCGAGCCCAACATTGATGAGTTCTTTGTCGGCCAGTTTACGCCCAACTCCGAGTACCTTGTTGTGGGCGGCAAGCTCAAGGATCGCAAGAGGTGGTCGGAGGCTGACGAGGATAACCACATTCTGCCGTGTCCGTTGAAGGTATTCAACGTGCTCACCGGCCAGGTTGTCGCGCGGTTAGAAGGCCACTCGGAGGAGATTCTGTGCGCGAAGAGCGTTGTTTACAAGGGCGAAAACTACTTTGTGACCACCAGCCAGGACGGGTACATCAGGCGCTGGCATATGGACTCGGACTGGGTGGTTCTGCTGGACTCGCAGGAGGTCGAGGATGGCATCACGTGCATGGCATTCACAGTCTCCTTTGTGCCCAATACTGGCAACCGCTTCTTCCTTGCCTCTACGGATGACCATGTGACACTGATGGACCTGGAGAACTGCAAGATCGTACAGCGCTTCGACCCGATTTACTCCTCATACTGCGACTGCGGAAAGTTTATCGAGCTTGTCGAAGAACCCGTGTACCAGCCCAGAAAGCCCGTGGCGATTGATGATGGAGACGACATTGGTGTTAGCTCTGCTGCTTCTGTTCCAACCACCACCACAATTCCGGAAGCCTTCGGGGCCTACGCGTATTTTGTGACCCGCGGCGTGGAACTGCTCGACGCTGAGGACAACACGGTGTCGTCGCGGCCCAACACCTGCACACTGCACCGCCTGGTGTACCCAACCGAGCCCGACGGCAAATTTGAACTGCAGGAGATCCGGCGCTACCACCACGACGAATACCTATCGAACTCGTGGCTAATTCGAGTAGCTTCCAACGGCCGATACATCCTGGCACCGACCCTCAACGGCCAAGTATTCGTGTTTAGCCTGGCCACTGGCCAAGTAACAGGTATCCTGCGCGACCACGATACCATCGAAGTGCGTGATTGCAAGTTCCATCCGACAAAGAACCTCATGTTTACGTGTAGTGATGATGGTACTGTCAAGGTGTATCGCAGCACAAGGTGTGCAAAGAGCTCCTTGGATTCGACAGTGTCGGTGGAGGATGTTGAGATGTGCGTAGATGCCATGAGAGATGATGGGCTTGCTACTCCCCAGACTACGGCTGTGTCGCCTGTGGCGTGTCTGAAAGAGGCTGTGGAGTCTATGGCTGTGAGCGACAACAACAGCGCGTTTGAAGACACCGACGGCGTTGCTGGCAAAATCGAAAATTACGAAACTGGCTAAAGTATCGAGTAAACAATAAAATATATAAAATAAAATAAACCTTGTTTTTGCTACATGTCGGATCACATATCCTCGAGGCTCTGCACCAAGTCGAACTCCAACTCATCAAACTCGTCGGCGGTACCTGCAGACACGCGGCTGTCCGAATACCTATACCGGTGGTCTGTTGAATCACCCATCAGCGGCGTCGAAGCAATGGAGTCATCGAACATCATAATATCCTCTGCTCCATTTGACCTAGCCGTACGCGGACTGCCAATCTCCTCAAACTCATCAAAATCTTCGTCCAAAACAGACCCACCACTCACCAGCTGCTGCTGCTCCCCATTCGCAGCCGACCCCATGTTCTCCATTGACCCGACCTCCTCAAACTCCAAATCATCAAAAGCATCGTCGCTGTGGACATCATCCGGCAGTGACTCGACATCCATGTCTCTGCTGCCGCCATCGTCGCCGCCCTTGTTGCTGCTGTTCCCGACGAATTGCAGATTATCAACTTCTTCAAAGTCGTCATCATCACTGGCTACGTCTTCAAACAGGGATTCGTCCAGGTTTTCCTCTAGCTGCATGTTGAGCTCGTCCTCGAGACTTTCCCATTTCTGCGACTGCTGCTGCTGCTGCTGGGATCCCCGACGACTATGTCTTGTTGGAATAGTCGGCGCAGTGGAATCACCTATATCGCTGGCGTCATCCAGCATACCCTCGAGCTCCTTCGCCAGCTCATCTTCCGAAGTCTCATCTGCCTCAGACCTGTCCACATCACCAACGGCAGAAACCTCCCTCCTACCCCTCTCCCCATCCCTCGTCGGATCATGCCGTTTAGTGGGTAGTGCCAGAAGCCCCGTCGCAGTACCCGCGGAACTCGCCACCCCATTGGCCACCCCTGACCTCACAACAATGTTCGACGCCACGCGCTCAATAACAAACATCTTATTCTTAGCATCGTAAATCAAAACGCAATCCACCTCCTCGTCATTATCATCAGTACCACCATTGAGCTCACCCCGAGACACCTGTTCAAAGTCACCTTCGTACGTGCACGTAGACTTTTGGTCGCGCGAGTCTGCCTCCAGAATCACCTGCCTTTTGTCCCCTGGTTCGCTTTGGCGGTTGGTTGGCCCGGAGAACCGTGCGCGTAGACCTTCATTGCTTTCTAATGTCTCGCGGCTGAGCTTTGTGGTTGTCCGGGGTAGTTGTCGCGATATCAGGTGAAACTCGTCCGCTGATGAATTGCTGGTTGTAGATTGGTCTGTTGAATCTCCAGTCGCTGCGGAATGGTTTCCAAAGGAATGGCCGGGCTGAATTTGGTATGTTGTTAGTTGTTCGAGATTAATAGACATTTTTTTAATACTTTTTTGAAAAAGAATACAATAAATGAATTACAAAAAAATAAGGTGAAAAGATGAAAAGGCTATAAAAGGGCTAGAAAAGGGCGAGAAAGGGGTAAGAAAAAGTCAAATGCAAATAGCGCCCATAGGAGCCATAAAGTATGCGTCAAAGCGGCACACAGTTTGATTAATGTTGACCACATTGCTTGGCAGGTGACGTTCTGTTTTTCGTATTCGATCCCAAAGCTTTTTTTTGCTTTTTCCGTTTTTTAATACATTTCTGTGCTCTTTTCTCTTCTTCATTTGGACTGCGCAAAACTACAAAAAACCACAAAACACCTTTATTATGCCGCAGCTGGGCTCTGCAAAATACATCAAAGAATGGATAGACACAGCGGGCACGCCGTTCCCGACAAAAGAATGCCTCGCAGCGCTAGAGGTCGTTGGGATTCGCACCGACTACGATCTTCTACTGCAATCTGACATTCTCGAGCTAACCCCTGCCGCTCTCCACAGCCACATATGTGCGCTTAGGATGACTGTACTTGCACACTTTGCTTCGCCCGGGTGCACTGCTCTGTCGCTGCTTGAAGCCAACCGCCAGGCAAACAACACGCATGGACAGAGCACTGGGGACATGGTTATTGGCAGCAGCATTCGGGAGTTGGACACCTTGCTTGGAGGGGGCGTCCGTATTAGTCAAATAACCGAGATCTGCGGTAACGAGGGATCAGGCAAAACACAAATGTCTATTGAGTTTGCCACTGCGCATCTCGTTCCAAAGCCTCAACAGCTGCAGCAGGCGCAGCAGGCACAACAACAACAACTAGCAACGGAAGAACACGAAATCCCTAGAACAAAAGTGTACTATATGAGCTCGAGCCCGCTGTCCATATGGCGGGTGGAGCAGACGCTCAGGAGGAGACTCAAAACATATCCGGCTGGCTCACAAGATGTCATGTTTCGATCGGCGATGGAGCGGTTGATCATTGTTGACTGCGAAGACATAGACGCGCTACTCACATTTCTATACAAGTATGCCGATGCCCGTGACTCGCTTGCTGCCGAGGAGGAGCAGCAGCAGCAGTGTAATGAATCCACAACGGACCTTCTTATTATCGACAGTATCCGGCCGCTGCTCCTCAATGTGATCAGGCTTGAGGGTGATGCTTCAATTGCCACGCATGCGGTGAAGACCGTGCTTCGTCGGATCACTAGTGTGCGGGCGCCGGCTAGAGTTGCAGTGATAATTACAAATGGCGTGGCGCAGCGCAATGACTGGCAAACCCCGGCTTCTTTCGGGCTGAGTCACGAGCAGCTGGCTGCAACACGATTACAGCCTAGTTTGGGCGCTGCGTGGGTATTGGTGAGCCATGTGCACTTGTATCTTAAAAGGTATGACCAGCCGAGTGCTGACAATAGTACCAGTATGACTAATGGCTTGATGTATGGACAATGCAGGACCGTGGTGGTTGTCCTAAAGTCGCATGATTCGGCTACGGCCAGGATTGCCGAGTTTGACTTTTGATTTTTGATTTTTGATAGCAACACATGCATAACCTTTACTGTCGAATGTTTTGAACTTAAACTGTAAATTAAAACATAATGCTACCAAATATGACTGAAAAAAGCTTGAATGAAAACATAAAAACTCGAACTTGACAATTAAAAACTAGAGCAGCCCTTGCTTTCATGGACCTTGGCCGGACTGGGCTTTTTGATTTATGGCGCCAGCAGGAACGGATTCAAACGCCAAGGTCTTGTTGCTTGCCTCGATTGCCTCCTTTGTCATGAACGACGCCGTTGGGAAGAACAGGCAGCGGCGCGGAATCATACCGCACTCGCTGTTTCGCGACATGTTGACTGCAAGCACCCAGCCGTCGGCAAATTCACCAATGACGAATAGATGATGTCCTCTCTCCACGATCAACTCGTCAGACAGTGCAGGATTATGCGGCTCGACCGCGCGCAAGGGTCCAAGGGGTGGCTTGTGACGGATGGTGAACTGGTAACTCTCAGATATGCTCTCTATGCTGTCGAGCAGCGGCGACATCCTGCCCTGTTCATGACCGTGGGCATAGTCCTGACCTTGGCCGTGGTCTTGGCCTTGGTCTTGGTCTTGGTCGTTGCCTGCCAGACCGTCGATACCGGAGATCAATTGGGAAATAATGCCATCTGGCTTGTCCTTCTTTCGCTTGGCGGCCTTGGTCTTGGATGCTCTGGGCGTGGTCAGTTCTGCCGTTTGCACCGTCACCGCTGTTTCTGCTGGGGATGTGCTTTCTTTGGGAGTGCTTGCCATAGACCTGAACATGGTCCTCAAGAGCAGGCTGTTGCTTGTTCTGCTCTGCTTGCTCTCGTGCTGATGGGCGACAGCTTCAGCGTCGGGATCTTTGGATGGCAGGGTTTTTATGGCGGCTGCCTGGCCCATGCCCTGCAATTTGTCCTGGGCTGATGCGGACTGACCAACGGAATTAGTCTTTTTCGTAACCTCGCGCACCAGCTTCCGTGGCTTGACTCGCAGACCTGCCGGGCTGGGCTTGGCTACATTCATGTTTGGGTTGGCGGATAACGTATCCAACAAGGAGCGGTTGATACTGAAATCTAGATCAACATTCGACATTAGATCGGTGGACTGGGCATGGCCAATATCGGCACCCAGCTCATCAAATGCATTGGCATGGATGGAAATACGGCGCGTGTGACGGCGGAACTCAACGCTCTTCTGCAGCGGCGACGCCAGCAGCTTGGTGCGCACAGGAGGCACGGAACCATAGCTAATCACACCCGCAACACGCTTGAAGTCGACGTATGCTTTGTCAGGAGTGTTAGCAAGCCTAGTGTGCTTGGCCAACGCAACAACGTTTTGCTCCCTGTTGGCTTTGCTTTGGGTGGCCGCTACTAATGTCGGGTCGCGGTAGTTAAAGTATCTTTTGTTAAGTACCTCATCCACATCAACATCCTGGTCTTGGACGTCCAATATGTCAATATTTTGCAGCTTCTCCTGAGGATCTGATGTCTGCGACGAATGCACAGTCATCGTGTTGATTGCCAGGTTCTGAGCGTGCCTTCTGCTAAAAATGGAAATATTTGGCTTGAAGTTAACGCTGGTGCCCGAGTCGGGAATTTCGCGGTTGGTTGCATTATTGTCGAGGTACTTGGTCTCGTTCCCAGGAAGTAGTGAAGGCATACTTGATCTCGACGAGTGCAGCGAGCGACCGGTGCTAGCCAAAATCTCTCTGAACCTCCTGCGGCGGCGCATGTAGAAGTAAAACAGCAATGCGCAGACAAAGATGATTGCAATGGAGATCAGAATAATAAACCCATCCGACAGTCTATACGGGTCCTGGCCAACATTGTATTTGGTGATGCTGCTGACTGCGGGTGCCTCGGCCGCCAGCTGAATAGATTCAGGCTGTGCCCATTGCACCAACCCTGTAGACTGAAAAACATCATTAGTTTGGCTTGATGTGCTGCTACTGGAATCAGCACTGACAATGGCACTGGCACTTGCACTGACATTGGTACTTGCATTGGCACTTGCGCCGGTACTAGCGCTAGCAATGGCGCTGAAATCACTACTGGCAACAAGACCCTCTGCAGATGGCATGCGCTCAATGCGATTTACCCTGTTTTCGGCGGCTGAGGGCAGAGCAGGGATTGAGGTTGACAGCGTTAGTCGAACGGGCGGAGCAAACAAACCTGACGTAGATGGTAAAGCTAGTAAAAATGGCAAAGTCGGACTTGCTTGAGGAGCTGAAAGTGTTGGCTGAGCAAGTAGCGCAGCCGGAGGGGCTAATGCCAGCTTTGATGGCTGTGTGGAAACAATGACCAGCACAACCTGAGTAGGACTCGGCATCATTGACGTAAACCGGAGGTCTGCTGCTGCGTTAAATTGACTGATGTCGAGCATTGCTGTGTTTTGGAGAAGTGTCGGCAGCGCCGCAAACAATGCTGAATCGTACATGGGTCCAACTGGTTCAATCCGCTCCAATGGCTGGAAGGGCGGCTGAAAAGGCTGTAAAGGGGACGGCTGGCCAAGTGATTGCATCGTTGGGGCGGCTGCTCTGGCGCCCAGGAGACCTTCCATCGGTGCTCCTCGAGCAAGCGCCAAATGGAGGGGTGACGGCGAGGTTGGCGGCAAAATTAAAGGTGACTGTGATTTTGACGAGGCTGACGGTGTCGCCAATGGAATCTGATGCACCTGTCGCCGCCAGTGGCTTGTGGATGCCGCGCTATTGCCTGTAATCATACAGATTGACACGCTGCTGTCCACGATATTGAAAACGTACGAGGGCGAGGGCAAGAGCGTTGGCGTGGCCTCGGGTTGCAACGTTGTGATAGACGCAACGTTTGGCGTTGCTGGAGAATTGGCCATTGTAGGCAAATGTGGCGAGGACACGTAAAATGGACCACAGATACTGTTTTTGCTGCTAGCCTGGCTCAAACTAGTGAACGATGAATTTTGGGACTGAGAGCTGCTTGAATTGGAGTGCTGTAAGGTAGCTGTGGTAACTGTTGACAAACTGGCTGTCGTTGAAGCCAGAGTAAGAATATATGGTTTTGTGGCTACAGCTGAAACGACGGTCATGTCATAATTGACCGTAGCCCTGACCATTTTTGGAGTGTAAAAAATATTAATACTGAATAGCCAAAATATAAACGCAACACGGTGTTTAGAATAATGAAGGGTATAAACAGAGAACATCAAGATCGATACCTTGCCCGTGTATGTTGAAGGATATGATATTTAACGATACCGCTTTGCTTGTTTCGCGATTTGGTTTTTTTTAGAACCTGAACATTGCATTCAATTTTAGAACAGGCACTGTTTGCTGGAGAAACAGAGTTGTTCAAAATAAAAAATTGCATATGCTATTACCATTGCAAAATACAGTGCTTTGATTTATTTTGGTATTTAATTTTTACGTGGTAACCCCGGTACGCCGGCTATAAAAAATATAATGGTGCTATAAATATCAGCACTGCTAGGCTCAGGCGAAATGTCAAAAATAGAAATCTGAGGGCCGCGCTGCGCGCAGTAACGTGAAACTCGCCAATCAAAAATCACTATAACAAATCCCAAATTTGCATGGTAACCTTGGAGATTATGTTTACGTACTTACCTTTACATTTAGTTAAAAAAAAGTGTGTTAACACCTTTCACCGGAGGTAGGAAATTAAGTGCGTTCATTTGGCAGAGACTTAGCACCAGCAGCCGAGCGCAAAGCCAAGGAGATCCACCCTCTGCTATGGCTACCTATCCCCCTCCCCAGACAGCGCACGGATTGATTTATCCACATATCGTGGCAGTTATAGCCGTCAGTTGTTTAACATAGGACAGGGCTTGGTCAAAGGAGAGCAAGTAGATCTATGGATCTATTTTCTCTGGGCGAAGTGCGGTCAGTTTTTTCTCCAGCGCATCAAATTCTAGTCACTTGTTTATAGTCCATACTTTTTTCATACTCGCACTTTTGTTACTGTGATGTGAAATTTTTGACATCGCTTTGTGTATTTACTGCAATGCAGGTGTGGAAAGACATTCCATTGAGTAGAAATCAAAAAGATATAAGCTTGGAGAATTTGTCGTGCTTTTTGCCCTTTTGTCCCTTTTCCTTTTTCTTTTTCTTTTTTTGTAAATTTAGCGGTCAGCAACAATTAGAGAGGCCAAATGGAGCTAACACAGAATGCGCTTCTCAATGCGCTGGGTGCATATGCCAGCGACGACGGCAGTAACAGCGACTCGGAAAGCAGCACGAGAACCGACGCCTCTCCACAACCAACAGCACCCCGGCAAGCAGACAGCCAAGTCGAAAGCGAAAGCAAAATAGAGTCTTTGGAAGTAATTTTTGTCGGGCCACATGCAGAATACACAAGTGACGAAGAGTCGGGAGGAGACAACACTTTTCAAACAGAGGCCATCCATGGCGTGAGCGAGGAGGAGCTACTCGCGTATCATAAAACCAAACGCGATCTTGATTTGTTGCTTGGTTGCGATCGGGCTCCAGGATTTTCACAGCTGCCTCCCGACGTGGCTGAGTGTTCCTCTGAGCTGCAGGCGAAATTCCAGCAGTGGTACCGGCTCAGGCAGCAAGGTGCCAACTTCAACGATGCGCTAATGCGAAACAAGACATTCAAAAACCCGAATATATACAGATGTCTGGTGGATTATTTGAAGCTAGAGGAGTCTGGATCCAACCTGCCAGACAACGGGTTTGCAGCAGCCCGGCTTAGGAATGACTTTACACCCAATGGTCTGGCCGATGACCAGGAGCGGCGGGCTCGCGAGTACGCGGCAAAGAAAAGCGCTGAGTCGGCAGCAGGAAACCTGCGGAAAATGGAGTTTCGGTCGGTTGGCCATGAGAACATGCCATTGACAAGTGGATTTAGGAGCGGTGGTGCCCCAAAGCCCATGTCAAATCAACATGCTAGCTTTACAACAGGGTATGTACCCACATCAACTCAGCATCGCCCAAGCATGCAGTCATCTTCTGCACAGCCCCCGGACAACAAGGCATTTGCCGACGCGGTTGAGCGAGCTAAATTGATAGCCCAGCAACTGAAACGCGCAAAAAAACAGTAGACCACAACGCCTATTGAGTGCAGAGTTTTGGCAAAATATATTAATAAAAATGTGTAGAATAGATGAGGAAAAGTACTGTATTATATTGTCTGCGTTTGCACTATGCGGCAACCTCGCAGTCTTCACGGTCTTTAAGAGCGTTATATGACGACGCGTGTGCGACAGTATTTCTGTTTGGGAGCAGGAACTGCAATCTCCTCGATGGCTGGTATTGACGTGGCGGTGTGGTTTCCCGAAGCTGTCTGCTTGACTCGTTGTCCGCATCTGCTGCAAAAGTGGTATTGTCGGCTGTGATTGGTGTTTTATTGGACTGGCACAGTGATGGCTGTGAGCGCAGGCGCGGATAGTACGGTTCTGGGACAACCTCAGTTGGCAAAGAGCTCTCCTGCGCTTGGCAGTCTTTGGCCTCTATATCCCAGATATAATCCCTAACAATTGGCGTCATGTCGGAGGTGTCGTCGGAAATGCCTCTGTGCCGATGCCCTCTAATTCGCGTCTTGATCGCGCCAATCCATGACACACGAGTCTTAGCGTTTGAGTTGTCCGAATTGCCTTTGGCTTCAGAACGGCTCGTGCTGAATGATGTCCCACCCCTTCTAGTTACAGCTGACGTACCAACAGGAGCCTGGTTGAGCCTGCTATGTGCATTGCTCATACTAAGACGTCGGCCAATTGTACCCCATGACGGGCGGGTAGACCTTGTCGAATAGGACTGCTCGAATAGCAGGGAGGTAGGCTCTTGCTGCTCGGGTGTAGTCATTATGTTTCTGTGCAAGTACTTGCGGTCGTTTTTTTGTATGGCAGTTGTTCCCATAGCAAAAGCTGTATCACTATGGCCCTCAGTCAGCTCCAGAATGGCATCTGTGTAGTACAGGTCACTGCTACCGTCGCTCAGGTAATTGTCAAATCTATCATGTTGCGGTTGCGGCTGCTTCTTTTGCTGATGTTGGTAAGGCGCTTTCATTGTCCGGGTTATACTAGAAGCCCTGGTTTTATAATGCGTATCGTCTTGTCCGTATTGTACATTAATATCCTCCCTGCAGCTCTCTTTAGCCCACGATAGCATCGGAGAGGGTGTCTGGCTCTTGTGTCTCATAGTAGCAGTGACTGTGGTTGATATGCTAAGCTTCCGGCTCGACAAATTTATCTAGGCGCTTCCGGTCAAACTTTATGGAGCGGTGAAAGTGGTTATCAAATATGGTTGAATGATAAATGAGAGTGAAAAGGTATATATAAATATTGGAAAACAAAAACGAAACAAACCTCGCTATTTAAAATAATTAAAAAATATAAAGTTGCTGTTGAAAGAACACGAATTCTTTCGTTCCAATTGTTTTCATTTCGCATTGTTATTATTTTTATTATTCGAGATGGCGAAACTGCTTGCTGGACCCCTATTTTTATTTCACGTCACTGCGGACCGTTGTCCCCTTTTTCCTTGGCACTTGGACATGCGGGGCATACTTGATTTGACAACTTTTACTGCGCACAACCACACACCATTAATTTTTAGAGAATGGACATGTGTATGCTTGCGGTAGATTACAAGATTCTGATCGGCACTGACTTTTTATTTTCATTTATCGGGTATATAAATCTAGTATGACTGAATTGCAATATTTTGCGCCAAATGATGCTAATAATTTTGGATAATATGTTAGTAACTATTCTGAATTAAACGAAAGTAAAAAATTGAAAACAAAGCTTCAAAAAGAGAAAACGAAGAGAATGAAAATTGAAGCATTGAAGCCAAAAGTAGATATAAAAAAGTAAATAAATAGATGTGGTAAACGGCATTCTGTAGCAATCAAGTAAAATAGGAAATACTGTTAGCACAGGCGCAAGCAGAAGAAAATCCAATGTGTTTGAGGAAGGTATGCGTAGTCAGGAAAGAAAAGATAGTATCAACATATTACGTCGTGACCCAGAAGTTCTCCTTGAGAAGTGCGCGGCGCTGCCTGCGCACATACCAAACAACAATGACAGCCATGATAGCGATGGCAATGGCAATTCCAATTCCAATCCACATCTTGCGTGAGTTGGATTTCACGGTACCCTTGAAGGGGCTGTCGACCTGGTTAGGGCTGTTAGGTGCGGTCTGAGCCACCCCCTTAAGCTCTTCGAGCCTGCTGGTAATTTTTAGGTATGACCTGTCTATCAGAGCGCCCCACTGGTTTATGGTATGAAGCGGGCTCGACGAGTCGCGCACTTGGGAGCTGAGCGTGGTACCCAAAGACTGCAGATCAGTGATAGGGTTCACTTGTCCATTGTCCTTAATGATTGACATGCTTATGTAGTAGTGAGGCACATCCGTACCAAGGGCCCGATTGTTGAGCGTAGCAACAGCGTCAGCGTTGGCGAAAATCATCGAAGCAGTGATGCGGTTGGGGTTAGTGCTCAGCGCCTCAGCAACCAGGTCGGGAATTGCGTTGAACGCCTGAGATGCAAGGAAGTTATTGGAACCAAACAGATTCTCATACGGCGCCAAGATTCTGATTTGGAATGTCAAACACTGGCTGCAGATCGAGCTCAACGGGTTGACTATCACCTGTGGGTACACGATTCCAGTTGCTTGGGAGACACTATCGGTTGATGTGGCAACCAGCCGGCTGAAGTCAACAGAGGTGGGGACCTCGATGACTGGCTTTTCGGAAATAGAAGTGCTGGTTTTGCTGGTTTTGACTTCCTCCCGAGTGGCCGTGCTATCATCAGCGGGAGTAGCCTTAGAGCTTGCAGAGTTGAACGTGGTAATGGAGGTTGAGATGAGGGAGGATGAGGGTTCAGATCCGGTCGCTGTTACTGACGCCAACGCGTTGGTTTCGGATGTAGCTGTGGCCGAGTCCACGAATGAGTCTGTAGCACTCTGATCAACACTCGTGCTCGCTCCATTGGTCATGCTGGAGCTCGCCGAAATTGTACCGCTGGCAACATTGCTGCTGCTGTCAACTGCGTTGTCTGTGGAAATCTGAGAAACGTCAGAGACAATGTCGCTGGAGAAGCTCTGGGAAAAGTCGGAGCTCACATTGGTGGCAGATTCAATAGGCGACTGCTGCGAGCTAAGATCGCCGGATGATGAGTCGGGGGCTGGAATTGTGGCAGAGTCCGAAGGTGAAGCAGTGGCAGAGTCTGAAGGCAAAATGCTGACCGAGTCCGAGGGTGAAGCAATGGCAGAGTCTGAAGGCAAAATGCTGACCGAGTCCGAGGGTGAAGCAATGGCAGAATCTGAAGGCAAAATGCTGACCGAGTCCGAGGGTGAAGCAATGGCAGAGTCTGAGGGTGAAGCAATGGCAGAATCTGAAGGCAAAATGCTGACCGAGTCCGAGGGTGAAGCAATGGCAGAGTCTGAGGGTGAAGCAATGGCAGAATCTGAAGGCAAAATGCTGACCGAGTCCGAGGGTGAAACAATGGCAGAGTCTGAAGGCAAAATGCTGACCGAGTCCGAGGGTGAAGCAATGGCAGAGTCTGAGGGTGAAGCAATGGCAGAGTCCGAGGGTGAAGCAATGGCAGAGTCTGAAGGCAAAATGCTGACCGAGTCCGAGGGTGAAGCAATGGCAGAGTCTGAAGGCAAAATGCTGACCGAGTCCGAGGGTGAAGCAATGGCAGAGTCTGAGGGTGAAGCAATGGCAGAGTCCGAGGGTGAAGCAATGGCAGAGTCTGAGGGTGAAGCAATGGCAGAATCTGAAGGCAAAATGCTGACCGAGTCCGAGGGTGAAGCAATGGCAGAGTCTGAGGGTGAAGCAATGGCAGAATCTGAAGGCAAAATGCTGACCGAGTCCGAGGGTGAAACAATGGCAGAGTCTGAAGGCAAAATGCTGACCGAGTCCGAGGGTGAAGCAATGGCAGAGTCTGAGGGTGAAGCAATGGCAGAGTCCGAGGGTGAAGCAATGGCAGAGTCTGAAGGCAAAATGCTGACCGAGTCCGAGGGTGAAGCAATGGCAGAGTCTGAAGGCAAAATGCTGACCGAGTCCGAGGGTGAAGCAATGGCAGAGTCTGAGGGTGAAGCAATGGCAGAGTCCGAGGGTGAAGCAATGGCAGAGTCTGAAGGCAAAATGCTGACCGAGTCTGAGGGTGAGATGCTGACCGAGTTAGAGGCTGAAGCAATGACAGAGTTATCCTCGGTCTCACCAGAGCTGATGCTGGTAAGGGTAGAAATGTGATCCTCCGTTGTAACAATGTTTGTGGGGCTCGAAACAATTTCCGACTCTGTCGGGCTCGCGTCATCCAAGGAAGTACTGCGTGATGACTGCGAATCTATCTCGGTCGCAGATGCGAGCGTCTCAGTTGAAGAGGTCGCGGTAGGCCTGCCCTCCTCAGAGTTAACGATGTCGGAGGAAATGGGGAAATAGGTCTCGTCGGTAGTAAAAGTCCAGCTAATAGTGCTCTCAATACTGGTGCTCCCAGATGTTGGAGTGGTCAACGAGAGGAATGGCGGCAGCTCCGTGAGAGTAACAACGACAGATGACTCTCCAGAGACATCGGGAAGAGTGATATCTGCAATTGTAGAGATCAATTCGCTGCTGTCAAAACCAGTGCTCTGCTCAACAGACGTGGGTACAAAGGAATCCACGGTGCTGCTAACACTAGGGCGAGAGATGACTAAGGTAGTCTCGGCATCGCTTGTAATTATAACTGTGGGGCTTGCGGTGCTGGCGACTTTCGACGAAACATCGGAACTATTTCCCCTGCTGGCTTCGAATTCAGTGCTGGTGTTCACGGCGGTGCTAATATCGGAGGTGATGCTGCTGATACTGGATATTGTGCTGGTGTTAACGACGGTGCTAATATCAGAGGCGATGCTGCTGATACTGGATATGGTGCTGGAAAGCAATTTATCAGTGGTCTCGGTACTGGTATCTTCCACGTCAACAACGCTAGTCGATGTAGCGCTTAAAACAACGGAAGTATCTACTGGGTCCTCGGTAACACTAAAATCGGGAATAACACCAGTGGGCTCGGCGCTGGTCACAACTGGGGAAAATGTGTTGGTGGAGTCCTCGGTTCTGTTAACATTGGAAATAGTGGAATCGGAAGCAGACAAATCGTCTTCTAGGGTTGTAGATACAATGGATGTGATTACAGTAGAAGTGGCAGTGGTGTTAGTTTGTGGTGGTGGTGGAGTAGTAGGTTTTGAGCTGGTGGTGGTGGTGGTGTTATCAAATATGCTGTTGAGCAGCACATAAGATATAGGTGTGATGGTGGCAAATGGTAAAGTGTAGGTGGTATCAGATGAAGCAAAACCCGATACTGTAGTTAAATCAAGGCCTGACGCATTGTCAGCCGGTGACGAGGACATCGGTCTGCTTGATAAATCAGATGCATTACCTTTATCTGTAATCGTCGGCGAATTAACATCACTCTCCGTGTCATCCTCGGATGAAGTGACTTTAATAGTGGTTTCAGTCTCGGTTGTCTCGTCTGCAGCAGTGCCATCAGCCTGAGTGCTATCAGCTGCGCTGGTCTTATCTTCAGTAGTCTCGGCTGCAGTGGTTTCAACTACGGTGGCCCCAGACTTAGTGGTCACGGCCTGCGTGATCTGTGACTGGGTGGTCTTGGCTGCAGTGGTCTCAAACTGTGTAGTCTCAGCTTGGGAGCTCTCGGGTTGAGAGCTCACGACTGAGGTGGTTTCGAGTGCGGTGGCCTCAGACTTAGTACTCACAACCTGGGTGGTTTGCGACTGGGCGGTCTCAACCTTTGTAACCTCGACCTTGGTTGTCTCAGCCTGAGTATTCTCGGTCTTGGTGCTTTCGGCTAGAACACGATCGGGCTGAGTAAATCTAAACGTGACGCTCTGTATCTTTGTGAGACTGTTGTCATCGTTGTCGATCTAAAATAAACATCAAAATTTCGCAATGTCACAATAAAAAGTGGATGTTGCGTGTGTGTGCAATGTTAGTTGAATAAAACTAGACTAATAATCCAAACAACTAAAATGCATAAGATGTATATACTCCTAGTGAATGTGCATTGCTTGTAACTTTTTGGTTGTCATTTTAAAAAATAATATTCACTAACCTTTTCTATTACGCTGGTGGATACCGCAGATTTTACGGATTTGACTCCACTTTCGGGGTCCAAGACTGTCGGTGGGGCACCGGCCACGGCTCCTATGGCCATGAACAGCGCTAATGCCACGCGGGCTTTACGAGAGTACATTGCTCTTGCTTCTATTCGGTTAAGCGTATGTTGAAGACCTCTGTTTTAGTGCGTGTGGTGAGGTAATAAAAGTGAAAAAGGGAAAATATAGATAAAGAAGCTATATAATTGGTATTAGGGCGAACGAGTATGATGCAGAAGTTGGTGGAGGAGAGGGTAGAGATATGTTGGATTGCTTGTAAGTAAATGCAGAGAAGCTAGTGGGTCCCGAACAAGTGGTAAGCGGGGTTCGGATATTTGGCAGGGTAAGGTTAAAAGAGGATAATAGAGAGAGAGCGCTAATAAAAAAAGGAACTAAATAAATATCGCGAAGTGAAGGAGAAATTAGTCCGGTCAGTTTTTTTTACCAATACTTGACACCTATTTCTATTCAGGGATAAAGAGTGGAGAAAAATAATGTTTGATATGACAAAAGAAAAAATGAGTGTGCAGTTTGTCAGTCTGCCAAATCCACATTGTTGTTGCTTTCTGAGTTCCCGAGATGCTTGAATATGCATGTCCCAGAAAGAGATGGGGGAAAACCTGATTGCAAACCACACCATGTCGATCTCCCTACGTTCATTCGCTATGTCGAACAAACAAATGTGCAAGACGCACGCTCGAACTCCAAAGCAAAAAAACCAACCAGATTTATTTTTGTGAACGACAAAGTCACTCAAAAGGGAAATTACAATTCCCCTATTTCTGAAAACCTTGGCAAATCGTAAACGAGCCATGGATGAGACAGAAAAATTGGCTGTAAAAATGGATCCGCTTCATTCAATTTGCAAGGATTCCATCATCTATCCGCACATGGACAGACCCTAACGTCGGCAATGGGATGTGGCTGCCATGCCCGTTTAGTTTATATTTTTACGCATTTATAAAAATAATTAATAAGGAAGCCTCACGCGGGATGTGTACATGTACTGTCGAGCGGCATCACAGAAAAATAAAAAAATGTATTTTTAACGCTTTCTATTTTCTCGCGTTGGCGCCAAGGTTGCCACAGAAATTGGCATTGCCCGCGTTTTTCTTTGCCACAATGGACCACTAAATGCCGATCGCTTTCAGCTTGCAAACAAAAATAGATATGCTGCGTTGGGCCATAGCAGTTCTATACAAACGTGCTTTGAAGTTTGAAAAGCAGGTTTTTGTGTATTTGGTGCCGCTTTGTTAAGCAATTAAAAAGTTGATTATTAATATAGTCGCTTCCCGCGTTCTGAGCCTATGGCGTGAGGAGGAGGTACCTGAGGCGGTTAGCAACGCCTTGTAGTGTGTACATCAGCGCCTGGTCATCGCGGCCGACCCACGCGTATAACTTGACCGCCTGCGCAAGACTGATGAGACCAGCCTTGTAAGATGCCGAATCGGGATCTGTCAGCAGAGCCACGAGCGCTGTCCGGTCATTGAGTGCGACTGATAAGTTGCGCAGCAGTTTGTTCTCCTCGGCAGTTTTTACTTTAGTCGCGCTGAGTTGGTCGTTCAGCCGCATTATATACAGTTTCTTGTCTTCTGTAACGCAACTCCCGCATTGGAAGAATACAAGTGCAACGCAAATAATAGTTAAAAATAATGAGTACTTCATTGTGGAATAAATTGTATATATCGTTAATAAAGATAGAAAACAAATGTGGTTCTCTAAGTGTCTTGCTTGCATGAATACTCACATATACTTATAATATTTTGTATTTGCATGTATTGGCATGTTACTGCTATTATTTTGGCGTGTGTGTCGTGTGGCACCTTTATTTGTTTTAGATGGGCCAAACAGACAGTAACCAAAACATCGACTTGTTTATTATTAAAAGAGCGGGAGTGCATCGGAGCAGATAATTCAGTCGATACTAGCACACTGAAGTACAAGTGCTGTATTTTATTTATTCACTGAACAAGTGAATAAAAAGGTGCTAACAAATAAGAAACATTGTAAGCGCAGGCTCGTGAGGCAATATGGCGCACCAACACGTTTTTATAAGCATAAAAAACAAAGCGTGCTTTGGGTTCGAAAACAATAAAACAGCCCTTTGTATTAATCAAATAATAGTTGGGAGTAAAATCAAATTATGTTTTGAAAGCACAAAGTTTTTACATTGCCATTTTCTTGTCATTTCTTTTAAACTAAGGCAGATTTGACGTGCATTATTTAAAAGAAAATAAAGAAGCAACAGCAACAGCAAAAAGAGCTATTTTTCATTGCGCGTGCTCAAAATTTTTTTGGGCAGCTCCTGCCATATTTCGTTCTATTGATTAACCCATCGTTTTCTGTCTCATATTCAACTATTCAACCATTAAATTTGTTTTACGCATTCTACACTCTCTTTACTATATCCTCACTCCGTCATCAGCCACATTAACACAACATGCATTCAAATGTAAGTATCCAAATAATTGCAATCGATGTAAAGAAACAGCTGTATATCAATATGCTACATTGCAATTTACTTAATTCGCTAATTTTTAACTACGACAATACTCATTTTATGCACTTCCAACGTTTGTATTTTTTAGCAAATCAATACGCCGTGGTTTTATCTGTATAAAATACTGGGCATGAAAAACGACGCCACAAAGGTTGAGCTGATTGAGGCATACAAAAAGCACATTGTCAAACACCATCCTGACAACTACCCAGGAGCCAGCGACATTATAAAAACTATCCAGCATGCATACGAGGTGCTCACAAACGACAAGACACGGTCGATATACGACTTGTTTTGCACACACATTCTTTATGGCCCGCAGGAGGATGGAGCAGAAAAAACACATGCTTTAGCTTACCCAAAGCCCAGCTGGGTGGTACAGAAAAATGATATTGTGTACATTGCAGACATGTCTCTGCGCAACATCTACATGGGCAAAAAGTCAACAGTAAGTACAAAAGACATGACCATCGAAGTGGACATTAAAAAGGGCACGAGGGATGGAGAACGCATCACATACAAGGGAATGGGCTGCCAGCAGCGAACTGGACCACCAGGAGACCTTGTCATTATAATCAACCGAATTGAATACCCACTGTTTCAGCAGCGCAACTGCAACATCCACTGCAGCATTGACATTGACCAGACAGTAGCCAGCAAGGGCGGAGAGTTGTGCATCCGCCACCCATCTGGGAACATCATCTGCTTGGAGCTAAAGCCTGGGGAAATACGGGGTCCAGGCATGCAAAAAATATTTAAAAAAATGGGACATCCACTAGCCGGCAAGAAGGACAAGGGAGACATGCAAGTAAAGTTTAACCTATATTTTCCTTATGCTGATATCTCAATATAAAAATTATAACAAAAAGAAACCGACACCTGCAGGATTCGAACCTGCGCATCCAGAAGATAATGCCTTAGCAGGGCACCGCCTTAACCACTCGGCCAAAGTGTCTGGTAATTTTTGAACCAGTTAATGGTTACTTCTGATAAACAAAATAATTATGGCTACTTGACAAGTTGCAGTTTTTACATTCTTTTTTATAGGAAACGATGGGATTCTTGACGCCTGAGAAGCACCAATTGTTGATGAGACCCCAATCTCAACAAACATCTCAACCACCAAATTTGTGACAAGACAAAGACAATGGCCTGCCGAAGTGGCCGCGGACGACAGCAATGATAATCAAAAATATACACACTAGCTAGCTTTGCCACGGATGCAGCTCTAGCTGGCAAATCAAGTGCTCGGGCTTAGAATTTTTACTACCACCCTGGCGAATACTTCCACTACCAGGCAGTTAGGTCCAGGTCTGGACAGCTCCCAACCACGCTGCCCCTAGAATAATTTTTGTTGTATGGGCATATAGCTAGCTCTGCAATATATCCTGTGGTGAGCAAGGCGGCGCAGTAGACATTCGGTCATAAAACAATTTTTACTCGGTCTTATAAAACAAGTAAAAACAAGAACCAAAGTTGATTAATATCTCGCTCAATTGATTTATTTTTTGTCTTTCTACGTTATTTTTAAAATTTTTTGTGAGTGGTCTGCCTTTTTTGGTCAGCGATAAATACTTTTTAAAAGTTTTCAGTCATTATCGATAATAATGCGCATGCCAGCTCATTAAAGCTGTCTTAAATGGTATTCTAGAACTTTTGGTTTCGCCGCGGGTAAACAGTGTTAATGTTTTACACCAAGCATAATCTGCTTTATTGACGTTTCGGGCTGTCAACTCAATAACTTGACTAGAATTTCCTAATTTACGGCGCATGCCAACGTTGATGTTCATCGCTCTGCAAAAATTGCAAATCCGGCATTCAACGCAAGTTATCAATTTGCGTTTCCTATTGCAGTAATTTTCAATGACAGCCGTTAATTGTCTCGTTCCGTTTCTCTAAACTTCTTTTTTTTTTAGTCCGGGTAAAGTTCATAGTTTATTGTATTTTTACACAACCCGCGGCTTTGTAGTTTACTCATCCCCTAATAATTTGCTTTTAAAATTTGCATTGCACGATGTGCGATTACCCAATAAAGATTTTGTTAAAAACACGCCATGTTTTTAAATCCAGTTTTGTGCTTGGCTATAATTCGGATCTCCACCATTTACCAAAAAATTGAAGCATTGCCAGCTATGAGTAATCTAATGCCTCATTTATCAAAATTTAAGCAATACATTTCACCACTCTTTTTAGAGCGATTCGCTGTTGGTGTTCCAGAATGGGTAATCGTTTGTATCGGCCGTCGATCGAACAGAAATAAAGATTCGGTGAACATCATGTAAACCTCTATTTGCAGCCCCAATACCAATGCCGACCATTATTGGAAAAATAGTTTCACAGATGTCGTAATATCACGGTTCCATGAGACGGAATTAAAAAAGTTTAGCTCATATCTTACGACCATAGACAAGTATATCGATGTTTTCGCTATCCAAGTTGAGTTTGGTTTCACGTGGGGCGGTATACTTGTACTACGTCAATTCCCCCAACCATCGCGGCTTCAGCTGTTTACCGCAAACATCGATTTTATTTCTACCGGCCAGAGAACCCGATGCAGCAATTTTGGTGCAATTATAGACGACAAATATAGGCACTCCGCCGGCTGGCAGTTTTATGTAACAATACATTCGGCTTGTAATTACGGAAATAAAGCCGAATACGACACCGAGTGGCTTATTTTTTGCCTGCATGTTACATTTGTGCGGACGTATAATATAAGTACATTTGGATTACCAATCAGGCTCACATAACATGGTATCTGCCAAACAGGGCGAAGTGCATCGAACCACTCTTTAAAAATCTGCGGGAGGAACGGACACATATGGTTTCCGTGGGATAAGTTTTCAGAGGCTGCTTAAAGGAGCCACCGCAATTTGCCATTTAAATGCCATGCCAACTCATTGCCCATATTGTTGTAAGCCAATGTAATGCCAGGGTTGGTGTTGAATTCACATATGTGCACATACCGGATTTGATGAGTGTCGGATCTTCCCTTTTTTGTTGCTGGGTTTGTTGTCAGTTTGCCCACTGGAGATCCTATTTATTTTGGTCACAATATTGGCATTATTTTGGTTGCCCTTCTCAGTATCTTCTTATGTATCCCCCAGTGTTTGTGCTTTGGCCAAATATATTTTGAGGCTGGATTTTTTTTATTTTCGGTTGCAGCTGGCAAAGGGTGCAACAGGAATCCCCTAGTTCTATGGAAGCTGTTGCAAGAATATGCTGCCGCCCACCCAGTTTTTTTTTCTATTATTATAGAATTTGAAATCTTGCGCCAGCCGAAGAACAGCCTGGGAATCTCTAGAATATGTTTTCAATTAGGCATATAAATACGATAGAATAAAAGAAAGACAATATCTCCCCACCTCCAAAATTCATAAAATGAACCACGACATTTAATTGCTTTTACTCCTCCTTTATTCTTGTCTCTTGCCTCGCCTATTTTACACTTATTTATTTTGCCTCCATATTATCTCTTGCAGCACATATATTTAAATATTACAAGGTAACGTACTGCGCGTCATTACCACATCATCCCCTTGCTGTTTTCTTTCTGCACTTTTTTCACAGATGCCGAGGGCTGCAACGGCGCACTGTTTCCCTGCGTCGCCCTTTGTGACCGTGCTCTGGCATTCCATGCCTCCATCCCCCTTTTATTTTCTTGCTTATCCGTACATATACTGCTGCGATCAGACCGGCTTGGCCTATCTCTGGCCTTGGTTTGACTTGACTTGGGTCAATTACGCAGTGTCAAATGGTTTTGCAGCCAGCAAGCTAATGCCTTATCATTGCATTACTAGGGGGTGCAATGCGGCATCAATCATGCCATTTGTTTTCATTTTTTAACTGGTTTGGCAAGTTATTTGTTGGGACAATCAATGTGCATACAATTGGGCGGGGTATCTGTTTCTTCGTCCCTATTGTCCTTTTCTGGGTTATTTGTCATGCGGCATGCTTGCGCAAGTGGCCTGCTTATTCAACTTACTGTCATGCGCTATTCTTTTTGCACGAGCCGAAACGAATACATTTTATTATCAGCCAACCCACGCCTTCCAGTTGCCGCTCTGCTTATCGCTGCCGTCACCTATACGCTTATACTAATACGCTCATTACTTTTTCTTTTACATTTTAGCACTATAAACATTTGCATAGTTTGCAGCAACTAGTCATAATAACTAATATGCCCCCGAACAACGATCCGGACTCCCAGCGCCGACTCCACAGCCAGAGCCACGGCAATCTGCAGACCCCCAGCTACACGGGTTACAGCCTGATCCAGAATCCGGCCAACAGGATTCAAGAGCCCGCCGCCCCCAGCCTCCACCACTTCAACACTGTAAATAATCACATATTTCGCCATCACCACGAACAGCAGCAGCAGCCTCCGCAGCAGCGCCGCCAATATTCTAACAACAGCAGCATCCCGTCGCCGCTGTCAGGCAACCATAGCAGCGCGTCCTCCCGCCAAACAAATTGGCAAGCCCCGGGAGCGTCGCAGTATTCCACCAATAAACATGCAAGTGTGGCCTCGCACCACGACCTGCAATCGACGCTCATCGCGCGGACATCGAAGATCTTCCATGTCATCATTGTCGGGGGTGCATTTGCTGGAATTCGTGCGGCCCAGGACCTAGAGAGTCTCATACCGCCACACATGATCACAATCACAGTAGTCGAGAGGCGCGATCAGTATTTTTACAACCTTGGCACGCTGCGCTCTATGGTCAAACCGGAACTCATCGACCTTGTGTGGCTGCCGTACGACAACATCTTCCGCTACCCGCACAACCGCGTTATCAAGGGCGAAGTTACAGCCGTATACCCGAACTCTGTGATCCTCAAAAGTGGGCGCAAGATGGACTTTGATGCGCTTCTAGTGTCAACCGGGTCGAACTACCCGCCGCCGTGCAAGTATGATACCACGACGTCGAGCATACAGGGAAAGGCCGAAATGCACGTATACGCGGAAATTGTGCGGGTTGCCGACTCGATCCTCATTATCGGCGGCGGCCCCACAGGCGTTGGTCTGGCAGCCGAGATTGCCACCGAGTTCCCGAACAAGACCGTTATTGTTGTGCACGCAGGCGAGCGGCTTTTGCCTTCGGAGAGCAACAGTGAGTCTATGTCGCGCAAGGCATACAAGAAGCTGAAGGCGCTGGGGGTCAAGGTGTTCCTCAACGAACGCGTGGTTATTCCTGAAGATCAGCCTCTGAAGTACCGCCTCGAGAGCCGCTGGCTGAAGACAAACAAGGGCCGCATGCTGTTTTCAAACTTTCAGTTCCTCTGCAACGGAATCACGTTCAACACATCGCTAATGGACACTCTGGATCCCGTCTTCAAGCACAACATTATCGACGCAAAGTCCGGCCAAATCCAAGTACTGCCGACCATGCAGATTAACAACCCCGAGCTACCATGGATCTTCTCGGCTGGCGATGTGTGCAACACTGCCGGGGAGAAGCAGGCGTACCGCGCCGACAGCCAGGGCAGCCATGTGGCAAAATGCATGGCCAAGATGGCGCAGGCCTGGGGGCACGGCGACCCTAGATGGTACAACGTTCCGCTCAAGCAGTGGCATGACCCGGCGCAGTTTATGGCTGTGGCAATGGGTCCCAACTCGGGCGTTACCGAAACACCGTGGATTGTACTTGGCGACCTACCCACACGCATTATGAAGAGCAGAGAGCTCTTCCTGCAGCGCCGCTACCGCGAGTTTAACCTTGATTTCCCGGGCATCCCTAAACGCGCCAAGACCACCAGTCGCAACCGCGGCGACGAGCAGCGCATTGCCAGCCAGACTGTGCTCACTCGCGAGCAAATGTCGGCTCCCATTGTTTCTCAGATCAAGGGCCCTCGCGTATCTCGCCAGAATATTGAGCAGCAGCGCATCCGCGCGCGCGGCGCAGTCACCACTGATATGGGTGCGACGAGCTACGATTTGTCCAAGGCAATGGCGCGGGCAGCAATCTCGGCTGCCGAGAGCCTCGACGAGCAGTTTGACAGCGACCGCGTCTCTCTCAGCCAACCTTCCAGCCGCAGAACGCCAACTAACAAAGAGTCAATCCCTTACGCTAACTTTTACTCCAGACATCAGCGCTCTACCTCCAGCTCTGAGATCTCGGAGAGATGCCCGTCTGATGAGGAGGATGTGAACAATATAATTTCCAGTCATTCGCGCAACGTCAGCCAGTCTACAGACTCAAAGCCTCAAAGCGCTCAGGGGAGCACCACGGCCAGTGAGGGCGGCGGCAGCGTTTGCCAGCAGAGTGAGATTACGAGGATTTTGCCGGGCTACCAGAATGCTGAATCTGTGTGCTCATCCTCGAGCGCGTCGGTAATCACCTCGGGCACGTCCGAGTCCTCGAACTCGTCCAAGGCGCCGAGCTACACCATGTCGTTGATGAATGGCCCCATTCTCCCAAGACATCACACCAAAGAGCGCAGCATCTTTGGCGGGCGCTCGTTCTTCAAGTCGCACAACACCATTCACGAAGACAGCCATAGCTCTGCCAACGAGAGCACCGACGAGCATGCGGCGCATCCGCTTCCACATATAAACTCTGTGTTTTCCTCGTCGATTTCAAAGCGCTCAGCCTCAAATCTGTCTATCAACCTCGAGCAGCTTAATTAATTAATTTCTGCAACTACTTTTCCATGTCAATTTGCCCAAACATGTATTTATCTTCATCATTAATTTGCGCGGTTTTGTTTGTTTGTATTTGTCTGCTTTTTCGGGATTCACTGGTTGAGCGTTGGCATGAGAGAAAAATCAAAACAAAAATACAAATTTATTTCATTACACTTTGGAATTACGATACGAAGGTACGTTATTTATTTGGGCACGGATGCTTCCAGTATGCTGTGTTGACAAAAACGTGGCAGCGTGTGCTAATCAGAAAAATTACACGAGAAACATCCACCTAAGGGTTCATCTGTCTTTCATTGCAAATCATGCATGCAGGCGTATTTTAAAATAGTCATCAACACCATTTGGATAAACCAAGTGCTTGAACAGCGACTTTTATCTATTCCCAACAAAAATTAGCTATTAGATCATTTAAACCACGGCTCAGATGTGCCACCTTTTTTTGAAGGAGCGCAAAATAAAGTACGATCGGCCGATTGACTAATTTCACGGGCTACTGTTGGCACGCCAATAAGGTGGTATAGATGAGGGAGGGGCCAAACATGACCCAACTAACAAAACATCAGCGGGCCAGCCATTAGCTATCCCCATTTTGGTGGAAGCGACTAAATATGTCCCCGCTTAGACCCTAGCTTATCTCGCTGCTCTGGCTGACGGCACACGGCACAGTGCCCACGGTGCAGCAACTTTTCCGTTCTGCTAAAGGCTAAGAAAACAAATGAAAGCTATACAAAATTAAGACAAATATTTTAAAATGTTACTTCTAGGCATGCGAGCAAGTTTGGCAGTTCCGACTACTGATATTTTACTTTCTGCAGATCATGCAAGCAAACCAAACATACCCCAATTTTCAAGTCGACACGCTCAAGGCTGTACTTAAATGCTGATTCTATACATACTCTGGCGATTTGGGAGATCTACAATGCATCTACACCAAGCTAACATTGAACAAAACCAGCCTCATTTCGTATAACATATTTTTTTGCTGGAAAATTTCTCAGTAATAAAATTGCAATGCTCAAAACTTTCCCTATTGGCTTTCATATTCCCAAGCTATAGCCGCAGCCAACCCTGGTTTTGTCTTGGCGCCGAGCGACAGTGATGCACAAGAAATTGCGCGTGTTTAATTAGGTATTTTGACACCAAAATCCTTCCGAAGGCATGTCGTATGCTGTGCATGGTACTTGCATGCGGGTTTTTTTTCGGCTGCGCTCGGTGGCAACATATTACTGGCATTCGGATTGTCCGAGTGTCAGGTCCAGGTATCGGTGATTTACCAATAGAGCGCAACAAATTGTGGGCGGTTTATAGCGTACAATAGTAATGCGAATATTACATTTACTGTTGCGGAACATCCTCATTTTTACTGTTCTGGGAAGGGACAGTGGAAAAACTTTTTGATCGGCCTCCTTTTGAGTGGATATTAATGTGTGAAAATATATAATTTTGAGCACCAGGGGTAAAACGAAGGTCGATGGAAAGCATTTTTCATTCTATTCTAAAAGTGATGATGCAAGCGCGCTAATTTATTGTATCAGATAACCATAGGCGGTAGTGCAAATGCTTGGCATTCGTCTCACTGTGTCGACTGTTCCTATAAAATTCAACTGATAAGTCATAGTTTTTCTTTATTACATCGCAAACTATTTTACATTCAGCACTAAAAAGTCATCGTATCTCTTTATCTTTTTATACGCTAAATTCTATCAAGATGCAAACTGTCAGCAAGCCCATAAACATCGTTATCGCAGGAGGAAATTATGCCGGCCTGAGCGCCACCAAGAATCTTTATATAAAGCTGCTGGCCACCAACTCCGACTATGACGGCACCAAGCAGGCGCCGCCGAATCCCAATATCAAAATCACGCTGATCGACCGCAGAAACGGGTTCATTCATTACCTGGGTATGACTCGCGGCATATCGCAGCCCGAATATGGCAGCAAGCTGTAGCTGCCGTACAGTGACCTGCCCTGGCTGCAGCATTCGTCAATTGCGGTGAAGAAAAACATTATTTCTCGTATCACGCCAACGCACGTTGGGCTGGCTGACGACGACAAGCATGTTGCGTTTGACTACCTGGTCATTGCCCTGGGCCAAAGCCGATATGCACCAATCGGTGTGGCATCTTCGACCAAGACCGAGTACCTAGAGGCCATGAGCAAGTACTAGACATCCATCAAAAATGCGCAGTCAATTGTGGTTGTTGGGGGTGGCGCTGTGGGAACCGAGTTGGTTGCTGATATCAAGTCCGACTACCCGCAAAAAGACGTCACCCTGATACATTCCCGCGATCTACCGATTCCCGGGCCATTTATGGATGAATTCCGGCACCATGTAGTCGACATTTTGCGCTCCCTTGGCGTCAACACCGTGTTTGGTGAGCGCGTTATTGACGAGGAGTCGGAGATTGAGTCGTTCAGCTCGCAGCCCCACAAATACGCAGGCATTGTTCCTGAGCTAGTTGACTCAATCAAGCGCAATGCCACGATAACAACTTCGTCTGGAAGAGTGTTCCAAGTCGACCTGGTTTTCAACACGCTTGGCGCAAAGACCAAGGTTCCGCTGGTCGATCTGCCATCGTCTACGGACGCCCCAATCTTCTCACCAACTGGAATCCGTGTCACAGGCAGCATGCAAATCAACGATCCAAAGTACCCAAACATCTTTGCCGTCGGTGATGTATGCAACCGTGATTTGGTAAAGCTGGCTGGCGCAGCGGTGTCTACCGGAGGTCGCGCCGGTATTAATATTGCCAAGCTTGTTTCTGCATTGAGCGGAGAGCAGGTAGAACTCGATGTGGGCAGTCGTGGTCGCGGTCGCGGAGAGAAGGGTGGCCAGCGCAGTGCACCACTCTATGGTCATATGAAGCTCATATTGGGCGAGTACAACGCCGTCATTCACAAAGGGGACGGCGTGATCCCCCCAGAGGTCGCCAAGACGATGGTTGCACCCGACATGAAGCTCGGCAAGGTTCTCAAACATATGTTTATCGGTACCTTCCCTGTTAACGGGGAGCAGAGAGATTGGAAAGTTCTCATATTTTAATAGAAAACATAAGAAACTTATTCAAATTCCTTTGGTTATTTTTTAATTTGTCACTCAATTGTCATCTTCGTCGTTTTCATCGTCGTTGTCATCATCATCGCCTTCCTCATCCGACAATGGAATGTCCTCACCGTACTTGCGCAACTTGGCGCGGAACTCCTTGGCCTGCAGATCTTGGTCTGCCAGGTATACCAGCAGGTCCTCTTGCTCCTTCTCCAAGCCGGCCATTCTCTCTTTCAGCTCGTCCATCTGCTCCAACTGCTTGGCCTTTTGCGCAAACTCCTCTGCCTGGGCCGTGAGTTTGGCAATCTGCTCGTCCTTCTCCTGCACCTGTTTCTTCAGGGACTCCACCACGCTGGCCTGCTGCTGCTCCTTCTTCTTCGTAGTATTACGCACTGCCGCCGCGGCCTTGACAACCTGCTTCTCTGCGTTCGTCAGCTTCTTTTGCATCTCATCACGCTGTGCCTGCCAGTCAATGTGTTGCTTCTCGCCGTCCAGCTTCAAGCTGTTAATCTGCTGTTCCAGTTCGGCGATCCTGGAACTCTCAGCACCAGAGTCTGCTGCGCCCTGTTGCTGGCCCTGGGTTTCGGCAAGCTGGTTATGGACTTCGGTCAACTGAGCATGGAGCTGTGAAAGTTCGTCGGCATGAGTATCTCTTTCAGCCTCGGCATTTGCGCGCAATTGTCTCTCCTCTTCAACCTGCGCGCCAGCATGCTGGCCCTCCTCCAAGGCCTTGGCAGCGGCCGCCGGCCGCGCCTCGCGCGTCGCATCCTCCAATGCCTGCCGCAGCTTAGTAAGCTCACTCGCTTGGTCTGCAAGCTTTTTATTGACAGCTTCAAGCTCTCTCTTTGGAACCATATGCTCGGTCGATCCGGAGCCCTGGGACCCAGAGGGTACCACTGCGGGTAACATTGTAGGAGACACTACACTTGAGCTGAAGGTTGTGCCGGTCATATGCGGAGTGCCCGGTGCGCTTCCCGGAGTTGCCGACCCAGCATAGCCGACCATGCCGCCCTGGAGATGCGCATAGCTGGGGTTGGCCATGGCGTCGTGAGGGCCCAAACGTACTGCAGCACGAAAGATCTCGTAGTGCGCCTTGAACAGGTCCGTAAAGACATTGTCGAAATATACCTCCATGGGCACACCACCGTAGACATTTGAGTGGGTGCCTGCGGCCAGGCCAACGGCGTACTGGAACTCCTTCGAGTCGCGTAGGCGCTGGACGCGGATCTGCAGCTGGTCAGTGCCCACGCGCTTGGACAAAATGGGGTAGATAGTATCGCGCGACATTGGAGAATCTGCGTCCAAATCGAATTGGTAAACCAACCCGAAAAGGAAAGCTGCGACACCCTGCACCAGCGTGTTGACACCGGATGAGCCGTTGATTTGCTCAACAAGGAACGACAGGTTTGAGGACTCGTCTAAAAAGGCAGATACGCCCTTGGGAAAGTTGACCAGCCACACGCAAATAAGCGTGAGCAGTGAAATGCTTACGCGCGCATCAGCACCCTGCTGAGTGGCCTGGCGAGCCTGCGACATGAGCTCGTTAATTAGCGGCAGCGGCTCCTCACCCTTGCTTTCATCGCCAAGTGAGATTTTGAGTGCCTGCTCCTTGCATTCGTTGTGGCCACGGAGAATGGTTGATAAAAGAAGTGATGCATACCAAACGCGCCACAGGTCCTCCTTACTGGACTCGCTCCAGTTGAGCAGCACAGAGACAATCATTGATCCAGCGGACTGATGCAGCTCAGACTCGTGAGCGGAGCTGGGCTCGTTGGGCGGCGTGAGCGTGGCTGCCAGCGCAAGCTGCGCATCTGCGTTGTTTCCAACATATGCCTGGACGAGGTACGCGGCGGCTGCCCGCACAATGTAGTACTCATTGGCTGGGACGACGGTTGGCCTCCTGCCAACCGACAACCGGATGACAATGACGATTGCCGGCTCGGGGATGCTCTTCTCACCGGTGGGCTCAGAATCATCGTCAATAGCCGCAGTGATAAGAATGCGCTGGAATAGATTTTGGTTGGCGTGGTGGGACCTGATAATGTCTCCGATTGCGTAGAGTGCCTGCGAACGCACGCTGGACGGTGCCTCGTACGCCAGCGCGAGTTGCAACAGTGGCGGGATAATGCCGCACTGCTGCATCGCTGTCTGGTTGGATTCGGTGTTGGTGTTGCCCGGCTGAATGAGCATACGAATAATGTCGAGCACAACCAGCATGTTGCGTGCGTGCTGGGCGGTCCACTCCAGCTCTTCATCATTGTCGACTGTTGCCTGCCCACCGCGGCCGGCAGCGGCCTGGCTCGGATCTGTGATCAGCAAGTCGGGCAGCTTTTGGATGCCTGATGTCTCGCGGAAAAAGTTCTGGTTCGAAATGTTGTAGTTAAGCAGATTGTGCAGGAGTTGCAGGCAGTCCTGGACAACAATGTTTCCGCGCGCGCCACCCTCATCGTTGACAATGTTCAGCAGATAGTCAAATGCGTTCTCAAATGCCACAATCTTTTGGATGTCGGCATTGCTCTCGGTCATTGCAATCAGCAGCTGAATGCCCTCGATGCGCACAAACTCATGCTGGTCGGAAAGCAAGTCGACCAGCCGACCAACACCCATGGGCGAGATGAGGACGCGCTTCTGCAGCTCCTCACCAGAGTACTTGTGCAACGCGCCCAGAAGCTGGACTGTGTAGTAGCGGACGTAATAGTAAGGGTCACCAAGAAGCTCCAAAAAGGTTGATATCACATCGTCCTTGTCATCCAGAATAACCTGTGAGAACTTGTCCGCCACAGGGTCGCTGGAGCCGTTGCCCACGTCGAGGGCGTCGCCTTTCGGAGAATTCCGGGTGCAAAAATTGGTCAGCATTTCGAGAATAGCCTTAAGCATGTTTTGATCTTCGCTGTCCTCCTTCAGCGCCTTTAACAGCGCGGGAAGCGCAGCGTCTCCAACCTCCTAAAATTTGAGCAGCAATGCATAATGTTTAGCTGATGGCGGCAATGTGGACATTCAAGCATGCTAGAGCTACTGTTGTTCAAGTGCTTACCTCTCTGTAGTCGCGCGTGAGTCCCTTGAGGCCAAGCACAGCTGCCCGCCTGTCTTCCAAAAGCGTCGATGTCTCGACTGTGTCAGCCATGCGCTGGATGGTCTCTGATGGCGATTGTTGCTGTTGGGCCCCGATTGCGCCGTACCGCTTGAAAAAGTCCATTGTTCAGATGAGGTCACTATTGCCAGAAGTGGAAAAATAGAAAAGGTATTATAAAATAGTATGCAATTCAAAGCTATGTAGGTAAAAAAAGGAATTGCACGGTGGTTGCAAATGTGTTCCTTTGTGCAAGTAAATTTGCGATGACAAAACACGCTGCAAAACAAAAAAACGAAGCTGAAGAAAATGATGTGACAGCACCACATTCTTTAAGAGGCACGTGGTAGTGCATAAGCTAGTGAAATTAAAGAATGAGTGGGCAAATGTACTTCAATAAAATCAATTAAAAAACTTCAATAGTTAATTACAATATTGTATTAGCACTTGCAAAGATTAGCATATTCTGTTTACATTAATACTAATCCATTCACACTATAAATTGTCTATTGTATGATGAGTCTGTCATTATTAGCCGGGTATGGCTCATCATCGTCTGAATCAGAGTCTGAGTGCGAGCTCGAAAACAAGTCCAGACAGCAGGGGCAAAAAAATAGCGGCAACAGCGATTCTGCCACAGCAACAGACATATCCCACGTGGAGCAGAAACCCGCAAGCCAAAAGCCGCCTCAAAGAGGTCTTGGTATGATGCTCAGCAGCATTCTGCCGCCGCCCAAATTCAGTTCTGAGAAAAAGACAATTCGAATAATGGTCGACCTCCCACAGTCAAAACTACCAGCAACCAGCACAGAGACAAAAGAGAACGCAAGCTTTGACCAAGAAACTGATACTCCAGCTGACTCTGCCAAGTGGTCATCGGGGAGCTTGTTTTCTGAGCTATCGAGCTTGCTGCCAGCGCCAAAAAATTCGAGCAAGGGCCCCGCATTGTCAAGCCAGGCGGTATCCAACATGCCACTTTCAGCGCATGCAGTCGGTGTCACACCAAAACCCGAATTCACGCAGCAAAAACCACAGGCTCTCATTCCACACTCGCTATCCAATCGCCGCAAAGGCAAAACAACGGCAATTGCAGCACGGTCGTTTAAGGCACCGATAAGCAGCGGCGCGGCGGTTGAGGCTGGACATGAAGGCACCGGCGACACTTCTCGGAAGCAGCCTCAGAACCTGGTAGAGGATGAGTCATTCAGTGGGCCGTTTTTCACTATCGATGCTGACAGCCCGACAGAAGTCAGTAATTTCAAGACAGATAACGATATCAACGAGGGATTGCCTTCCAACAACGCCAACCAGGCCAACCAGGCCGCACACACCGCACCCGAGCTTTACTACGATCCAACTAGCGGGTACTACTACGACTATGACAGCGGGCTATACTATTTTTACGATGCGGCCAGCAAGACCTACATCGATACGAGGAGTATTGCGCCCTCGGATAATCACGAACATGGTGTGCACGGATTGGAGCCTGGAAATAATGGCGATCCATCGATTTCTGATTCCAGTATTGCTGAGCACGATGTAGGGCAGATGATTGGGCGCAAGGGGCTGCGGCGCGGAGAGATGCACGCCATGTTCAATATGCCGGTCAAGCATGTGTCTCAGTCAGCGCAACTCCAGGATTCTGGGTACTCGGATACCAGGGCGGCAGCCGAGTTTTCTGTTAAGCGCTCTGCTGAGCAAAAGCGGCGGCAGACACAGACTGTCATTGACAGCAGCGAGGTGGACAAGAAGAAGAAGCAGAAGCACAATATCATGTTCCTGGCGCTCCAGGCGCAGGAGCAGGAGTCCAAGCTTAAAGAGGCCCATGCTAGCCGGCAGAGATCCAAGAAGGCGGCACGAGCCAAGTACGGTGAGTTCAATAGCTGTATTGTTATTGCTGTCGGAATCAAATGCCATTGGCGGCATTTTCCGACGAAATTTCTTGCATTTCGTGTTTACTCGCAAAAAGAGCTCGCGTGTATAGTGTTGTATGCTTGCCATTCTTTTAATCGCAAACCGTATCAGCACACACTCATTTACGCATTCACATTTACTTATTCATCGCACAAAACATTTGACCGCGCATGATTTGTGACGAATATGTTTTTTTGATGCATCCTGTAGGGTATTGAGCGAGATAACGACAGAGAGAGGGGGATCCCGGAAGTTTTTTATTTGCAGAATGCAAGTCGAAAATCTTAAGGCCTTATGTCATTATAATTGTCGCTAATAAATTGGGTGAATAGGCCAAATAGAGAAAGCAAGTGTATAACGCAAAGTCGCGCTGTTGGATTCCGGTGCAATGAAGTTGAAAATGAAAGTGAAATGGTATACTATATGTTGCATGTTGATCGTGCATCTTTTTGCGTTTCCGTGAATGCGCCCAGTTTATTCAAAAGCAAGCCAGTAAGTAGACGGCATCGATACAGATGGTATTTGATACATAATTCGACCATCCTGGTTCCCCTGCTCACTTTATCGATATTACAGGAAAAGGAACTATCAGCACGCGGTCACCAGAAAATCGTACCTTCCAGAAAAGAATAATGCAATGCAAGGCGCGTGAGCTTCAAATGAGAATATGCGATGCGCGTTTCCTCCGAAATGGAAGCTTCTTTGGTCACGTAGATCGTGCCTAAGGGATTTGATATCTATTTTACCTGCATGCTGATCTTATCAGCGCCCCCATCGCAGCCAATGACTTTTGCACTCAATTTGCGCTGATTTAATCACAGGCGTATAGTTGATGAGATCGATAACGCCCTGTCCAACGGTTTCCGAAAGAAAACACTTTTCTTGTTTCGTATCAGCAGCCATCATCAGTACATTGATAACTTTTCTGTGATTGGCTAATTTTGGAAAGTAGCCACACAATGGGGAAACAGAGCAGTCCCGCAAATGGTGCTTTTCTTTTATTGCCCTCTTGCCAGTTATCATGGACGCATCCACAATAATTTTCCTCCGCTTTTGCCTGTTGCACCCGAGTGCTATTTGTAGCTGCCTTTTCCCCCCGAGGGTATGTTCTTGTGCGGAGACAGCGAGCGACCACGCAAGCGAGCGAATAAGGCAACAAGAACCCCCGATAAAATTGTGCGTAATATAGTTGGTCATTCCGGGGGTAGGGGGGGGTGTCCTGAGCGAATAATGCGTCGCATGGGGCAGCCATTGCAAATATTGGGTGGGGGCGAAGCACAAAGCTCCAAAACGCGCGGCACATATAAAAGGGACTCGCTCGCCTGGCATTTTTCAAACAAACGAAGAACGTGTAAAAGTTAACCGATTGTTGTTTAGTTGAATCCGCGCTATCGCCGTTTTCTAAATTCTATATTATTCATTTTCCTATATTTTTGTGTACGCGTAATATTGCTTGCCGCAAGACATTATTGTGTTGTAATTTTATATTCTATCTCTGCTATAATTCCTCGCTAGTGCGCTTCTTATATTTATATTTATATTCTTATCTTCACTGCTCATATCGCCATATATCCTGTACCAATATTTTGCTTTAAATAACATTAAAATGTCTGACCTTGTTCCAAGATTGGACAATGACACGTCGCACATCGACAGCGGCGACACCGCCTGGATCCTTGTGTCAGCCGTTTTGGTTTTCATCATGTCACCTGGAATCGGATACTTTTACAGCGGCATGGCCCGCAGCAAGAATGCAGTCAGCTTGGTTTTCCTGTGCATGGTGGCCATGGCCGTCGTCAGCGTCCAGTGGATGATCTGGGGTTACTCGCTGGCGCTGTCAGACACCTCCAACAGCCCCTTTATCGGCAACCTCTCCTACGGTCTTCTGCTCAACGTCGGCGACAAGCCGCACGCGAACGCGCCGACTATCCCTGGAAACGTTTACGCTATCTTCCAGTGCATGTTTGCTGCCCTCACGCCGGCCCTGGCTTTGGGTGGCGCCGCCGAGCGCATCCGCATTTTCCCGGCCATCCTGTTCTGCTTTGTCTGGACAACCATTGTGTACGACCCCATTGCTTACTGGTCTTGGGCACCCAAGGGGTGGATGAACGTCATGGGAGCACTGGACTATGCTGGAGGAACACCTGTGCACATTGCCTCTGGGTTCGGCGCTCTGGCCTTTTCGCTTGTTCTCGGCAAACGCCAGGGCTTTGGTCACGAAAAGTTTGAGCCCCATAACTACCTCAACATTATCCTCGGCACCTCGCTGCTGTGGTTCGGCTGGTTTGGCTTCAACGGCGGCTCTGCTGTAGCATCTAACGGCCGTGCTGGCATGGCCTCTGCTGTCACTCACATTGCCGCATGCATGGGTGGCCTGTCCTGGTCCTTTATCGCCTACTTCCGCAACGGAAAGAAGTTTTCGAGCTTTCACTTCTGCTCGGGCGCCATTGCTGGTCTCGTGACCATAACTCCGGCTTCAGGGTTTGTCGCTCCCTGGGCTGCCCTGGTCTTTGGCGCTGTCGGCGGCATTGTTTGCCACTTTGCTGTGGACTTTAAGGAGAAATTTGGCTTTGATGACGCTCTCGATGTTTTTGCTGTCCACGGTGTCGGCGGTCTTGTTGGAAACTTGCTGACCGGTATTTTCGCCAGTAAGACTATTGCCGCTCTGAACGGTTCCACTATTAACGGCGGTTGGATTGACCACCACTGGAAGCAGCTCGGTTTCCAGTTGGCCTCCAGCTGCGCCGGTGCCGGATGGGCCTTTGTCGTATCTATCATAATCCTGCTTATCTTCAACAAGATTCCCGGCCTGCACCTGCGCATCCATGAGGACGGCGAGATCTCAGGCACTGATTTCACCGAGATGGGCGAGCACGGCTATACTTTTGCCAACATTGGAGCCAACCGCGTTGGTAAAGACGACGTGTCCCTCGCAGGCTTGGAGCAGGGTAATACCCGCGAAACTCCCCTTTCGTACCCCGAACTGTCCAGCTCCGGAAAGACATCCGTTGCCGGCGCCGAATCCTGCGAAAAGGATATTGCTACAAGGGTTTGAGTTTTTTAGCTTGCATCATGCACTTGTACTCTGTCGATATTACATTATCTATTTTCTGTTAATTACTATTTGTTTAATTTATCTGTCCAAATACCCGCCACCCCCAATTTTCATTTCTGTGTATCAAAAGGCGCCAGTACCAAGCTTTTCAACAATTGGCTGGCTGGCCAGCTTTCCAAAATATTGCCATTTTCAAAGTTGTAGTGAAGGATAGACAATTCGTACTAACCCTTGGTATTGATAATGGGCGTGTCGTTGACTGCAGTCATGCCAAGTTCAAAAATGACATGGCAGTGGAAAACAGTCCATTTTATTAAGTCGAAAATCAGATATCTAAATGAAAATCGTACTTTTGATAGCTCTTTTAACCGAAGCATTCAAAGCCATTCCATGTCCGAACACCGAGTTTTTTAAATTGACAAGCAGACATTCAGGGGGTGGGTTGCAAGGCTTTTGCGCACCCACATTTATATCAGCCTGAAATTCACGCTCTAATGTACAGACGGCTTGCCGAGGAAAACGAAAAGGTAGACAGAAAACAACTAGCCCCCATTCACTAGCAAATAAGCGTTCAAGCTCGACTGTCCAACTCATTAAACTATAATTATTATATAAAATAACTGGCATTCAAATAATATAAAAAGGGCCAGTGTTCCATTTCGTTTTATAAGTTCAAACCATCATTTCACTTTATTTCATCTCACTCTACTCAACCGACTTTCTGTAAACATTTACATCCCTTTTTAATTTGCTAGGCTTATTCCACATATACATATATTTTTATACACCAGGTTGAAAATAGAGGTAACATTATCAACAATAAAATTATTTGAATTATTTAAAATGAAGAGTAATTTACTTGCAAAACAAACAGTACCGTTGGAAAGATGTTGGATTATTTAAAAGGAAAAGGTTTGTGGTGCCCAACACACATTCCAAGCCACTACCTTTCCTTTTCAAGAACTAAGATCGTCCTCATGGCCGCTATACACATTTATGTTATTGCTGGCTGACATCAAGGAACACCATTATGTTTACAGCACTGCCCACACAGCGCTGCCCCCTTTTTCAGTCCCTTAAGTAAATTTTGATACTTGAATATATTAATTTAGACCCACATTTTTATAGTATAAGGTTACGTATTTAAAACATGCAGTGCTACAAGGCAAAATTGTAATTTATATAATGCGAAATGTTGCAGTATTTGTGAAAATAAAGATATAAAGGACAAATGTAAAGTTTTGATGGCTCAAGCATGTCTAGTGTCTAGCAATTTATATAAAACAATACAGTAGTATAAAAATATTCGCTTTTTGGTAGTTTTTGCACAGCATACATATAAAATTTAAAGTTGACAATGTGCAAAATGACAAGAGCTTCAGGAATAACAAGACCGGTAATAAGAAAAGAAATACAATGGATAGCATAGGTAGCACATTTAGCAATGTAAGTGTGAATATCATGGGAGGTGTGGGTAGTATGGATGGCACAGATAGCAATAAAAATATCTATGATTGTATTTTTGTTTATAAAGCGCTATAGAGATAGAATTTATTAAGTTTATATGCCTTTAAGGCCTTAGTTTATTTAATTCTTATAAACAATATAATATTTAATTTATTGCAAATTATGCAACTTTGCTACTAAAATTTTTTCAGAAAAGAAATATGTTATACGAAATGAGGCTGGTTTTGTTCAATGTTAGCTTGGTGTAGATGCATTGTAGATCTCCCAAATCGCCAGAGTATGTATAGAATCAGCATTTAAGTACAGCCTTGAGCGTGTCGACTTGAAAATTGGGGTATGTTTGGTTTGCTTGCATGATCTGCAGAAAGTAAAATATCAGTAGTCGGAACTGCCAAACTTGCTCGCATGCCTAGAAGTAACATTTTAAAATATTTGTCTTAATTTTGTATAGCTTTCATTTGTTTTCTTAGCCTTTAGCAGAACGGAAAAGTTGCTGCACCGTGGGCACTGTGCCGTGTGCCGTCAGCCAGAGCAGCGAGATAAGCTAGGGTCTAAGCGGGGACATATTTAGTCGCTTCCACCAAAATGGGGATAGCTAATGGCTGGCCCGCTGATGTTTTGTTAGTTGGGTCATGTTTGGCCCCTCCCTCATCTATACCACCTTATTGGCGTGCCAACAGTAGCCCGTGAAATTAGTCAATCGGCCGATCGTACTTTATTTTGCGCTCCTTCAAAAAAAGGTGGCACATCTGAGCCGTGGTTTAAATGATCTAATAGCTAATTTTTGTTGGGAATAGATAAAAGTCGCTGTTCAAGCACTTGGTTTATCCAAATGGTGTTGATGACTATTTTAAAATACGCCTGCATGCATGATTTGCAATGCAAGACGAATGCTTCTGTTGCTCAGTCATACAACAAAAACCACAAAGTTCAGTTGTATTTATTTTAAACCTTACAACTACTAGATTCAGCTTTTATAAAAATAAACAATAATTTATCTGGTCTGTGGTGTTGATTTACTTAAAGTCTCGTCAAATGCAAGAAATATTTACTGTGACTGACAAACAAGCGCTTATACAGTTTTTTAAGCAATTGGAATAAACAAATTCAAAAAGAAAATAACAACAATTTTTTGAATTGGCCCAAATAAAGGCAAAAATTATTTATAGAGTTTTATATTAAAATAAAATTTGACAATTGCGCACTCATGCATATATTTGCAGCTTTACTTCTTTACTTTACGTTTTTGACCAGCATTGTATAATGCATTTGTACAAGATTGGCTTGCCAGATTTTAAAATAATGAGCCAAAAATAAAATAAACCTGTTTTTTGTCTAATAAAAATTACAAAACTTGGCAGAGGAATTCATTTATATTTTTATTGTTAAAAAACCTAGTCGTCTCCCAATTGCAAACAAGGAAATTGTTCTTGTTTTTTTTGCTTTTTTCTTGTCTCCTGTTTTACACTAACTAATTGCTTATTTATCCACTATAACTTATTTATTTATTTTGCAGCAGGTCGCTATTATTGAATTATCCGCAATGGGCAACCCAATAGTATCATTAATAAACAAAATCAGTGGAGCTGAATTAAATAGTTACAGGTTAAATATAGACCATGGAATAACAGTTGATCATATATTGAAATATCTAAATAACAAAGGTATTTTTAACCCAAATGTAATGAGGTCGAATCCTTGATTGAATATTGTGTATATGATAAATGTGAATTTTGGAATACCTCTTACAAAAATGGTAAATGCAAGGTTCTTAAAATTAATAATGCAAAATAAGGACCATATTTAGGATTATTTTGTATAAAAGATGTACAAAAATTAAGCATCCAAGAATTTATCAATAAAGAAGGTAGTTTATTAGTATTGGTGCTAAAATATTAAGCAAAGAGCTATAATTTTATTCAAGATTTAATTACTTTGAAAACCAATATTTTTATTATCCCAAAATAATTTTAAGAGGGAACAATTTATCTAAACAAAACTTTTATTTATTCACATAATTTAACGTAATTAATTCTGTTTTTTAGTAAATTGGCAACAATATTAAAATGACTTTTTATTATCTCCACACTGAGTGTAACTTGAGCGCGTACAGTAAATTTGCGACAGCGTAAAATGTGTCTGTATTGTTTAATTTATTGCGTCATAATCAATACGAATAGGGCATATTTCACTCTAAGCACGGAATAGGCTAATACGTGGCAGCCACAGGTTAATAACTCTAGCAAAGGTTCTTGAATTTTGTCCGTGACTCATCTTAAATACTTTAACCATGCGTTGATCCACTTCTAATTATTTAACGCACAAAGCGGGGTACATAAAAAAAGAAGCGTGGCTGAGCTTGCGGACAATAGTTATGCACAAAAGCCTTTAAAACAAGCTTTATAGGATGTTATAAGGAAAAGAAAAAGAAAAAATATAAAGTAGCTTATTATAATACCAGCCTTTTATTTGTTCCTTAGGGCTAGTCAACTTAAAAGCATGCCAAGTGCAAGCGACGCGGGTTGCGGATTGCGGATTTCCGACTGTCATTTCAACACCACTTGACGACTTTGAGCCTATTTGTTTTATAAAACAAATAGGCTTGAATTCATTCAACAAAAAATAATTAGCCGCGCAGACCATGGTGCAACAACTAGAAACATTACAGGTAAAGACGTCAAATATGAAAAGCTCGGTATCCACGCTTGGAACAGATTTGCAATAAATTAATAATTGGCACTTTAGCCTTGCTGAAGCCTTCAAGTCAACCCCATAGCCGGGGCGCCAAAAAAGTCGCTCCGAGGCTTTATTTTGGTTTTTAAAATTTTAAATTTATCCGCAAAATGACAGGCTTGTGCTCGCACGTTTAAAAACAAACATACACGTTATGACAATCGTTAAGTCATGCCTTTAATGGCAGTCAACTGAAAATTAGAAATAAAAGCAAAAGGTATGTAGCGAATACTCTTTATTAATATATCTATCAAACTAGCTCGGTACATGGCGCCGTCTATTGTATTTAGTGAATACATTTTTTTACCAAATTATATAAATAGGCATCCGCTCCTCGCATTCATTCTTATTTTTGCATCCATAATTGCAACCTTTTTACATTTAAACAACTATTCTAAACTTTTTTGCTTTAACCAGGCCTTAAGCTCCATTTTATTACAAGTAGTTGTTGCCACTTTTATTTGCTCAGACCATGTCCAAAATATTCGAAACAGAAAATGATTTGTTTGGGTATGCTTTAAAAGAAACTATTATTGTTTGGCGCGGCTCGCCAACTATCAATGATTTGAAAGCATTTTTACGAAAAACAGAAGGATACAAAAGAAGATATTAAGATTTATACCATAGGGTATGACAGAGTAAAGAAGTGCCAACATTATTTGGAATATAAACCTAAATATTCTAAAAATGTTCTAAGGAAACTTGAAAAGATAAATATGGAAAAATAAAAATTGACTCAGTGGAGATGACTCATAATGTGACATGCCCTCCACAGATAGAATGCGGTGCCAATAATATAACTAAACACGTGTATGCTCTCGTGTGTATCGATAAATTGGCTCATTGCCAAGACGCACTCAAAAATAAAATGACACAGAAAAACTTTGGAGACTACACATTTTCGGAGAAATGATTTCAAAGATTCTTAATACGATCCGAGGCAGTCCCCAGCGCTAAATAATACAATAGGCACCATCACATGCCATGAGACCTGTTATTGTATTAGTGTTTTGGTTTCAGTTAGTTATTTTGTATTAGTCTATGTAAACTGTCGACTATTATTCTTAAAAAGGTATATATAAATAATAAAGTGAAGCCCTTATAGCAGCTTAAGCTTGATAGCACCAGATTTGTTAGACATGGGAACTGGCGCAGCAATTGTAACAGACTCGGCCCTAGGATCCGCTGCAACAACAGCCCCCGTGCCACCCGCATTACTAGAACCGCCATCACTTGCACTCTCGGATTTATCATTTCGATTCACGGGCGTCTCCACGACAACCCCGCTGGTGGATGGCACATGCGCATTGGCCACCTTGGCCTTCTTCGCCAGCTTGCTATCGTTTGCATTATCAATCGAGCGCTTCTCTTTGTTTTTCGATTTCTTTTTGTTAGGATCATGCAGGCGCGCGCGTGGCTGGCCCTCAAAGACCTCGTCGGGGAGCTGGGCCTGACGCAGGAATCGAACAGATATGGACATGAGGTCATCAACCCAAACTTCGTTGCCCTTGACCAGCTTGATGAACTCCTGTGTGTGCCAGGACAGGTCCATGCGCCGCGCGCCGCTAGTGAACTGGTCCTTCTCCTTCAGGAGCAACCCCAGGTAAAAGCTTGACGTAAATATCTTCTTTTCGTCCTGGGGCTTACCTTCATTGTCGGCAGCATCCGCAGGAGGACCGGATCCACCATTGTCGCCGCAATCGTCTGCGCTTGTTTTCTGCTCGTCGGCTGCTGGTGTCCCAGGTGCCACCGGTGTTGATGACTGGTTGGGGATATTGCCGTCACGGATTCTTTGCAGCTCCTGGTCGGAGGCGCAAACAAATTCATGGTCATATCCCTTAGTGAAAGGGTGCACCAGCTCAATCAGATTCACCTCCTCAAGCCTAACCAAGTATTGGCGCACGCGGGACTCAATGAAGCCGCGCAAGCGGTGGTGCGCTTCTTCTTTGGTCGATGTGACATTCAGCTGCAAGTAGAACTTGTATTGGCGGAAGAAATCATGCTTTGCAAACAGGGCGGTCCACTCGGCCTGTCCCTTCATGATGCGCTGGGAGATCTCGTAGCCGCGCTTAAACTCGGACCCGATGATCCGCTTCGTCGACGTAGACACATTGTGAGTAGCGCACATGGATGGGTACGCCGGCGTGATGATGGGCATCTTGTGCAGCTTCTCCGCTGGGTAAAGCTTGGGGTTCCACACGCGCAGGTGCATGTTGGCGTTCTCAACGTGCTTAAGAAATATGGGCAAGGGCCATCTCCAAGCAAGGAACACATAGAAAAAGCGCGACACAATGGTTGCCGCACAGGCGTTGGGGTACAACTGGCAGATGCGCGCAACAAGCATGGCCCAGGCGACACCACCCAGGAAGCCCATAGAGTTGGAGTAGATTGCCCGACGCTTCGCCCATAGCTTGATGCAGCGCAGCGCCAGTCGGAAGCTGACAACATCGGGCACTAGCCTCAGGATCTCGTCGGTCACCCTGGAGCCGTTGACACTTCGAATGGCCTTCTCGTCGAGGCCGCGCAGAACGTTGATGTTCAGCAGGTCCTGATCCTCAGGAATTGTCGGTTGCTGCAGCGAGGCAAAAGTCAAATCAATGTCTACACCGCCAAACTGCATTTTGATGACCGGAACGTGTGTTTCCGGCACCGGGGTCATCTCGGTAACCTCACTGCGGCTATTCAGCAGATCCACCATTATGTGAAAGAAATCATCGCGTGTCACATGCGATGGCGCTACGCACAAAATATCAATATCGGCTCCAGCGCCGTGCACGCCCAGTCGAAAAGATCCGAACGCAAAAATTTTGCCGCCGCACGAGCGCGCGATATTCTCAGAGAGCTTATGCTTGAGTGATGCCAGGTATACAAATTCCTTCACAAGGTTGTTTATTTTTCCCAGGACGACTTCGCGGTTCTTGCTCTCTGCATCACTGTCAAACTGGCCCTCGCGCTTGAGGGTTTCTAAGAGCTCAACTGTTAACGCTTCTTCCTCCTTGCTCGACTTGTTTACACTGATTGGAGGCGTCACACCCAGGTGTTTTGATTCGCTCATGTGTTTAAATTGTCCAGCTTCCTGATTTGTTTGCGAATGAAAGAAAAATATATGGTAATACGGCACGTACAGGATAATTTATATAAGGTAAATAGTTATAAAAAGAGGAATAAATCGAAATGTAAAAAAAGAGTAAAACGAAACGAAAATAAAAGCCAAAGGTCGATTTTGTTTTTACTCTATTTTTTGTGTGGTATTCGATTTGGTTTGTAAGAATGATGGCGGCTCAACTCAGCTCATCACACCTAATAATACTGAGCCGAGTCATACGCCGTTCATGCTTGATGCAAGATGGCGCTTTTCGCTGCCACACCTAATGTGTGAAAACCATTCTTCAATATGAACAAAGCCAACGTTCATCAATATGTACCGCCCAAAAAACAACTTGTTTTCTGCTTATGTAAAAATTGCTTTGTTTTTTGTTTTTTTGAACGCGTAGTTTTTTTTGATCGGCGTGTAACAAGCTTATAATTTGAAGTTTTGGTTAAGTGATTATAATGTTTTTTTGACACATTCCCTTGCTTGTGCTTCACTCGCGCGTTGAAAAAAACAAGCAGAGCTGAGTAAGAACATCTCAGGATTAGTACAATTATATGCAAGGAGTATATCCCGTGCCATGCGGTTTTGCATGATGTATGTTTCAACGCCAAAATGTCTCCCCCACATCCCCCCTTTCCTCCTCCACCTCTTTATTTTACCATTGCGTATTGTCTTTACAAACATGTGAAAGCAAATGTTTAATAGGTTTGTATGGTGCAAAACATTGATGAAAGTTGACTTGTCTGATCCCCACGCCTTGTTTTTTCTTTTCATTTTTAACAATGATTATTGGAATGCATGGCTTGACGGGAAAATGGTCAAAGTTGAATAGACATATATTTAAGTTGTGTGCGCTGTGTTTTGTACTGTCACATGCAGTGAGCACCTGAAACCAATTTGCATTTACTCTTTTTTTTTGTAAAATTTATTTTGCTTTACTTTATTTTTCTGCACTGTTCAGGTGTCTTTTTCACCTTGCTGTTTTTTTCTTCAAAATTTTTACTATTAGTTGAATGCATATATCAGTAGAGGGCACAAGACACGCAATATCACGCTTGCATTATCACTCCTACCATTTGCGCATCCCAGCATCATTTATATACACCGACTACTCGGTTGTATATTGATTTTTATTTTTGAATTGGTATTATAAACTTTTAATATCTTTCATCTCTTGTCTGGCTAACTGTTTGATTGTTACTTTTTTAATTCCTTATATTTTCTTGTATTTCTAACCCCATACAATTTACCCTTTATATTTCACGCACGCACATACCGTCCTACACATATCTTGGCGAGTACAACCTTAACCATTTTTAAGGAGCCACCGCGACAACAAACAAACAAACTATTGTTTATAAAATCAGGGGAGTCGGGGATATACGAAAACACAATGGTTGAATTTCAAACTTTTGGTTCCACAAGTAGTAAGTCAAATTATTCATATCTATTGTTGCAGCCAGAAACAATCCAAAAAGTGAATTTAAAACCCACACATATATAGGCAATATTAATAAAAAATTATTACTAACCAATTGTAATATATTGTTCCTTCCCCATCCATTACCGTTTATCCGTTTATTTATTTTTCTGATTATCAATTAGAATACTGTTTTATTTGTGCAGGTAAGCTAAATAGTAGTAACGCTCGTTACAATGGGCTTGTTTGTTCGTCTGCCAATTATAAGGATAATAATATAAATTGTAATACGGCAGTATTATTGATGACATCATGACTAATTATCTTCTAAAAAATAAGTATACTGATAATGCTGCCATTTTTTACGTGTGTAGCACCGTGCTATGTGCCAAGGACAACCGACAGACTATCAGAATTGACATGTAAGTCAAGTTAGATCTAAGCTGTTTAAAAATGTCTATACTTTTTCATGCTAGACATTACTAAAACGCTTATGACTATGGCTATTCATTTTAGGTCGTGACCGCCGCCATTTGACCAACGCGAGAATACTCGGATGGAAAGGTATATCGCACCCAGGACTGACATGGCACTACGACCATGAGCTCAACGCCATGACATGCCTAGGCTACTCCTGCCCTATTTACACAGAATTTAACCCGACCGCCCACAACCAAAACAGCTGTCTCTCCGTCCACCGCTCCTGCTACACGCTTCTAGCGGAACAGCTGGAGCGCATAGAGGGCTCCCTGGGCAGCTGTAATCTCCTCCAACGCCTCTTGCCGCATATAGATTCCCGCGGAATACTGTCTATGGATAAGTGTCGCAAGATAAAAAAACAGAGATCGCGAATGAATTTTCACTTGTCACGCACCAACACGGCCACCACGGCCACTACAGCCACCATCACAAATACTACTATGGCTTGGTCAATGTGCGATCCAACGGACTTGCCCAATATTGATATTTTGAGTCCAAGATCTGAGGCCATGGGACTGTCACCTGTCCGGTTTGCTGATACTGAGAGCAAAATGTACATGGCAGAAAAACACACTATCTCCCAACAGCTATTGACCCCGCCCATGTCCCCGATGAATACCTCCATGGAACAATTTGACATTGCACCAATCTTCACTCTATTAACATTGCCGGTCCCTATATTGCTCGGTATATTCTCATACTTGCAGTTTCATGAGATTCTGGCATTGTCACAGAGCTGTTCGGTGCTCAGGAGATATTTTTCAGCAGAGTCTCAGGTCTGGTCGCAGATGTGCCAGTCGACGCTAAAGTTTACGCCAAAGTTGTTACATAACAGGCAGTTGGCTGAGTATTATTTGAGAGTGCGCGGGAATGAAAGAATGGAAACAAAGGTTTTGGTGCAAAGGAAACATGTTGAAAAGGTTATTCAACAATTCATGCACTCCAAGCTAGTCAAATAACATGATCAAACACTTTTTATATATATAATTATTTGCTAATATCATTTTTATATGTTTGAAAATGGTGTTTAAAATCGCTTTTAATGGCGTGTTTTGACTGGCATTTATATCCTCGCATTCATGCCATTTATTAAAAATGGAGAAAAGAAAGAAATAGCGCATATTGTTTTTTATCCGCAGCAGCCGCCACCGCCAATAGAGCAAGCCCTGCTGGGACCTGTAACCCGTGAACGCAAGTCATCCATAGTCACCACCCTGCTTCCAAAACCACCAGAGGAAGCGGTACTCGCCGGCAATCTTGGGCGCAACCCAGAGGAGCGCCCATGATTACCGTCATCCTCCAATTTCTTCTCTGTCTTGTCCGATTGGTTGTCCTGCTGCGTTGCCTGCTGTGCCCTTTTAACATACAATTCCCGCCGCTTCTGCTCCTCTGTCACTTGCTTCTTGGCCCTCTGGCGCTGTCTCCAGGCACCTCCTGCGGTGGTGGCCGCATAGTATAAGAGGACGCTGGTCACGAGTAGCGGGAAGGCGTAGGTTGAGGCTTGGGCGACATAGGGCTGCAGCGCGCCGAGCGGGTCCATTTCAAACAAAATAAACAATATAATACAGGTCAGGTGTTGGTGATTGTGGTTATCAGAGAACAAGCGATGAATTCAAGAAAGCGAGGGGGGGGGCTGAATTCGAGATGAATTTTGAAAATTGGGATGGCAAAGGATAAAAATAAAAGTGCAGAAAAAGGTGAGTGGAAGTAAAAAAATGCAATGAAATAAAATATCAGGCAGTTGTAGTTGTGATGTAAAGCTTTCCACAAAAGTCATCGCTCTCATTTATTTTTATGCATGGGGTTTTCGAAAGTAAACCTTTTTAATTGGCTGCCTGGGGATTAATATCAGCGAAGAGCTTGAGCTTGAATGGATAATTGTGTTCAGGCTGTGTTGCAGAAATAGCTGTCGCTAGAGTATAAGTTTTTGATTCTGCACTCATCTCTTCTTTTGTTGGATAGGATCTCGGCTGGACTCAGAAGGCGTCGCTGCAGCGTAGTACGCGCCAGCATTCTCCAATTCGCTGATGTACTGCTTGGCCATGACACCTCTCGGCTTTTCCTCGTTGCTGTTGCAGTCAATTGGCATATAACATCATCGATCGGCATTCCAGGTCTGCAGGCATGTCTCGTTGGTGCACCACAGCAGGCTGTGGCAAGGGATCTTTTCTCGATGATTTTGTTGACGAGCTCGGTTGGCCCACATCCCGAGACTGGAAGTTGCTGTCCCCACTGCTGGTCTGTCCAGCATGTCGTGTTTCTCCTGCTGCCGGATCTTACGCTGTGTATCTCTTGCCCTTTGACCATCATCCACACTTGGTGCCATAAGTTCCAATGATTGTTGGCTGACAGGTAACCAACAGGCTGTGGCGCATCAGTTGCGGTGCCGCCATCTGTGCTCTTGGGATTGGCCTTGTAATTGGCCTTGCCGATTTTTGCGCGAATTGAGCAACCCGGTGATGTTTCTACATCTCGAAATGGCATGCCATGCAAAACTTGTATGTCAAGGGCTTGTCGATTAGGAACACTTTGAAGCCGTGTCACACAGCATCAGCTCGCGCCTGCCGGGGGTCAATAAACACAGCATGGCCAATCCAGCTGAGGATGTCGTCACACATCAGATCGTTGATGTAAGGGAGCCGACTGTCCCGCTTCTTCCGCTTCCGCTTTCGTTTTTTTGACCCCTTTCTCGATGTCAGCAGCTGTCCTGGCGTCAGCAGCCTTCCAGGTCTGCTTCTTGCGTTATTTTAAGGGCGCTGCTTGCTTTGACAGCAGGGTGAGCAGTGGGTTGAGCGGCGGCCCAGCATTTTTATAGAAATTTTAGTACTTTATTTTTTGCAAATAAATTGAAATACTAAAAAAACCACATTTTCTCTTTGCAAAATAAATGAATCAATGACAGCGTGCGCTTACATTTTTCAATTGTGGAAAAATAATAATAATAATAATAATAATAATACTAATAATGGTTTTTAAACCAACACCCCCTTTATTAAATGGGTGCATCAAAATGCAAGGGAACAGGAGAGAGAAAACAAATAGAAAAAACAAAAGGACCCAATAAATTATTTTTTAATCGTGAGAGCCACGAGTAACGTCAGCAAAAGTGGGTTTCCTGCCCTGCGGCGACGGCAGTGGTAGACCAAATGAAGCGGCATTTTGGTGACGCAACAGTGCATCAGTATCAACCATTTGTCCGGATAAACAGCGACGCGCCACTGCACGAGCAGCCAGCCCACTGACCGTATGCAGCCTTGCCACGCGCTCCTCAGGAGTAACCAAGCGCGCAGCACTCGGTCTCTGCCCACCGCCACCACCGTTGCTCCCTGTTCTCAGCCCCAGAGTAGAGCTGCGGTTAGTTTGCCCACGTATATGGCCCAAGCCTAGAGATATGGCTGCCGGTTTACTGTCCTGCAGCGCACCGGTCGGTGGCGGTGGCCAGAACACCAGGGCTGGGGGCGGACTGACCGGAGAGCCCATGAGTAGCTTGCCGTGTCCCGCCACCAGAACCTGCTGCTTGGGCGACACCGATTGCTGCGGCGAGTCGATGCGCCACTCGGGATCGCCTATCTGGATGGATGCTGAAATTGAACGCGACTCGGATAATCCGCTAGAGACTTTCTGCGCCAGCGATGGCGTGCCCAAAGCGTAAATTCCGGGGTGCTCTCCCCACGCGTGGTGCAAGGGCGCCGCCTGCGCGTAGGTTGACACCATGAGCCCGCATGGGTCCTCGGGCGGGGTGTACTGCCCATTGGGTTGCTGATGCTGATGCTGATGCTGCTGGTATTGTGCGGGGTACGATGGCAGAATCAAAAATGGGTTTGCACTCATTCCGTACGACTCTCTCTTGCTCGTCGGCCAGAGGTTGCACAGGATATCGTCAATATTGTCAGACTCTTCGAGCGCCATATGCTGCACCTTGCCTGTGTTGCCTCCAGGGCGACTCACTGACTGCTGTTGCTGTTGCTGTTGCTGTTGCTGTTGCTGTTGCTGTTGCTGCTGGTACTGTGCCTGGTAGCTGTGGAGGCTGCTGGGTCGCTGCAATGTAGTATGCATAATAACGAATAATAAATATAAAAAAAGGGGAGAATAGGGAGAAGACGAGGATGAAAAAAAGGAGTAGAGAAAAATATGAATAATAAATAAATTAAATATGGCGGAGAAGAAACTGAACTAGTATAGAAGAAAAAAAGTTTTTTTTTTTCTTTTTTTTCTTGCGCCTTTTGAACAATCGGAATGGAAAAAAGAGGGTGGATGGGGACTGAGAACTCTTGAGTTCTTGCGATAATGGGCTGAATTAATATCGACGAATCCCAAACAGCCAGAAAAATAAAAGTAAAAAATAAAAATCCTGAGCCTCAAGTGTTCTGTTTTAAAAAAAAGTCTGCTCTTTTATTTTTGGCTTTAAACGCGTAATGTCAGGTACGCAAGTTTTTTTTAGAGTTCACTCAAGAATGAAAAGAGGATCAAAATAGAGTTGGAGGTGAGCAAAGAGGAATGCAAGCCTAACACAGAATTTTAAATGAGATGAAAAAAGGGAGGGGGAGCAAGGGGAGAAGGACGTGCAAAGAAAGGATCTGCTGCTGTGGCAAAAGCGACGATTGTAATATGTAAAATAAAAAAGCAATTGTTTTTTTTGCATGCGATGTGCATAAACCTTGCAGAAAAATAAGAGCAAAAAAAAGATGGCGCACGCAAGGATATAATGAAAATATAATGTGCTTGATAAAAGGCAATGATCGTCCGTGGTTCGGGCGTTTGTAAAAATATATGATGACAAAGAATGGAATATACACTAAACGAATATAAAAAGTTACGCTGCCAGTGTGTGTGTCTGTGTGCGTGCGTGGGTGTGCGTGTGCGTGCGGGGGTGGTAAAAAGAGAAAATTATAAGTGCTAATTATAAACCTCGTGTCTTTCTACGACAAAATAAAGGTATAAAATAAAATAAAAGGCAAAAAGAATGTGCGGAGAAGAGAAAACCCCCCCGAAAACTTGTTGGTTGGTTGGTTGGTTGGTTGCTATTGTTGTTGTTTCTGTAGTGAAACGCTAAAAAAACGAGGTAAAGCTGAAGCTTGCACTTGCAATCAAGTAGGTACTATGTTTTGCTTTTTGATGATTTAGCAGTAAGACAAAATAAGAAGAAAAAGAATAATTGCTTAATTTGTGCTTTTTCGTGTGTGTTACCGGTACGAAATATTGGATGGCGTTTTTTTATTTCTGCCGAGTACGTGTGTAAGGCGTTCGAGTATGGTGCAGAAAAAAGTAAGTGTTCCTCCGTTTACTTGGGTTTACAAAGATAAAAAACAAGGGCTGGGATAGAAAATAAGTTAAAATAATAAGTTAGAATAAGTACAAAATAAATAAATAAACAAAAATAAGAGTTCAAGAATGATGATGACGATGGCGATGACGAGGAACAAACACGCTACTCTTATAGTTGATTTTAAAAAGAGGATGGGCAATAAGCACCAAGAAACTGTCTTCAAAATAGAGAGTGAGTGGGTGAGTGAGTGCTTAAAAAATACAATAAAAATGTGGTGAAAGAGAGAATTTTAAAAAGATGTTTTATAAGTAAAGGGTGGGACTTTGAAGTAGTGTAAATAGCCAAGTCTTTTTGTACAAACAAGCACAGGAAGAAACAGAAAGAAAATGGCGCCAATTTATGTGGCGAAGAACTGTGATAGAGTGCAGTGCAACAAGCAAAGAATAAAAAGGATGGAAAATAAAAACAGGATTTTTTTACAAAGAATTTCTTATGAATAGACGATGTGAAAAGATGAAAAGAAAGAGAGCTTTGTCTTTGTCTTTTTCCTCTTTTCTGGCTCTTAATGATCTTTTTTTTCCTGTCATTGTCATCAAACTGTAAAAATGAAGAAAAAAGAACCACATTGCTGGTCAAGCTCTTTGTATTTTGTATCAATGTTATTTGTCGCTCTCTCACTCGCAGATCAGAGCCTGGCTTCTGGCCTTGCCACTCTCAAGTTTTTATCTTTAATTTGTGGACTATCCACCCACACATTCACACAAAAAAATAAGACCAAGAACCAGACCGCTGGTGAGTTTGATAAACACACAAAAAAGATGTGTGCGTACATATGCGTGTATATTTAAAAACATAAGACAGTGTTGGTGGATTTGAATGGAATGAATACGATTAGAGGCCCTTGCCGTAATCCTTCGAGCTGTAAAAAATGTTCAGCTTGTCGAGCAGCACCTGCAGAGCCGTGGCCCATATGAGAAGATTTGCAGCGACGTCATCCTGGTTATCGCCGAGCTTTTTGTAAAAGTCAACGCGAGAGGGGCAGGCCCTCATGGCAAGATTAAATGCCGCCTTGACAACAAAATTGTGGTACTGCTTAATGGTCCTCTCGTAAGCAATGGTGAAAGAGGCGGAGAGCTCCTCGTTGGCCGTGCTCAAGTTCTTGTTGACGCCCATGGCAGTAAACTCGAGGCCTCTAATGCAATCAAAAATAATCCATGCATGCGATAGAAAAAATAAAACCGATTAGTATGCCACCAGCAAAATAAAACATAAAAATGAGGGAGAGGGTTTCCTTGCTTTTTGACAGGTGCACATTCTTTCTTTTTCAACTTTACCTTTTCAACCACAAGAGCCCCTGGGTGGCAGTGCGGTCGCTGGTACCAGCCTCAGCGAGAACAATCTTCTCCAGGGTGTTGAACGCCTCGGGATTGGATTCATGCTTGGTGCGGACCTTCTACAGGAAGAAAAAGAAGAAGAAAAAACGAAACGAAACGGGACTGGTTTTTTAAAAGTGTAAAAAGTATCCATTCTTTTCAATCGCGCTTCTAGCCTTTGTTGTGCGCTGGCCAAGCAGCAACAACAAAAAAAACTGCAAACAAATATATTAAAGCTTACTTTAATGTTTCCTTGAATGTCATTCTTCACAATGACAAAGGCGGCGGAGCCCAGGTCGTCAAAAAGCATGACAACACCATCAGCGGCCTCCAGGAATTCAACAGTGTTGATGCCCTCGTTGGAATTGACATCCTCAAAGCGGCGGGGAACGCGGTCGATAAAGTCGGTCATTTGTAATTATGCAATAAAAGGTGAATTGAGGACTGCTTGCAGATTGCGAGAGAATAATAATAATAAATAAAAAAGAAAGTGTGAGAGAGAAAGTGCTGTTTGTATTCTTCAGTTAACTGCACAGCTAGAGTAGCTGCGCTCGCAGGTTTATAAATAGACTTGTAAAGCTGCTAGACAGATGGTATCTTTTGTACCTGTTCTATGTCGTTGTCCGCAAAATCCAAAAATAGAGCTGGAATCGTCATCATGGCCGGATTTCGTGCTCAGAAAGTACCAAAAAGCAAAACGGTCCAGAGAAAAAAAATAGATTTGTGCTTCTCGCACTCTTTTCTTAAAAAGCAAACGGTCCAAAGCGGTTTTGTGATTGCTGCCCATAAAAAGCACAAAGGTGCATTTGGTGACGTTGAGGCGGCAAATTGCATGGCCTTAAAAGGGCGCAGAGCACGCGTTTTAATAGCGCACACAAAGCGGCACAATATCCTATTTTCCTACGCTCGTTCTACTTAATCGTAATTCCAACCATGCGCGTCAAAACAGTTCAGATCAACTGGCATGACAAACTGCCGATATTTAGCGTCGACTTTGACCACAGCTACAGCGGCACAGGCTGGCGATTCGCCACAGGCGGCGGCGACAACAACGTGCGCATATGGCGGCTACGCACCCCACAAGAGCGCGAAACCGACGCGCAGTCTCCGGCCGTCGAATTCCTGGCCAGCCTCAACCGACACACAGCGCCGGTCAACGTCGTACGCTTTGCTCCCGGAGGCAGCCGCCTGGCGAGCGCGGGCGACGACGGAGTTATCATTATCTGGCGCCAAGTGGCCGAGGTGGCCGGAGAAGATATTGAGGCGTGGCGGCCGGCAGCAATGCTGCGCGGGTCGCTGGCGGATATTTGCGATTTGGCTTGGAGCCCCTGCGGCGGGTTCATCGTCAGCGCGTCGGTGGATAATACGGCGCGTATCTGGGATGCCCGGGAGGCAAGGTGCTTGCAGGTGCTGGCCGACCATACACACTACGTGCAGGGCGTTGCTTGGGATCCGAGGGGCGAGTTTCTGGTTACACAAAGTAGCGACCGGTCGGTGCGCATGTACCGCTGGCTGGGCGCAGCCAAGGCGGCAGCGCGGCCGGGGTCGGAGATAGCCATGCCTCTGGCCGCTCACTACTCGATGCCGCGTCTGGACACTGATGCTGGGGTTATGGAGGCCAATGGCGAAGACAGCGCACGGGAGGATAGTGGAGACACCAAGGATGCGGATCTGCAGGGTATGGATGTGGACTCGGCACAGCACAAGCCGGCTATCCGCAAAACACAGCGACTGTTCCACGACGACAACTTAGCGTCCTTCTTCCGCCGCCCGTCCATATCACCCGACGGCCGCCTGGTGACCACGGCAGCCGGCATCCAGCGCGACCGCGCATCGCGCAACACCTGCTATGTGTGGGCCCGCGACCACCTCCAGGCCGCGCCCCTTCTTACTCTGGGCGGCCACACAAAACCAGTTGTGGCCTCTCGCTGGGCGCCCTGCACTTTTGCCCCGCGCGAATCTTCTACTTCGACGCCTTGGGTTGATTTGCAGGAGCCTTGTCGGATGATGTTGGCTGTGGCATCGCAGAATGCCGTGGCGCTTTACGATACGTCGGCCGGCGCTCACGCCGTGGGCCTGATGTCCGGGCTGCATTATGCTGCTATCACGGATATTGCCTGGTGCAAGGACGGCTCACATCTTATTATCGCATCTATCGATGGGTTTGCCAGCATTGCTTCTATTGAGCAGCCGACAGAGCCTGTTTATGTGCCTGGAAACGAGGCATCCGCCGAGAGTGCGGCTGGCGCGCAGGAGCAGCCGCAGGCGAACTCTGGGTTGACAGAGGCTGTTGCTGCCACTGCTGAGGTTGCTTCTGCAGAGGCGGCGCGCAATAAGGGCAAAAAGCGCCTGGCACCGACATTCATCAGTACACTTTAGAATTGCATTTTGTTTGTACTGAGAACCTGCACATATACTATTTGACTACCAATTTTGGATTAATTGCGAGCGACAGAGCTGCAAATGCAAGTGCAGTTGCAGTTGCAATTACAACAAATTTTTGCTGTGCCTGCTGACACCCTTTTTTTTCTTCCCGAAACAGTCTTTCGACGGTGGGATTGATTTTCATCACTGGGTTTTGCTATTTTTGAAATCTGACAATAGAGAAAATAATAAAATTTCAAATTTCAGGATTCCAAGGTGGGGGCGTGGAGGGATAAACAAGAGTTAATCCCATCTGCATCATTCAAGATTTTTTTAAATATCCTTACGAATTGCATCATGTTTCAAAAAAGGGGTATTTAAACCCCGCAACAACGCCAAGAAATAAAAAGGCCAATATTTTTCTTTTGCATTGGTTGGAGCAACCAATTGAATAAACAGGCAGTGTAAATCCAAATATACAAAAAATGGTTCATTTTTAATTAATTGCATCATGCTTTCTTTTAAAAAGGGGAGGTGGACATTGCAACACGGTACAAGTTTCAACTGCTAATCTAGTTTGACATTTTTACTTGGTTTGTAAAAAAAAAATACAATCTCAAGCTTTGAAATGAAATAATATCCTACGAACATCCGAGTTTTTTTAAATAGCCCAACACTTTGTAATATTTCAATAGTAGTACGATGCGATAAAGATTTCTGCAAAAGACTGAAAAAAATGCAACTTGGCCCAACGTATGCATTATATATGCGCCATGCATTAACATTTATTGTCAGTGTATTTGCGTTCAAGCCACTTTGGCAAATTATGCATTGATTTACTTTCCATGCAAACCACATACATGTCTGCTCTCCCCTTTTATTTACTTTTATTTTCTATTCATATTTAGCGACCGGCATGCAATGCAAGTTTGTGCTTGTTCGTTCTCGATCCAATCAAATTGTTCACCATGCATGTGCCTTTTTTGGTTTGCTTGTCCAAAAAAAGTATATTATGCCACATTATTGAAGCGATAGTAAAGCGGAAGAAAAAACAAATATATCTGCGATTTCGGCTCTGTACTCATTTTTATTTTCTCATTTTCAAATGGTCATGAGGCGCGCTTGTCATTACAGAAAGAACTCCGCATCACTGTAGTGTTTGCATATGAAAATATGACAAATTTTTTGGCAGGTCCACTAATAAAATGACTAGAGTTCAGAAAAGAACAAGAAATGCGATTGGGCTGGCCTAGATTGGGTTGGATTGGATTGGATTGGACTGCGCACTTGCTTTTTTTGCATAAAACAAGCTGTATACTACACAATTGGTTGTCTCTGTCGACGACGACGACGACGACAACAAAAGCAAAACAAAACAAAATCAAAATTAAAATCAAAACAATAAAATATTTTATTGTTTGTCGTTTAGCCCGGGGCTTTTTTTTCCACGTTTATGCTGGGATTTTTGATTCGCATTTTTGATTCACATTTGCAAGATCGCTGCTTGGGCCGAGATGCTCAAGATAATCTTATATTGAATGCATTGTGGCAAGGTACCTGGGTCCTCTTTGTTTTTGTTTTGGGTGGGGGGGGAAGGTGTTTCAGACAAGCTTTGTGAACACAAAAATGGTAGATCAGATACAAAAACACACAAATCCGTTAGAAAAGGCTGGGTAAACAGTCCCTTTCTCACCAAAAAAATAATAAGTGGGAAGACGTAAATAAAAAAGCTGGATTATATAGAGTGAGTCATCCGTCAAAAATAGCAAATCTTGGCCCACGTAAATAAAAAAAATGTTTGCAACCAAAAGATATCTGGAAACGATATTTTTATTATTGAAAATCTGGCTCAAGCAGACACGGTTTGCTATGCAATGAAAAATATGCAGGCAACTTAGAGGGAAATGTGTTCTTGGAAAACGAAAATGTACATGGAAATTCATCTTTACAGCTGTTTTCCCGTCATTTCAAATAATATTAACGGGCATTTGGGATAAGGGATTAGAAAATAACATGAACAAAAATATTAGGGGCATGAAACCCACACGTAGACAAAGTCGGAGTGTGCAAATCCTTGAAGGCTGCCAAAAATAGATAGACTGGCAAGCCAGCTGGAAAATTGTCTATTTTCTGGCCGTCTTTTTTCGATCCTTGTTTCAGGGGGAGGGGGGGGGCGAAGAAGGGGAGGGAAGAGGGGAGAGGTGATGAGGGGGCTGCAAAATGTAATTTTTTTGGTTTTGGTTTTGGTTTTGGTTTTGGTGCATCTCGATGACGAAAAAAATAAGCAGGTTGAACACAAATTGAACAAACCCATCGCAATCGCCATGTTCATTTGTCTCTTGTGTTCTCTCCAAAATGCGGCGCATAATTATTCAATCACCACTCCCTTTATTTCTTTTTTATTTGCATTAGCCCGACCCAGGTTTTTTTTACATCCTCTTTCTCGTTTGTTCAGTTTCTTAATTTTTTTTTACAACTGTCCTAATCTTTTTTATCTCTCTATATCTTTTTATTTTTATTTTATCTCTCGCCTTACTGCCTTTTTTCCATCGGGCTTCCAAACAGTATTGCGTAGCCAATCGACAGTTTATGAGTGCCGACCAGTCACAGTACCACGACCTTTTCTCTTTTATGTTTTTATAGAACCCAAAAAACACCCCCCCACAACAGCCTTTTAGATTCCTTTTTTTAAACCACATATCGAGCAAAAAAGTGAAAGCCACTTTGCTCCATTTTCCCACACCTTTAATGAGTTCCTTCATCCCTGTCACGCCCAATCCAGTCGGAAGTTTTCAGCAGCAGCAAAAACAACAGCAACAGCAACAGCAACAGAGACAACAGCGACAACAGCAGCAGCAACAGCGACAAAAGCAGCAGCAACAGCAGCAGCAGCAGCAGCAGCAGCAGCAACAGCAACAGCAGCAACAGCAACAGCAACAGCAGCAGCAACAGCAGCAGCATCATCAGCTAAAATCTGATCTCGCAACCTCAAAAGGAAAGCACGGAGGCAGCAAAGCCACGGTGGGATGCAAGGATACGACAATAGAAACGGTGGCGTCCACTGGTGCACCACCACAGTCGCTAACATCAAAGCGCAAGCCAGCCAAGCGCACTGCCAGGCACTTTGTCGAAGAGCCATTGTACCTTGTACCTTCACACTACACACTGGTAAGCCCTATTTTATTTTATTTTTTGCCCTGGTGCTTTTCTGCCATGTTCTTTGTTTCGCTTCTTTGCCTTGCGCAATTATTAAGGTGGTAGGGATGGGTGATTGCATCACATGGCCGAATAAATTGAATGCCTCTCTTTCTCCACTCTTTCTTTTTTCTGCTCTCCCCGCCTGGTTGTTCACTTGTTGTCTCCTTGTCGATGCACTCTGACGCATGCTTGTCTGTCCACGCATTTGATTCAGACTGTAATAATGTAAGGTCAACGGGTTGCTGCTTGTTTGCTGAGACAAGAAAGGAATAAAGCGAACATAGTTAAAGTTGTATTTATTTGTTTGTTCTTGTGATTCTTCCCCCCGTTCCCTCACCCCCCTTGTCTCCTCCTGCCCACCCTCCCCAAACAAAAAATTGTCTGTAAATCAATTACTACCCAATACTTGTGTGCAACCTGTTCCAGAAACTTGTTTCTTTTTATCCAGCATGCTGCTACAATTCTTCCACACAAGCCTCAAAGCAAAAAAAGCAATTGTGTGAACATTTTTTTGATGTGCTTAATTTGGGTAACGAATAATAATTCGGGGAGAGATTCCCACGTCCGCCTTTTTTATACTTATTTTTGCCAACCTCATTGGCCTCCCCACACATTTCCCTTTACTTGAAGCTCCTCGGCCATGCTTATTATTCTCGATAGAAAACACGGATATTCAAAAAATCTTTTCTTGAAAATCTTGCTCGAAAAAAAGCCAAAGGCAGCAAGGCCTCCTACTACTATTTACGTACAAAAAACTCAATCAGCCTTCCCACCTCATGCGGCTCAGCAGATCCTCAAATGACTAGGGAAAATACAAATGCCGAACCTATTTTCTAGCGCATAAATTAATTCACCCACTCTCAAAATGAAAAAAACCTTTATGCCAAATCAATTTTTTTGTAGCTGCAGGACAGTACGTTTGAGCTTCTGCGAGGACTGGCCAACCTCTCATCTGCTGTGGAGAATGACCCGCTGTATTTCGACCAGCTCTTGGGCGCTGCAGTGAACATCAAGCACGCCTTTGATCTGGGGCGCCTGGATGTCCTCAATGGCACTATTCGGCCGCGCAACACATCCCTGTGTCACGAATGCATAACCACGGTGTCTTCAGTCTGGCGATCGGGACCCGATGGCCCGCGCACGCTGTGCAATGCCTGCGGTCTTCGGTACTACAAGCAGAACCAGCGGCGAGCACTGGAGGCCAAGCGCAGGGAGGCCAAGGATGCTGTAGACGCGGCTGGGTCTTTGGCTGTACTAAGCGGTGTCCATATTGAAGTGGCCAAGAGGATGCTGGCTGGGAAGGGCGACATGGGGGTTACTGATAAATTGAAGTTGCAGATGCACGCCAGTGAGGAGGACGAGGAAGAGGACGATGATATGCAGAGCTCGTGGTCGGAGGAGGGCGAACCCGAGGCCGAGGACGAGCAGTATTCGCGAACTGGGTGGTCTCAGTCATCGCCGCCTTTGCCTCCCATTGTTGTGCGCCCATCTGTTGCCAACCTGTGTCAGCCCGCATCTTATGAGTCTTGCGCTGAGGATATGCAGTGGACCAGCGCTTCTTTTGCCCAACAACAGCAACAGCAGCAGCAGCAGCCGACTTCGGCTCATTCTATCCATAGCATCCTGTCTTCCACTGCTGCGGATACCGTGCAGAGTGAGGCCTTTGATAGCCACCTGCGTTCTGCTCAGTATGTATCGCTACCATCTATCCACGATCACCACGACATGAACTTCCACACACACGGGGAATACCAGCATTATCATCATGATACATATCGCAATGCCAATGAATAGCAAATTTAGCAACTCCATTTTTCTATTGCCCTTTCTTTTCTCCCCTTCCCCTCCCCTCCCCTCCCCTCTCATATTCTCTTTCCTCGCTCTTTCTCTCTTTTACAAAAACACACTATTATTTATTTATTTTCTATTATTATTATTATTATTATTTTTCAACCATTTTTATAATACTTTTGCGATATTTCACCTTTATTTTTCTATTTAATCTAATTTAATAAATGTCCAAACAAAACTTGGACAATGTATTAATTAAAAAACTTAATTCTAAAATATTATCAGCGTCACAAATAACCTTTTTTGGGACTTTTATCCTCAACATCCAATAACGGCGTTACCAAATCAAGATTGCTTTAATTTATTTTTTGTTCTTTTTCCCTTGCCTTGGACCCAAATGTCAGGAGCTTCAGCCCCCCAGCAGTCATTAAACTGCAGTTATTTTTTATTTTCCGCTATTGTCATTTTTGTCTATCAACAAAATAATTTAACAGTTTATCATCATCAATCATCAAACCATTTTTCTCTTACATATAACATCTTCGGGCGAAAAAAATGCCTCCCGTGTTGTCAAGTTTAAACAGTATCATGCGCGCGAAAGCAGTGCAAAAAAGCATGTTCGATCGAGTCCAACGCACCGGCGACTTTATTCTCCGTAAACTCGCGCAAAAACAATGCCAAACCACCAGCACCCCATTGCGCGCACCCCTCATTGTGGGGATCAACGGTGCGCAGGGCAGCGGCAAAACAACGCTGGTTCGTGGCCTGGTCGATTTCCTCACAGCGCGCAACATATCCACCGTGGGATTTTCCCTCGACGACCTCTACCTGCCCTACGCGGAACAACTAGAAGTGCGGAAACAGAATCCGTCAAACCCGCTACTGTGCTTTCGCGGCCAGCCCGGCACCCATGACTTATCCTTGGGCCGATCCACGCTGACATCGCTGCTTGAAGGTACGGAGGAGACGCGGATTCCGCGCTACGACAAGAGCTTGCACTCTGGGTACGGCGACAGAGTGCCCCTGGACGAGTGGCCCAAGGCAGCGCCACCCGTTGACGTCGTGCTCTTTGAAGGCTGGTGTCTGGGATTCCGTTCACTCAACACTGGCGAATTCTCCGAATACCTCGCCGGCGTTCATGGAAACAGCGTCCTGTACAAGTACTCGCGCAAATACTCGGATGCCAACCTGGCGCAAATCAACACCAATCTCGGGGAATTTGAAAAAACCTTGTACGGGTTGATTGACGCCTGGGTGTATATGCGTGTGGCCGATGTTGATGTTGTTTATAGATGGCGGAAGGAGCAGGAGGATGCGATGGCTGCCCTGGGGAAACCCTCGTTGTCTGACCAGCAGCTGGAGGACTTTGTAGAGCGTTTTATGCCATTGTATGAGATTGCTTTGGGTAAACTGGATAGGAAGGGCTTTTTAGCGTCTGGGTTGTTTGAGGACTACTATACATTGCGCATGCATTTGGATATGGACCGGAATGTGGTTGCTTGGGACCACATACTGTAAAAAAAAAGCAGGATGTGGGTTTTCTTTCTCTTTATTTTTTATAGGGGTTTCTCCCACTCATTCTATTAATTGGATCCAAGCTACCATTCGAATGCCCCTATGGTTCAATATATCCAAATGGGAAATAGGAGGCTTGCCTGGTCAAAATATACTCCACCTTCCTCTTCAATCTATTTTCACTCTCTATCCCTCTCTCTTTCTCATGGTCACCTTTCTCTTTCAAAGTCGTTGGCAGGTTTCTTTTGTTGTCGCTGGATTTTTTCAAATGAAAATTTTTTTGTGGTTGCCCTGGTTGATTTCATAGAAAATGCCCAGGGTCTCCTGTATCATTTTTTTAAAAGGAGTGCCCGGTGGGAAATATGCAAGGAGTTGACCAGGGTCTTAATTTCCATGCCGTATACAAAATTATATGGAACAAGTGGCCAGGAATTTTTTCATTTGCATAGTTGGACTGCAATTGGCAAGTTCCAAATAAATAAAAAATTTTCTTGTATGGAAATACCAGGACATCCATAGACGACATTCAGCGCATTTTGATATGGACTGGCCAGAGCTACTGTTCAAAATAAAAATAAAAAATACATTGCTCACCCACGCGACAATTTAAAGATACTAGGCAAGTGATACACAGACCCCTTGTTTTATTCGTCTACTCTTCATACTTATTCATTTTCTATTACCACCCAGCATACTTTGTGCCCTATTTATAAAGCACTCATCTCTCATCTCTCGCTTTTTAATTTTTTACTCTAGTTCTTCAGGCAACATGAGCCGAGGGAGAAGGCACACTCTCTTAGCTTATAAATGCTGGACTAACGAATCAACCGGCGCTTTTCTCGAGTGGTTTGTCAATGACGAGAACAGATGTAAATGGGAGATGGTCCGCAAGTTCAAATCAACGTCTCCCCAGGCCCAAGTTGTCTTCAACATGATCCGCGAGAGCAACGAGCTCTTGAGCGAGTACACTAACCAGTCCCTGTATCTCAGACAAATCGCACTCAAGACAATCTTTAAAAACCACACTGCTAGTCTGACCACTGGCGTGCTCTTCGTGGCCAAGAACGTCAATGTGAGAATCGAGGAGCTAGTGATGGCGTTTGGCAGCATTAATCAAGATGGTGCTATTAATGCTGCTAATTCTGCCAATGTTGCTGTGATGCAGCCGCTTATAGTGTCAGCTCAGGAAGCGCCAGTCGTGATTGAAATCAGCAGTGACGATAGCGACAGTGATGCCAGAAGAGCAACTCAAGCGGGTCAGACACCGAGAAACAATGCCAAGAGTGCCGCGCAGCGAGTCAAGCTGAATAAGAAACGCAAAAAAGGCCGCAAAACCAAGAAGCGCGCTACGCCGTCTGGCTCGGACAACAGGGAAGTTAGCCCCCATGAGAATAGGAACATCTCATCAGAGCTGTTTAATCCTAGTAACGCGTCAGATACACTTTACTCCCCGTCCAATTTCCCATCTAGCTGTCCTTTTGACTATTCGAGCCCACCAGTCAGCAGGCGTCAGAGCGTCTCTGAGTATCTCGAGTTTACGCCGCAATCAATGTCGCCCGCAAGCCGCAACAGTGCAAGCAATTTCGACACCCAATTCGAACCAAGCGCTTCGCCATTTTTGCACGCAAAATACCCGGCGCTGAATCCGACACAGTTCAATATGGATAATACCAACTTAAGCGAGATTATCCACACGCCTTTGTCGCCCTCGCTACCACCAGCCGTTGTTTCATTAGCCGCGTCACAGCATCTTACTGCAACTCCACCACCGCCAATGCTACTTCAAAACAACGTGTCAAGCAACAATTGGCAGAGCATGCCAAGCACAGCTGTGGAATCCAGGAGTATGGATCATATCTGCTCGGCTATTGAATACATGCGCGACAACTTGGACCGCCTGATGGAGAAAATGGGCCATATCTCTACCGGTCCAACGCCTTTACCCACTATTTCCAGGCGTATTAAAGTCACTCAGCCGGTGGACAAGTCTCGCAAGAAACAAAAGAAGAAGCGTAGGATCGAGTAAGCAAAAAAGAGGGAAATAAAGCGCATCTGCAAAATGTCACTCTGACTCCCCCATAAAGACCTACATTTTATTATACCATATAAATTAAATTTCTTAATTTTTAAACACGCGCGCTCTTCTATTTTTAATCGACTTGGCTTACATTTCTGTTCAACTCTTATATTTATTTTATCCCATTAATTCATTGAGAGTGATCCAGCTCCCAAAGAAAAATATTTTTTATTTACGTTATGGCGTCGGTAGAAGCAAAACCATCGATTAAACAGCAGCGGCGAAAGAAGAAGAGCCGCGCAGAAAAGCTCGCTGCCGAGGAGGCGCGCAATGACCGGCTGGCAAAAATAATTGCCGACACCAATAAAGCGGCGCTTCCGGAGAACGTTATTATTGAGTATGTGGAGCAGCAGGAGCCCTCCATAGAAAACACAGAGTTTGCAGAGTATTCAACTGTATTTTCGCACTTTGCAGCCAACGCGGCGAGGTCATTTGGCGCCAACGATGAAAGCGACCAAGAGGACGGCACAGATTCCAAGCAGGCTACTACAAATGCTACAAAGAACAGCGTCAAAGACGATATTAATATGGACTCTAACAGCGACAACGACTCGGGAAGCGATCGCGACAGCGCCGACGAGAACGAGTCGACCGAACATAAACTGTCGCGAAAGCAGAAGAAGCGGATCCGCATGTCTGTGGCTGAGCTTAAGAAAAAAGCAGCGCGCCCTGAGGTTGTCGACTGGACAGACACCAGTGCTCCAGATCCCGAGCTCCTAGTGGCAATAAAGGCCGCGCGCAATACCGTCCCCGTGCCCCTGCACTGGGGCCAGAAGAAAAAATATCTCCAGTATAAGCGCGGCATGGAAAAGCCACCATTCGAACTGCCCGAATTTATCAAGGCCACCGGAATTATGGAGATGCGCGAGGCTGTGCGCGAAAAGGAGGATGAGAATAAGGCCAAGACTACGGGCCGCGAAAAGATGCGTCCAAAGATGAACAAGCTGACACTGGATTACCAGCGCTTGCACGACGCCTTCTTCCGCTTCCAGACGCCTCCCAAAAACATGACTAGCCATGGCGACCTGTTTTACGAGGGGAAGGAGTCGGATACGACGTTTAGTTTCACTCCGGGTGTCTTGTCTGACTCGCTGAAGACTGCGCTGAGCATTCCGCCGTTGGCACCACCGCCCTGGCTTATCAATATGCAGCGGTATGGGCCGCCGCCTTCGTACTCCAACATGATCATACCCGGACTCAACGCGCCGATCCCGCCTGGGGCGCAGTGGGGATTCCATCCTGGTGGGTGGGGCCGCCCGCCTGTCGACGAGTTTGGCCGCCTGCTTTATGGAGATGTATTTGCAGCTGCTTCCGCGCAGAGTGATGTTCCAGTAGCAGCAGCGACAAACATTGTGGCCGGCGTGCCACAACCTATCAGCGATCTCTCGACTGGTGCAAAAAAGTACTGGGGCGACCTGGAGGTTGCCGAATCTTCCGATGAGGAGGATGATGATGAAGACGAGGATTCCGACGAAAACACAAACTCGGGTGCCGAGGAAGAGGCCAATCAGCCAAGAGGCGAAGCAGAAGCTGTTGGGCTCACAGATGAGCAGCTCCGCAGCGGAATGGCCACCATTCCGTCTGGCCTGGAGACTCCGAGCGTGCTTCAGCTGCGCAAGCAGGCAGCTAGAGAGGACAGCACGGCCAACAAGCAACTGTACACAATTTTGCCTGAGCAGGCGACAGCCCAGCTGGAGGGAATAATGGGCTCCCAGTTCACATACGATATGAGCACGGCACTCGATCCGTCAAAGAAAAAGGGTGTCGGCGAGCCCGCTAGCAAAAAGTCCAAAGTAATGGGCAAGGGCGTGGACATTGCCATCGACGCGGCGGAGCTCGAGGGCTTGGATCAGGAGGCTCTCCAGGCAAAATACGCAGAGGCATCTGCGTCCGTTGGTGGTCACTCGGGCGCGGGCAGTGTCGCTCAGGAGGACTTTTCAGATATGGTCGCCGAGCATGCTGCTACGCAGTCCCGCAAGAGGAAGCCCACACCGGCGACACCAGGCGCTGAATCGGCTACGCAGAGGAAGAAAGCCAAGGACTTTAAATTCTAAAAAAAAATTACATGATGTTTGCGTTCACATTGAGAGTATAATTCAGAACTAATTTTTTATTGAGATTCGGAACAATGGTGTTTCACACTACAAATCGTCCAGATCGGACATGAGCTCTGCCAACTCGCGCTCCTCCTCTTCAGTTAGCACCGACTGCTTCCCGCCACTAGCAAAGGCAGCTTCGGCCGGGACGCTGATGATGCTGGTGTTTTGCGTCCGCTTCTGTTGGCCTTGTGCCTTGAGCTCAGCCAATTCTGCCGGCACGTACTCAAGGCTCCCCTTGAATGCAACAACGTCCTTGATATCCCACACGCGTAGCGTCTCGTCTAGCCCCGACGAGTAAAACACACGGCCAGCGACCTTTAGGCAAGACACATCGTCGGTGTGGGCATGAATCTCGCGAATAATCTCCGGCGCCCCGCTATCTGTGCTCCACACGTAGATAATGCCGCCGCGCGTGCCCGTCACGACGACGCCAACCTGCGGGATGGGAAGCACAGCGGTGACGGTTGTCTTGTGCTCCAGCACCAAGTCAGCCTTGCACGTGTCGATATCCCAGCCGATCGCCGTGTTATCTGCCGATGCAGTCCATAACCCGTTGTCAGTTGCTTTCAGGTCAAAGATGTTGGTCTTGTGCTGACCCCGAGGAATCTGCCAGTCCTCGGTCTCATCGCCAGTAACCATGCTTAGTGCAGCCCCGCTCATAGCATCCCATGCTCGGACAGACGCGTCCGACCCGGCCGAGTACAGTATGTCCGCAGCCGGGTTCAGGCACAGCGTGTAGATCTGGCCAGTGTGCTGGCCCTTGATAATTTTGAACGGCGAGATCTCCACGGGGTTCCCCTGAACCCCCAGATCCAGGTCGCTTGCGTTGGCCGGCAACTTCCAGATAATAATCGACTTGTCTGCTGATCCCGAGTACACCAGTGGCAGCGTCGGATGCGCGACAAGGCACTTGACAAAGTCCGCATGCCCAGTAAGCACTGCCAGAATGCACTGCGGGTTGTCGACCGACCATACCTTAACAAGCTTATCCCACGATGCCGAAAGAGCGATGCGCGAGCCACCGACCACATACGACTTGTTCATTACTGCGACCGATGTGACGGGTCCACTGTGCTTGACCAGCCCTCGCTTGCACTCTTTTGCTTTGAGATCTGCCACTTTGGCCTGGTGGCTCCCTAGGGCAAGCACTGCGCTGCTGTCATCGTATAGCTCGAAGTTCAGGAGGCGGCCGCCGGCACGCAGCGGCGAGCCGATCTTCAGCCAAAGCGGGTCTTTTTCGAGCTCCTCCCTTCTCTCTAGCGCCTCGAGCTGTGCGCTGGACATGAAGAAATGCCGTCTGTCAGATGAGACGTTTGCGGCGGGAATTGACATTGTGCTCAATTTGTGTTAAATATTCTTTTTTAAAATATAAAATTAAATAATGTGTATATCAAAGTGGTAAAGACGGAGAGAAAAAGAGCAACAACGTGTTAACAATGAGGTTTTTTTTTGGTATTGCTGCAAAAAAAAGATAATCGAGCATTTTATAAAAAATGTTGATGCAAGGGCGCCAAAGATTCAGATCAAGATGAGGGATCTCGCGAGATGCCTCGGGCAGCAAGTATATGATCGACCCACTGGTTCTCGCTGCTGCTCATGCGCATGCGCAGTTCACACTCCTCGAGTGTGCACTTGTCGCGCTCCATTGTCATCCGCTTGACGGCGTGCGGCAGCAGCACATCGTGGACAAATTTAAGCGCCAGCGATGACTCCTGTCGCTGCTGGTTTGAATCTTCCTGGCTGCACTGCTTAAGATGCGTTTCAGTGTTGTGTTTAAAATCAGGCATTGTCGTGGTGGTCAGGCTGATCAAACCAGCAGTATTGTTATTGACATCGGCGTTGATTCCCGACACTTCGCTGAGTATTTCCGTGGGATCGTTAAAAGCGGTCACCGCGATGTCGGGCGTCGATACCCACAGCTCGGCCGTATTATATTTGTCACCAAACAGTGTCGGATAATCTCGCAAGGGCATTGCCAGGCTGTCATCATGCGTGGGCGAGTTTTCCGACATCGCCGCCCGCGGTGGATCGGCGTACCACCTGGCTAGAAGGCGCCCGAGAAAATTAAATTCTGCTCGGTTCAGAAACCCAGACGAAACGCGGTCCGCCAGCTGGCGCTTCGTGCTGCTGTCGCTGCCGAAAAACGCAGCAAGCCGGTACTCGGCCTTGGACACGCTCTCAAGCTCATCCACAGGGCATCCGTGGAGCCGATCCAGATGGGGTTTGATTACATTCATCTGCTGGATCAGATGCGCAAAAAGACCCAAGTCGCGCTCAAAATCGCACTCTAGATTGGTATTGTCATTGACAGTCGGTCCTCTAGATCCGCTCTTGACTTCTTGCGCAGGCTCGTCACCTATGAGCTGCAACTTACCCAGTCTGCAGGTTTGGAACCTCTTTTCGTACATGGTGTGGATATTTGCTCTGCCCAGCGATTTGACGTAGCCGTCAAAAAACTCGACTCTAAACTTTTTCGGACCCACCTGTGCCACTATCCGCGCCGGGTAATAAAACTTTCTGTACAGCGCCAGCACTAGCTCTCCGGGAACACTTAATGCGCTTATGTCTGATATATCATCTGCATCGTCTTCTTTAATGGTTGTCAAGCATTCTGATGCTGACCTAATAAGCGTCCCTGCCGGCGCCCGCTTGCGCTTCGAGTTTATGCTGCTGGCTTTTGAAGTGTCTTTAATCCCAGATTCAGATCCAGGACTGCGCGGCCGCTTCCCCTGTTTTCCAGTGGGCGCGGCCTTACAACACGGAGAGTTCAGCAGGCTGGACGCATCGGGAAGATCACCATCGCTGTCGTCGTCATCGTTATCTGTATAAAGCGAGTCGACTGTAACAGGCGAATTTTCGCTCTGCGTTCTGCGCAGCACCCTACAACAGCATGTATGAGGCGGGTTGAAGTCATTTCAAGCTTCCATGTAGAATTAGCAAAGTTGCCATTTAATATTTGCAAAGCAAGTGCAGGAGCCAGCAAAGCCTGCATAGCTTACTTTATATTTCGACTGGGTGTCAAATTTAGCCCTTCAGTAGGCTTTGCCACTGTCGAATGAGTAGCAATTTTTGAATTCACGCTTGGCACAGCCTTTGGCTCTGCCGTTGGCGCGTCTGTTGTGTCCACAGGCTTGCTGCGCAAAGTCACTCTGCTTCGTGTTATCCGACGCTCAATGCTGGGCTGTTCCATGGCCAAACGAGTTTTGTAAATTGCTCGAAAATGAGCCAAGGTGGAATAAATAAATAAATGTAGTATAAAAAGGCGGAACTCGATGGAAAGAAAGAAACAATAAAAATTTACAGTCAAGAACTAATGATGCCCCAAAGCTCAGAGAGTGCGAAGATTATGCTTGGGCGTTGCAAATTCGTGTGATCAGCATCCTTTGCAGTTACTGTCGCTCGCCTCTGTCACTTTGGTATTCACCACCAGGTAGTAGGCAAAAAAGGAAGAGAGGAAGCGTGCTGCTACAAGCTGGTCTCTCGCTTGCCTTCGGACGTTTTCAAAAGAATAGAGTGGAAAATGCGCCCACGCAATGACGTGAAATTTCGCAAGTCTGTCTTGTCCATCAGCATGTCGTTGGGATCCTCGTGCAGCATGTGCCCGTCACCCGAATGCTTACTCTCACTCTGTTTCCGCCGCCAAAACTCCTCCTGTTCAACGATCCAGTACTGGACAGCAATGTAGGTGATGTCGCGGATCGAATGCAAGACTGCCGGGTACAAAAAGAAGGTCAATGCGAGAAACGTGCCTTCGCAGGCCAGCAAGAGCCGCGCGGCAAAGCTAAATCCCATCATATTCTTTTTGAGCACTGTTGATAGCAGTTCTTGCATGAGCGTCGGGAAATTGCACACCAAACTTATAACCGGGTATGCGATCGTGTAGAATACGAGCGAGCGCAGGCGTTTTCCGTTGGCTCGAGCGTTGACAGCGCTTCTATAATCTTCGGTGGTTGATATGTGCCTTCGGCCATGTGCGTGAGTTGTGTGAGTGAGCCTAAATGCTGAGCGCAACACACTGATCATGCATAGAATTGAGATCAACGACGCGACTACAAACCAGCTGTAGTACAGGCCCCAGCGAATGGCTAAGTACCGAGGGGTGGGGATAGAGGCGTTCATGCACCGGTTGGCAAGACCGTAGGCGCTGTTTGGAATGGTTGCTAGTGATGCAGACAAGCAAATGGCAAGGGCAAACGAAATAATATAGTACCACCGCTCATTGCGTCTAGTCTGGTCTAGCTTGCGTAGCGTAATGACCAGCCACAAGTGGATTGTTATTGCGCAACACATGAATATAGAGGATAGGTAGCATATAAACATGATGTATCGCAGACTACTACACAGCACCTCAGATGTAATGGTGATCTCGTTGAATAAAATTGATAGTATAAGAGCAATCGCGTGGACACTCTGAATCGACATTGTGATCTTGACCAAAGGGATATTGACCCGGTGCGCGTTGAAGGATAGGAGTATGAAGAACACAATGATACAAGACAACGTGCAAAATAGCGAGATACTAGATACGGCTGTCAGAGCTGTGACCAAGTTTTGGTATGAAGGCGGGACTCTGGGCGCAGAAATGTTTTCACCTCCTTCATCGGCCATGGTTTTGCAATAGTGAAAAGTGTTGATCGTAATGTTTTAAACAAAAAATAAATGTTAGAACGTAGTCAAAGTGTCAGTAGTAATTATTTTTTGCAGCTTACAGCCCAGAGGATGTTGAATTTATTTAATGTCAAGTGAAAACGTTTAGATGTGTCTGGACATGCAAAACAAATTTGCGGGTTATCTCAGTGTTTTTCCACATGGCCATATAATCATGATTAATAAAGCCAATTTATCTATACGGCAGGACACCTTGCTGAAAACGCCATGCGTAAATTAACAGAAGAGATAAACGAGCCGTTGTAAAATTTGAAATTTGACCACAAAATAATTAACGACAATAGCGACCCATGGTATCTATGCCAAATGTTCCTTTTTAAAGCAGTGGGAAAAGAGATCATTTGGTATCAGCTATCATATGTGTTCCATGTCATGATTTTAATTTTTAAGCAGTGTAGTCGTAGGGTTTCACACCAACCTCATCCCCCGTGTAGATTCAACCAATCCAGAGTTATGCGTAACAGTTTATCTTCTCCGCAATCATTCTGCTCGTCTTGCTGGATCTCACATAGTTGTCACAATAGTTGGTTAAATACAAGTGGATGTTCAATCGGTGAAAATGAAAATAGAAATGGGCGCATTTGTATAGCTGTATTTTTCTACAGACAAGCGAATCAAAATAAGCATTGACGATCAATATCAACGAAATAGTAAAGTAATTGAAATACTTTCGATAGAGTTTGCAAAGATTTCTACTCAAAATATTTTTTATTGTCACCCACAACAAAATATGTTACGGATAAACAACATTACTAACAGATAATTGAGTGATGCAGCTAAATAATTGAATTTGTAATTAACAATGCTTTAGGAGCTAAAAAAAACTGAGAAGACGGGTTGAATTGAATTTTTTTGGAGGCCAAATAATGTGAGTGGTCAAGAGCAACAAATGCATTGTTAAAATCGGTGTGCTATCTCTTAGTTGCCATTGGGAGATATCTGGCACGTGCTTTTAAGAGTATTTTCCCCAGTGTCATGTTGAAGACAAAATAGCAAACAAAGCAATGGAAGTAAAATTGGATAAAAAATTTAAGCGATTGCGAAAGGTACCTGTTAGTTGGCCACATCGTGAAACTTTTTGTTGAAAGTATGACACAAGCGCAGCCATTTCTATATTTGCGTGAATGATGGTTGCTCCGAGTATGCGTGTGACCTTGTTCACAACACAAGACAATTCTATTGAATGTGGGCAAATTAAAAACAGTGAACCAGACAAAATAAATCAATATCACGCGGAAAACAATGGCAATGCCGGGAAGGTGCGGTGAATAATAAATTGACATTGATATTGGTATTGATAATAGCAAGCCAAATGACGTGAAAAATATTTATTTCCCATTGGTTGCTATAAAATTATGTTTACAAGCAGAGTTCAGAGAAGCAACTAACACAATGAGTGTCTAACCAGAATATTTCTTAGCAGTTTATTTCTGAATAAAAATTAGCAGCCAAAGCAAGAAGCAAAACACAAACAAAAATATCCAAATAATGAAATTATTTGTGTTGTTGCAATGGGTGGCAAAATATTTTCCATGGTGCTCAAGTAAATAATAGAAGTAGGGAGAAGAACTTGGTCATTGTTGTATCAGATTTGCTTGTATTGGAAGGGAACGTAAACATTGGTCATATTGTCTTTCTTAGAAGACAATTGAAATTAAAGAAATGGGGAGTGTGGACAAGGCGGTGATTTTTTATTTTGGGTTCACCCAATGAAAAACACATTTTTGGGCCAAACATATTTTATATTCGCCCTGTTTGTCGTACAAATTGCATATAAAAAAGTAAATGGCAATAGAATACAGAAGAAAAAGATGGGAATGTCAATATGTTTATTTCATTTGCTGTTTTTTTTAGTTTATTTGCTATATGGTTTTTCACATTGGCAAGCGGTATACAGCCACACCCATTTTTAAAAAATTTACTTGGTCTACCACCCAAAGTTCTTTGTTGCGTTTTTATTTGCTTTTGTTGTATTCTGGAATCACAATTGGTACTTTTGATTAAAACGGCAGCAGCTTTGCATTCTTGATGATTGTTCTATTTTTATTTTGAGTTGCGTATGTCATTAGTATATTAATGGCTTGCTATAGCGTCTTTTAGATTTTTTTTTAAAAAAAGTACTAATTTCTGTGCCTCCATATACTTTCGTCCATTGACAACTGCCTTTTATCCGGACTTTTAGTTTACCATTTATTATGAAAGACGGCAACACAGCACGCTTCTATGTTTTATGTTTTTATATATATTCGCATTTTCCTCACTTTCTCTGTTGCTTCAATTAGGTTTTATTTATTCAAACTATTTTTTAGGAATACCTGGATTTTCATAAAAATTTTACGGCTTTTACTTTTCCTTGACTTTTATTGTTTATATTTTCTTCCAATTGGTCATACATTTGCGCAAAGAGCAATTACTCGTACTCCCAATTATAAACAACATCAACAGAAACAGCAGCAGCCAACAGTCGCGGCCACGGTTACAGGCACAGTTATAGTTATCGTCTATATTTTGGTCCAGAGCTTTGGAGCATCGAAAACAATATTTACCAATTAATAAACCCACGCAAAGTGTTTTTCTGAGGATATTACGTTCAATGCAGCCCATCATCGCGTAAACCCTCAGTTACAACATTCAAGATGCAGACGCACGCAATTATCGATTGCGTGTTCTGCGGCATATCACTAGTGTGCTCAGTCATCCAGTGTATACTCATCATATACTTGGTGCGGCGCAACGGCTGGGTATACAGCATGTTTCTTCAGCTCAATCTTGCCATGGCCATCGTTGTCACAGCCAACCGCACTATCAGCTATCTGGACATATTTTTCACTGCACTTCCGCCACATGTACAGCAAAACCAGGCGTTTGTGCGCATAATGTACGGCTTTTTGGACATTTCCTTTTTGCCATTTACATACTTTTTTCTTATTGCAGCGTTTTCGGTAGACATGATGCTCAACTTCGCTCTCAATTACCGGTCAGCCCGGCGACTGCATCCGTGGTACATCCCCATGTCGCTGTTTCTTGCATTTACCATATCTATGCCTATACTGGTGTGGCCCGGGAGCCTTGGCCAGAACCATTTGTATATCGTGGATGGGAATTGGGCTCAGAGCCACTACCACATTGTCACACTATCTATGGTTATTATAATATGCACATTGGCGTCGGTTGCGCTAGTTGGCGCTGGATTTTGGCACACAATACGTGAATGGCATAGTCTCAGGAGGGAGATCAACGGCATAGTGCTGCCGATTTCCGACAGCAGCTGCAAATCGCTGGATGCGAGCTCCTACGTGCACCATTTGCCGCTAGCTAGCACTATTAACCTAGAGAGCGCCGGTATACCGCGTAGCCCAGAGTCGCTGGATCGCTTGTACTATGGCCGCAGGGTGACTCGCTCGATTTATTATTTGGCCATGTACCCGCTCATAAATTTGATGGCTCACTTGGCCACGTGTATTGGTCAAATTGTCGTTTATGTGTACCCGAACGAGAAGTGGTCCATGTCGGTGCGGGATTTTTCTAACGACAGCGTCGGAATTTTTTTGCTTGCTGTGTTTATCTCTAATCCAGCGTTTGTCGAGTCCAAATTTCGTCGACGGGTCCGCGCATTGTTATAACACATAGATTATATGCATCGTATGGTTTTATTTTTATTAAAGTCTTTAAAAATGATATTGCTTATTCTTCATAATTTCAGTTATATTTTCTTACTTGGGTTCAAACACAAGTCAACTAGGGGGCCGGTCTTATTCAAGACCTTTTGGGTGAAACGGGTGTTATCGATGCATTTTCCAACCACAACCGCCACTGACCAATTCTCCGCGACATATCGCTGCTGGGAATACCATTCCTGTGCCTTTCGAGGTAGCCAGCTGATGCCGCGTTCCCATTAAAAAAAAGCAAGTAAAAGTCAGCCATCTGGCGCACAAAACTCTGCATATCGCTGGTGGCCACACCAAATTTCGCCCACCATTCCTCATACATACTTATCGACTGCGGCCGTTCGCGAGACTGCGCGGGGAACAATAAATTTGCAGGAGTGCTTTCCTGGCGACCGCTGATCTGCCGGTTGTTGGTGTTTGATCCTCTTCTGCCACCGCTATGACTCTTGCTGGCTTCGGTAGGCAGGCCGTGAATTCCAAGGGAGGTCCGGACAAAGCGGCTGGTATCCTGCGGCGATGTGCAGTCAAGATTCCATGCAAGACACAGCGCCCCAGCAGCAATAAGCACCGAGGGGTACTGTACGGGCAATGTGGTGAAATATGCGTCGGCCAGGATTGACCACCCGGCAGCGACCGTGGATATAGGAACATTGGCCATCTTGGCTAACTTTACATACATCAGATGCGGATGAGCCGTGCGGAAATCAAAACCAATAGCCTCCAAAACAAACTGCTCAGCGGCTAAAACTGTCGGCCGCATCTTATCCGTTACCGAAACAGGCACCGACTGGGGGTCGACCACGGAAGACGAGGATATCACGTAGGAGTGGGCCAGAATGTCGCGCAGCCGCTTGATAGTCTCCTCCATTTTGGCCGCGACAAACAGACATGCAGTAGCCAAGTCCGCGGTATTGGCAGAGTAGTTGGGACGGTTAATGTATGTACGGTGGACTAGCAGCTGCGCTGTGCTGATAGTGCGTGCAGGGAAGCAGAGAGTGCGGGCGAGCTCTTTAATGAACACGCAGCACTTAGATGCAGAGGCCATGGCTGGGTGGTCGGATATTTCGTGGCGCTCAGTGGACGGCAACAACAAAAGCTGGTTTTGGAAGTTCGGGCTTTCTTCGTCGTCGTCGTGGACAGTGCCGTTGAGCAGAGTCACAATGTGGCTGCGGGACATAAATGAGTGCCGGTGGTTGCTGGACGTGCTCTGCATGGTGTTCATTTTTATTTGCTGAAAAATAGGTGGGTGGTGATTATGAATAGACTGATATGCTTGCTAAAGGCATTACGAACCGGTCTGGCTACAAAAAAAGCATGGTGCAAAAAATCAATGTGTAAGCGCGACACACTAGGCAATGGATTATGGCAGATGCAAAGTGCACCTGACTGCTGCACATATTAAAAATAGACAGGAAAATCAGATGTTAAGCTTGTTGGCATAGCGCGCAACTGGAATTTTGATTCCATCGGTTGCGCAATATTAGGCAAGGCGTGTATCTTGCGCGTGTCTGTCTGTCCATGTTTAGAATCAACAAATAAAAATAAAATCACACTTTGGTCTTGGGGGGCCGCGATCAATTGTGCATGCGGATGGCATTTGCTTTTTTATTTTCCATCTTTACACTTAAAAGCAATAAATGAATACTGCAGTTATCCGAGTAGAGTGCGTCAAGCAAAAACATTGTTGTACTCTTCAAAATGCCAGTGCGATTGCCACGTGTAATGTTGGCATCTACGAAACAGAAATAAAATAGTACAATGTCCAAAAAAAATTTGCATTAAGGCCAAGAAGCCCCATGACGTCTTTTCACCGACTTGATCAGACGAGCAGGCACATGCCAAGGCAAAGCCAATGCATATGGATTTGTATTTTTTATAAAGGCGAACATGTTCGGGGACCGCGACAGACATGTAATGAAAAAAACGTATCCATAGCCTCTCCTCACTCGATTACTCCTTCACGAATTGTACACATTTTTTAATCTCTACCCAACCCAACCCAGCCCAACCCAACCAGACCCAACCAGACCCAACCAAACTGCACATTACGTCAAAGTTCAAAGCAAGAAGAACAAGAAGGCAAAATAATCAAATATTTTATTTGCCCCGCAAAATTCGCTCAAAAGGGAGACAAAAAAGATGCACAGCACACTTCCGCCGCCAGAAATTGCTTTCAACGTTGCCCTCCGCCAGTACATTATTGCCTTTTGTATCTACCATACATCCTTTATTTACACTATTTATATTATCCTTCCTGAGCGAGTGCGCAGACTGGCACCGAGACTCTACCGTGTATTCAGCCGACACCATCGAGACCACACCAGCGCATCGGCATTATCAGCAGAAGAAGCATCAGCAGCAGTAGCGGAAATGCAAGAGACAGCAAGCGGACACCAAGTGCAATTCCAAATGGTTGACGCAATTACTTTGCCCAAAGTGCGCAACCTCAACTCGGTTCTATTCCCGGTTCGATACAGCGGCGCCTTCTACAAGGGCCTCCTGCACCCAGGGCAATTCTCACAGCTGGCACAGTATAACAACATAAGCGTGGGCACGATTGCCTGCCGGAGTCAGCCGCTGGGCTTTGCTGATTGCTCATTCACCACGATGTTCGATTACAACTCGCCAGTGCCCGACAAATTCGAGCTATATATGATGACCCTGGGCGTGCTCGCGCCGTATCGGCGACTGGGGATTGGTCGCCTGTTTTTGCAGAACGCCGTGGAGTTTGCTTTCCGGGATCAGAACATTGTGCGGATTGTTTTGCATGTGCAGATTGATAACGACGATGCCTTGAGGTTTTATCATAAGCATGGGTTCTCGACATTGCGCATTGTGCCGCATTACTACAAAAACATTGAGCCATCGGACGCGTATCTGCTCGAGTACCGGCTACGCTGAGGTCGCTGCTTGGTAACACGTGCGCGAACACACACATTTTAATACACACTGCAGCAACGGACGTTTTGATGAATTAAATTAGATACATGCTGTACAGATAATACACGCCCGCGCTGCATATTTTTTTTAATAATAGACAAGTATTTTTTATTTCACAAGAAATGAAGAGAAACAAAGGAAGGGGGGTTCTTAGTTGGCCTGGGCAAAGAAGTCCTTCGATCCGGAAATATCGGGCTTGATGGTGGCCTGGCCGGCCTGCCAGTTGGCAGGGCAGACCTCACCGTGCTTGTCGGTGAACTGCAGGGCCTCGAGGAGACGCAGGGCCTCGTCGACGGAGCGACCGACGGGGTTGTCGTTGATCATCATGATGCGGATCTTCTGCTCCGGGTCGATGATGAACAGACCGCGGCAAGGGCAGCCCTCGTCCTCGTACAGGATCTGGTAGTCGCGAGCAATCTTCTGGGTGGGGTCGGCAATCATGGGGAATTTGATCTCACCGAGACCGCCCTCCTTACGCGGCTGCTGTACCCAGTTGAAGTGGCTGAACACGCTGTCGCAGGAGAAGCCGAGAACCTCAGCACCAAGCTTCTTGAAGTCCTCGTAGCGGTCAGAGAAGGCGCAGATCTCGGTCGGGCATACGAAGGTGAAGTCGAAGGGCCAGGCGAACAGGACAACGTACTTGCCCTTGTAGTCGGACAGGGAGATCGTCTTGAACTCGCCGTCGATAAGAGCCTCAGCGGTGAACTGGGGAGCGAGAGAGCGGGGCTGGAGAACCATGATTGTAAGATAAAAAAGCTTTTTTGTAAGAGTATATAAAAACCAAGTGTTACAAGAGAAAAGAAGAAGAGTAAAAAGTAGCAGAGAATAAATTTGGTTGTTTAAGTACTCGCTGGTTTGATAATGCAATGCAATGCTTCCCCCCATCCACCTCCGATTTGCCTGCCCTTTTATACTGCCAACGACCGAACATATTTTTTTATTTTTATCTTTACTGTCGCTGGCTAACGGATTCTCTTGTGTTCTCTTTTTCCCCCGTGATTACCATAGGGGCTTTTTGGCCTTTTGTTTTGTGGGCGTGCGCGCGCACGTTTTACAGCCAACTGGTAGTTTTCTTTTTGGGCTCCCTTTTTGATGCTGTCTGCTCAAAGGAAGGGCACAAAAAACAAAATAAAGAACGTCATACTATCTGTCTCCCCTCCCCCAATCTCAACGAGGCTCTGACAAATTGTGCTGCGACTCGGACTCAGTGTCCGCACACGTAAAAAAATAGCCGAAAAATAAGTGAAAGAAAAAATTGGCCGGTTCAGCTTACATTTTTCACTTAAGCACTTTAAGCGCTTTTTTCGTGCGCAGCTCGCCTCTCTTTTTTATTATGCTTGTTTGGTACGCACGCGTTTTGCGATCTTCTACGATTTTGTCTATTTTTCTTCAACACTGCTGCATTAAATTTCTTTTCTCTACACGCATTAGTAAGCGCTTCATCTTGTATTGCCCGAGTCATTGTTTTTCTTGCCATTTCCAACGGCCGGCCATATATTAACCAACTAACCAACCAAAACAAAACAAAACAAATAACAGATATTTCCTTGCTTCTCGTAAGCAAGTCAGCCATGTTATCATCATCATCCGCAGTGTTTGGGCTGTCGGCAAGCGACGGATATCCCGAGGAATACCGGCTATTAGAGCTAACGCCCGAGATTGTCGCACAACTAGAGTCACAATCACCAACATCAACGAGCAACCTGAGAGTGCGCGGCCGAGCAACCGACGTCGCCACACTCATCGACCTCGAAGACAACGCCTACAACCTGCACACATCACACACATCCAACAACCTTTACCTTCTGACAACCGAACCAGCAACAGAACCTCAGGGATTTTCCGCCCTGGTGCTGCGCTCAAAGACCAACCAAACCCTGGAACTGCAAAAGATCCGGCCACAAATACGTGCAAGAGTCGTTGAGGTTCTGCAGTGGGACGAGCGCGGACCCTTTCGTGGCACAGAGTTTGACCAGCAGCGCATGGACGACGGCGTGGAGGGCAAGAGGATAACCGACAGTGTTCTGGCCAAACACGTGCAGGCTGGTGATCGGGAGCTGCACCGCGTGTTAGCCGAGATACCGGCGTTCCGTGAGGCATCGACCGGCTACTGGCGCATGCTAGACTCAGGCTACTGCATGGACCTCCTGCGGCTGATCCTGGCCACCCAGGTCGAGCGCGACTGGTTACTGGACTCCCTGGATGCCACCATGGTGTACGATGCCCTGGCGTCCGACGGCGAGCACCTGCTCTTTGAAACTGTCGAAGCCGTACTGGCGAGATTCGCCAGGTCCGTGGGATCCGGATACGCCATTGAAAGGCGCCGTGTCGAAAGGTACCTGGCAGAGCAAATCTTTACCGCTGAGAACATGCGCGCATGGCCAGTGTCCGAGTTCCTCTTGGCCCTCCACGAAACCACGCCGCCGCAGCTGCGCAGCAGTGAAGAGCACGGTCGGGGCGAGCAATGGGGCAGTGTACAGATTCCCACATCGCTTGTGCGTGACATGGCTTATGCCTCTACACCAATTGACGCCAACCTACTGTATAGCACGGGCGGCGTGTCTTTTCACTCGACTCTACTGAACCCTTTATTCCGCAGCTCGCTTCCAAATGAGCCGAGGTCCAGGCTGCAACGCTTGTTTGAGATCAAGCCGCGGTGGTCTAGATCAGAGGTGCGGCCGTTTCTCGAGGATCTCGTTGATGTTGATTTGGATTTGCTCGAGACCGGCGATGAGAAGACTTTTTTGGCCGCTGGTAAGACTATTGACACCTGGCTGATCAAGTTTGGCCGCGGCGTCAAAAGCTCCTCCGGAGAAATGGTTTACTCGAGCAGGGTCAACTAAAATTTTAAAAAAAAACCAATTTTTTTGTCGTATTGAAACAGTTACGCTCGTTTTTACATGCCAGACCATAAAGCATAGGGTTGCTATGACCACATGGAAACCAAGCAATTTTTTTTTAAAAAAAAATGAGACGGGCCTTGTGCAACAGCAGGATCAATGTAGTTTTTGTCACATATCCAAACATTTACCAATTATCCCATTCGTTGTCTCTAATGGTGCAGTCGCTCAACATTGCAGGAATAAAGTCAGCGTTCCTCCTGTTGCGCCGCCCGCAACTACTGCTGCCACACATGGCCGTCTCCGACATTCGCTCGATCCCATTCGACGAGATGCGCCAGAACGGCATCAAATACCTGGTATTCGACAAGGACAACTGCCTCACTGCGCCGTACGCCGACCATATCCACCCGGACTTTCAAAGTGCATGGCAAAAGTGCAAAGATGTATTCCCGCACAACCGCATTCTCATTGCGTCCAACTCTGCGGGCACGCCGGACGACGCCAATTGCAAAGCTGCCAAGAGCGTCGAGCTGGCACTGGGCGTACCGGTACTGCGCCACCAAGTTAAAAAGCCCGCCTGCGGCCCGGAGATAATGGCTCAGCTCGGGGCCACGGATCCACGAGAGGTTGCGATGATCGGCGACCGTCTGGCCACAGACATTGTACTCGCCAATATAAATGGGTTTTTGGGCGTGTGGACCCAGGTCATTATCACTACAAAGGGCGATAACGCGGCTGCTGCCGTGCTGCGCAGGATGGAGCACGCACTGTACGATATCCTGCACAGGTACGGATTCGAAGCGCCGTCACACCCTCTGAACAAATGACCTCAATTAATAATTATTAGCCGCTTGTATCAAAAAAAGCTAAAAATAAAATACAACGGCAAAAGGTGCTAGCGCACTTAACTTTCCCAAACTGCTGGGTATAACTTTTGAGATTGTGTTTACACACTCACCTTTACATTTTGCTAAGATTTGTTACAATGTAGTTATTTGGAGTGTATTCGGGTAAAGCAAAAAAAGGCAATACTATGAGCAGAACAAAAGCAAGGCAAAGCAAACAAAAATATAATTAACAGCTGAGACCAACAGTTTCAGCTATTCAAAAGAGTACATACACAGCACAAAATAGTCTTGCCGCTGCTGAAGCCGCTGCAAATGCTCCTCTACCCTTGTTTGGTCACTAAACAGACGCCGCTCCAGCTTAGGCGGAGGCCTGGGTCTCGGGCGCCGACTCGGTGGCAGTGGCAGGGGCAGTGGAAGTGGCAGCATCGGTGGCAGCGGCGGTCGGGGTCTCGTTGACGGCAGGGCTGATGGTCAGCACGCGCTCGTTAACAACAATGGGCTCGGCAACAAACTTCGAAATAGCGTTGGTCTGCTCACCGTTGTTAGAGAAGGTGACAAATCCGTAGCCTTTTCCTCTGCCAGTCCGCTGCGCAATAACAACGTGGGCCGATGAGATCGAAAAGTCAGCAAACAGCTTGCTGAGCTCCTCGTCTGTGGTCGAGAACGGTAGGTTGCCGACAAAGACAACGGTCTCAGAGGGCTTGGTGTTGGCGTTGGCCTCAGCAGTGTCGGCGGGCTTCTCGCGCTTAGGGAAGCGGCGCTGGCGGCGGGGGGCATTGCGGCGGCTCGAGCCCTCCTGGGCCTCGGGCTTGACAGCCTCCACGACGGCATCAACACGGGCCTTGGGCTCCTTGCGCTCGCCACTGCGACGGGGCTGGCGACGCTGCGCCGGCTTGGCCGTGCGCTCCTCCTGCGAGGCCTTGGTCATGGGGCGTGCAGACTCGACATTGATGGTGCGCTCGTCAAGCTCCTGCTGGTTCTTCGCCGCAACAGCCTTGTTCACAGTGTCCTCATCAGCAAAGGACACAAAACCGTAGCCCAGGGAACGGGGACCGCGGGTGATGATGCGCGCCTCCTTGACCTCTCCGACGTCGGAGAAAAAGTCCTTGAGTTGCCCATCAGTGGTCTTGAACGACAGATTGCCGACGAAAACCTTGTTGGGGAACTGGTCGACGACGGGAGCGGCGGTGGTCTCGGGAGTGGCAGACATGTTTCTATTGTGTAAAAGGAAAGCAAAATGAGTAGATTTAATTGATACCTCTGAATTTGAATTTGAATGTGAATGTGAATGTGCGAAATGGGTCAAAAATGTGCCAGTTTAAAATGTAACAGTGAAATTACAATAGGGCACGTACCTGGTGCGTGGGGAAAGGGGGGAAATTGGTTCAATAATTGAAGCGTTGAAAATAAATATTCAGTGAACGAAATGAACGGAAATGAGCTGAAAGTAAAACGAAAAGAATTCCAGACGGCAGGGGCCAAAAAGGTTGCTCAGCAAGGTTGCACCCAATTTTCTCTTTTTTTTCACATTTGTGATGGGCGAAAATTTGCTTCCCTTTCAGTTAGGATTTAAAGACAGCTGCGGTTATCCCCACGTGATAAAAAGTATTATTTTGGCAGTTAATTTTTTGTTAACCATTTTTGGCATGCCTTGGAAATAATATTCCGGAAGCATTGTGAACTATTTTTCAGACACGTTTGTTATTGTGCTCAGAGCCTGATACCACCTGGTACACTGGGTTTATCAGGGTGGTGGTCTGGTGAGCCACACCAGTTACTGTTTCCCTGCATGTGTTATAAACCGTTTTCTGCCCCACGGCAAGCTCTGATACTGCGCCCCATAAGCTCATCACTGATCAAAAGCTATTTTCCAGTGTATAAATTTGCTAGATGCCATGCGGCTGCCATCAATTTTAGAAAGTTTTCATTGCTCTGTGATGAAAACAAGAAATCTAACAATAGAGTCGGGGTCAACCTGTGAGATCTCGCGCTCCTTCGTGAGCGCGCGTAAACCCACTTACAGTCCCGGTTCGTGAGGATAACTTTACGGCAGCAAAGCCGTGTGTCTGAGGGCCACCAAAAAAACAAAGTACAAAAAAATCAACATTATTCAGGCTAACATGTCGCCCATGGTGACAATAATTGCCGAGCTCTCTTTTGCTGTAAATATTAAAATTAGTATTTATTGTTTGTTGAAAAATCTTCGAGATATTAAAAAATACGATAAGACTAGCACATTAGAGAGTGAGATGTGGTGATCGAGTTTGTGCACACATTGGACGCGCCGTTGCTCGTCAACTTAGTTTGAGGGTTTTGACTCAACACGGGCATGGCAACAGGGGCAGCGAGGACAGTAAGATGCAGAATCATAGACAACAGGGCACTTGGGGGCGGCTGATGGAGCAGCGGGCATCTGAGGAGCCTGGCTTCCTTGGAACATCGGGGTGCACTCGGGTGAGGGGCAGCAGCTCTTGCAACCGTTGCAGAATCCGTCACTGCACATGCAGCAGGGGCAGCCGCAGCCGCAGCTGCAGCAGCCACATGGAGGCTCAACGATGTAGTGAGTGATGCAGTACTCGGTCGACAGGTTCTCCTTGCACGGGTGAGGGCAGGTGTTGGGAGCATAGCAGCGGTGGGTCTCGACACAGCGGTTACCACAGGGTTCCTTAATACAGCTACTCACGCAGTAGTGGGTGCCATAGTTATCGGCAATAGCGTGCGTAACAACGCACTTCTTGCAGCAGCGGGACTCGCAGCAGCGGGACTCGTAGCAGCACGGCTCGCGGTGGCAGCAGCAGGGCTGGTGATGGTGGCAGCATGGGTCGCAGCATTCGCGGCAATAGCGTGCACCGCAAGGGCCGACGGTAATGCAGTCACCGTGTCCGCAAGGGTTGCAGACAATCTTGGTGCAGCAGGGCTCACAGCAGACATCGCCGCAAGGACCGGTGCAGCACTTGTAATTGATCTCCTTGACAAAGTGACGGGTTTTAATTACGGCTGCCGGCTTGCAGCATTCATCGCCATCAGTGTCAATATGGAGGTCCGAGTATGTAACACAGTTAGCACAGCACGGGTTGCACTGATCCTGGTAGGCGACGGTCAATGGTGGGGGTAGTATCACCGTGACACTGGCAGGTGGGGGAGCAGCAGTCTCTTCGAATTCATTTCTGATAACGGCAGTAGGGGCAGTGTTCTCTACAAATCTGTTTCCGACGGAAGTGGCGAGTGAGAGCTCCGAGGTTGCAAATTGTTCCTGCAGAGGGCTGGCCGACGAAACCCATGCCAGAACAAGAACCGCTAAAAACGCATTGAGAAGAGTGCGGTTCATGGATGTGAATTTATTTTATTCTCAAGCACGAGGCCAAAAAATGGTGTGTCGATAACTTGAGTAAATACCGCCGCTATATACTTTTGAATAATTATATAAAATATAGAATATAGAATATAGGAATAATATTTGTTGATGTTTAGATCGAAACATAAAAGTTACTGATAATAGGGGTACCAAGAATATTTATGTTTAGCAGAAATCTACGCTAAGCACTAAATATAATATATGTGGGCCACCGCCACGCATGCTAATCAATGTAAATGCACAATTTACTCACGTAACTACTTGCCCTTCAATATTTCTGCTGCTTTGAGCTATTATGTTGTTTGATTTATTACAAATATCCTCATTCTCATCGAACATAAACTCACACAGCAATGGCATCGTAGATTGCATAAGGGTTTTAAGCAATACAATAGCTGCTCTCACCTTATTCCCCCCCACTTGAAAAGCGGCGGTTCAGTTTTGGTTAATTTCAATGGGCGCTAATAAAAGTTACTCATGCTATACTCCGCAACAAGCAGGCATAAAATAAAAAATATTTATTTGAAAAATATCGTGAGATAATACAAACCCTCTGATCGGGGTAATATTTTGCTACAATTTTCGCATTTTTACCCACAGTTCTGAATTTGTTCTCATCCACCCCTCATTCACAAAAAAAGTATGTTGTCATATCTTGTTTACAAACCAAATTACTGTTTTTTTAATATTTGCAAACTGTGGGGATCGCTACATACAGACAGCAGATATCCACATCAGCCATCTGGCCACGGTTGCGGCTCTAGCTAGAAGATCAAGTGCTTAGGTTTAAAACATTACTAATACTCTGGCGGGCACTTCCACCCCCAGGCAATTAGACCCAGGTCTGAATAACTTCCAACCACGCCGCCCCTAGAATATTTCCGTTATAGGGGCATGTAGCCAGGTCTACAATAGAGCCCATGGCGGGCAAGGTGGAACATTCGGCAATTAGTATTATTAATTAACATTAGCTTGTGTTTATTTATTTTATATCTTGCTTAATATATCTATTTTTTGGTGTTTATAAAATATGTTGCAAATTGGGTCAAGAAAATCGCATAGTTGCAAAATTTAAAGTGAAAATGCAGTGACTTGAATGAATGGGTGTGGAATTTAAAAATACATTTACATTTCATATCGAAAAACAACAAATTAACCAACTTGATTACCAACAATAAAAACTCGGCTAAAAAGTATTTACTTGATTAACAGAGCTATTTAGGTGACAGGCAGCGTGGCAGCATTAGTCGCTAGGATCACCGCGGGCTTCAGAGCAGGAATTATAACTGGGGCCACTGCTAGTTGAGCTGGAAAAATTGTTGCTGGAAGAACGGCCGGAATCGCCGCTGGAACAGCAACTCTGACATTGATAGCCGCCGCAAAAGGAGATACAACACTCAAATTGGTAGGAAGGGGTATTGGATAAATGGCGCGCGGAACCTTGACTGAGTCGGCATTTTTATGTGGCAAAGCCCTTGCGTTTGGCGCCGGCAATAAATGCAGAACATTGTCCACAGTGACTGTGCTAGCAGCTAGCGGAACAGGGTTGCATACATTTCTCAGTGTGCCGTATGTTGGCAATAACTTGGGCGGGGCTGACGAAGGATAACCCGTACAATGTACTACAGTTAGTGCTACCTAGATGGTGAACTTCAGCTGTGTATACTATGGATACTGTGGATACCATCTCAGTAGTGTAAATCAGAATGCGAGTGACTCTTGGACATGCCATTGCAGCAGCAGCCGCGTTGGTGGCAGTGATAGTTTTAGTCAAAGTAGAGGTAGAAGTAACTGTTATTGCCGCAGGTAGCTTTGCCCAAACTGGAAAAGCTGGTACAACTTAATTGATGATGACTGTTTGTCTGATGGAAGGAATTTGCAAGCAAGGGTACAGTTTGGAAACAGTAGACGATCTAGGGGTAGCAGGGGGATAAAGACGAATAGGCAAATGAGCCATTGAAGGCAGAGGAGGCATTCTGATGGGCAGTGGAAGCGGCAGGGGCATAATACCAGGGTGTGGTGGTGCTGTTGGTGGAGAGGGTGGTAGCGGGGGCAGTGGTGCTTGCGGACATGTGTTACACCCATGGCCAGAATTGCAGGCACCTGCATCACACCTCTCATGTCCACAATGTCCTCCAGATCCATCACCATGGTTCTCACCACCACCACAGTTATAAAACTCGCCATTGCCATCATGATTGGCGTCACAATTGTTATTACAGTCATGATTGCCATTATCGTTACTGCCACCGCATTCGCTGCCATTGCCATTGTCGTTGCCATTGCCGCCGCCATTACAATCACCGCCTCCATCTCTGCCGCTGCAATCTCTGCCACCGCCGTCTCCACTGCTGCCATCTCCACCACCATTATCACAACAGCCACTATCACCGCTGCCTTCACAACAGCCACCCTGATTGCCACAAGACTGCTGAAAGTATAGCTTGCAACAACATGGTTTGCAGCAGCAGGGCTTACAACAACAGCAACATGGCTTACAGCAGCAGCAGTGGCAGCAGCAATGGCAGCACTTGCAACAGCAACAGTGGCAGCAATTGCAGCAGCAGCATGGACAGCGGCAGCACAGGTTTGTACCGCGGACAGTATCATTTTTGACATGGGTATCCAGTGCCGTAGTGTCATTGCCGATAACCATCCAACCTTCCATCATTGTGTTGTTGCCAATAAAAATGTATGAATGCAGGCCATTGACAACAGTGTCGTTGATAAACATGGTTCCGTAGGATTGGTGCTGGTCATTGCCGCCAAACTGCATCATGTTGTCATGCGGATACATGCCCTCTGGACCCCAGTACCCCTCTGTGCTGTTCACGCCTTGGGTGTAGACAAGCTTTGTGGTGCCGACCAATGGCTTTATCTTTTCCCCCAATTTTCGTCTGCCGGTGCTTGGGGAACTAAGTGCAGTAAGTGGTTGAATGTTGATTGTGTTGTTGGCAGTTGTGTTGCTAACGCGCGTTGGTCACACGCGGCTGTTAAGCCCCAGATATGGAAATGGATAACACGACACTATAGTCACCGTATTTGATGGCATGAATGCCGACTCGGATGTGGGATGAGTCGGACATACATTGAGCGACGGGGCATCAGTAGGCACACAAGTAACAAGGGCTCTGTGGCATCTGGGTGCCAAGTAAACACTCGAAGTCGCAGTATTGCTGTCCGCAATGACATCGTGAGAGTTTGCAATCATATGGGTGCTCAGCTGCTGATCAACAACCAGACTCTGCTCGCTGACCAGCTGCGTGTATTTGTCAACTTTGGTTAACATTGTAGGCTCAGAACATTGCAATACAGCTGTTTTGGGCATGGGAGCCAAGTCGAGAACAAGGTCACCTTGGGCAACTGCCGGCATGGTTAAAGTGTAACTAGTGCAGCCAATATATGATAAAACAGCGAGGTGTGGACAAAGTGCATTGGTGCGTGTGGTTGCAGCTGTGGTTGTTAAAATCAATGGTGAGATAAGTAATAACAAAAATAGCATAACTAACATGTGTCGACTGCTTTGCTCAATAGTCTCATTGTAGATCAATGCTACTTCAAAAGCGAGCAATACAATATAGAATATACAATGTGAAAATAGATAATATTATTTGTTAAAACATAAAATCAATTAATCCAAGCATAGTCCATGACTTGCTGATGCCGATCACCCGATATTTAACAAAAATATAATTTCGGCCTTATCATATACATACAGGTTGATGGTCTAAACGTATAATTTTTATTTATTTTAAAACATGCGTAAAACGAAACATTTTTGGCACAAATAATTCCGTCACAGAAAAGTTAAAAAAATAGTAAATTGTCATGTATATTTCCGCCCTTTTTCTAGTAATTCTTTCTGTAGATGCATTGTAATAACAATTGGATTTTGATCAAATTATTGTCAAGAATTGTGCTCAGATATATGGCAACATCGATACCCCATGGTATTGAACAGTAAGCAAACAGATGGAAGATATTCAGATTATTGACATGTGGAGAAATGGTGGTCGTGTGCTAAAACAGTGGGAATGAATATTGCTTTTTTTTATAAATTCTGTACCTGCCCCTGTCCCAACAAGCTTTAGCCTTTTCTTTTCTTTTTAATTAAAACTCCCATTGTTTGCAATATTTTCCACGTAAAGTCCTCTACACTTTTCTCCATAGTAAAATAATTAGAAAATATATGCATTTTGGCTTAATAGGAGCTTTAAAATTAAAGTGCCAAAATCATAATAAGAGGATATTCTGAGCTACTACAGTAGTCAAAAAAGAAAAGATAAATAAACCAACTGAAATGACTATTTTATCGTATTAATATATTTCGTATTAAGACTATTCCAAAATTCCTTAGGGAAGCCTCCTATTAAGTCTTCCCTAATTGCCCCTTTATAGGCAATGTAAAAACTTCTCGAATGCTATTGTATAAATGCCTATTCGGTATTAATGCAGTAGCTTATGGCCTCTCGGCTTAGACAGGCTTATATGATGCTCTGTCAGCATCAGACCAACTGAGCGCAAAAAATGTGTAAAAAGAGTGGCAAACAAAAGACATACATAATGTAATCTTAGTTGCAATTGCTAATGGTTTAACGGCAGCAGCAAGGGCAGCAGCAGCACTTGCAGCAACAACAGCAGTACAGGCAACAGCAGCAGCACAGGTTCTTTCCATCAGGATGACCCTTAGCAGAGCCAACCCCCTGAACATTTTGCTGCTGGGTTACCTCCTTGGCACTTTCAGTAAGCAGAAGCTCGGCCTTCTTCTGCAGAGCAGCGCACTCCTTTGGCGTCGCTTGAGCGGCAACCACGCGCTTCTGTTCTGCAACCTTGTTATACTTTTGGCTGTTGTTTATCTTCTCGCAAGCCACATGCTGGCATTGGCGCATTCACTCCTGCTCCTGCTCCAGGGTCATGTTGACATTTTGAGGGCGCGGAAAAAACATCCATGTTGCCTCCGAGTCATCCTGGATGGCCTCGGGCTCAACTTTGGCAACGGCGGGCGTAGGCGCAGCAGCAACAGGGGCGGCGACGATAACAGGGGCGTGATATTCTTGACACTGCAATGTCTGCACGTGGTTGGCAGGGATTTCTCCATTGACCATAGTGGCAGCTGGAATCACCAATGGCATACTGTTGCACATTTCAACATGAGCCACAAGTATGTTAGTTGGTACGGCTGTCTCGAAAGAAAATATGTTGGAGGCAAGACGAGGTGCGGTGGAGGTAAATGCCGGCACAGAGTTGGCGTTGATTGGCTCCTTCGGCACATAATTAGCCAGGGCAAGTACAAGGAGAGACAAAAACGGGACGATCTTGAACGAGGGCAGCATCATTGGCTTTTTAAAAACTGTTTTGCGCTATTGAAAAAGGATGGTTGAGTTTTATGATATAGTGATAGGCCACAGCTGTGTTTGCATGTGATACTGAAACCTGAAAGCTAAATTGCCAATCATGCTTATAAGCAATTTTATTTGCATGCTCATGTTTGATCGTTTTTGCTCTACACGGCCTTTGCTCAAAACAAAATGTTAGAATATAGGAACGTTCTATGAACATGTAGATAAACTATAAAGATATAAAGTATATTTAATGAATAAGTGCTATGCACTGCAAAAGGTAAAAAGTAGAAAACATATTGCTTTGGTCACTGTGTGACTTATTGTTTGTGTGGCTAAACAGCCAAGACCGGTTAATCAGTTGATCGCCATCAACCAATACAAAATGGCATCAACAAAAGCGTAAAGATAAACATAATTCACAAACATTTTAGTAATTGATGTCTGTTCTCAACCAAATATTGCAAATATATCGAATTTCTCAGCACCAGTAAACTGGATCGTTTCCCATGCTCTTGATTAATGCTTTTATTTATTATCTAGGCACAAACGCATTGGGATTCCTTAAATCGACTTACAGCTAAACAAACCACTCTAATCTAATAATATTTGGTCGTTAAAAAGATGGTTAGCAAGAAAAGAAAACAGTAGTTTTAATATATTGTTTGTGGGGAAATAAAATAAACTCTGGGAAATAATGCCAGTGACAAATGAGTGTGCGAGCATGTAAATGCATTGAATATTATTTAAAAATAAAAACTAAATATTAGGAAAACTATAAATGCTTTGCTGCAAATAGTAGCATAAAATCCGCATAATAAGTTTAAATCTGTATGTATTTATGTTGATTGTTTATTAATAAAAATAGTTTTAGATCCCGATAATAATTTATATCAAAACAAAATATTATAGAATATGTAGTTAGTGCATAATAAAAATACGCACTGAGAACCAATTGCGTTTACAAACTACGATCACTAGATTAGAAATGCTAATTAATGACCGCCGCAGCAGCAGTGGCAGCAACACGGGCAGCAGCAGCAGCAGTGGCAGCACTTGCAGCAGCAGAAGCAGCATGGGCAGCAACAATGGCAGCAGCATGGGCAGCAACAGCAGCAGCAAAGCTTCTTGCCAGCAGGGCGGTTACCAACATTTCCAGCAGCACCCTGCGCAACACCCTGCGCAACACCCTGGTTGGCCTCCTGGCTTGGAACAGTTAGCTGGAAAAACTTTAGTTGCGGAGTAGCCTTTGCAACACGGCTCTGTCCGTTGACAATGTTCTTCTGCTGCTGAGCAAGCAAAAGCTGTTTGCACTGGTTCTTGAACAACTGCTGCTCTTTGGGTGTCATATCATTGATGCATTCGCTCTCAGAGCAGGAGACCATGGGTCGCATTTTAGACAAGTCGGAAACGCCCTTGGGAGCATTGAAAGCCGCGGACTGTTGAGGAAGATACATAGGGGGAATCTCCTGGCGACGGGTATCCGCTGCAGCAAGCTGAATGTTATCAGCGGCCACAATCGGAGCCTGCATGGTGGGAACAGTAGTCATTGTGATGGGCGCAACAGACACAGCGGGGCGGTTGGCAAGATCGACGGTCGGCGATGCAGCAGCAAGGATGGAAAAGGCCATGACGGCAATCGAGCGGATAGAAAGACGGACCATTGTTAAATATTAGTTAAATTAAGTGAATATACTATCAAAAAAGGCAGAGCCGGTTGCGTATTGCAAAGGGCAGAGAGAAGGCAAGCAAATGTTGTTAGGATGATTGTTGTTTGGTTGTAATGATTATTGTCAATATTGGGCTCATCTGTCTTTCTTTTATATTGGACATTTAAGTTGACATCCCTAACGGCCAGCGCGTACGAATGTCAAAATGGTTAAATTGTTGTGTGTATCCTCCGCATCCATAAAGCAATACATTGTAATTTGTCAACTACGTATATTTAATTAACTAGAGTGAATTGTCTGGGGACTAATGCATATATGTAAATACAACTTGGGCGGGGACGTTTGTCAAATAATTTATGTTTTACGCGGAGCCAATCTCAAATGCTAGACCGCAAATGATCAGGCATCTATTGATCGTGATAGGTGTTAAAACCCGCATTTTTCATAATACAAATTTTTTTGTTAAAATTAAGCAAACTGAAATAAATTAATAAACGTGGTTCAGATTGTTGGTAAAACAAATAACTACAAAATCGCCTGGTACTGATAGGCAGCAACGATATGTAAATACGTGCAAATAAATATTCGCAAGCTAACAAATTTAGCCATGCCTTCTATTGCGCTATACATTTGATAGCCGCAAGCAAAAAATACATACATATCCTTTTTTGCACAGTCAATTTATGGCCAATGTGCCTAATAAAAAATGTCGTTATTTTAATTGACTAGCCGGTAATAGGTGGTTAGTTCTAATTACAGTTTATTGTTTGATGCTGAAAAAATGATAATGGCAGCCATTTATGAAGTGAATTTGAAGTAATATATTAGTTGATTAGTAAAATTATTGAGTAAAAATATAACTGAAAATTAATAAATTGAATTGTTGCAGCCATAGCCATTATGCCCATGTCAACTATAAATATTTAGTGGCCGCCGTTACCACCGTTACCACCGCAGCATCATCCATCGAAACCACAACCATTGCAATAATGGCAGCAACCATTACCTCAAGGGCAGTTGCAATGGTAGCACTGGTTACAGCAATTGTTGCAGCATCCCTGGTTGCAGCATCCTTGGTTGCAGTAGCCCTGGTGGCAGCAATTGTTGCAGCAGACTGGAATTATGCAGCACTTGCAACCCTTGCTGCACTTGCAGCCCTTGCTTTTGCCGCAATGGCAGCAGCAGCAGCAGCATGGCTCGCAGCAGCAGCAGCAGCATCCACCACACAACTGCTTTCCAATAGGACGGGTATTAACTGCAGCTTGACCAAAAGCAGTATTCACTGCTTGAGTGGCAGGATTAGTACCCTTGGCTACAGTAGCCTGTCTAAAAGCTTGATTTTGAATAACAGGCTTGGCGGCTACATAAACTGGCGCGGGTGCGGTTGCTCTCTTATTGGCCTGATCTATGCTTGTAACTTGCTGCTGGCGAGCAACTGCGGCTATGGTGGGCATGCTATGGACAAATGTGTTGGAAAAAGCTGCAGGAAAATATGTTGGACTGGCAGCAATCGGTGCAATGGTCAGGGGCTGAACAGAAATGGGTGCAACCAACTGCGCACCATTAGGGCTGCCTTGAACAACTCCTGGCAAGCTAACTGCCGAGACAGCGCCTATAGCAAAAAGAAAGAAAACAATTGACTTTTTGATGTTTGTCATTGAATAAAACGGTTAAACAAAATTAAATTGTGGATTATTAGATGTATATAGTTTTATAAAACTGATACTCAGGGTAATGTTTAGTTTAGATAGTATGGCCACTCAACATCTCCTTTTATAAAACATTTGGTATTGGTTTGTAAACTGTTTATTTATTTTTTAAAAGTTAAAGTTTTAAAGAAAATTTTTCATAAATACTAAATGTTAGCTATTAACTATTAAATATTAGCAATATATAAAATTTGGAATCTTCTCCACTGATTATTAACTGTACATTGATTATTTCATTCTAGAATGCCAATACAATGAATATGGATATTTTTTAAATTTTATATGAACACATGTATTAATTATAAATAAATAAAACATACGTATGATTGGACGGCCCAACAATGTGCTTGCCTGAAATATAATTATGCAAAAATATATGCACTGAATAGTAGTACGCGCCCCCGGATTATTTATAATAAGCTGCAATATGAAAATAATAAATAAATTTGGTGTGGGGGCACACTGCTGTACTTCCCCCATCCCCGCATTTTTATTTGCTTTTAATATGCTGTGGGAAATAAATTAGGTAGATTGGATAATTGAGCTCTAGGGTCTGGTAAACAAGTGCTGCTGTGTCCCACTGTCTGGCTTACGAAGCTTCTAATAAAGCTTTGTGTACATTTTTGTGTACTTGGGCAATCGAAAACTGTTTCCAATAAAAATTAATTTTATTATTTGCAAAAGGTAAAGTTGAAGACAAAAATATTATCATCTACTAAATAATAGTTTTTAATAATGCACTTTGTAGCTATAGTATGTATTGTTAATTAGCGCAAACTAAAATTCAGCACTTTGTGTAATGATCAAATTAGGGTGTTTGCCTATTACTAAAGATAATGCTAGAAAGTCAACGCTCTGCAAAGACATTAAAATAAATCAGTACAATACCGTTCTATTCTATATTATGGCAAGTCAATAATTTGATATTCTGCACCAATAAACATGTGCTTTGGATTTTCTCGAAATATTGTTATATTTTTTGTTAATTATTAATAAAACATACAAAGTAAACAAAACAGTGGTACTAATTAGTGTCTTCATTTAATTTGCTCATATCCATTCTAATTTTCAAAACATTATGGAAACATATTTTGGGATTAAAAAGTATTTATTAAAACAATAATTAACTTACAATTATAAAATGTAGCATAACAATATAAAGGACATTTGGGTGACAACTGGCCAAGAGCAGCATTAACACTAATTAATAATAGCCGCGTACTTGTCAACGCACCCATTATCAGCAGGCGTTGCTGTTGCAGCATGAGTCGCACCAAATGTTCTGGAGGCAACCGTCCTTGTAGACAGCAGTTCTCTTAACGTGGTAACAAGACGGACCCTGGCAGCAGCCACAAGCTGGGGCAGGGCGGCAGCAGGGCTCGCGGTGGCAGCACGGCTCGCGGGGGCAACAAGGAGGAGGGCAGCAGCAGGGCTCGCGGTGGCAGCACGGCTCATGGTGGCAGAAGTGGTCGTGTTGGCAGCAGCATAAATCATACTGGAAACCACCCTTGCAGAAAACCTTTCCAGCGTTAGACACAGTTGGAACAGCCAATTTATTGCTCTGCTTTTCAGCAAAAACAACCTGGTTTACCAGAGGAGCGACGCCACCCACCGGGGTACGGATAACAGCAGCGGTCTTAGTATCGGAAACGGGAGCTGCCATGACCATCATGGCAAAAGCCAGAAATGCAACTAGTGCAATAAATGCAGCCTTCAACATTGTTTATTATGTTCTGAATTATTGATTAGTTAAAATGATATAACAAAGTTTAAATATAATTATTTAAAAGTTATTTGATGAGCAAATTAAATTGTTTGTTTACTCTGCAATATAATTGATAAAGTGTAATGATAGAGGGCAAACCTAGCACTTTTATACTGCATGTTTATTTTAATTTAAAAATTAAGTTGCGCAGACAGTTGAGCAGAGTTTGCATATTAGAATTGAATTATGAATTGAAATTGAAATAATATAAAAACATATAAGTGCGGAGGATACCTAAAATGTAAAATGTATAAATTATAACGACAATACCCCCACACGCGCTACGCACACTGAAAATACTCTATTATTTATTCTCAAGATTTATAAACCCCCGGCCAAAGCTTATATATTTTATTACAATTATACTGTTGAGAACCCCTCAGGGGGGCCGCGACTCAGGCCAGCGACCCGAACTGAGACCCATAGGCACGCACAGATGCATCAGACAGATGCAAGACGTCACCCGAAGCCCTAATCCAATCATCAATTATAAAACTGTATGGTGTTCATGATTGAATCTGTTTTTGCCAGAGAATTATATCAGTAGAAATTGATGCAATTTCGAGGTGCATTAAAAATAGCATTTGTTTTGCTATTGTCGTTTGTTCCAATGTTTGTTTACATGTGTGGTATAGGAGATGTCGCGCACTTATCATAGTTTGCGTTCGATATACTAAGATGTTTCGGCCGTGAGGACAAAAACACCTTAGTTTTCTAATATATTATTGCCTTTTAACAGTGTGGTGCCCAACACACATTTCAAGCCATTATCTTCCCTTTTCAAGAATCAAGATCGTCATCATGGCCGCTATACACATTTCTGTTATTGCTGGCTGACATCAAGGAACACCATGATGTTTACAGCGCTGCCCACACAGCGCTGCCCCCTTTTTAAGTTCCTTAAGCAATTTTTGATACTTAAATATATAAATTTAGACCCATATTTTTATAGAGCACGACAAACATAATTCCCTATGGCTATTTAGTTCATAAGCATTGGCCTCCCCCATGGCCACTCTCACAACAATACTACGTTTTTTTTATATTTTTTGATAAGAGGAGATTAGTATTATCTTTTATTGTGGAGAAATAGTTTTATTGTAAATGGCGGGCCAAATGTATACGGATAAAAATTGATACACAGAAACTTGGATAAGTGGTTTAGCTCACCAATCAACAATCTGCAATGTATTTAATTGTACTGCAAATAATTATAAGATTATAAAATGGAAAATAAGCCAGAGTATTGCATAACTTGCAAGCAAAAAAATTCCCTTGTTAAATTTAAAATAGACAATAGTATTAAAGTAAAATTTTTTAAATAGTATGACACTAAATTTGAAACAATTTGACAAAGCCCCGATAACAGAAAGGCTGTGGTTTTGATACACACGCGTACAAAGGTGTAAGAAAATATATGCTAACTCTGCATGTGCTAATTGAAAATACCAGGTGGTTAACGACGACGTCCACCATAACCACCATAGCCGCCATAGCCGCCATAGCCACCGCCATAGCCACCATAACCACCGCCATAGCCGCCGCCGTAGCCGCCACCGCAACCGTTGTTGCAGCAGCCATTTCCGCATCCGTTGTTCCAACAGCCATTTCCACACCCGTTGTTCCAGCAGCTGTTTCCACAGCACTGTCTCTGGCAGCAGTTGTTGCCATAGCAGCTGTTGTTGCAGAAGCCATTGTTGCAACCGCCGCCGCAGCATTGTCTTTGGCAACTGCCGCACTGGCCGCAACCGCCGCACTGGCCGCATTGACCACAACCGCCGCACTGACTGCAGCCGCCACAGCAGCTGGACGCACGAAGCTCTTTAGCATTTGGGACACCGGAGTGAACAGCACTAGCAGGCGAGCTAATATTGTTTTCAGACATAGCCTTCTCATTTTTGTTGGCGGAGGAGTCGATATTAGACTTGGTTGATGAAGCAGGGTGAACAGGAACAGGAACCTTGGGAATGACTTGTAGCTGAGCGGGCATCCGGACAGGCAGCTGGGCAACCGGCATTAAAACAGGAGCTGATACAGCGGGCGCAGCTACATTTCTGCTATGGCTCTCATCTGGCACGCCTGCCGGCGCGGCAAAAACACTGGCGAGTAGTGCGAACAGCGCAAATATAAAGAGATATTTCGACGAGAACATTGTTAATTAGCCGGATATCAAAGGTCCGATTAAACTGCTGTTCTGAATTTTTAATGGGGAAGAAATTTTGTGTTGAAGGTGGGAGAGCTAATGTGGCCAACCAATCCAGATAATTACGTGCAAAGCGTATGCGGTTGAATTTTTAAGGGGGTTCACAAAATTGAATGCAAAAATAAATATCAACAGCAGTCAATATAATGAAATAATAGAGCTTGGTAATCTTAGGGGATAACATTTGTTAGGAAGCTAATGGGGGCGATTGTGTCATACCTTATATAGTTCTTGATGTGGGAATATGCTTGGCAATACCAAACAGACAGATAACAGGTACCAGATGCCACATCTTGAGCACAAAAACGTACTCATTTACTCTTGAAATACATTGGTAATTACCTTTATAAAGTACTCGTCACTAATATTCTCATGAGCTCCGCCTTTTTTGCCCAAAGAGTGTGAAAATTTTTAGGATAAAACCCACGCCCATGAACAGGCAATTCAGTCAAAAGAATTTGTATTATAATGGCTGCTAAACGGGCGCTTAGGATTTACGGTAAATACAATTTAAAGGGGTGTGCATCTATGGCCACGGTTTTACCAAACAAAGCCTAAGAGCTAAAATATATTGTGATAAGTTTTCAAAGTTGGCCCAGGGGTAGTAATATGATTCTGGACTTTTCTTTATGCGGAGAACCATTGCATTTCAAGCAGCAGGCAAAAATCCACCCTTATATGTGTGGGCCTAGCTTGAAACATTTTTAGGTAGCAGTAACTTAAGAAATATTTTGGACATTGCACGTGAATAAAATTTACTAATTGAAATTAAAAATCTAAAAATAAAATCTATCAGTTTGCTGAATACAAATACTGTAAATTTTGAAATAATCTAGATCGAAGAATAGTGATTTTAATGGCAAATTTTAATCATGGATTTTTCAAAGAACGTGTGCATTGGCATGTAAGATAGAAGAGATGAGAAAAAAATACTTATTATCGAAAATATCAAAAATATTAGGATATTGAATTTTAAAAATGTGCAACCGGCAGGGTCTTTCAAAAAAATGAAGTGCCGGGTAATAAATTTTGGTGATAGCGCAGCAAGCAATTTTAGTTATAAGCTTTATCGGCATAACTAAAAGTAAAGGGGTGTTGAAAATAGGTGGGTGATACTGTGGCAATTAGCAATTGCCATTGTAATTGTTGTAATTGTTGTTGTGGAAGCTGTTGCAGTTGTTGTTGCAGTTGCCCCCGTTGTTGTTGCAGTTGCCCCCGTTGTTGTTAAAGTTGCCGCCGTTGTTAAAGTTTCCCACGTTGCTGCGGTCGATATTATTATTTTTGATACTGTTGCTGCCGGCGGAGTAATCATCGACAATGCTCTCAGCGTTGCGGTGATGTCCCTCAGCCCAACCCTTCTTCTTGCTCTTGCTCTTCTTGCCACGCTGGTCCTCCTCATTGTTGCTATCATCCTTGTGACATCCCTTGTCACAGCAGTCTTCATAAATAAAGGGCGGTGGTATCAGGCTGCACGGCTGCCAGAATGGTTGGCAGCATGGCTGGCAAGGAGGAGGCTGATGGCAGCAGGGCTCCAAGGTATGGCAACAAACCCTATGTGGCGGACAGTTACCGTAGATCCCGCAGGTGGGCTTCTGGCAAGGGTTGTAGCAGTATCTCTGGGGGCAGCTCTCATGGGGTAGCGGGTCAAGGGAGTGGCGCATATCGTCACCGTAGTAGTAGGGGCTGCCCTGGGTTGGTAACAAAATAGTCTTGAATCTGCCGTCGTCACAGTTCAAGCTGATATGGTATGTGGGCATGGCCTTGATGCAGCGCAGAGGGCTGACTGTTTTGGAAGACTCGTCTGTATCACAGTCGCTGGTGCTGCGGCTGCAGCTGTTGCCGCCAGTGCTGATGCAGGTGTCTTTGTCCTCGTCGTTATATTTTTTGTGTGATTTCTTGCTCTTGCTCTTTTTATGCTTGGGCTTGTCCTCTTCACAATCTTCCCCTTTACCTTTCTTGTGGCGCTCGACACCTTTAACTTCCCCCAGGGTCTCTGCCTTGAGATAGTCTCTATCCTTGTTCTTCTCGTCATCAAAGTCAGAGTCGGGGCTGGCATCTTTATTTGAGAATGATAAAGGCGACTTGAAAATCTTGGTGCAGGCATCTTCCTCTATAGATTCGGTTTTTACCTGAACATGGTTGTCTTGGTTTTTGTTGGATGAGATTGAGGGCTCGGAGATGAACTGTAAACAACTGGAGCTCAGCTCGGTGGCCCCTACAAAGAGGCTTGTGGTGAATGTGGCGACTAGCACTGAGGCTAGCAGCAAGTAATGTGGGGTGCGCATTGGCAGAAATTACGTCGGGTTAAATATTTTTTTGATAATTTGATTAGATAGGTAGATAATAATGTAATATTTTTATGATCTATGTGTTCTTGAAGAGAAAAATGTTAATCGTGATATTTTAAAAATATTGGTAGTATATATGTTGGATTTTATTATTTCAAAAGCGACTGAAATATCTTGTTAGCATCATAATTTTTTTGAAAAACTTTTCTATATTTTTTCAGCCGTATATTACAAATAATATATTCTTTATATTTACGTTTTTTTTCTGACTCTCACATGTAAGAATTTTCAGATTAATTCTAAATAATTTTTAATTTAGTTTGAGAACAGCATCCAATAATTTGCATATGACGAAATGACATTCTTCTCTTGTTGAAAGCGGTTAGCGTATATATGTTTAAAAATTTAAAAAAAAGTACACCCACGCATCCACAAATCCCATGCAAACGAGAATTTTGCAGTATGGCATCAAAAATTTGTGGAGATTCAAGATTCAAAATGAAAATAGTAATGCCATGAATGTTTTTTTGCAGAGCATCTGTAGATGGTGGGATTTTTTTAAAACAATCAATATGTGCAATTTGTCATGCTGCGAAATAAATAAAGATAGATAGAACAATCAATTCAGATTTTGTTTACCACAGATATCAAAGTGCATGTCTCATTGGCGCAAAATTAAAGCAACAATGGGCAAGTAGCAAGTGTGGTGATAGATATGAGATACAGATATGTGGCATGTGTCGGCTGCATCATATCAAGCGACATGTACAAAAATCCACAAAACCAAAAACAATATGCAAAAAAATTGCAGTTAGAGCGAGAGTGAGAGATAAGATAACATGGTATTTGCGGTAAAAAATAAATATGGTACTGCTCAAAAAAACCACACTCAGTTGTACGAATTATGCTGCTGCTGGGTGTGCGACTGGCTGGTATCCACGTTGACATAGTCTCTGCCTGCAAAGTAGTCGCTCTCAGACTCTTGCGCCGAACCATCAGTCTGTGGGCCTCGAGTCTGATTCCCACCAAGCAAAGTTGGCGCTGGAGTCCTCACATAAACAGGGTACTGGGAGGACTGCGCAAACTGGCCATTCATTGTGGGCGCAACAAAACTGACAGATTGGTGGGGAACAGCACTTACCACAGGGACATATGGCATGCTCATATGGTGCTGCTCTCGCATCGGCTGCTGTGGTATCTGTTGGATTTGGGTCGGGAAGGACATGAAGCCCACGGGTTGGCCCGTAATCATAACAGGCTGCTGTTGGCCCATTGCCTGCGGCGGAGCAATGAACGGCTGCTGCCTGGGGTCGTACAATGTCCCAGGGGGAACCAAGCTGCTTGTTGATCCGGACCAAGGGTTGGTCACAAATGTGCTCGCTGGTTGTGCCTGCTGCTGCGCCTGCGCCTGCTGCTGCATCTGCTGATGTCCATACGATGAATATGCGCTGGAGCTTCCGGGCACCATACTCTGATGAGTTCCCTGGTACGTGCTGCTGTAGCTGCCAAATGCGCCCGCCTGTGTCGTACCGAACTGACTAATATCAGCATTGTTGGCATGGGAAGTCTCGGGCTCCTCATAGTACTCGACCGGCAAATTGCGCAAATCATTCTCGCTAAGCTTGTGCAAGGGTTTTCCGGGCTCCCCGGTCAATGGCTTAATCGAGCTGTCATCAAGCTTAACACTTGGTGTCTCAACAAAACTAGCGCCCGAATGCGGCTTCAAATGCTTGGTTGCAGGCAACAGGCCCCATAAAACCACGGCAACAATCTCAAGAACCGTGCCCAGACAGTAGAGAAATATCTGGCGATTTGTTTCGGTAAACAAAATGGTCTGCAGCGCCACGAGCATCCAGAATAGGCAGCGCACCAAGATGGACAAGGATGAAAAAACGAATGCACAGCGGACGACTGGCTTCTGGTACATGGGGCCCTCGCGGAAATTGAAAAAAAGAGACACCAGGGCGTTGCATCCCGAAAGCACAACGAATCCCACCTCGGCCACCTTCAGAATCACTGTGGGTTTGTCTCCAGGATTATTGAGCCAAGTAATTTGGCCCGCAGCCTCCAGCGCACCCATGACCGCGCATCCAAGCGATGCAAGCCCGGTAGCACCCCATGATATATTTGTGTATCTGACACCGCGGCGGCTGGCGTCCCACCGCACCAAGAGGAGCAAACTGCCAAGCATGAGAAGCCAAAAGGCCAAAGCATTCACTATGTGGCCGCGCTTGTTTAAAAGTGTGTCATTTCTGAGGGCTCCAATGAATACTAGCAGCCAGCCGATAGTGCGCAGCACCAGGAATAGCGAGGTAGCGGCTAGTGGGTGGCATCGGTATCGTGCCCATCGCCAAAGGTGCAAGATGAGGCAAAGCCCGAAGATGACGGTGGCAATAATGCCGCCAATTTTGTCCAGGTCCCGCTGCGACTTGTCTCCGAGCGACATTGTGATGTGTTTTAATGTACAAGTAAAATAATAATAAAAATGGGGAGAAAAATGGAAAATAATGAAAAGGCAAAATAATGTGAACGTAAATAAAATGGAAAAGAGAAAAGGCAAAAAGAATGTATAAATGCCAGTGAACCAAATATTGTATATAAATCAACAAATAAGAGTTGCTAAAAATAAAGCAAGATTTTATAACAGAAAAAAAGGAAGAAAAAAACCAGTATGAGTGCGGCTTGCCGCACCATTTTCATCCACGCATATATGCTGCTTTTATTCTGCATTTGTGCGTGATTTGTGCTCAGACGACTCTTTCAGGTGCTTTGTAGAAAGAAAAGATATAAAAAAAAGTGAGCCAGTGTATGATGTCAGTGAGGCAAGTGCTAAAAAAAATGCGTGCCAAGAGATTGTTTCGACGCCTAAAAAATCTAAAAGGGACAAAGTCCTTATCTTTTTTGAACGAAATGCAAAAATAGCTTCCTTTCTAAAACTGATCTGTTGAGAACATTCCAAGAAAATTGCCTGCATCATTTTGCCTTTTTCTCAGTATTTTTGGTGTATGAGCCACTCAATCTGGAAATGCCAGTCTCGTCTCTCGATCATCCCCAGATTAAATCAGCGCGCGATCGCCATTTTTTTGCCGATTTTTTCTCGAGCTAGATTTTGAAGTTAAACCTTTTTTGTTGTTAAACTTTGTTTTTTCGTTTGCAGTCTCATTTTAACGCTTACTTTATTTTTTGTCCTTTCTATTTTTTACACTTCTCATTCAGGCTGGCCGATTCAACATTTGCAACAACTTTCCTAAAATTACTGACCATGGCTGATATCAACAGCAACCCGTATCTGGCCCACATGCATGACAAAAGCAGTGGCAGCAGCAACAACATCTTCAACGGGCCCAACAAGGCGTTCAACATGCTTGTTCCTGGAAAGTCGACCTCTGAGCAGCAGGAGGCTCTGGAAAATGATCTGTACAACGGCCTGACAGGGCAGGCATACTCGCAAAAGTACAAGATCATCTTGGAGAAGCGGCGCGACCTGCCTGTCAACAAGCAGCGGCAAAAGTTTCTCGACCTGATCCACGCCAACCAATTTGTGGTCCTTGTGGGTGAGACGGGGTCAGGCAAAACCACGCAGATCCCGCAGTACATGGTGATGGACATGCTGCCCCAGGTGGAGGGCAAGATGATTGCATGCACGCAGCCGCGCCGTGTGGCGGCAATGAGCGTGGCGCAGCGCGTGTCCGAGGAATTGGACGTCAAGCTTGGACAGGAGGTTGGCTACTCGATCCGTTTCGAGGACTGCACGTCGTCAAAGACTGTTTTGAAGTACTGCACGGACGGTATGCTCCTGCGCGAGGCCATGTCAGACAACCTGCTGTCGCGGTACTCGGCGGTTATTCTTGACGAGGCGCATGAGCGCACGCTCAACACGGATATCCTGATGTCCCTGATGAAGAATATTGCAATTAAGCGGCCGGACATCAAGATCATCGTCATGAGCGCCACGCTGGACTCGGAGAAGTTCCAAAAGTACTTTTACGACGCGCCCCTGCTTACGGTCCCTGGCCGCACGTTCCCCGTCGAGGTGTACTATACGCCAGAGCCCGAGAGCGACTACCTGGAGGCGTCGATCAAGACAGCGCTGCAGATCCACGCGACCGAGCCTGCTGGTGACATCCTGATGTTCCTCACAGGCGAGGAGGAGATCGAGGAGGCCTGCCGCCTGCTACGCGCGCGCGGCGACGAGCTCATCCGCCGCGCCAACAGCGGGCCTCTGCTGATCGTCCCGCTGTACTCGACGCTGCCGCCGAACATGCAGCAAAAGATCTTTGACCAGGCGCCCGAGCCACGCACCAAGGGCGGCTCCCCTGGGCGCAAGATCGTTGTTTCGACTAACGTTGCCGAAACTTCACTGACCATCGATGGCATCGTGTACGTCATTGACCCCGGGTTCGCCAAGCAGAAGGTGTACAACCCGCGCGTGCGCGTCGAGTCCCTGCTGGTGTCGCCGATCTCGCGCGCAGCCGCACAGCAGCGCGCCGGCCGTGCTGGACGCACGCGCCCTGGAAAGTGCTTCCGGCTGTACACCGAAAAGTCGTTCAACAACGACCTCATTGAGCAGACGTACCCGGAGATCCTGCGCAGCAACCTCGGATCTATCGTGCTGCAGTTGAAGAAGCTGGGGATCAACGACCTCGTGCACCTGGATCTGATGGACCCGTGCGCGCCCGAGGTGTTGATGCGCGCGCTTGAGCTGCTGCATTACCTGGGCGCCCTTGACGACGACGCCAACTTGACGGAAATTGGCCATGCGATCTCAGAGTTCCCCATTGACCCGCAGCTGGCCAAGATGATCATTGCCGCCGCCGACTACGGCTGCACCAACGAGGTGTTGTCCATCGCTGCCATGCTCTCCGTGCCCAACGTGTTTCTGCGGCCGCGCGAGGCCCAGCGTGCTGCTGACATGGCCAAGGCCGAGTTCGCGCACATGGATGGCGACCACATGACGCTGCTCAACGTCTACCACGCGTACAAGGGCACGACGGAGGCGACCAAGTGGTGCTGGGACAACTTTTTGCAGTACCGCTCGCTCAAATCGGCCGACAGCATCCGCGAGCAGCTGCGCCGCGTGGCTGTCAAGAACAACATCCCCCTGCTGTCCAATAACTTTACTAACCCCGAGTACTACCCCAAGATCCGCCGCGCACTGACCGCTGGCTACTTCATGCAGGTTGCGCACCTGGAGCGCAACGGCCAGTACTTGACGGTTAAGGACAACCAGATTGTTCTTTTGCATCCGTCGTCGGTGCTGGAGCGCAAGCCCGAGTGGGTTGTGTACAATGAGTTTGTGTTGACTAAACGCCATTACATCCGCACAGTCACGGAGGTGAAGCCCGAATGGCTGCTGGAGATTGCCCCGCATTACTATGATTTGTCGGCGTTCCCGCCGTGCGAGGGCAAGCGCATTTTGGAGAAGATTGCTTTGAAGTTTGCTCTCTCCAGGGAGGAGCAGGAGCGCAGGGTGAAGAAGGACAAGAAGGATAAGAAGCGCAAGTCCGAGAAGGAGAAGAGCGAGAAGAAAGAGAAGAAGGACAAGAAAGACAAGAAGGAGAAGAAGGAGAAGAAGGAAAAAAAGGAGAAGAGCAAGGACTAGTCCCTTTATTTATGTTTTATATTACAATAAATGCGTTCAAAGCAAGATATTATTTAAATAGCATATGTGCGCCAACATCTGACTCTTTTTTTTGCGATCAGTGATCGATTAAATTGGGCTGATTTTCGCAAGTATGTGGTTGTCTCAATCAAATGCCAGAAGAGGGTGGGGTTTGTGAATTTTTTTATCTTTTTCGAATTTCGAGCAATAATTTTGAATCTCTTTTCCTCAATCGATTTTATCTTTATTTTTCCTTTATTTTCTAAAAATGCTTGGTCGGCTCATTCCCAGGACATTGCGGTCAGCACCCCTGGCCTCAGCACGGTACAACGGCGCAGGCTTTGCCAAAGGTCTCCAGCAGCAGCGGAATTACTCTTCAGACAAGGACATGCCGACTGCCAGAACCACAGGCAATGCCGCGACCCCCAGCGGCGAAAGCGACAAGAAGAGCACGCCAGTAAGTTTGAGTTCACTCTTGGAGAGCCTGAACATGCAGGGCAACGGCAGCAGCAACCCCAGTAGTGGCAGCAGCGGCTTGGGAAAGTTCAGCAGCCTTCTTTCCTCGGGTGAGTCACCCTTGAAGGGCGATATCGCAGGGTTCACGGGCACGGGGCGGTTTGGAGGCACAGCGGGCCGCGGGCGCGTCGAGGAGGACGAGAGCGATCCGATGCGCATGCTGATACTGCATGTTCACGCGTCATCGAACAATACGATTCTGTCGCTGACGGATGCCGATGGTCGTGTGCTGGTTAATGCTAGTGGTGGAACGGTAGGATTCCGTAAGGCGCAGAGGGCTGGGTTTGAGGCTGCGTATCAGGCGACGGCGTCGATTGCGACTACGATTAAGGACCGCGGCATTAATGTGCGCAAGGTTGAGTTGAGGCTCAAGGGATTCGGCGCAGGCAGAGATGCGGCATTCAAGGCCGTGCATAGTGTTACGAACTGGGTTGTCTGCCGCGTGGTCGACACGACGCCTATTCCGTTCAACGGATGCCGCCCGAAGAAGGCCCGGAGACTGTGAGAGAAGTTTGTTAAGTATATTTATACGAAAAAATTGAATACATGAAACCAACTAAAAAAACGTATATTTGTTTTTTTAAAAGAAATGAGATGGAATTATAACAGCAATTTTATAGTAAAATATTTTAGTGTGCGTCCTTCATTCGACCCGTGTTGCGCCGCCCTCAGTCACAAACTTGTACAGGTGGCCGTTCTCGCACTCCGCCTGGCCCGACGCCCACTGGTACAGCTGCTCGGCAATAACGCCTAGCGGCGTCCAGCTCGACACATCCGCCTTGGGCATCGCCGCGCGATTAGCCGGGGTATCAATAGTAGCAGGCAAAATACCCACAACACGCCCCTGCACACCGCTCTTAGGCGCAGCCAAGCTAGCTACCATCTGGTGCACCGCCGCCTTCGCCAACCCGTACCCAACCATCCCTGGCGTCCCCGCCTGCTCCTCAACCGCCACTGCGCCTGTCAAAGCCAGCAAACCATCGCTCTTCAAATGCCTCGCGGCAATGCTGGCGGCAACCGTCGACGAGTAGACGGACTGCTGCAGGGACTCCATTACGCTATCGACAAACTTGGCGCTGGCTGCGTTCCCACCCTGCCAGCCCCCGGCGACGCACAGGATTGCGTCGATGTTTTGGTCTTTGCTGAGTAAGGGGGTCAGTTGGCTGTGAACTTGATCGCTTTGCGAGGAGAGGGCGGTTGTGTGGGCCACTGTGATGTTGCAGTCGGCTTCGGTGTTGGCGGCATGGCCGATGCTGATCACTCGCCAGGCGTTGCGCTTGAATACGCTGACTACTGATGCGCCGAGCGCGCCGAGACCTCCGTAAACGATGACTGTTGGCATTGGAAAAGTTTCTTTTTTATTGTTGGTGCGAAAAATAAGTAAATAAAATAAATAAATAAGAATAGGAGAAAAGTAAAAAGAGGTGAGCGGGCGCTGCAACGGGTTCAGTGACAAAGTATGTTGAACGCCTTGCCCCGCCCTCGTCCTGCCAACAGCCACACACAGCCAAAGCAGTAACGAAACAGCAGAGAATACAACAAAAGCAAACAGTGCGTTGTGCATTGTTCATTTTTTGTTTTGCTTTTCTTCTCACAAACGGATAATCCCAAAGAAGTGTCTTGTTGCTCGACAAGCTGCGCATATATTCAAATCTTTATTTTTAGGTTGCGAATCAGGCCCTGCCAATGTACGTGATCTTATCGAGAAGATCAACTATAATGTCCTCGCCAGGCTTGATAAAGTCCGGGACCATGACTTTGGCGCCATTATCCATAGTACCCCATACATACGTCGCGCCCTTATCCCTGGCCAGTCTCACCTCGACCTCGCGCACTTTATACGTGTGCCTCGCCGGCAGCCTCCACGAAATAGGGCCCGGCTGCGGCTCCAACACCTGCACAGTCACCCCCATGCCATCTTCCAAGAATGCCAGTTTCTCCTTATCGCCCTCAAAACTCTCCATATCCATCGTCAGCTCCTCAAACGTCTGCATGTCCATGAGGTGCGCTTGGTTGCCGTCGGCGTAAAGGAACTGGTACTCTTTTTGGATCAGAAGCATTACCTCGAGTGAGTCGTTGCCGCGGAACCGTTCTTGGGATTTGGACCCTGTGACGGCATGTTTGAGCGTTAGTTTAATTACGGCTTGGCCGCGGCCTGTGCCGCCATGGTCCTTGGCTACGACGATTTGTGGGCTGCCGTTGAGGTCAATGACCATGCCGGGACGCGCCGAGTTAGGCCCGATTTGGTACCACCGCTGGGACGCGACCCGCGGCTGCGCCAGCAGCCGGGGCCGTGGGATCCGTGCGAGAACTGAGCGAAACATATTTTATTAGGTTATTTACTTATCAGGCTGTGGTGAAAAAGGAAGAGGTGAGAATGGAGGGAATGGAGGGAATGGAGAGGAATAGGCCCATTTTTTTAAAAAAAAAAATCTTTCGTTGTCACCCTCTTTATCATTGATTTTGCTTGTGGGATCCGAGCTCACTCATGTCGGGGGTCTTTTGGCCATGCCTGGATCTATTTCTTCTCGGGGAGCTTTTGGTCACGCCTTTGACTCGCAACAGCGTATGACCAAGAAGAGGGATGGGGGAGAGCCACGCGAGCTACCCACCCGTCCGTTTTGGAGGCCACTTCAAAGCTTCAATTCCCTTTTTTGAACAACAGAAATAAAGACGATGATACTCCCTCGCATGTGTTGGCAAGAGCGCTCGGACAGCATTTCGTGTGACCGGGTGCCGCATATTCCACTCAAAATCAAGACTCACAAATTTCATTTTCTTTATCCCCTTGGCCATTTCGCATTCCTCTCCCTTTTTTCATTGTTTGTTCATGTTGGGCAATATCAAAAGCAAGGGATTCTCACATCAACCCGTCTTTGTAAACTTTTTTCCTGTAGCGAAACTAAAAATAAAAATAAAGCGACAATTTGCGGAATTAACAAAGTCTCGACGTTTTGTTCTCCATTCTACACTTTTTATTTCTCACTCTTGTAAACTTTTTATCTCAACAAAGCCATTATTTCAACAGACAAAAACGCATTACGCGCCCGCCGCGCTTATTTTCTTACACACGTTTCTAAGCTCTCTTTTTCTTCCAAATTTCTCTTTTCATTCTATTTGTTTTCTTGTACTTTTTTCATTCGTCTCCCTACATAATTTTTCATTCAATCCTTTGAATTCACAAAATCCTTTACTGTTTGATATAGAAAAAAACCAAGAATGTCTCCCAAGCTCATAGAGGGCAGGCTAGAAGTGCAGGTGGTTTCTGGTCGCGAGCTTCCCAGGCGCAGTCTTTTTGGAAGGCGAGACTCGGCAGTTGAGCTGTTGTTAGGTACATCAACTAGGCGCACGCAGGTGGATAAGAAGGGTGGGTCTTCGCCTCAGTGGAACGACCACGTGAGCTTTATTATCAGCGGCCATGGAAAGACACAAATGCAAGTACAGGCCCTTGAAATTGAAAGCTCAATTAGCAGCAAGGTCATTGGAAGCTGTGTTATTGACCTGAACAAAGTTTTTGTCGAGGAGGAAGTGGACGGTAAGCATCATATGTGAGCTTGTTTTTTCTTTTCTATTTTGGTTTTTGTGTTCCAGATGCATGGAAACCCTCCAACCCAAAAAAAGCATCTTGATTTTTTTGTCAACTGACTTGTTTCCATCTCCCACGTGTGTTAAATCTTTGTAGGTTGGTACACGTTAAAATACCAGGACAAATCAGCAGGCGACGTTTACTTGGAACTGACGTTTACGCCCAAGGGGGGGCGCAAAAGGTTACCCAAAGACCCGTTGGCCGACGAGGACGAAAACCCAGTGTTCCATACCGAGCCAAAGGTCAAGCGGATGAACGACGCCATTGCCTCGGCGCCGTCCTTGCTACATGATTCCTCGCTAATGGGCGATGCAAAGCCCAGCCCACAGATGCTGTCGGCGTCGGCGATAATGCCCATTACTATGCGCCCGTCCATGTCTGACATGCGCCCGTACTCATCGGCGTCAATGCATAATCCTGATTTAGCCAACAAGTACGCGAACAAGCACGGAATCAAGCCGCTGCCTCCGGCCCCAACCGCAGCATCTCTGCCAATGGGCGGCGCTGTGCCTGTGGGCTTGCAAAGCAGCATGGGTGGATATGACCAGACTATATTACCTGGCCAAGTACCCTTTGCAAATCAGCAGCAGCAGCCACAGCGTTTGAGCTACGGATCCGAAACATCGACGATGTACCCGCAATCACAGCAGATGATTCCTAGCGCGTCCATGGCACCTGCACACATGCAGCAAGGCCAGCAGCAGCAGCAGCAACAAGAGCCAGCGCTAATGAACCTGTTTGCGCCGCCAACCTACGTCGACGACAACACAAGCATGGCCCCATCCACCCAGCCATACAACCCAGCGTTCAATCCGACATTTGCTGCTACCGGCGCCGAACATATGATGCAGACATCAGCGCCCGCAAAGCATCTTCCACTGCCGCCGGGCCAGGCTGTCACGGGTGTCCCGATGGTGATGATGATGGTGGACTCCAATGGCATGGTCATTGGTCAGCAGCAGATGATGTCGCCGCCGTACGGCAATGAGTACCAGATGGAACCCATGCAGATGATGGCTTCCGGGTACGCGTATGCCCAGGTGCCCGTGTCGACGCCGGATATGATGAACCCGAATCAGCAGCAGTACCAGCAACAGCAGCTGATGACGCCGCAACAGCAGCAACACGAGATGTATGAATCACCGATGCCCATGCAGCAATCAACCATGGCCATGCCACAACAGCAAGTGTATCCTCAGCAGCAGTATGTTCAGCATAATCTGCAGTTTGTCCAACAGCAGCAGCAACAGCAGCAGCAGCAGCAGTTTGTCCAGCAGCCTATGCAAATGCAGCCTATGGTTGGATATGCGCAGCCTGGATACCAGCAGATGGCTTTTGAGCAGCAACAGCCTGTGTATACGAACCAAACGGGTGTTGCTTTGGAACCTTCGGCGCCAATGATGATCTATGATAATGCGCAAGGTCAATACATGCATCCTCAGCAGTATACAAATGCTCCTGGAAACCCGTACAGCAACCAGGCATATTAGTTTTTTTCCACTTTTTTTTATATCTTTTGTTACATTAAATGCATTCTTTTATTTATCCCCTTTTACGTGGTTTAAACACTTTAGGTAATCAAGCATTTGGTCATTTAAAATATAAAAAAGTACTACTGTGAACAAAAAAAATAATGCTCAGTATCCAATGCTTCTGATGTGATGCGCTCCAATGCTAGCCTTGCATTCAATGCACCTCGAACTGACTGTCGGACTACCGCACTCGCCGACCGCGTACCAATGCTGGTTTGGGCACTGGTACCACTTTACGTTTGGAATCGCAGCCTTGATCAAAGCGATATCATGTGTGCTTAGCGGACGTGTCGCAGTAGAATTGAACTGCCTGCTTGCTTGGGTTTGAGACCTGGTGGTGTACATCTAAAAAAGCAATAACAAACAAAATAACTTTGTAAAAGAATATGTGAAGAACTAATACTGGAAGGAAATAAACAGGAGTAAAAAATGGAATATTTTGTATTTTTGCCAATATTTTACAGCGCTTTAAATATCTTTTCAAAAATGTAGTCGAGAAATCGCACGCTAATAAGCTGTTTTATCGAATTATTTTTTTTTGAAATAAATTTAACGTACATTTTTTATTGTATAGCCAGAGCCAGAATCAAAGCATTGCGTGTTTTTCTCTTTAAATGCATGGTTTAAATCGAATAAATGTTTATATTGAAAATTAAAACAACCAGCGCATTTAATTGTTATCCAAGGCCAAGCGAGCAAACATGCTGTCTCTTTTAAGCAAGTTTCCAGGCGTGTCGACCTCAACAATCCTGCCCTTGTCCAGCACGACCACCCTATCGCTGTCAATAACCGTATTCACGCGATGCGCAATAGTGATAACCGTGCTATGCTTGAACTCCTTTCTAATGACCCCATGAATAATATTGTCTGTCGTCGCATCCACATCCGCTGTCGCCTCGTCAAGCACCAGAATCTTTCTATTGCTCTTCAGCAACCCCCTACACAAGCCAACCAGCTGCCGCTGCCCAATGCTAAAATTCCGGCCCTCGATATCAATCCACTTGTCCAACCCGCTGCGCAAAACCGGCGACGTTGACTCTATATTAATCCGCCGCCAGCAGCTGTTTTTAACTGTCTTTGTTTTTGTGCGCTCTTGCTCCAAGTCAAATAACGAAAACACCTCGTTTTCCTTCTCTCTGGCGGTGGCTCCTATCTCAGTGACCTCCTTGCGATTGACAAGATCTACCAGCTGCGCCTTGATGATCGCCGACCATAGATCCTCCAAAGTGTGCTGCTGCAGGGGGTCGAGATTATCCCTGATTGAACCGAAGAACAAAGCGGATTCTTGTGGGATGATCGCCAAGCGGGAGCGCAGCTCATTCAGTGGAATGCTGGATATGTCCATCTCGTCAATGAGTATCTTGCCAGAATCTGCCTCGGTTAGACGGAAAAGGGCCTTGGCCAGCGATGACTTTCCTGCGCCCGTGCGACCGACAATTCCGATTTTCTCTCCTGGCCGGATAGTCAGCGAAATACCATCCAGCGCCCGTGGCTGATCGGCGGAGTAGCGCATGCTGTAGTCGGAAAATTCCACCTTGCCATTCGATGGCCAGTTATCGGGAAGTGTCGCTGGCATGGTGCTGGTAGTTTGCGGCTGCGGCTGTAATTGGGTAAAAGATTTATAGTTGTTGACTAATTCCACGTAATCCACCAGTCTCTCGGGCAATTTAATAATGGTGGTCATCGAGTAGATAAGCTTGCCAACTGTGCTAATAATGTGCATTACCTCGGCTGACGTGATGGAATCTGGATCGCCCGGCATATGCAGAGGCTGTGTGCGTTGCTTCACGAGCACCACGACTATGGCGGCCAGGGCTGTCAGCTGCGAAATAGCCTGTTGTATGCACCTGAACAAGTTGTAGTAGCCCCACATGGCCTGGAGTCTTTGCGTGTCGCGATCAAACTGGTCCATAACTGCCTTACGAAAGTGGTTCTCTGTTTGCAGCAAGCGCACAGTCTGCCCGGCATTAATGACGGTTGTGCGCATATGGCTGTTTCCTATGTTTGTCTGTGTGCCCAGTCTGCAAAGTGCCGTTCGCGCGGGGCTCAGCCACTGCTCCAAATAGTATATGCCGATTGTCACCGGAATAATCGTGAGAAGAATCGTTATCGAGAACTGCCAGGCATGCCACAAGCTGTTGTATATGGTGACTAACATGGTCACTTCCATCCTGAACAGGACAGGGATGGAACTTTGGAGATCATGCGCAGAGTTGTAGAACCCATTTGATATCCGGCTATGTTGCTGCTCAGACGCAAAGTAAGACAGGGGAGAATGTAGAATACTTGAAAAGAACTTGTGGTTGATGCGCGGTGCACAGAGGTATTGGGCTGTGTAGGTACTCAAGTACCCGTCTAGAGCAAAAAGAAGCCCCCGATAGACATTGACAATGAGGTCCAACTGCAAATACCACAGTGCGGTAACTGTCGAAGGTGATATTACTGTGGCTCGCTGGGCCTGAAGCAGCCACAGCTGGGAAGCTCTCCATGCGAAAGTGACCACTAATGCATACACCGCTGTGCCCACGATAATCGTGTAACCGCAGATCCTGAATAAATACATGAATGCATTTTCGGCCTCTGCAATTGCCTCAGTTGCCTTATCCACTTCTGCGGTGGTATTTGGGACCGGGTCAGCAGTATTTTCCTCGGGACATTTAGATTGAAGCTCAGCCGCGCCATAAAGTGTACTGTGGAAGGTTTGATGCGGGCTGGCTTTGTCGAGCTCAGGCATGTGTTGGTAAACTCTAGGCACCTGCTTAATTACCGTAGCCTGACCACCAACCACACTGACAACCTGGTGTGCAAAGGGCAACACTTTCTTGTTGTTTGTCACCAGCACACACGCTTTCCCGCTCAGAAGCGCCATTGGACCTAGAATCAATCGGCTTAAAAGCGTGCGCGCTACTTTAGTATCAACAGCAGCCAGTGGGTCATCGAGCAGAATCAGCTCAGCATCGTCGGCCGCATATGCAGCTCGTGCCAGAGCCAATCGGGCGCGCTGGCCACCAGAAATTCCCAGCCCGCCATTGCCCACGGGGGTCTGGTCGCCAGCAGGCATACGACCAATCTCCTCGTCCAGCGCGCATGCCCATAGCACGCGCTGGTAGCGATCGGCGTCAAGCGTGCGACCAAAAAGAATGTTTGCTTGAACTGAGTCTGCCATGATAAAGGGCCGCTGCGCAACGTATGCAATGGTAGCAGCTGAAGTGTACCCCGTGCCGCGAATCAGGTCCAGTTCACCGCAAAGCGCCTGTAGCAGCGCCGATTTTCCTTGGCCGACAGGTCCGCAAACGGCCACAAGCTGGCCTGAGGTCACCGCAAAAGACACGCCGCTCAACACATTTGGCGCTGTGGCATCCCATGAGAAATCGCAGTCAGTCAGCCGGACCACTGTGTTGCTGTCGTTGGACATCCTGTCAATTGTTTTCCGTCGCTCCGCACGCAGGCTGAGCGCCAGTATGCGATTGGACTCACGCACACTACGCCACTCAAAAGTGCTGCCAAAAACCAGCCCGATATGCCCCGACAGCATGTGAATCTGCTGGCGCATCTGCTGCAGTCGTGCGCCGTTGTAGCTGCCATTTGCAGCGTCATACATCATGAATGCCACCAGAACTGCAATGCATTTGGCAGATGACTGCAGGACAATGAGAGATGTGTTGACAACATAACGCACCACACGCAAGCGCAACGGATATGAGCTCTCGCCATCATCATCAACATAGGTCTGCGCCCAGCGCAGGTACTTTTCTTCCCAGGCATGCAGCTTAATAGAAGTAATGTTGGAGCAGATCTCGTCCACGCAGTCATACGGCTGCAGCACAAACCATCGCGCTGTCGCATATTCTAGCACAAGGTAGCCCAGTTTTGTGGCAACATAAATAAAGAGTACCACAAGCGCTGAAGCCACTGCCACGCCTGTCCCAAGAGAATACGCTATAGTGACAACTGAGATAATTGCGGTAAGCAGAGCCGATACATGCATAAACACGTTGGACACGGCGAAGACCAGCTGTTCGGGGTGATGGTTGCCAAAGCGAAACATGTGGGCGTTTTGTAGCGGTCCAGCTCCTGCCTGCAATGGAGCAAGGAATATAGCCAGTTCAATGGCCTTTGTGATGCGCTTTATCTCTCCCATACGCCAGTTGTTTACTCGCAGGTCCTGGCCCTGCACAAAGCGCGCCACCCCCAGGCTCCCAACCAGCAATAGGCACCATGTCAATGACGACGTTTGTGGTTTATCAATCTCGGCCAGCAGTCGCCCCATTAGCACCGCATCTATGTACTGAGCCAATGAAAGTGTCTGTTCGGCAAGGAAAATTGGCACATACGCTGGCGCCATCATCCGCGCTATGGCCCGCACAACAAAAAACCGCTGGTGTGGGTCAAATGTGAATTCGGACAGGAGGTGCTTTGCCGCGAACCGCTCTCCTATATCCCAGTTGTGCAACAAATTGCTTGTGTTTGCGCTAGCCCTTTGTGCCATGCGAAAGGGCTGTACCAAAAACACATTCCGCAGCGATCCGGATAACGCCTTGCAATCGTTGCCATCAACCTCACCATAAATAAGCAATCCGTGAAATACAAATCCTAATACTGCTTCAGCTTCCTGCTGGCGGCCAATGATAACGCTATGCAAAACCGCCCGGTAGCATCCGTTGGCACTAGCCATTAACCTGCACCAGTGCAACATTCGTGTGTTTTTTGCATTCAGCGATTGTAGCACACCTACTGAAACTAGCCTTGCTATGTAGACTGCGTCAACGACCCTGCCTGATACTGATATTGCCACCAGCACCGCCAGCATAGCGTGACTTGTGTAAAGCCGCCACCGAAAGTACACCTGCTTTTGGCCAAAAACCATTGCCAAAAACACATGCCAAACTGCTGTCAGAACCACCACTGCGTCAATAATGTGCACCCACGTCTGCTGGGATATGTTTAGTTTCATTTGGATGGTTGAGTATAAATTAAATATTTTAAAAGAAAGTTGAAAAGAAAACGTCGCAGCAAGCCAAGCGTCTTAAGCGTGAGAATTCAATTGTATTCGCGCCAACCGCAAGTTTGTCGTTCATATTTGCATGCTTTCTGTATGCACGCCAAAGCGGATTTCAAATATTTGCGTATTCTCAGTCACATGAAAAGTTTAGAAGTGCAACAAAATTGTTGTTTGAATATACCGCAACCAGGCCGATCTCTCAATTTCTACTTGTACAATTGATTTTATGTTTGTATGTTGGTTTAAACAACCCCTTTATGCGACTCGTAGTGTCTATAGATGCTATTTGATTTATTTATATGCCACCAATCGGTAATTAGGCTAATCAAGTTTAACTGTAATTTAATATTAACATGTTGAAGGGTATAAATGACTAAATCGAAAAATAAAAAATAAAAAAACCAGCGGCCTTAAAATCTGCCAATCATCGCCTTGCACTCAACACACTTGCCGCTGACCACGGCTTGTCCACAGTCACCGACAGCATACCAATGCTTGTTGGGGCACTCGTTCCGGATTTTGTCAGGAAATGCAGACTTTACAGTATTGACTTCCTGCTGGGTGACTGGCCTGTACTCGCTGAATGTGGGCGCCTTGCTGATCGACGCACCGTTGGGTTGGGGTGTGTTCTGGTGCTTCAACTGCTCGATAACTTTGGTCACAATGTCGTTAATTGCCGCTCGCATGGCACCTTCACCTTTATTGGGTACCTCGTCTTTGACCATCCTGGCCATCTGCTTCAAAACTCTTGCATCTGCAGTAGTATCGACGGCTGACTTGGTTTTGTCATTGATTTCAAAGCGGTCAGCTTGGCTGAACAAAGAAGGATTGGTGGCGGATTTTGCGTCAAAATTGTAGTCTGGGTATCTGTTGGCTGACTGGGCTTTTGAGTAGCACATTGTTATTTGGACGACTTAAATAAAAAATTATAAACTGCTATTTTTTTATCTGCCAAAATTTTGGAGGCAAAAATGATTTATATCATTTTTATACAAGAACCGGTCACTGCGCTCAAAGCTCAAATGTGTGTAAAATACAATTTTAATCCAGTTTTTGTTTGTTGCTTGGATACATCATTTTGTTTTACCATTTTCGCCCATTCAATTAATATTTGGTAGTGCAAAGCTTAAATTGACAAATTTAGTTGGTCACCTGAGAAGTGCCCTTAACTATACTTTATGGTTTTTGACGCTGATTTGAAGCAGACTTTTTATGCAAAACATTAAAAAACAGATTTATCAGTTGCAGCCAATTATTTATTTTTATCTTATTCAACCCCTTTTCATATATCCAAGCATGGTCAAATTTGCAGTCGTTTGTGCGAGCAACATGAATCGCAGCATGGAGGCACACTACCAGCTCAAAAAGCAGGACTACAACATCCAGTCATTTGGCACTGGGCAGACACTACGGCTCCCCGGACCCTCTCCGACACAACCCAATACTTACCCGTTTGGAATGCCATACACCGAGATCCGAGAGCATCTTAGATCACAAAATAACATTGAAGTCTACACGCGGCTAGGCCTGTTCTCCATGCTAGAGCGCAACGTCAAGGTTAAGGCAGCTCCACAGCGGTTCCAGCTCGAGGAGAGCAGCTACGATGTGATTTTCACCTGCGAGGAGCGCGTGTTTGACAGTGTCTGTGAAGAGCTGCTGAACCGCGCCGGAGTGAAGAGCCAACCGGTGCACGTCATTAACGTGCAGATCGAGGATAACAACCGGGATGCTATTATTGGCGCAAAGACGATTGTCGAGCTGGCGAGGATGATCGTGGCCGCTCGCGATTTGGAACGCGATATCGATGGTATTATTGAGGATGTGCAGAATAGGATGCCGCACCGTCTTTATTACATGTTGGCATTTTACTAATTTTAATTGAGTTCAACAAAGCATCGCATGCGCACACTTTTATATTTTCAGTTGCTCTGCTCAAAGTCTTGTTATAGTAAAATTTAAATGTTTTTAAAAGCTCGTTTATTCTGAAAAATTGCAAATTAAGAGAGTTTTGGACAAGGCACTCGAGCCGTCACAAACTCATAAGAATAATCGGATGCTGGTGTATGTGTAAAGTTACATATTTATAAAATAAGACTTTTAAGCTAGTCGCAAAATGCAAATATGTATGCTTTTATAAATATCTAACTTTTTAGTTTCAGTACATTTACTCAAATATTTAATGGAAAATGCATTGGAATTTAAATAATATGATTCAAACAAAACCAGCAAAAAATATTTCGGTTTTTGAAAAGACAAATAAAGAAATTGTTAACAAACTCGGCATGTCAAAACGCCAAATTTAACCAAGCGAGCATCTAATATCTGCATTCCAGCATGCATTGTAAACCCCTTTCACAAATTGCGCAGCTTCTGCACTCTGAGCTCTGTATCCAAAGTACCATCCTCGTTTGGCTGGCGTTTGTGCTTGGATGCTCCGTTGACAATGTACTTGTTAAATAATTTAATCACCTTTATCGTCGAAACTGGTGATGACGATCGCTCGGAAGAATGTGTTGGCGATGATTCACAAGAGGAGGTTGGGGTTGACGGCTGTTCTATCGGAAATGCACTCGTCGACCCGGCAGTCGCTACCGGGTTTGCACAAGCAGTGGGCTTTGTGATGTCTGTTGCTGTGGTTGCAATATGAGCTGCTGGTTCAACAGGCGCGGCGGCGGGCTTTGCATTGGTACAATTATTATCGCCACTCTTGTGATCCTCGCTGCCGTCGTCCTCATCGTTGTTCTTATTGTCGCCCTCATTGTCGTCCGCAGTGCCATAAAGAAACATTATCTGATTGTCGCTTGCTTTACGCACTTCCCAACTGCTGCTCAACAGAAACCTGCCGATAAAATAGTTGTTCTTGCTGAAAAGAAGCCTGCGAAGCGAATCCAGAAATGTTCGCACCTTTGACGGAATAGTACTACAAATGCCAAAGTGTTCGGGATAGGTTGCGATGTCTGTCATGCCACCAACCTTTGACGTTGCTGGAAGTTCTGGAATACCGGCTCGAATTTGTGACTGTGGCATTCTGGTTTTCCAAAAACTGATGTATTCAAAAATTGCCAGCATGGTGTAAAGCAGCGACTCGATGTCGTCTAAAATGCTATGTTGCTGACAATATTCCAGCAAAATCCGAATGCTCTTAAAGTGATCTGTGTCTGTGATTCGGCTGTATTCCCTCTTAAACTTTGACAAGTAGTCTATGTCAACTCCCCACGCTTCATTGACGCTCTTCTTCACTGTCTCTGATACTTCGGGGATAATCTTCGCGTATCCTTAGTTTATCACAAGTGTGTCCTTTCCGCGCCAAGTAATGTTGTCTGGAGTAATGTCGCGGTGGAGCACGCCTGCCCTCTTGGCCTGAACTAAACACGTGCAAACGGTAGAATATATTGTCCACATTGTGTCTAATAAGCCGCATTGTGAGTGATTCAAAAGTAGACCAGACCGACTCGCCACAGCCCTCCGTGATCAAGAACTCCAGTCGGTACCCAAACAAGTTGCTGTGCAAAATGCCGCTGCGATAGACTGTCGGCACTCCACTGATGTTTCCCGCCTCCAGCACATAATAAATGGCACCCTCAGGCTGACAATTGACGGGCGCCCACAACAGCTTGAGCACAAATTTGTATTGCCAACTTTTGTGCTGAACACGTACGATGCTCGACCAAAAGCTCCTACGTCAAAGCTAATCATACCACTGGTGTCGACCGCTGTATATGTGTGCTTATCTACTACCCTGACCGTGGATTTAGTCTTGGTGCCGCTGAACTCGAGGAATCGAAATACATGGGTAACATGGACAAAGTGTCCAAACCTGTCCGACAAGAACTTCAGAAAAAACCAGAGTTGACGGAGGCAAACCTGCTGTTTATTTTTTTGGTCTGATCGGGGAAACTGTAGTGTAGAAAACGGGCCGAATTCCACACAAATGCAGCCACCACGAGTGAAGTCCAGAAAGTCCAGCATTTTCCTGTGAAAGGGCAAAAACAGGGACAAACAAGCGAGTTGGCTGGGCCTCTAATGTCTTCCTTGCAGATTCACCAACTTGCCCCAGCGGCATTGGAGGCAATTTGTCGGTGTATTTGGCAGTACTTGCTTCCAAAAGGAGGTGCACATCCTGGAACGAGGACACAATCCCACACATGTGCACCAGAATCCCATCTGACTTAGACCGCGATTGAGCTAATGGCGTTGCCTGACGATCCTTGGATCGATAGATCTGCTCCGGCCGAGCCAGAAAAAAAGAAGCAAAGCCTGCATTTTGGCGGCAAAATCTTTGACGGTAAGCGGCAATATGTACTTCAGCAGCTGCTCGCCGAGCTTCTGGTATTTCTCTTGAGCCCTTGGCTCGCGTTCGGATTTAGCGATAAATTCTTGTACAGTAATCTTGGAATTGGCGGGTTACTGTTTAGTGCGTGCTGGGGTTGGAGTTTGGTCTCCTGGGTGGCCGCCCTAAATATGATTGAATATGTTTTTTTGAAAATTGTTTTTTAGTATATATTTTACTAAATAATTATAAAATTATTCTCAATTATTGCAACTACTATTTATATATTGTTTAGATTTGTACTTCTGGGTTCACCGACTTGCTCCGGGGTGTGAGTAGCTGGATGCTCTCAGATGGTGCACGCTTTCAGTTATTGCTGTTTGTTGTTATGTTTGACAAATAAGTTCCAAAGTAGGGTGATGTTTTGTAATATGCAAAAAGTTTAAAAAATATGCAAAATATGCATAAAATTATAACTTGGAATATTTAAGACTCAGTAACTTTAAAATTTAAACAGTCAAAAACATGCAACCAATGCTCTTCCATGTTTTATTCCAATACTCTATATTGCAATATGTGAACAAGGCAATATAGTGCCTTTTCCAAACAATGCAAAATTAACAAAATAACATGTTCGTAGTTTTTACATATCTTCATTTCCATTTCCCTCTTTTGCTTTTCTGAATATGCATTTCATATTGTTTTCAACGTACACTTGTTAATAAAAATTTTCATGCAAATCATGTTGACGCGTGTATATCCTCAAGTCTACTGGAAATATACGTGCAATGCCGCAAAGCCAATAATTATTGCCTATTCATTAATATTGCGATTTGTACCATGTTAATATTTATGTTGCCACTGGCATATTCGATACCGAGTTTTACTTAGCATGCGCATGGCAAGGGTTTCTGCATGTATGTTGATTGTCTTTACTTTATATTTTTGTTACTATATTAAAAATAAATCAGCACCACCCTATTTTTTTACCACAGCACTATTGTTGTCAGACAAAGCATTCAATAAAAATATAATTTCAAAGCAATCCCATTTTTTGACAAATGCTGCGCTTTGGCCATGATTTCAAACATTCCAATAAAGTGCTTCTGCGGGCATAATAAACATCACACTCGCATTATCTCTATTTTTTGTAACGCGGCTTTTGAATTGAACGATCACCGCACTATATTTATTTCAGCTCGTTATGTGGCGTAAAGCAAGCGCTAATGAAATCGGCTATTTGCGTAAAGCATCCACAATGCTCCATCTATCTACATCCGCCTGGGCGACAGGTACAGTTTTATTCCATCGATATTGTGCATTTGTCAGCACAAACAAAGAGCCACACCCCGACCCGCTTCCCACGCATATCAGCATAATGCTCTGCCTATATCTAGCCACAAAAGTGACCGAGGAGCCACGCAAACAGCGAGACATAATCAACGTTGGGTACAAGTTAGCGCACCCGGACTCCACATTTCTACCGATTAGCAGTAGCACACTGAGCGCGCTGCGCGTAACGCTGACGCAGGGCGAATTAATTCTCATGCGAGCACTCGGATTTAACCTCACTGTGGATTTGCCCCACGCGTGGATAGCCAGCACGTTGTATGGAATGCTGTGGTGGGAGCGCAATGGACAGCCGCCGGACGACACTGAGATGGTGGATGTTAGAGCCAAGAGGGTGGCGGGCACTGCGTGGGCTGTGGCTAATGCGGTTGTTGAGCGCGGGTTGGTCGATAGGGAGCCGGCGAGACTGATAGCAGCAGCTTGTATTTACATTGCGATGGACAATCATGGAGAGAAGCTGCCAGCCAAGAGCCTTGACGAATGGGCCGACATCTGGGCAAAGACTACAGGCAGGCGCATAGAAGCCGTGCGAGCGCTGATTGAGCAATCTGTAGATGTGCCGCTTGTCATCGAGCAATTTAACATTCAGAATAACCGAAAACCACATTCATTGGCAGAAAAATAATGCGCAGCAGTCTCGGAAAATAAAAATGGAGGCTGCAAATTAAATATTGAATTGTCATCTTTTTGATTTTGTCAAAAATATAAATATGAAAAGGTGGAAAGCAAAGAATATATTCTAGTGCTGCGACCACTGGATAGACTTGAGATCGATTCCCTCCAAGTGCATCTCCCACAGCGGACTCATCTCGCGTAGACGGTTAACGTGGGCCTCGACATTGTCGACGACATAATCGACCTCGGACTCGGTTGTGAATCTTCCTAAACCAAAGCGAATCGATGAATGCGCCATGTCGTCCTCAGCACCCAGCGCGCGCAGCACATACGAGGGCTCCAGCGACGCCGACGTGCAGGCCGAGCCCGACGACAGTGCGACGTTCTTTAGGGCCATCAACAAGGACTCACCCTCGACAAATGAAAACGAAAGGTTGACGCACCCCGGGTACATGTGATCGGGGTCGCCGTTGCGCACTACATGCGAGACGCGCTTCTGGATGCCTTCAACTAGGCGATTCGCCAGTTTCTGCATGTGAGCGTAATCGTACGAAAGCTCGCGCTTGCCCAGGGCTGCAGCCGCACCCAAGCCGACAACGAGCGGCGAGGGCACGGTACCGCTGCGCAGACCACGTTCCTGGCCGCCACCGGTTATGATGGGCTCGAGGCGGACGCGCGGGCGGCGACGCACATACAATGCACCGACGCCCTTGGGGCCGTAGAGCTTGTGTCCCGAGATACTCATAAGATCAATGTTCATCTCGTTGACGTCCAGTGGGATCTTGCCCGCCGCCTGTGCAGCGTCCGTGTGGAAGAAGATGCGGCGCTCGCGACACAGCTTGCCAATCTCTTTGATGTCCTGGATGACGCCAATCTCGTTGTTGACCGCCATGATGGACACCAGCGCTGTGGTCGGCCGCATAGCTTCCTTGAGGTCGTCCAGGCTGATGCGCCCACCCTGGCTAACCGGCAAATACGTCACCTCGAATCCTTCCTCCTGCAGCACACGGCACGAGTCCAGCACGCACTTGTGCTCGGTCTGCGCCGTGATAATGTGGTTCTTCTTCCCCTTGTAGAACCGTGCCACGCCCTTGATCGCCGTGTTGTTGGACTCGGTCGCTCCCGATGTGAAAATAATCTCCTTAGGGTGCGCCCCGATCAAGCTGGCCACCTGCTCGCGTGCAATGTCGACAGCATGCTCTGTGTCCCAGCCAAACTTGTGCGTGCGCGAGTGCGGGTTGCCGTAGCTCTCGGTCATAAAGGGCATCATGGAGTCCAGGACCCGCGGATCCAGTGGCGTGGTTGCCTGCGCATCAAGATAAATGGGCATCATGTTATTACCCTCGCTGGCTGCTGCGCTGCCTTCGATGGGCTTGTTGTGGTTGGTCACTGTTGCTGCGTCAGCCTGGCGCAGTGCTGTAGTCGAGAGGAGTCTGTGTGCGCGGGCGAGGCGAGGAACCACGGCGGCGCGCGACCCGAGGGTGCAAATAGCTCTTGAAAACATTTTTTGAATAGAAAGCTCTAGCTATATATTTTAATTTAAAGTTGCGAGGGCAAATGAGAATAATAAATTTTTGTTTAAAAATAAAGACGAGCACAATTAAAGTGCAATTTGTAGTACAGCGACAGAAAAAGGAAGGGTTTTTGCCATCAGAATCGGGCAAACTTTAAAGGTGCAAAAAAATCATGAGCACCAACCAATCCCTGATAAGGGCATAAACTTGTAAAAATGGCGAAATTCATCATTTTTTCCGTCACATGCGTGATTAGGGTGATCACGCAGAATTGCAAATTCCACTCCAGCCTTGATTGGCTGAGAGCTGTGCCTGCGAAGAGAACGCAAGCGGAGCTTTGGGACGTGAGCACGAAATTGTCGCTTTAGACTGTCAAACCCGCCACATCTAACGAATATTAAAAAAGAAAAATTAATTTTATATGTTTGTCAAAGTCAAGTGGACCTGAACTGACCTGATTATTCTTTGTTTTTGTTTGCGTATTCTTTAAATTTCTTTTCTGTTTTATTGACACAAAGTGTGGACATTGTCTTGTCAGAACGGTTGAGTATCACCAAATGGTCGCGCAATGTTTATCGCACGCTGCAAGTACTGCAGAAAATTTATCCTGTCAGGTTTGTAGCTATTTTGGGGGTGATTTCCAGAACAATAATGAAGATTGTGTCCATGCCAAAAATAGAGCTACAGACAAGCCAAAGTGAAATCGCGTCTTGTGTCTGTTTTGCTTTTTTCAAATGTCTGTATTTTGGATACACTTCAAGAAGCAATCGAGTATCTCGCGTTTTTTGTGTTTGTCATCCGAATCAATCTTCAACAAAAATAGTGTTTTGATGCCAGCGCTCGCAACGATATCGCACTATTTAGACAAACATGTTTTGAAGCACAATGTTTTATTTTGAGGCGAGTATGTGCGGTTAGAAGCAAAACATGCGAACAATGGCGTCTGCGCTGCAAAGCCGGAAAATAGACAGCGGTGGCAAATATCCAATGTTTATCATGCAAGATGACAGGACACAAAAGCCTGCGTTATTTTTTCCTTTTAGGAGGGCTGCAGATTACAGATTCCAGCGCAAAGTAAGAAAAGTTTGTTGCCATTTATTCGGCTGATAGTCAACACAAACAACACATGAAAAGGGGTCAAAATAAGGGAAATACTGATTGTTGTAGAGTTGTGATTTCTTAAATCAATAAGACGAAATAACAAATAAAGCAAAAAGAGAGGTGTTCCCTAAATTTTGTTGGCTTTGTTGTTGTGCTCGAGAAGAACAAGGCAGCTGGTGGCTGGGGGCTGATAGAGAGGGGCTGCAGCCGGTGCACACACCCATTTTCATTTGCTTTTTTCCTATTGCTATTTCTATTTCCTATATGATATACACGCTCTAAAAACAAACAAACAACTTTTCGGACTCGAATTGCATGCAGGGATGTGTTTTATTTCTATATCCCAGCATCGGCGTGTGGCTCTCTTCACTATGATATTTATTAAAGCGACGCACACACTGGACAAGTGGCAGATAATAGAGTGTAAAAATCAATGATGCGCAAAATAATGAGATGGGATCGTCCAAAAAAGAGGCTTTGTCCAACCTGTTTTTTTGTCATATTTTGGCAAACAGGGTGCACTACTATATATCATTTTTGTGCGGTTCTCTGTCGTGTGCCAAAGTATTAACGTGGGTATTTTTCAGGTAACAACAATAAAAGCACCATTATCATCATCGGCGGCAGGGATAGAAAAAGCACGCGCACGGAGCAGTGATGAGTTTGCTGTGTATCAATGAGGGGAAGGAACTGGAGTTTTATGTGTTTAATTCAACGGGTGAGAATGATAGATGCGCGACACAATGGACAATACACAATGCCCATTGCTATCTTTTTTTAGTAGTCTCACCTCATCCACAAATATACATATAAATATACAATCGCACACACACTCTCTCTCTGTGTCTGTGTCTGTCATCGCACTGTTCTTGCAATCGAAATTGGATTCCTAATTTGTCCGAACACTCTGAACCCCCGAACCCAAGATGTAAACACAAAACATCTCGGTGCATCTGTGATTGAATAGTTCACTTTTTTTTTGTTCAAAGTGGCAGAGGATATTTTTCATAATCTATCTGCGTTTTGTATGCAACTCGACGTTCAAAATAAGCGTGCATCTCGAGTGTTAGTTTTTTATTTTGGTGTTTGGGTAAGCCTCTTTCTCAAAAAAGATATACAGACAGTGAAACTGCGGGCTAACCTCAAACGGCGCACTATTACCACCGGCGGCCACAGGTCCGATATTCTTTGTTTTGTTTGGGCCATAGTTTTCCCTTTTCATTCATTTAATTGCGTGCCGACCCTGTTCTATATCCTATAGCCTCTGCATACTCCTTTTTTTGAACCCCCTCCCCCCGCTCCCCTTTTAAACGACCGCATATATTACTCATTTCCTCCAGTCTTACTTTTCTCATCATTTTTTCCCTTGCCCTCTTTTTTTCTTTATATTTTTCTTCTGGACGACAATCCCAGTACAAAATAAAGCAGAACCCTCTTGTTTTTTCTGCCACCCAACAGTTTCTTTTTTTCTCATATTTTCATTACTATACACCGTTATTACACATATCCATTATATATTATTATTATCCCTGGCTTAACTATAGACATTTATAACGCTTATATTTATAACAAGGTGACCACCACCTGTTCTATACTTGTTTTTTGTTTTTCTTTCGCATACCAGTGTACTCTTCGCTGCGAGACAAAAGGCCGACATTTTTCACCACACTTACATGTAAGTCTCAATTGCCCTTTATATTTTCCATTTTTCATTCACATCAACCATCGCTCTTTTGAGCTCAAAAGTCATTGCCACTGACTGTGTTTTTTGTAAGACGCTTTTAATTTACTTGGCGCTTCGATTTTACATTTTTTTTCTTGCTCTGCGTATCCACCCGCAACAAAGCAGTAGGTAAAGAAGAAAAGGCGTCTTCAGCAGATAAAATTATATTTGACCGAGTCCTTGGTTTTTTATTTTTATTTCCACCCTCCCCGCCATTTTTTTGGTGAGGAAAAAAATAAATGTGACATTTTCCTATTCTTTTTTCTTGACAGCCTTTGCACATCCTCTCCTGCCTTGATTAAAGCGCGGGCTTTGAATTTGCGCTTTCTCACAAAAACTTTGCACTCCCTTATCCCAATTCGCTTTTTTTCCTGCTGCCTGCTGCCTGCTGCCTGGTTGCTGCTGTCATTTTGATTTCAGAATCACTCTTCTGTCCATACCCTTCTTTTTATTATTTGTGCATTATTTGTCAGTGCTCTTTTTATTATTCTCGCTTTCGCTTGGCTGCCGGCTGCCCATCGCATCTGCCTCGTTGCTGCAGTCCACCCTTTTGCTTTTGCCTATTTATTTAAAGCCCTGCGGCCTTTTCTCATTTCCTCTCTTTCTGCTCCCTTTCCAGTTTTTTGTATTGCTCACATACATTTTTCTTTTTGTTCATCTCCATTTTCGTCCCTATCCTCATTATTTTTTATTATTTATTGCACCTGCTGGCTCCCTCTCTCTATTCACAGACAATTATTTTTATTTGCCTGCTTATTCGCCGGCATCCCAGCCACCCCACGCTCTTCACTCCCCCACTAAGTTTCTGTTTCCTTTTCCCCCTTTTTCACTCGTGGTCGGTTACATAACAGACATATAAAGACATTTTTAGCTCTTTCGAGCTTGCTGGTTGATTCACGCATAATTGTAACTCCTTATATTGGTCATCCTCACGAAGGCATCAGGCATACTTTGCAACACGACACGACAAAAACTTTTCCACACTCTTGCATAAACTTGAGCTTTTTTATTTCAGTCGCCGCCAAGAGACATACTCTAACCCAGCTCAGCCCAATCTTGGCATTATCAGCAACGTATATTAACAAAACCAAACATAATAGTTGCACTTATTTATCACCATTACCATCTCTTTTCTCTCTCTCTCTGTCTATCCATCCTTTTTTCTCTTATATTAATTATTATTATATCTCTGTATACATTATTTTTTGGGATCTAGCTAGTATTTGGATAACTCAGTGTCTATGGCTTTCTCGACGCCCTTTATGCACCGGCGGTCCATTGGCGACTTTAAATTCGAAGGCGATTCAATTGAATTTCGACGCCGCTCCTTGGCGCTCGATCCCACGGCGATCGACAAGTCTGCTTTCTACGGACACAGCGCAAAAGGCAGTACTGCGGCTGGCCCTCACCCTGCCCATCTGGGTCCGCAGCAGCAGCATTTATCGCATGCCCTCGGCCAGTATCAGCCACCGTCGTTGCCAACGATGCCTGCGCCAGCCCAGTATGCAACAACGGCTTTACAGTCGCAGCAGCAGCAAATGATCTTGCAGCAAAACCGTTTGCTGGCTGGTGACTACGCGGCAGACACAATGTCGCCGCACAATTACCAGGGGTACACGCAGCACTTTGCACCGGCCTCTGGTCCAGTCCAGATATGGATGGGCGATATTGAGGCGTGGATGGATGACGAGTGCATTCGGCAGATGTGGGCTCGTGCAGGCGAGTTGGTGTCAGTGAAGATGATCCGTGATAGACTTACAGGAGGGCCGGCAAACTATTGCTTTATCGAGGTACCCATGCAGGCTGATGCTGAGCGCCTATTAGCGCTGTACAACGGCAAGAGCATGCCAATACCATTCGACCGACCGTTCCGCCTCAACTGGGCATCGGGCATGACGATGGGGCTCGGCACCGCCCTGTCTCCGTTGGCGCCGGGTGCTGGCTCGAGCACGCTTGCCGCGTCGCCGTACTACTTGTTCTCAACAATTGCGGAAAGTGCTACTGGAGTGCCCACGCCGACTGCGTCGAACCTTGCGTCTACAATGCCCCCGGTGTATAACACGGCCGAAGGCCCTGAGTACTCGCTTTTCGTCGGTGATCTGGCGCCCGAGGTCACTGATATGCAGCTCATTCACGAGTTTCGATGCCGCTACGCATCTGTGCGTGCGGCCAAGGTTGTGACAGATCCTGTTACGCTGCTGCCGCGCGGCTATGGGTTTGTTAGGTTTGGCGATGAGGCTGACCAGCAGCGTGCGCTGGTGGAGATGATGGGCCAGATGATGGGCTCGCGCGCAATCCGCGTGTCAACAGCGACTCCTAAGCGCACACCGACTATGCCTGCGCTGCTTCAACAGCAGCAGCAATACATGACTGACTCTGCAGCTGCTGCGGGCTCAGCCTCGGCTATTGCAGACACCCGTGACATGACGCGGTCGCCCGCATCGTCAGAGGCAAGCATTGACAGCAACGCGCTGTACAACCCGGCAACAGACCCGTTCAACACCACTGTATTTGTCGGCGGCCTGGTCAACCCCGTTAGCGAGGAAGAGCTGCACGCGTTTTTTTCGCAATACGGCGAGGTCAACTACTGCAAGATTCCGCCTAACCGCGGCTGTGGCTTTGTCACATTTGCCAAGCGTCCCAACGCAGAGACTGCCATGCGCGCGCTCAACGGACATATGCTCGGTGGATCGCGCGTGCGCTTAAGCTGGGGTCGGTCGCAGAGCCACGCTCGCCACAACCACAAGAGCCAGCACCACCATCATCATCATCACCATCACCATCATTCCCAGCAGGGAAGTAATGGCAGCAGCGGTAGTGGTGGTGGTAGCGGTGGCGGGGGCAGTAGTGGGGCCAACTCGCACCGAAACAGCGTTAGTGAGCAGAATGGTATGGCTGCGCGCCGCTCGGTGAGCTTAAGCAAGCCTTCTACAAAGCTGGCACCCACTGCAATGCCGGCTGCTGTACATGGCCTGGGACTCAGTGGCGCCTCAAATGTATTAATGGCGTCTGCCGAGTTGGCAGACTCAAAGTCCGCCATTTCAGCCCCCCTGCATATACCAACCACTGGCAACCCCTCAGTCGCGCAGCCATCGCCTGGGATGTCTGGTGGCACATTCATGGGGGTGTTGCCGTATATTCAGCAGCAGCAGCAACAGCAGACTTCTAACGCGTACAATTTGACGCCTCAGTCGGCATTCTATGCTGTGAACTCCATCCACCCTGGTGCGTCCAATTCGGTGTCGACAATGGAAGGTCTTGGCGGCGATTCTGGAGCCAGAAACACTGGTAGTGGCAATATTGGAAGGGGCGGCTTTGCAGGAGCTCCCCTGCCGCAAACTTTGAACGGATTTGCATACCAGCAACAGCAGCAGCAGCAGAACTACTATTACTCGCATCAGCAGGACGCTATGATGTTGGCAACGCCCATGACGGCGCACACTCCTGGAATTGGTGACTCTCCCCTTTTTAACACGCACTATGAGCTCCAGCAGTCTCAGCACCACCAGCACTTTCAGCGCAACAGCGGTCAGTTTGAGAACATGCACCAGCTGCAGCAGAATGCATATGGCCAGCAGCAGCAACTTGATTGTCTGGATACGCTCAGTACTGGCACAGTGCTACCCAGTCTTTTGACCTGTCCGAGCGAGCTACTCACGCGCCGCCTCAGCACATTGACGCTTGGCAACAACCCTAGAAACGTTCTGACACCCACGGATACCCAGTCGCAAGCCGTTGGCAATGGCCCGTCCGTGTCTGTGGGTCTCCCCAACCCGCATCCGCTGGACAGAAGGCCTAGTGCCGGTGTCATTGGCCAGCGTCGTCTTTCAACCAAACCCTCCTTTCTTCAACAGCAGCAGCAGCAACAGCCAGCAGCACATTCGCTGGTATCGCAAAAGTCGTCGTCGCAGCTTTCATTTGCCAATTTGTGGCAACAAACATCCTCTGTCGGCGACTATCCTCACAGCACACTGTCGAACCAGCTGGGAGACTACCAGGGTGCTCTTTCAACTCCCGCGTCGTCTGTCCACCAGTCGACCTCGAGCTTGTCGCTCTTAACCATGACCCCGTCGATGAACAAACGGGGTAGCATCAGCACCGGAGAGACTAGTCGCAGACAAAGCAGCGAAGACCAGTCGCACCAGAAGAAGCACGATGAGTTTGGCCACTTTGACTTTACTCTTGGCAATGGCAACAACTGAGTACACAACTCAACCAGTCGCCCGGCTTGGCTGGTCCACGTTTTCTTTGGTGGGTTTTTTTTTGCTTATTGGCACGCGAACCTGCGGAGGGAGCATTTGGAGTGTTTGGTTGAAACGACATTTGTAATTCCATTCTTCTTTTTTCCATAGCGCAATTCTCGCATGCTATACGTTATTTCCAATTGTTTTTGTTTTTTTGTTTTTCCTTTTTCCTCATCTTTTTATCTCTGCCATGTTGCATTCTGATTTTTCTTTTTTCTTACACTTTCATTTCGCATACCTTTTTTCATATGCAAGCTTTTTTACTTTTCAAATCCATGTTTTATTCCATGACTGTCAACTATTTTGATACTTCTCAAAAGGATGTGCTCATACAGTTTTTCGCATCACTTCAAAATGTATAATATAAAATATGAGATTGAAAAATAAAATTATCAATGAATGATTTTGCCAGGACGCAATTACAAGCAGTAGGGGAAATAGCTGAATATTTATACAAATTGAGTACTTTTACGTACTAACACTATGGAAAACACGTGTGGAGTATTATTGCACGCCTTATTTTTGTTGTCTCGCAAAAAATATCAGCATTGAACAGTTTATGCTAGCTTTTTAAGCATGCATTTTGTTCGCCGACCTGCCAATAATTCCGCATGCTATGATGTCCTCTTTGAACAAGATCAACGACTGCTATAAGATAGCTGAAGAGCGTGTCCTTGAATCGAGTCAACAGCCAAAGCTGGTTGATTGGTTGGTTGGAAAACAAGCGTATGGGTGTGTTAGAAAGAACAAGATTCCCTCCATGAGGCAGTTTGGACAAATAAACCATACCCCGGCCAACATTTTCATTGGATTGCAAGCCAAATGTAAGCTCAGTGCACCTTACTAGTCATTTTTACCTACATTTACAAATGTTTTTTTTGTGACAGGGACAATCTTGAAAAAAAAGTTTTGAAATAATGACATCATTGAAGCCTAATTCAATATTTTTCGTTAAGATCTGCAAAATTCTGAAAGGACTCTATTTAAGGCTAGCTGTAAAAATAAACAAAGAAAAATAATTGTTATCGACCAAGCCAAAAATGTGGGTGTGGCTGTAATTTCGGCATGCCAAATGATGTCAACTTTAATTGGGTTGCATTTCTATAAACAAATTTTCTTTGGACCAGACCGCCCGCCAGTGTTTCGCTTCTAGCACCAATCTGGTTAGGAAATACTTTCGGACATTGCTTATTTATCACACAACTCAATTACCTTTTTCGCTTAGTATACATGCAATAACTTAATATTTCAAAATGTTCAATGGATAGGGCATTGGAATATGCCTGGAAGCAACTAGCAGATGGAAATACTCAACTCGCGCTTGGGTCAACCCGAGAAGGCAAAGCATCTTTGGCGGACCGCGGAGAGCCAGAGTTGTCTACACTCAGTCCGCCACGGTTTATAATCGGCGAAGCGCGATGAGACATGTGCGTTATTGCAACAGACTCAGCGTTAAGAGGCGAAATCGACTGGCTCGAAGCTGTCGAGGCAATAGCAGAGTGGCCTCGTTTGCGGCCCCGGTGCAACCCTGCGCCCATGCCTGGCGATGCGTGACTAACAGTGACCATGGTCGTAGGATCGTCTCCGATTGACATTCCGCCCTCAGACGTGCCCTCCTCAATTAGAGGCAAATATGAATCGGCAGATATTGCTTCCAGATCGGAGTGGCTGTTCGAAGCGCTGCCATTTGCCCATACATGTGGCTGCTGCTGCTGCTGTCCCGGATGGTTGTACCTAGGTTCAGCGCGAGCAAACAGTGATGAGCGCAGCGAGGACATGGGCGATGCACCGAGCATGCGCCTATGACCGCCGCTTGACTGCTGCTGGCTACGCTTGGGTGACATGCTGTCCTCCGATTCGCAAGCCGAATGGTCGCCCATTACAATGTCGTTATGTCCGATTGCGTCGCTATAATCGCTGGTGTTATCGTCGTCCAGCATCGATGTATTCGAATTAAAAGGCCCGTCACTTGGCCCGTACTGTCCATGCCATCTCGCAGGAGGCTCGAGCAATGAGGGCGCGGTCAGTGCTCGTTTTCTGCTCACGTACTCGTTATTTCTGCCGCCGTTCGGTGTGCCGCGCACATGCGACTTTTCCAGTCTTCGCAGCGCTGCGCCCTTGAATGTAAACTCATCTGATATTGGCGCAAACGGATCCCTCACAAACTCGCGGCGCATGCTGCTGTTGTGGAGCAGACTTGCATCCCGCGGTGGCTGAGCCTGAGAATGCACCGGCGTTGGTATTTGGGCTGGTGGCAACATCGGCTGGCCGTTAAATCCCGCGTGTGATGACGGAGGCACGCCTTGAACTGCTGCCGCCAACTCTGGGCCAGCAGCAAGCGACGGTGTGGACAGAATGCGTAACTGTCCTGAACCGGGGACTCCCAGCTGCCCGCTGCCGCCAGAGTTGATTCCCAGCCCCATATGAAGCCCAGAATTGGAAGAATCGAAATTCGCTGCTGGCGGCGTGTACGACTGATACGCGCTTTGGTGATCTTCCGGCGCCTCATGCGACAAAGCCTTGCCATTGCTATCGAAGGGCCGTGGCAACAAGCGGGGCAGCCGTGGACCTGGGAGTTGGAGCGCAGAGGGATTTGTGTAATCCTGCTGCTGCTGGGAACCATGTGCACTAGTAATATGACGCACAACCCTCCGGGGCAGTGGCCCAGCGGCACGCGCGTGCGCAACTCGCGATGGCCCAAAAAACTCATCGTCAGTCTCCGTAGTATCGCCGTCACTGTCTTGACTTGTAGCACCGCGTGCTCCCTGATCGCGTCGCTGTGATTCAAGACCGCTCTGTGCAATGGGTGGCAGTCTCGCATGTTGTGCGACGAGTGAAAAGTTTGGCGCAACCATTCTACTGGCAGCACTTGCAATCTCGGCCATTGAGTTCAGCGTATGAATTGGTGACATAGCCATTCCATCCGTGTGTCTTTTGTAGTTAACTTGGGTACTAATTGGCTCAGAAACAGCATCGACACCGTGAGTTGATATTGACCGGTCGGTCTCTGTGTCTGATCCCGGTGGGCGGGTGGCGAGTTCGGTATCAGTTTCAGTATCTGAGCATTCCTTTTGACCAGTTCTGCCTTTCCGTGATCTTCTTGTGCGCAATGATCGCTGGCGCTGCGATGGTGACACTGGCGGCGATATGGACAGCCGAGAACCCCGCTTCGAATGCAATCCGCCCTCGCTTGAAATATTGTTCATATTTACACGTGAGCTCCTGCACAAAACTAGCTCATTGGCTGGTGCAGGGCGAGAGGAATCGTCGAAAAGACCAAACGGAACATTATCACTAGATGACGGCGCTGCGCGAGGCGGGTATCCTGATAGGGCGCCGCGTCTCTGAAAGTGCGGCTGCCGTGCTGAGGACGCATCATCGTCGGTATCTGTCGTGCTGCCACTACTTTCCATGCTTTTACCCTTCCTTTTTAAGCCTGTATACCGATGGCGATCAACTTGGTATCCGATGCGTGCCGCCTCTATGTCCGGCTGGTGCCGCGTTTGGCCATCAGGTAACGGGATGAAAGGTTTTGTCTTCACAGCACGCACACTGGAAGTACCTGTCGGCTGACTGGAGGCGAGCGTCAATAACGGCATGCGGGAATCCTCATATTTAGACTTCTGCCGCGTGCTATATGCCCGGAGCGTAAGCTCGTCTTCAGATACCGTGTCGCTATCGCTGGCTTTGTTTTCAGGGCGCTCCAATCTCGTTGTGTTGGCTGTGGTCGGCACTTCGCGGATTATCTGTAAAAATGTCGACTTTTGTGTACCGTGTGGCCCCCATCTCCGGCGGCTGGGCATAGGGGGGCTAGTCGCAGTGACCAGCGCCAAAACATCGAGTTGCGTTGCGGGAATGCCATTTGGCCGGGCGGTTGTCACACTAGTCTCCACTTCACTCGCCATGGATGGGTCACTTAAGCTCTTGAGCAAGCTTGCCTGCCTGCTTGGAGTCGTGCGCGGCGATGTCGACTGAGAATCGGATGCGTTTATATTTTTGGGCGAACTCAGTTCAATGACTGGTGTGCTCAGCTCGGTGCTTTTTGCGTGCATGTCCGGTTTGTCCTCGACCGTGGCTCCTGAGGTTGTAGACGCACCGGTTGTCAACGACGAGTTGGTGGCCAGCGATGTGGATCGTGTTTTTGTTGTCGCCGGCGGAGGTGATGCAAGTGCGGCGAGCATTCCCAGCGGGTCTTCTGCGACACCTACAACCAATAATAACACATTAAAAATGAATGAGATGGTTAGAACAGGAACAGCATTTGGTAAATTATAGACGGGTCAGTTGCCCGAACACATGTTGAAATGTTAAAATGCGCGGTTATACTTACTCGCGGTGGTATCTAAACGAGGATTGTGCCTGCTGAATGATGTGTTGTTGTTGTCCATATGGATTGTATTTGGGGAATATTCTATCAGGTATACTTTGTTTAACCTACAGCAAGCAAATAGGATAGTTTGCGATGTTAATGAAGTGTCGAATATAGCGGGGGAAACTACTAAAGCGTAAACAAGGAAGAATGCATTGATTCGCTAGGCTGAACAGCCAATAGATAAAGTTGTATTTCAAGGACCAATCGAGCTTCGGTGCTTGCACAAAAAAAGCGAATCTACGCGCGTTCTTTTCGCGGTTTTAGAAATTTTCAGTGTATTTTTTTGCAAACTCCGCAAAGAAAACGAAAACAATATGTCAGAGCGCAGAGATCGCCCAGGCAGCAGTGAAAGTGGTAGCGACGAAGGATATTCAAAAGATCAGCTGGTGGATTGTGAACAAAATGAACAAAATAATAACCTTAAAAGGCCTCCAATCATGCAGTATTCCCAAGGCTGAATCGAATGGTTACGATAATAGGGGAAATTGGAGGGGAGAAAAAGAAAACTAATGAAAATGCGCCAGTTGTGTGCCCAATTACTGAATATATATAAAAATGAGTTGATGAAACGATAAAATACATAAATGCGCTGTTGTCCTAACATGTAAGCGGACAGGAAAACAATTAGACGTGCAGTACTGATGAGCTTTTCTACTTGCCAGTTTAGCACAGGAGCGCAGCGTAATCAAGTAGCAGGCAACTACTGTGCTAAACAACCCCAGGAGAAAAGATAATAAGACGTGTTGGCGTTAAATTGCATGGCAGTGAGCCACCCTCCCCGTATACACTCCCCCAAATCCGCTGCTAAACAGCTGGTATGTGCCTTACCTCCCACCAGTTATACCAGTAGTTCCCGCTGTCAGCAACACTGTGTGGTGACTTCGCGCATAAAAAGGGTCACGCCATGGATGTCTCATTCACCTCCCTTTTGTACAACGTGCGAATTTTCATTGCCATCAAAATAAGGTGGTGGTAGTGGGGTGGACATGCAAAAAAAGTAAAAATAAAGGGGCAGTTACGCGTTTTCCTTGTGCAAGTAGGGACAAAAAATATATAAATAAAAACAGACGGCTGACATGCTATTCCGGACTTGCTTTAGACTACTTTACTTTTCGCTCTTACCTGTTCAAATATCAAAGTCCGATAACCGCGCGAATTCAAAAACAAAGTGACCACAAATTTGCGCTTACTCTTAACCGACTTGAAGGTAATTTCAGAACAAGGGGGTAGAAAAATAAAAGTAAACAAAGGGTATACACCTTTTTGGGGTAATAAAATACTCTAGTCGAGAGGTGCCTGTATTTTTGTGCGTAAGTCCTCGTAGCCTCTATGGCGCTTTTTCCTCGCTAGTTTATAAAAAAGGTGGAATATCTACACGCGAATGCAACGCGCGATTCAAAAGGTAATATAATATAATAAATGAAAAACAGAAGGAAAAAAGCCAGCAAAAAATTATGTTCATGGTCAACAAAAATCCCTGGTCCAAAAAAAATACATGCTCTCAAAAACAAAAACAGATCTGTCCAATCACAAACCATCACAATGGAATGATTTGACAAGCCCGATTACTCACATTCTCAGTGCTGGGCTCCTTTTCCATTGTTGATTTTTGTCATTTTTTGTTGTTAAAGCAGGATGGGGTGCGAGAAAATAAAATTTTTATACACAATTTATCGCGAAAACTCCACTTTAATTGCCTGATCTGCAGCCAGCCTGAAGCCATCAAGCACGCTCAGCGCAGCGGCGGCTGAGTCAGTGCTATCGTAGTCAACAAAAGCCATATCGTCCTTGCCAGGAATCCGCCGCACCTCCCTGAAACCTCCATACTGCTGGAACAACCCAGAGAGCATGTCCACGGATACGCTCTGCGGTAAATTAGTGACGAACAGTGTTGGGCCAGGCGCCACATGCGCAACTTCATTTTCCACTTCTGGTTTGGGCAATTGCGGGCCAATATCGTCATCGGAATCATCCGTGTCGCTGCTGCCAATAGCCATATTCTCATCATCGCTGTCGCTATCCATATCGGATCCATGATCAATCGCTTGGCGCTTAGCCGCCTGGCCCTCATCATCGCTATTGCTATCACTTTGCCGCCGCTTCCCAGCTGCTGCCGAAGCCTCTGCCTCTGCTGCGGCCGCTGCGCTGATTCCAAGTTGTTGTCTGCGCTCCTCGGCGCTCATGTGCTTGCGCGGCTCGCCAAACTTGAACGATCCATCGCGTTGTGCGACAACATTGGATTTGCTCAGCGCATACTCGACGTTGATGCTTTTACCGAATAGTTGGCGGCCGTTGAGCTGGCGCAGCGCCGCCGTGGCGGATGTAATATCACCGAATACAACAAAGGCCTGACCGCGCATCTTCATTGTTTTCAGTGCGACAATGTCGAGCACGCGGCCGTAGGGGATGCACAGGCTGTACAGAGTTTTCTTGAGTACATCTTTTTGAATCTTGTCGTTGATATTGCGCAAGTAAAGTGACTGGCTTGGCGGAATAGAAGCCATGGTATTTTGCATATGTGTGTGTTTAAAATTTTTGAATGGATATATAGAGCAATAACAAAAATAAAATAGTGGGGTTTTTTCCAGTGCACAAATAATACATTTAGAATATATGAGTGAGCGTGGCTTCAATTTTATTGTGGGTAAATGCGGGCATGATCTCGTGCGGCTTGGAAAAAATAACTACATTTTACATTTAACTACTAACTGAAAAGCACAATAGCATTAAACATTTATTTAGCGGAAGTGTCCATCAAAGGCCTTTCTCTGGCGCCCGCGGCGGTCACGGCCACCATGGCCACCATGGCCACCAAAGCCTGAAGCCATATCAGACATGCCGCCGCCCTCGAACAAGCCAGGCGCCGGGCTGACATACGCTGCATGTCTGTTCCTGCCAACTGACAAGGCAGTATTTGACCGCTGCGCCATATCGCGCACGGTCGATACAGCATGTGTAATGCCAGCCAAATACGACAACAGCTGCAAATTGGTCGCCTCTTGCATCATGGCCAGATCAAACTGTTCGTCGTTCTGCACCACAGGCCTGTTTCTCAGCACCCGCTGCACGAGCTGCACGACCTCGGGATCAAACGGCGCATTGCCAGCCATCACCTCGCCGACGTACGCTTTAAGCACCATAATGTCTTTGTGCAACATATGCAGGGCGTTACGCTGGCTGGACAGAAACGCTGCCATCTTGGACACGTTCCCGGTATTGTCTGTGGGCGCTGATGTGTGCTTGGCGGACGCATCCGACGCGTAGATGTCCTCTGTCGTGGTTTTGGATGTGTTGACCACGTGCTCAATGGCAATGCGCTCGGCCTCGCCTGACTCCACGGAGATCTTCAATGGTAGTAGCCGTGATGCCCAAGCAGTGTTGGCCTCGAGCGGGATAGATCCATCGTTGGCGCACTGGACATAGAACTCGGCGTCCTTTTGCACAGCAGCAGGATCAGCCCATGCCAGCTTGGAGCTCTCAATCCTTGTTGGAGCCAGCGTCTCGTAAATAGCCACAGGCAGCGACAAACTGCTGCTCGACTCTGCCCCGAGGCTCTCTGTGCCAGACAGTGTGCTATCGAACACCATGAGCAACGCTGAGGGGTAGCTGCTGATAAACGTCTGGTGGAGCTGCATAATCCCCTTGTTTAAATTTGTGCTGGAGTTGACAATGTACCAGCCGAGGACATCGTAGTTGGGGAAAATTATTTTGGTCTGTTCGAGCCGAATATTAAAATGCGCAAAGTCCATTTCGGGCTTTTCTTCGGTGCTGCACTCGTCCATTTTCATCTCGAACGACAATGAGAGCTCGAATTGGCTCTCGAGCTGCCGCCCGAGAAGCACACCGCAGGCCACGCGTGGCTTGGTGTTGGCGGTTTGCGTGTGCTGTGCGACTATGCGCGTCACTTGGTCGGAAATCCCAAGGAGAACGAGTGGGTGCAGAATTACAGTGCCTAGGCTCTCCATTGTTGCGCTGAGATTCTGGTTGTTACTTTTAAAATATTGTGTGTGTGCAAATGTATGCGTGGAAATGTGGTCAATCGAAGTGTGGACTAGTAAAAAATAAAGAAATTAAAGAAAAGAAGTGCGAATGCCAAAAAAGAGAATGGAAAAAAGGGTCGATGAGAGGTGGGGTGCTCACTTGGCTGCGGCGGAGAGTACAACGCATAACGCGTCATCCATATTTTCAAAAAGAAGCTAAGCTCTCTTTTTTGGCTTTGACTACTGAAAAGGGAGAGGCTCCTTTTGGCCAAAGAACGAGGTTTTGAATTTTTATTTTAGTGTTAAAGTTGGAGAAAGAGAGAAAATAATGTGTACAAGGATGAATACTTAGGATAAAGAATGAAAAAAACAAAATGACCGCGGCAATGGGCAAGAATGGCAGGGGATGAAGCAACAGCGAGAGGCGAGAGGCAGGAAGCAGCGACTCCAACTGTGCTTAATAATTTTTTATATAAACTTGCACACGCGAAAGATGAATGGCAAGGAGTGCCCCAGGACTCCTCCCAGAATTTAGGGCTTCCGGAACTCAGTCAGTACAGGGTAGATGGCGGCGAACGCCTGGTAGATCTCATCTCGTACTTTTGCGCCCGTCAGCACAATCTTGCCCGACACAAAAATGAGCAGCACAATCTTGGGCTTGACCATGCGGTAGATCAGACCCGGGAACAGCTCGGGCTCGTAGCTGGAGAAGTTTCCGTGTGTGTATGCCAGGCCCTCGAGACGGATCGGGAACTTCACGTCGCAGGACCCGACAATGTTCTGGATCTTAAAGTCTGTAAACTTTGCCGGGAACCCGAGCTTCTGTACGATACGCGCGTACTTGCGCGCCGCCAACTTGGAGTCGTCCTCGGACTTTGCACCCGTGACGACCATCTTTCCCGAGGCAAAAATGAGCGCTGTCGTCTTGGGCTCGCGGATTCGCATGATAACAGCCGCAAAACGCTTGGGGTTGTACTCGGCGTTACGGGCGTGCAGTGCAATGGTCTTTAGGTCGAGCCGACAGTCGAGATTGACTGTGGCCACAATGTTCCTAGCGCGTGAATCAATCGATGTAAAAAGAGACGTGACAAATAAACATTAATACGCTGCACAACTTTTTCACATGTATACGCAAGTCACCACCATCATCATGTATTTTTGAACAACAGAGGGATACATACTGTAGTGTTGGTACAATGCCAGCGACGCCGGCAATAATGCTGTTCTCTTCACTGGCTGCCCCCTGATTCTGTCCGCTGGCGCCGTTCGACGGCCCAGCTTCGTTGCCGTTGGTCTGCGGCAGACTCAATGAGTGGTCGCCGCCATGCATCATGCCCTGGTTGCTGGACGACTGCTTGACAAAGGCCATGGGCAAAATGGTATTGGCTGTGTGAAGGAGGGCGTGAGTGCAAATGAAGGACCGAAGATTGTGTAAATATTTGGCTGAAAAAATGAATGTTATGAATATTCTGCGTGCAGTTGCGCGTCGGAATATACGCGCCAAACAAAAGCAACGCGTTAATAAAAAAGTGTGTTAAAAGCACTAATTCTGCTTTTTTTTGAGGTTCGCGAGCAGCTTCTTTGGTAAACAAAAAACGCGTGTTTTTTGTTTTTTCAGCCTGCTTGGAGAAGAGAGCGGGGGTTACTGAACACTTATTAAAGAGTCGTTGCGGAAGAGGTCACTTTTTTCTATCGCAGCGCGGTATCTTGTGCACAATAAAAATACACAAGGGGCCTGAGAGTGAGAAAAAAGGCACAAAAATCAAAAAAGAGGAGAAACAAGAAAGGTAAAAGGCGGCGGCGGCGGTATATATAGTGGGGGCAGGCCGTAAAGTCTCGACGCGGAGGAGTTGCCTTTTATACACGATGTCCTTTTGGCCTTTATGGGTGCCAACTTATGGACAGGCGTCAGTGGACAGCAAAATCCCACAAAATAATTTTGCTTTGCGCGAGATTGATGCGCGCTTTCCACTTTTTTTCGACATTTATTTCTTTCGCGGTGGAAAAGAGAAGGAAGGAAGGAAATTTGCACGAATTTTCTTGTCCCTCGCTCTCATTGCATTTTCGGCCTATTTTCCACCCCCCTGCTCTGAGTGCATCATATTGTAAAAATCAACCCTACAGCATGCAGCAATATAAATCACGGTGTCGTATTTTCATTGGCCACATCGCAATCAACCAATGGCAAGTTGCAACATTTCAAAGCGACAATCTAACCAAACAAGCAAAATATTAAAAGCTGTCACTGCTATTGGCTGGGACAATGAACACGAGGCAGGCGCTTCTGCTGGGCCCAAGCCCCCACCAAAAAAGGGAAGCAAAAAATACACTCGATGCGGGTAGCCGACACGCCTGAGCGCTATCCGCTCCCGATTGCAGATTTGGTTCTTGCGCGATAGGCAAATATGTGCGTCCTAGTTATGCTGCGAAAGCTGCCTGCGGCACCGGTTACCATTGGTATGACTAGCATCGTTCTGGGTAGTGTCGCGAGGTGTTTCGTTGCGTTTTTAGCCTGTGTATTAAAGAATTCCAATAACAGAGACCTTTTTGTGCCAAAACGAGAGTCCTACATGGTCACAGATATGCATCAACAAGCTTATAAACAAAATATACTTGAAAATCGTGAACAAAAAAGAAGTGCAATACAAAACTAATATAGAAACATGTTAATTTTTTGGAAAAAAGGAAAGGAGTGTTTGAAAATACAGCGAAATGCGCCAATTTGGGAAGCACAGTTCTAGGCACAGAGCCCAATAAATGATAATATAAAATTGCAATATCTCTCTTTTGCTCTCTTTTGCTCTCTTTTGCTCTCCCCCCTTGTCCCGCATTTGGCCGCATTTGGCTGCATTTGGCTGCATTTGGCTGCTAGACATCGAAGAACGCATGCAGCCATTTATTGCGACCCGACTCAACTCAACTCGCATTTCTCGCTCGGCTCTGTGTTGCGTGTGAAAGCCGCGTGATGCCTATTTAGTGCCCAAAGCAATAAACCGTCTGCATCTTATCAGCGATTATAATTACAAAAAAATGGTCCGCATACATTTGAACTGCACACACAGTGAAAGATTCGCCAAAAAGGCATTCATTACAATTGCTTGCTAAACCCGAATTTGGGGGTGATAATACTGTGTGGATAACAAACGATATCCGCGGCGCATGCTAACTTATGTTGATTGCTCCATTCAAAGCCCTTTTCAATGATGTCATGAATGCTGTATATCAATGCTATGATCGACAGAACAGTTTTTCTTTGCCAAATCCGGCTGGTTGCTGTCTGAATGATTTTTTAATGTGCTCCGAGCGTGCGGGTGCCTGTTTTAATAACATCATCTTGCATGAAATCCGTCCCTATTTATTTTTATTGACCACAAGATATTCTCAAGGGGATGTTCTGCAAAGTGTACGCATGATTCTAGCATGCAACTCCACTTAATTGATTTATTTGGTAAATTGTATACTATATTGCTGGTGCTATAAAGCAATTTTTGCCAATGCACAGTGCTCTACTGCATTGACACTGCCTGTTCGTTTGCCCAATTGATTGCAAGGTAAAATATGGAAAGGTCCATTAGAAATGATTGCCCAACGCCAACGCCGAAGCTACTATCTTGACGAAAATGCACACGAAAAGTTTTTAAATGTGCAAAAAAACAAAAAAAACTGACGTAAAAAATGTATGTGGATTCCCCACTGGCGCAAATTTGTAAGTGAAATCGACAGATTTCAAAAGGATGGTGGTGACTAGTGGTTATTGCGTTTGTGTATATAATGCAAGGCCCCCGGCAGCAAAATTTGACATGAAAAGTATCTTTATCATATTCTCTCGATGCTTGCTATATTATATATACTAATCTAAGCTATTTTTCAATTGATATTGTATTTTTCATTCGTAAGTTGAACATTGTAACCACAACAAAGCTTGCGATTCGTTTTTTAGCTTTGTCTGAATATTGGAAATGGGGAGGGAGGAGGGAAGAGAGAGCAAGAGGGGCATGTAAAATGAGTGGATGGCGCATTTAACACAACTTTATTATGTCGCCGACAAGCTGCCACGCCTTGTCTTTAATTTCGAGTACATTGCGGTCGATTATATTTTATGCATTGAAAATAATACCTTTTCTGTCAGCTGGCATACACATTAGATTTCTTGCTATATAATTTATCTTTGTTTCTAATCTTTTTGTTATCTTTTTTCTGCGTTTTATGATCAATTATAATAGGGACAGCACAACATAGCCGATATTCCATTTTTATTATTTATTCTCAATGGTGCTGCTATTTTTTAACCGCCGCTCTTGTCTCCGACTATCCGCAGCAATGGGTGCCCTGATTGTGCTGCTCTCGCCGCTCGTGAATCCTGTTGATGCTAAGCCAATGTGGAACACAAGTAAGTTTCGATACGGGCATATCATTCGGATCATTTGTATTCTGACTGTTGACGCGCAAAACCATTGCACTAATCATCTGCTTTTAACATTAATGTGTAGTCAACAAGTATGCTGTCGATGGCTCACTCTGCCCTGGAACACGCTCAACTGAGGTTTGCTCGGCAATCTGCGTGTACGACCTTGCCAACTGTCCCCAGCAGCCGGACTGCGCTGACGGTCAGTCATTGTGTAGCGACGGAAACTGCCACGACGAGTGCACCGACGAGATTAACAGCTCCAACCCATGCACCTGCGGCTGGCAGGCCAAGCATGTTCCAGCAAAGGCTGGGGGCCTTGTTCCTTGCCCACTTCTCGACAATGTTACCATCAGCGAGATGCACTCGTGGGAGAAGAAGAAGCAAATCCGCGATGCATGCTCTTCCCAAGCTCGCATTAGCGACCAAGGCAACTTTGGCATCTGGGGCACTGACTGGCCTCGTGATGGCTCCAGTGAATCTGGCCTTCTGGGCGTGTGGGCCGAGTGCCCGAGCGAGCCTCAGAATATGTACACCTTCCGCGAGCCAATGTGGATCGCTGTCTTTACCATTGTGTTTGGCTACTTGGCTCTGCTCGCGACCTGGCTTATGTACAAGATGGCTATGGAGATGCACCAGCGGCGTGCAAGGTCGGCTACAGTAGACGGTGCTGCTGCCAGAGGCACCAAATCCGAGCTCAACCCGCTGAAATTTGACCTCAAGAACAACGCGGGAAATTACGACCACAGTACTGCTAAGACAACCGGCGCGGGAAACTCCATTTCCAGCGGCAGCGATGCGTCTGATGAAACCAACGACCTGATGGGCAACAACATTCGTCTGAGCGGGTACAAGAACAGCGTGCTGGGCACTGCAATGACTTGGCTCCTGCTACTTCTGGCCTCGCTTTGGCTGTGCTACCTCTTTGTTCTTTGTGCTGACTACTATGGCAGCATGCCCAACACTCCAGTCGATGTTTCTTGCACACTTTCGTATAATGACTGCAATCTTGGCAACCAGACGTTCATTGTGATGTGGTGCCTTTTTATCTTCATGGTTGTCACTATAAATGTGACCCGCCACCGGCTCCGCAACTTTTTCCGTATCAAGACATTCCCAGAGCACGGCGAATTTGTCTGTGTCGAGCACAAGGTGGATGCTGAGATCATGCTGGCCAGCAAGCGCAGCTTTCTTGTCGATGCTGTGCGCCGTGTCGCCGATATATTCAAGCGCTTTTTGGGCTGGGACTGGAATGTGACGACATGCCCACTAGCGAAGACCGCCACGGGGCGCAAATATTTTACGTACCAGTGCACCCGATTTGTGCTGGACCAGTCGGACGGGCAGTTTGCGCCGTGCTCGTTCCAGCTTGGCACCAAAAACAGCGAATTTGTTTCCAAGGCTGACGGTCTTACGAGCGACGAGGCAAAAACGCGCTTCGAGCTCATTGGCCCTAATTTCATCCAGGTGTATGTTCCCAACTGGTTCTTTGCTTTTGTCCGTCAGGCAACAAGCTTCATCGTGCTGTATCAGTCTCTAGCGCTGCTGCTATTCTTCTACGATTTCTATTGGCAGGTCGGTCTGGTCGACATGTTCATCATCATACTTTCTCTCACATTCAGCGTGGTAGTCCGCAAGCTTTCCGAGGAGCGGCTCAAGCGTATGGCTGAGCAGGACGAACATCTCATGGTTAAGCGTGACGGCCAGTGGGCCGACATGAGCACTAGAGACCTGGTTCCCGGAGACGTCATTCAGCTAACGGCCGGAATGCACATGAGCTGCGATTGCATTTTGATCTGCGGAAATGTCGTGGTAGACGAGGCCTCTTTGACCGGCGAGGCATTGCCGGTGCGCAAGTTTTCTGTCCGCATTGATGACACGCCATTCGACTCGGCGGTTAACAAGAACAACCAGCTGTACGCGGGCACCATCATCAGCCAGACACAGCCGCTGACAATTTCGAACGGCGATTTTTTGGCCGACGAGCACGTCCTGGGTCTTGTCTTCCACACCGGTACAGCATCTGACAAGGGAAAGCTTGTGCGCAAGATTCTGTTCCCGCAGCCAATTTCTTTTATCTTTGACGAGCAGCTCAAGGTTGTACTGTCTATCCTCGTCTGCTACGCAATCGTCTGCATGGGCTTTGCAATTTACTTTTATCAGGGCTCGCCCACCGCGACATACTTCTACGGAAACTTCTGCATGCTACAGGCCATCAGCCCGCTTCTGCCCGCCGGTCTGGTCGCTGGCCAGTCGATGGCCGCGCACCGCTTGAAGAAAAAGCGTATTTATTGCGTTGATCCCCAGCGCATCCTCATGGCCGGCAAGATCCAGATTATCGCATTTGACAAGACCGGCACAATGACCTTTGACTACCTCAACTTTTACGGCGTCCGCACTGCGCGAGCTGCCGCGTTTGACAGCTTCAATGGCGACTTGCCCTCGGTAGACGCGCTGTTCCAGATGGGTGTTGCAAGCTGCCACGCAGTCACCGACCTCAACGGTCAACTCATTGGCAATCCGGTCGATATCGAACAGTTTAAGGCGTCGGAATGGTCGTTGGACAACCAGCCCAAGTATTTGGACAAAATTATGCCGCCTGCAAACTCGCCGCTGAGCGCCCTGCATGTTGTGCGCCGATTCGAGTTTGTGCATGCGCGCGCTTCCATGTCTGTCGTCGCGCAGGATGAAGGCACTGGCCAGATCCACATTTTTGTCAAGGGCTCGTTCGAGCGCATCAAGCAGATCAGCAGCGCCCCAACTATTCCTGCGGACTACGATCTCGCGTGCAGTCAGCTGGCGCGTGAAGGGTGCTACGTCTTGTCAATTGCGCACAGGGTATTTGGCGGCACCATGGATGAGCTCCGCAACATGTCGCAGGAGGACATTGAGTCTGGATGTGACTTTATTGGCCTGCTAGTGTTTAAGAACATGCTCAAGCCAGACAGCGAGCAGGCAATCGGCGAGCTGAAGGGCGGATCCACACGCACAATCATGATCACAGGCGACACAGCTCTGACAGGCATTTACATTGCGCGACAGTCCGGTATGATCCCGCCAAACAGCACCGTTTTGCTCGGCGACGTTGACAAAAAATTGGGCGGCATTGTTTGGGTCGACATTGATCAAGACATTGAGGTTGAAAACATTTTACCACTTCTCGACCAGAGTGGCCCAGATGGATTCCCATCGACCGAGCTAGCCGTCACCGGTGCTGCGTTCAGGATGCTATCCGAGAACGGCGGCATCAAACCGCTGCTGCTGAACACTCGCGTGTTTGCGCGCATGCAGCCCAATGACAAAGTGCTCTGCGTGCAGCAGCACATGGAACACGGCATCACGGCCATGTGCGGCGACGGCGGCAACGACTGTGGCGCCTTGAGGGCTGCCCACGTTGGCCTGGCTTTGTCCGACGCTGAGGCCTCAATCGTCTCACCATTTGCCTCCGGGAACCGCTCGATTATGTCCTGCGTCGAGCTGCTCATCCAGAGCCGCGCTGGGTTGGCAACATCGTTTGCCAATTACCGCGCTCTGATTCTGTATGGTACGACCATGACTATGATGAAGCTCGTTTCGTTCTACCACGCCGACTCGATGTCTTCGAATATTTGGATGATTATCGACGCCCTAGTTGCCACTTCGATGGCAATTGCCGTCGTCTTTTTGCCGCCGGCCAAGAAGCTGGCCAAGTACCGCCCGACCGCGCAGATTCTGGGCCCCGAGATTTTGTCATCTGTCCTGGGCGTCGTGGCCATTAATTGGTGCTTCATGGCGTGTGTGTGGATCTGGGTTTACGGCCAGTCATTTTTCCGTTGCAACGAGTTTGACTCATCTACAGTTGACTTGATGAAGTGGTATCTGCTTGGCGATAACTACGAGGCCGCCATCATGACGTATATTGTGATGTACCAGTTTATCAACAACGGCTTCCTGGTCAACTATGGGTACTTGTACCGCCGTCCCTGGTACCGCAACCCATTCCTGCTTGCCGTCTGGTCGGTACTTATTATCCTTATTTCGTACGCCCAGCTCGCTCCTCCCAGCAGACTGTCGTGCACTCTGCGCCTCAACTGTGGCAATCCTGATGTTTTGGAAAGCCTAGGCTTTGATCGTCCGACATGGAATATTGAGCCTTATAATAGCCCTATCGGCCACAATGTTCTGCCCACCTATGCAAAGTGGACGCTGTGGGGCTACTCTATCGGAAACATGGTTGCCAGCAATTTGTGGCAAGTCCTGGTTGTCTATGGTCCAGTGCGCACGTTTTTGAGGAAGCGTCGTCCAATGCGCCGCCTCAATATCAAGCTATAGTTTTTATACTTTTACGACTTTAACCGAACAATTATTGAATTTTTTTTATTCGTTTTGTACAAGGAATACTGGCGGCTTTGACTCTGGCACCTGTGTACCAAAATGCTCGGATATGATTTTGCGCAGGTTGTCCGTGCCGATGCTCAGGTGTTTGCCAGGCAACAGCACAAAACTCAGCCGATTGCTTTCATCGAGCTCGCGCAAGCCCAGCCAGTCCTCGGCATACATCTGTGACTCGTGCAGGCTAGTCTCATTGCCTCTTTCATCGACAAAGCCAAACCACGATGACGCAGCCGGGTAAATCATGTTGTCCTCGCTGAACCTGACCAGAACCATCTTTTCTAGCGCCCGGATGCGCTCGCCGTACGCCTTGTCCCTGTGCTCTGCGATCTCGCCATTGATGTCGGGCAGAAATATGTTGTGCTGCAAGTACTGGTCCAGCCTCCGCGGGTCCTTAAAGTACTGCGCCTGGATGACATGGTCCCTGACATACCACGAGTACACGCCGCGCGCAGCCAGCTGACGCATCCAATTGCACAGCACGTCGCCCTCACTGGCGCACTCGGGCACCCTAGCCACTCCCGAGTGCGGCGACCCGAATGTGACCAGGGCACGCGCGCTGATGTTCGGGCATCTCTCAATCAGCGCGCGCAAAAACAGCCCGCCCTGTGAGAACCCCATCATGTTGATGCCGCGGCCCTGCAGCTGTGGGATTTTTGTCAGGTCGCTGCACACACTGTCTACCTGGCTGTTGAGATTGCCAAAGAACCCCGCATTGCGGTCTGCGCCCTCGCTGGACCCAAGCCTGACTGAGTGCACAAACACGCCGGGCAGCTCGTCCTTGATTGTCTGCGCGACTGCGCCCATTGTGTTGTTGTCACAGCAGGTATCGCCCATGCCATGCCAGATAACAACGGGAAGCGGCAAATCGCCAGTGTCTATGTTGTGGTTAGACGCAGCGCCCACTGGCCTAGTTGTCAGCAAAAGCGCAAAGAGCAGGTTCAAAAGCAGTAGTGCGCAGTGCACTTTCATTGTATAATTTTTGGGTGAGAAAAACGAAAGTGAAAACGTAAAAAATGGAAAATAAAACAAAGGAACAAAATTTCCGAAAACAAAGCAGACAAAGAAAATATATAAAACTATTGCGAATGTCCGCATTCAAACGCTGGCTGCTTTGGTGGTTTTGTGGGTGGCAGTAGCAGCACGAGAAAGATGTAATGGTCTGCCAAAACAGTAAAATAAGCACAATTGACCATGCAAAAATGGGCAAGAATGAATTATGCGGAAAACAGTACTATTAGATTAGGGGGTTTAGCTCAGATGGTAGAGCGTCCGCTTTGCATGCGGAAGGTATGGGGATCGATGCCCCAAATCTCCACAAATTGGTTTTTTTTTGCCTATATTTTGCACTTGTTTATTTTTGTTGCGCGTGAATGGTTTTTCATGTATTTCTTTTTAAAAAATGGGTTTTTGGCAAGATGAGCAGGCAAAGTACTGGGTTGTTTTAATTTAATTAATGGCACACACTGTTGCAACAATTTGTCATTATACAAGTGCTACACAATTATTTCTACACATGTGAATAAATGTCCAAATGAATGAGTTGTTTAAATTTTAATAAATTACACTGTTGGCCGCTCGTTTAAAATTCAGTTGTCATGCTTGCCACCGACTTTGCAGACTTGTAGAAACATTTTGTCAAGATGCTGGTAGATAGTGAATATCTTGCGTTTCTGAATTGAACGATTTGCCATGTGATAATAAACAATCGGCCCATGCGATTATAGTCACACACATAAAACCTATTGTATGAAAAGATGCGGCTATTGTCTCGTTCCAATAAAACACAATTATGCCTGCTTTTATTGGAAAAAGTGAGCTTGCATTTCAAGTGAAATGAATTGATGAATCGTCACTTGATAGAGCTCACTACATCAGGCAGTAATAACAGCTGTATGGCCAGCTCGGTGCTATTTAAACCTGGGATTTGCGCTTCAACTTTCTTAATTTCTCTCGGCATTTTACCTGACCATCATTTTATATTTTTACATTTATTTATTTATTGCTGAAAATTTCTACTTTTGCCAATGGTTGAATACGCGTACTGCCGCTACCACAACTTGTTGCACGGAAACAGCACTTTGGTGATAACGACAGACATGTTAATCAGTGACGTGTACTCGCTTTTGAACGACATTGCGCCCAGCAATGCTCGAATAAATTCGATATTGTACTACGGCACAAACGAAAAGGTTGGAATACCTCTGGAATACAACAGCACGCAGCGCTTTGCAGACATTGCCAACCGTGATGAGGGCGAGCTTGAGTTTATCGCCGAGCCAGAGAGTGGAATAACAGAGACTGTGCACTATAGAATAGTGCGCTAACCAGGCGATTTTAATATATAAACATGCACTTTCGAGGGACAAAGTGCGCGGGAAGGTCCTGCATGCAGGGCCTTATTTTTTGTGTTTGAGAGAGAAAATAGATATATTGTACGAAATACAGAAAAATACAAAACATGAAATAAAGTTAATGATTAAGATTAATCGTCTGCCGCGTCACCCTGCCCATCATGAGTTGTTCTATTGCAGAACATGGCTATGTTCCCCTATAACAAAAGTTATTCAGACCTGGGTCTAATTGCCTGGCGATGGAAGTGTTTGCCAAGGGTGTTAGTAAAATTAAACTCGAGCACCCGATCTGGCAACTAGAGCGTCAGTCGTGGCCAGATAGCTAGTGTGCATATCTGCCGTTTTCATTGCTGTTTGTCCGTGGCCACTTTGGAAATCTATTATTTTTGTCTTGTCGCGGATTTGGTATTCGGGATGTTTGTTGAGATTGGAGTCTCATCAACAATCGGGGTTTCGCAGGCGTCAAGGATTCCCTCATTTCCTGTTCAATCTGTAGGTTGCACCGTCCTTTGTACCAGTCGTGCTGTTTTTTTTTACAATCTTGTTTACAAAACCAATGTATTTTTTGGGTGCTTGAATCATAGGATTTTAATTAGCGTTGTGTGAATATCCTCTATCAGCCCCTGCCAACCACGACTCATACCCAGGTCCAGCTTCTTGTCCTGGTAGTGGGCATTCACACGCTTCTTGTGTTTCTCCAATATGGCATCTGTTGGCCCTGGATACACCTAGAGTCTATTGATTGTCTCAGCCACAAGATCTGCGGCTGGGCCCCAAAGATCCCAGTGAAAGTCCTCTCGCATCAAAATTTTGCGTTTCTGTCGTGAACACATGAACATATCGCCATGTGTTCCAATTGGTCTGACAGCCAGGCGACGAGTCATAGGCACATCTCTGGTTCAGGGTATGCGTCGGGGTACTATTTCCATTGTCTATTTGCTACAGGTAGTAAGCGGAAAAGCATATTTACAAAGGAGCGACGGATGGGGCCCCTTGTATTGGTGATGTGCCGTGTTCTTGTAATGCCGAATGCCTTTCCTATCTACTGCAACATTCATTGCCCGGAGGATAGTGGTGACTGTCATGGGTGAGGTCTTTGGAAACTGTTTAGGGGTCAGAGGTAGTTGTGGTACTATTGTTTTTGTCACTGCTGGTGCTGTGTCTGGCGTCGATACCATTGTCCTTGCCCCTTCTGATGCCTCTGCCGGTGCTGCTGCCAATTTCCCTGTGGGGATAATTGCCTTCTTGGTGCACGCCACTGTAATTTGCTCCATCAGTGGCTTGCTCATCCAGTCGTCGTCCTGTCGGCGGCAAAGCCTCTTTGGTGGGCAATGCGTGATAATATTCCCTGCAAAGAGCCAGTATTTTTTGTCCGTCGACTTCCATCCACATTGCAGTGTCCAGAAACCTGTCTGTAGATGGGCTGCATTAGCGGCCCTGTCTGCTTTTTAGTTTTGGTGTGCGTCCGCATGTCCTCGCCCCCATTGAATATTGAGTGGCTCCTCGCGGGTCCAGAGCCAGGGCAGTACTAGTCGGCCGAGATACTCTTGATTAGACTGTTTTATTTTTTGATAAATATTTTTGACGTTTATAATTTCAATTTGCAGTGTTCATCTCTAAATCTGTTTTCATGCGCTATTTTCTCATGGGTACGCGCATAGTCTATACATTTTAGACGCATCCAAGTAATAAAGTACGACTTAATATTTGAAGCTGATACCAAAGCCACAGCATCTGCCTTTGCCACAAAAAACAAAATTGATGCTTCTGCAACGAGGCGTGTGTAAGCCTAAGTGTTTTGTTTTAAAGGGTCTGAACAGAATGACACGCTATATTAAAGTTGGGATTGCATTCACACATAGTTTTGCAATTTATCCATTTTGTCGGGGTTTAATTATCTTTCACAGCCAAAAATTTTAAATTGATCTTTTTTGGGACTGTCTGCCTCATTTTCTCATTTTTGGGGATATCGAAAAATAAATCAAAAAGTGGCATTTTTGGCATTTTTACGCGTTTTTGATATTATTATTTCATTCCTCTCTCATTTTTTTCGACTCTAATTTTCAGCGCTTGCTTTCCTTCCTTTTCCACGATTTGAACACCCTACTTTATTTTTATCCTCTTGAATTTGCAGAATGCTCAACAATCACGCGCGTTTTGCAGATGCTAAGCAACGGCAGCAGCAGAAGCAGCTGCAACAGCAGCAGTCACACCACACAGAGCTGTTCAGAAGCTCATACTTGGAGCGACTCAAAGAGGGGGACACGGCAATGCTAGTTTTGTCGACCCTCGGTGGTAGCGCAAATGTCGGTGGAATCGAGGGTGTTGGTGCGCGAGGAATTTCAAGCGTTAACGGCTCTAGCAGCATGAACATGCGGAAACGCTTGACGCGTGGAAACCGGCGGAATTTGCGCGAATGGAGCTCAGGCTCAGAGAACGAATTTGGCGCAGAGGATGAGATAGAGTCGCCATTTGAAACCGAGGTAAGCTCGGCTAAACAAGGCAGTGATGGTGATCTCGAGAATGCTCGCAGCCAGGATATAATGAGCGGTATTGGGCTTCAGCCCGCATACGAGGGCCTGCAGAAGCGGGCCCGCCGGCGCACAGCGCACTGGCACTTGCGCGACGACCAGGCAGCGTGGCTGGCTCAACAGGAGGAGGTTCTGGTTCCCGTTCGGCTGGAGATGGAGGTTGGCGACTACCGCCTGCATGACGTGTTTGTGTGGAATGCGAAGGAGCAGGCGCTGACGCCAGAGCACTTTGCCGCCATTTACTGCGCCGACCTCTCACTACCCACAGACTCGCGTAATGGCGCCGTGGAGCATGTGGCACAGCTTATTCGCCAGCAAATATCCGAGCACGTATCTGCAGCAGACTGCAACTTCAGCGGCGGCGAGCTGCGGGTGAATCTCAACCTCGAGGTGCAGGTCGGTCCACATGTGTTGCGTGACCGCGTTGAGTGGGACCTCTTGGAGCCGCTGGGGTCTCGTCCCGAGGAGTTTGCGCGCTGCTTGTGCCGGGACCTTGGGCTTGGCGGTGAGTATCCGCCACTGGTCGCTCACCGCGTACGCGAGGAGGTGGCGCGGTATCACAAGGAGCTGGCCGAGGCAGGTGACGCGCATTGGCTGCGCCAAGCTCCGGTCGACTCTGTATTCCGCCCTATCAACCTTGCCGAGGGCTGGGGCCCAAGTATCGAGATAATGTCGGCCGAGGATCTGGATCGGATGTGGATGCACAAGGAGCGCACTTATCGGCGCACGCGGCGCTCAGAACGCACTCACACGCGCACATTTAACTTTTTGCCGCCGGAGATTGTGCCCATGGACATGTCCAATTCTACTAACGCCGTATCGTCGATCCCCGTCATCAACCCGGCGTTCTATACCCAGGCGTCAACCGAGTCGATTGAGCCTGTTAGCAGCGGTGCCACGACACCAAAGCCAATGCGGAAGTTGCAGTCCAGTATGCGACTGCAGGGTACGCCGACGCGGCCGTCAACGCCCCGAAGCTACACCAAGACGGATAAGGGCAGCTGGGAGTGCGAGCATTGTGGCTGCGAGGGTGGCGCAACGCCCATTCAGCGGCAAGGACCAAATGGGCCAAAGACACTGTGCAATGCGTGTGGAATTGCATGGATGGTGCGGGATCGCCAGGGACTGCCCAGCCATCGCAAGGATCTTCACCGCAAGTGAATACAAACTGTGCACACGGGTGAGTCAAATATTAGTATGCGGTGTCATGGTTTTTTTTTTACTTTTTTTATTTTGTTTTTACAGTTGTTATTTATTTTATTCATCGTTGACACCATTTTGCGAATTTTTGAAATTGTGCTAAATTATTGCATATATGAAAGGCGAAATGTTTGCAGCTTGATTTCAGAAATGTTGACATCCATCGTATAAATAAATAAACCGGATTTAAATGCTAAAGTTCAACCTTCGCTGTTTGGAATTTTAATGATATTCAATACATATTATTTTAATATTATAATGGCCAGAGCCATAAATTTATGTAAGAAAAAATATTTTGGTCAAGTTTGTTATTTAGCCGGAGATTCATACAGTGGCACAGCCTTGCAAACAACATAGAACGGCACAGTGTATTGTGTATATAAGAAACAGACAATCATTAGGTTCTAAATTTCAATTCAGAAAGAATTATTTGTGTGTTTGCTGGGTTTGTATAGTGTAATAAACAATACATATTGTGGCAAAATTTAAAAACAATACTAGAAATCAGCAAATAGAAAAGCACTGCTCATCTGAGATGCAAGGAAAAATGAATTTTAATAAAAAACACATACAACATAACGTGTTTTTGGAACGTCATGCATTGACTATGTGTCAAAATAAATATCACAGCGTTCAAAAGTACAACAAATAGCTTTTTGATAATGTATTTGTAAATCATTGACATAAAGCATCAAAACTCACCTATTTTTATATTGCGTATACTCAAACCTGTTTGCTGTTCACTATTGGCACATGCATGTCGTGTTATTGCAAAAACAACACCGTTTGGCTGACCAAACCAACATTGTTGTTTACATCATAATCAACATTGCAAAAAATACAATATAAGCCACTCGTATTTCCCTTTATATATTTGTTTATTTATTTGTCAACAGTTTTGTGTACGCTTTTTATTTTAAGAGAATATTTTACGTATATTATATTATATTCAAATTTCTATATATAGTCATTTTTGATTGCATCAAATTGGTTGGATTCTATATATTTTTCAAATTTACAAAGGTACACTCAGTAAGCTTGCAATGCCAATTCTGATATTCTTATAATTGCGCATTTAACACCACAACACACACAAAATGCTGATATACTTTAAGCAACTGAAATCGGCATCTTGACCCAAGCTCGTGCTGGCTTTTTAATTTTACTTTCAACTTGATGCTACAAAAATTACGGCTGTTGTCTTGATGCACCATACTCAGTTTGGCTGTTTTTACTATATTGTTTTGGATGTTCGTTCTAAATTTTTTTGAATAAATCAGATTGACATTTCTTCACTAAACATTCAGGCTGCCTATGCGCCTGTGTGATTAAATTGTCCATCCCTACTGCATCATTTTAAAAGTGCTTTGTTCAGCTATATTTTTATTACAAGCTAAAAAATATTTGGCGTATAATATCTTATAAAAAAGTGCTGGTCAATCTTATTTTATGTCCTACAGGTATTTAAATCTATCCGAATATACAAACTTCGCGGGTATTTAACCATTTTATAGTTAGAAATAGCTCGCTATCCTTATTTAGTTACAAATGATTGCTTTTGGATTCTATTATTCATTTTTTCGGGGAATTGTTATCTGCATCCGTTATTCGGCTCCGCGATTACCAACCGATTGGTGATTCTCCGTAATCGATTGACCAGCATTTTATTTGCACCCGTCGATCAAAAATAAAGGGGGGCATTTTTACAGGCATATTTGCCTTACCTCCTGTTTTCATAACTCTCTACAAAACCAAGATGTACGGAATCAATTCCACGATATCTTACTGGAAAAACTATATTTCCTTTGTAAAGCCATATGGCTGCTTTTTTGCCGAATACGATATCAAACCTGCCGCATCAACATGCTCTTCTTGTTCCCTTCTTGTTTTTGCAATTCCAGATTTTTTAGCTTTAAAATTATTATAAAACATATTTCAGTTGCTAGTGTTTGTATCGGGGTATTTTCGATTTATAATTGTACTTCATTTTTGCTTTGTTGGCAAGCATTATTATTGTCAAGGTTCCATCTATTTTTTTACACATAAATCAGGCAAATCTCGTTTATTGGTTTTTCTGCGCTTTGTCGATTACTTTAATATATTACCCGCATTTGTCACTTGTAGACTGCGCATGGGCACGTTGGGATCTGCACGTCCCACGCATGTGTCAGTATGTACTATTGTCGGGTGGCGATATAGTCAGTCGGGCTGACCCAACTCACAGCTAAAACCTTATTGCCTCCCCCCACCCATCCGCCATATTTTTGTCTGTCCAAGCTCACTGCCCATGCAGATTTGCCTATAGACACGTTTACGACTATTCTGACATTGCCTTTCCTGTTTCCATTTCTTGAATGTTTGACCGGCCTCTTTTGCTTTTGTACTTCCTACAAAAATTGCAATGACTATTGTCATGCCATGTCTCGTCTTTTGATTTTATGTATTTTATGCAGCACTGATTTCTAATTGTGTATTTTTTGCGCCAGACACTCTCAACACCTTTTTGGTTGCAATATTTTATTATTCAGATTGTAGAGCCGCCATAATCGTTTTATCAATGTCGACGGGGGACAACCAAAGGCATAATGCCCTGCCCTCTCCTAATGCAGTCCCAGCATTTGCGCCCATCAAGCCACGAGGAGATCCCGATGAGCACCGTCAGGCAATGACCGAGGAGATTGCCATTCAGCAAAACGAGCTGATATCCCAGCGAAGAAAAAGAAACACCCAGGCAGCAGCACGCATGCGTGAACGTCAGAAGCAGCGCGAGCAAAATCTCATTGAGCACCACAATAAGCTCATCAGTGAGATGAAGCGTTTGGAGACAGAGTTATCGTCTATAAAAGCTCAGCGACAGCAGCCAGAAGGTAGGCACAAATACAAACTAATGGATATGTTCCTTCATATTTTTTTGCAGTTGGTCACTCAATTCATGCCCTTGGTCACATTACTTTTCTTTATTGCGTTTTCTTTGCTTTTTCCCTTAATTATGTTGGCATTTCAGGGATTTCCATAAAGGATACGTGTCATATTTTTACTTCCTCTTCCTTTCTCTATCTCTTTGCGTACTTTGCTCATACCATCCTCAATCTTTTGTAAATGATATTTTCTTTTAGTATATCTATTTTCAAAAAACCCCAAACTCCCAATTAAGATTTGCGCACCCACAGGATTGTGCAGGAGTAATTATGATGTACCTACGCGAGTCTGCCGCAGGCATATCCTAATTAGCGGCCTTTGCGGAATACATCGGAATTGCTCTCATATATTCATATATTTTTATTTTGGCCAAGCTGTGTGAGAAAAATAAAACCATCTGCCCACCTACGTCTGGCGCCATAGATTGCAGGCCGTTTTTTTACATTTATAACGCGCATCTGCGTGGTGAAATCAACCGAATGTCGAGTTTGTTATTTGCCATCTTATTTTTAATCCTGCCATGGCAATTTCTGATAATGCTATGGAATCCTTCTTTAAAGTTTTTTATGCACCCGACATGATCTGCATCTAGAAATATATCCTGTCGGACAGACATGTTAGTTTTTTATTTCAGCTGTGGGTATAACAGCAAAAGTAGGATAGTAGAATGTATATTATTGATCGCATGCTGCAAATACTATTTTATATACATATTTTAAGGCTAACAACTGATTTGATTGCACTTTTATTATGTTTATCAACGCTTTCGCGGCATATGGCGTGCTGCTTGTAGTAAGCGATCTAGTTGATGAGGACCACGACAGTATGCTGCAAAGGCTGTCGGATGAGTTGGAGATAGCAAACTCAGCCATGGTTCAGATCAAGGATGAGGTCGAGAAGCTCGTAGACATTGCAAAATCAATTGATATCTGACTGCACCATTTGGGCGTGGACAAAGCTAGACCTTATTATAATGCGGTTCATATTTTTTTACATATGAAGCTTATACAAAACCTACTATCCTACACCACATGCTAAACCCGCCGTAATATTCAAATCAATAGCGACAAGATCAACCCCGAAAATGCCTTTATTTGGTGGGAAGTCCGTGCAAACCCAATGAAAATAGAAAATACAAATTATCCGTTTTGCTTGAGCTATTGCACAATTAATTTGATCATGATTCCCTGACTGGACGCATTTCAGTGCTAATCGCGATTGGTGATTACGCCAAGCATGATGAATTGGGAAAGCAAAATGCTGCCAAAAGTGCCCAGTTAATCTTTTTTTGACCAAGCAAAAAACCCTATTATCATCCGCAAGTGGGGGATAATTCAAACTGTCTTTCTCGTCTCAAGTTAGAATTTCTCTACTTTATATACATATACATATATTTGACATATTCTCCCTATATAGTAATATATACACTTGCTTAAATGCTAAGGGCAACGGCAGCAAAAGCGCACAAGGCGGTGTTGTCCGACCAGCTTCAACTGAGCGCATTTCGCATAAATCGGGTGTTTACAAGACAATTTAGCTTGTCTCAAAACCTAAAAGCAAGCACAAACAATGGTAGGTTGTTCCTATAGAAACGTATTTCTGTCTTATACGTAGCGATACCCAAAGTACTGAATCGAAAAATCACAGGCTATTTTTGCATCTGCTGTTCATCGATCATCCATGTATGACTTGTAGATAACAACAATCGGTGGCGGAGCACAACCGGGCGGGTCAGCCTGAAGGATCTGAAGACGCTGAGGGTGAAGGAGGCAGAGAACAAATTGGCCAGACGTGAAATGATCGAGCAGCTTTTGGAAGAGAAAAACGACTCGGCGCAAAAGGACGCGGGCAGCGATGCTTTGGCCGTCACTACAAAGACAACGCGTCTGAGGACGACATTTGTCGAACAGTTGCGGCCACTGGCCATGGATATGCGTCTGCTGCGCTCAGACACAGCTACAGACAGCGGTGGCAGTGGAGGTAGCGGTGTGGGTGCCAGCCCATCTCTGCCCAAAGAGAAAGACTCGGTATCTCTAGAAGATTCCGCCTCTACAGCACAAGACGCCGTTGATTTGGAAGCTATGCAGTCATCACAACAGTTTGTCGAAAGGGCGTTTAGCAAGACGATACGAGACGACGTGCTCAACACGCTGGTTACAGGGCTTGTGCGGCGGAGCCACATAATGCTTTACGCCGAGGATCCGTGGTCCGAGGGGTACTCGCTGCCGCTACTCGAGGAAGTTGGCACGCAGACTGGAGCGCACTTGACAGCACTCGATATTCCTGATTGGTCTGTGCTGACATCGCGGATCGATCCGATTCTCGAGGACCTGACAATTGTTAGTCACCCTTACTCGCCTCCGCCAGACCTGGATACAAGTGAGCACGGTGAGGGTGGGCGTGGAATGGCCTTTTTTTCCGGCATCAACCGCAAGCAGCAGCATGATGAGGGGGACCTTATGAGCGAGCAGATCGACGGGGGTTCTGAGGAGCCTGCTCACAACAAGGACGGCGAGGATGTAGACGACGAGGATAGCGTGAATGGACGCCCGCTAGATATCGGAGTTGACTCAATACGCGCCCATTTTGGAATCGGTAAAGGCTCTGGCGCGGGCGGTGCTGCTGGCGATCGGCTGGGCGCTGCTGATGAGGAAGGGGGCGACCCAGTACTTTCTCGCGAGATGATGAGCAACCCTTTGTCTCGGAGTGCGACCGAGCGCCTAGATCGGGTCTTGGGCGATTTTGTCAGCTTACCTGGGGTCGTTGATGGAATACAAAGGCCACGTATAATTGCCATTAAGCACATGGGCGACTTGCTGAACACTCGTGTCGGATACACGCTGTTCTCACGTTTGATTGCGGCTGTGTCCAGACATAACAGCAGCGAGGGGGCTGTACCGGTGGTTGTCGTGGGTCTGCTCCATCCTAGCTGGTTCCACCCGGACATGCCGCCGCCAGGCATTCCGCCGTTTGACATCAACCCGTCGACGCCCGTGGCGCTCATGCCTACGGACGATCGCTCTGAGGCGCTCAACCGCGGGGTCAACGGAATCGTCGAAGGGCTGCTGGGAGAGGAGGGCCAGCGTGCTGCCGGCGGGCGTCTAGGCGTGCACGTTGTGCAGATGGACGGGTTACCGGCCAACAACAGGATTTCGCGTACTCTGGGGGCGTCGCCGGGGATGCTGTTCGGAGGAGGCAAGGCTGCCGAGGAGCTGCCACTGTTTGCGCGCATTGGAATTCCGCCAGCAGCACATACCGTGGTCTCCGCAATGTGCGACATGCAGTCGCCAGAGTATGCGCAACAGACAGACAGCACGTCGGCGCAGCAGATGGTCGGGTCGCTGCGGCAGTCACTGATCGCCGAGCAGTGCTTGGACCGAAATGCACGTGTGATTCGTAACATTTGCTTGCTGTACCAGGTACCCGGCCTGGAACTGAGCGACCAGGAGGCAGCTCATCTTGAGACACTTTCGAAGACGGGCGGATCAAAGGTGTTTTTGCGTGAGACGCTGTACAATGAGCCAGTCGGGCTGCCTAAGCAGCCAAAGCGTAACACGTGGAACTTGGACTACCGGCCTTTCACTGTCATGCTGCGGTCGCTGCCAGATGACGTCGGGCGGCGGTTCTTTTTTGGCGAGACATTTTTACACCGCTGGATCTCGCTGGCTCAGGCGCTGGCGGTCAGGGAGAAGCTCAGCCTGGAGGCCATCAGGGCAGACCCATCAGTTCTGGTGACTGCTGCACGCGATGGGCTGCTGGGATCGCGCCATTTGGTTCAGGCGTGGACGCAGCTGCTCGAGTCGTATGTGGCATTGCGCCATGGCGTGATTGCCTACAGATCTGGCAAAAAGGCAGCTGACAAGCCCCTGGTCGCTGCGGAAGTGGAGAGTGAAAATGGTATCCTGCCGTTGCACCGCCAAGTCGATTTTGCAGAGATTGGAATTGGTCGCAAGGCCGAGGACGATATGGACCCGAAGACTGACGTGACGAAAGACGAGTCGCATTTGGAGCTGCTCGATCATGAATGCGATGTTGCTGCGCCGTCCGCGGAGAAGGATGAGCACACTCAGTGGTCTAGTGTTAGTCGGGAGCTAGAGGGAGATGGAGAGGACGCCAGCGGGGGCGACGATGCTGGCAGCGGGCGCGGGGCCAAAGCACCAGTGCCGGCGCAAAAGCGCATCCAGCTGGCCAAGAAGAACCTGACGGAGTATGAGCAGCGCCTAGTCGGCAGCGTGGTTGATCCACAGAGCATCCCGACCGGCTTTGGACAGGTGTGCGTGAAGCCAGAGACAGTGACGACGCTGCAAGAGATCATCACGCTGCCCATGCTGCGCCCGGAGTACTTTAGCAAGGGTGTTTTGCGGCGGTACAATGTCAGTGGAATCCTGCTGTTCGGCCCACCTGGAACGGGCAAGACAATGTTGGCCAAGGCGGTAGCCAAGGAGAGTGGCAGTGTGGTGCTCAATATCCGCGCGAGTGATATCTACGACAAGTACGTTGGCGAGGGTGAGAAGCTTGCGGAGGCCGTGTTTACGCTGGCACGCAAGCTTGCGCCGTGTGTTATTTTCATCGACGAAGTGGACGCGCTCTTTTCAGCGCGCTCGTCTGGAGAGACAAACAAATTCCGGCGGGACATTATGAATCAGATCATGTCCGAGTGGGACGGAATTAACACGCAGCGGAAAAAGGGCGCCACGACAGGTGCACAGGGCTCTGCGGGGCCACCGCCTCAGGTGATGGTCATGGCGGCGACCAATCGGCCGTTCGACCTGGACGATGCCATTCTGCGGAGGTTGCCCAGGCGCATTATGATCGATCTGCCTGGCGTCGATGACCGCAAGCAGATTCTTCGGATCCACTTGGCGGGCGAAGAGCTGGATGCTGACATTGATATGGAGGCGCTGGCTAAACGCACGGATAATTTCTCTGGGTCTGATCTGAAGAACCTGTGCGTGGCGGCGGCACTGGCTGCACTGCGCGAGAGGGTGCAGGAGGAAGTTGGCGGCGCGCAGTCAGCGACAGAGGGGGTTTCGCTGATAGAACGACTCCGTGGCACTCGCAAGCCAGCAGCAGCCGCTGCAATGTTGGCATCACCAACATCTGTGTCTGCACCTGCGTCTGCATCTGCGTCTGCATCGACGGCTGCGTCAGCAGCTGGCAGTAGTCACAGAGCAAAGTCGATCAAGCTGGCAACTAGGCATTTTGATGCGGCACTGAAAAAGGTGGCCCCGAGCTCATCTGACCAGATGGAGTCGCTGATCGAGCTGCGCAAATGGGATAAGATGTACGGTGACGGGGCGCAAGAGCGCAAGCATAAGCATCATTCGATTGGATTTGGTAATGGAGGCGGCGCAGCCACTCCTGCCGTTGCTGTTTCTGCAGAGAAAAAATAGAGGGACAGGCCCTTTATCCAATTGGCCAATACACTATTATTTATAGCACATAGTATTATTCCTGCAACAACAAGGACTAAGTTATGCGCCTAATGCAGTGGCGGAATGACTTTTTTCTTTTGAAGTTGTGGCTGCATTGTTTGAGTATTTGGCAAATGGCCATTTAGCAAGAGCCATTTATCAAGTTGTTCAGGTTTTTTTTTCAAGTGCATTCAAAAAATTAAATGGTTGAAATAGTGCCCCGATTCTTATCTTATTCCGGGCAAAAAAAATTGGGGTTTGTCAAAAAAAAATTACACTTTGTTTTCGGAATCTCCTGAAAATAAGCGGACAACAGGTTTATTTTTATTTTATTTTATTCCACACGCCAGCAAACGATTTACCATTCGAAAAAAAATCATTCCACTAAAGCGAGAAGGCATACGGAGAAGATCTTCAAAATCAATAAGAAAAAAATAAAGTCCAATAGTGTCAGTACACGAGTATTATAGTTCCTGAATTGTAATGACATTTTATATAAACCTGGGCTGTTGTTTGGCTTGTATTCAATGAAGAGCTCTTTTTTTGTGGCCGGTCGTTTTTTGGTTGCTGTTTTGAGTGAAGGGCATGTTTGAAATATGAAATAAAATTGAATATACTGTGCAATAAAGAAAAGCACCCTCCCCCCCTGTCTTTGATTCGTGGAATTGAATAAAAAGGGCAGCCACCGCTCCCTTTTTTTGCTTTCCTCTCGGTTACATATTTCTTTTTCTTCTTTTTTCTTCCTCCCTAAACCAATATTATTCTTGTGATAATTTACTTGTACCTTTTCTTTTCCCACTTTCATTTTTCTTCACTATTTGCACTTTGCCTCTCTTTCTCTCTCTTTTTCTTCTTCTTCTTCTTCTTCTTCAAACCAGCTCTTGATACAACTTTCTTCTCTCGTTTACGCTAGTTCAGGTTTTGTTTTACATACGTGTCGATATTGCAATAAAATAGACGACACATTGAAAGAGAGAATCAAAATACGTATATAGACAGGTCCGGCTTTCTACTGTTAATTTGTTTTTTTTACAGTGGATACTCCTTCGCGATACGAAATAGCCAGCTCCTTGTGGTTTTACATCTACCACACGCTTAATTGGGTGTTTGGACAGATTGGGCGGACGAGCTCAGCCGTACACCGCAACATTTATTCCGTAGTAGGAAGCTTAGTTGGGCTAGCAATTTACCTGAACCTTGGCATAAGCAGCGGCAAGGAAACAGAAGCAATTGACAAGACAATGGCACCAACATCAAGTATAGAATGGGGAGACATGATGATCGTCTCCGGCGTCGTGATCGGGGCAGCGACGTTTTTGTTCCGCAAGTCCCTGTTTAACAAAGACAAGGCGACAATCGTGCAGCTTAAACACAAGCCGGGGGCAGCCTTGCAGCAGACAGATCGCAGCGAGTACAACGCCTCTCGGGACTTTGTGTCCAAGATGCGCAAGGCCGGCAAGAACGTGGTTGTATTCTATGGATCGCAAACCGGCACAGCTGAGGACTTTGCAGGGCGGCTGGGCAAAGACATGCAGTCGGCCGGGGTGCGGCCGCTGGTGCTGGATCCTGAGCTCTACGACTGGCAGAACCTGGCGGCCCTGGGGCCGAACGAGCTGGTGGTCTTTTTGCTGGCCACCTCGGGCGAGGGCGAGCCAACCGATAACATGGAGGCGTGGTTCAACGCGCTGGCGTCTGACCGCGAGAGCCCGGAGCAGTCCGAGGCGCCCGAGTTCCACCAGCCCTCCGACAAGGATACGCTGGACCACGAGACACCGCTCACCGGCACCGCCTACGCAATGTTCGGGCTGGGAAACAACACGTACGAGCAGTTCAACCAGCACGCGCGCGTGGTCGACGGCCGCCTGCACGCACTCGGGGCCACGCGTGTGGGCGAGCGCGGCGAGGGCGACGACGACGTCGACATCGAGGAGGATTTTTCAAAGTGGAAGGAGGCGACACTGCCGCTGATCCGCAAGCACCTTGGCGCGGCGGACGATAGCTCGGCCGAGGTGTCGCCGCCAACGTGGGATATCACGGAGGTGTCCGCCGACGGCGACCAGGTGTGGACGCACGGCGAGATGGGCGGCGGCGGCGGCGCGGCTGTGGGCCCGCACAACCCGTTCAACGCACCCATTGCGGCAGCCGTCGACCTGACGCCCAGCGGCGACCGGTATGTGCTGCACGTGGAGGTTGAGCTGCAGGGCAGCGGCGTGCGCTACGAGACCGGCGACCACCTGGGCGTCTACGCGGCCAACGCCGACGCCGAAGTCGACCTGCTCCTCCGCGCGCTGCAGCTGCAGGGCCGCGCCGACACGCCGATCGCCGTGCGCGCCCTCGACCCATTTGCCGCGCAGCAGACGCTGTTCCCCGGCACGGCAACGACGTACCGCGCGGCGTTCCGCCACTACCTCGAGATCGCCGTGCCTGTGCCGCGCGCCCAGATATCCGCGCTTGTGCTCCCGCATGCCCGCAGCGCCGCGGCGCGCGCGTTCCTCGGCCCGCTGGCCGCCGACAAGGGCGCGCACGCTGCGACCGTGGCCGCCGGCTGCCTGACGCCGGCGCGGCTGCTTCTCGCTGTGCGCGAGGCCGAGGCCGCCGCGGGCGTTGCCGAGAGCGACATGCTGGCGCTGCCGGTGGCCACGGCCTTTGAGCTGTGCCCGCGCATGCAGCCGCGGCTGTATTCGATCTCGTCGAGTGCGCGCGTCGCGCCCACGCGCGCGTCGCTGACGGCCGTTGTGCTGCAGTACGATGCGCAGACTGGCCTGGCTGCGCGCCTGCCGCTGGGCGCGCGCCGCTGCGGCGTCGCAACAAACTACCTGCTGGCCGCCATGCAGATGCACAGCGCAGGCTCCAGGCCGGCGCCGATTGCCGACGCCAAGGACCACAGCGTGTGCACCTACGCCAATCTGCCGCGCACACTGCCGGTGTTTGTGCGCCGCTCGCCATTCCGCCTTCCGTCTGATGCCGCCACGCCCATTGTTATGGTTGGTCCGGGCACCGGCCTGGCGCCCATGCGCGCCTTCGTGCAGGAGCGCGCCCAGCTTGCGCGCGAATCCCCCGAGGCAGCACAAGGCACGGCACTGCTGTTCTTCGGCGCGCGCTCGGCCGCCCGCGACTTCACCTACGGCGACGAGCTGGCCACGCTGTTTGCCGACATTGGAAGGGTCGCGCCCGAGTCACGCATCATCACTGCGTTTTCGCGCGATCAGCCGCAGAAAATCTACGTGCAGAACCGCATTGCTGAGTATGCTGATTTGGTTTATCGCACGCTGCTGTGCGGCCAGGAGAAGCTGAACGGCCCGCCGCGTGCGCACATTTACGTCTGTGGTGATGCTAAGCATATGGCGAAGGATGTCGCGGGCGCGCTTGTTACGCTTATTGCTGACCGCGAGGGTGTCTCTGAGGATGTCGCCACCAAGTGGATCACGGAGATGCGCCGCTTGTCGCGGTACCAGGAGGACGTGTGGAGCTAAAAATGCTTCTAAGCTCATTCCTTTGCTCCTCTTTTTTTACTTTTCGTTTGTATTTCATTAATACATTTTATTGCCTATTTGCATATTATTTATTGCATATTGCTTATTGCTTATTGCCTATTATTCCTTTTTATTCCTTTTTATTGTGCATCTTCAATCTTTTGTAGCTGATCGGAATTGGATTGCACATCCCAGCTCACCTTTTGGTAGCAAGCGTAACTTGTCGCGCACACGCACACGCATACGTTACCCGAGACAATACGTTTTCTTTTGTTCAATATGAAATCCAGAGAAAGAGCCAATGGTCAGTCAAGGTGCATATTGTGCTCAACAACAATCTCATTTTCGTTGTGGTTACAAAAAAAAAGAACAACAAATGCAAAATGCGAAATAGCGCTCAGCCCTTTTATGCGCAATTTATTTATTTTTCTTTTCTTTTACGCCACATTTTTTTTCACAAAAAATGGTTGGTTTACATATACAAGTTGGATTACCATAACAAATAAAAAATGCTTATATCAAAATGCGACGAATGTAGCGAATAGCAACACCGTGGATATAGCGATCATCGATGTAACCCCCCTATCTTCCTTTAAAACGACATTATCCATATCATGCTTTGTCAATGCAAAATACAGACCCACAGTATCAGTATCCTCCGCCATCACACTCGTAGGCCGACTGCCACTGCTGCCACCTGAATACCACATGGATGCCGTCGCCCTATGGTGCAGTAAACTGGACATTGGTTTCGACTGCGCCTGCACCCTATTGTGAGAATTACTCGCTGATGCTTTACTGCCACTACTGTTTTCAATCTTAGCAACGGGGCGCACGAACAGTGGCAATGTGGCCAACGACTTGGAATGCGATTGGTGGGGTTCCCTGTTATTGCCACTATTGTTGTTTGCTGCTCGTGACCAGAGGAACAGCTCGAATACTTGTGAGGAGGAGAGGCTCTTCTTGTTGCTGTTGGATGATCTCCAGTTATGTGTTAATGAGCTGCTGGTCCCTAGTACTGTGATCCAGAATACCAACAGGCTGATGCCCAGCATGACCGAAATACGAACCATCACCCTCCCTCTCTTTTTATATGAGTTTGTAATGCTGCCCTGTTGCTTGTTCGAGGATGGAAAGATGGGGTGTGTGTGATGTTTTTTCTATGAGTATGTAGATAAATAGTTTAGGTCCGGAATATAAACATTGATGAATGTATGTGGGTGTGTGTGTGTGCGTGAGTTGGGATAGTCGCACTCAATGAAACGGCAAGAGACGTGTGAAGTAAAAAAAACAGTATATAAGAAGGAAAATTGAGAAAAGAAATAAAAAAAAGATGAGATGGAAAGTGCTATAAAAAAACCGCAAGAAAAAAAGACACGCTTGATATCTTATAAAATACGAATACGAATACAAATCAAGAAAGGCAAAAAAGAACAACCGCTGATATCGAAGGTAAGAACTGAGAAGCACCACACGCCCAGATGACAACCAAGTTGTATGAGGGGGGGGGAAGGTAGGTGGAATTTTGTGATGTGGACAAAATAATAATAAAAAAGTATTATCAAGACGTTGGAAAATAAAATAAAAAACAAAAGAAGAGGAAAGTAGAACAAGTGCAAAAATGAATAAAGAGGATGACACTATTAGAAGCTAACTGGAAAAACTGCTATTTTCGCTTTTTTTTTCTTCTTTTTTTTCCCCTAAACTAAAAAAATAAAGGGCATTGTTTTATTCTACAGCACATCCTGTTACATAGAAGCGACGATCCAGTCCAGAAGCGCCTTGTTTCCCAATAGTGCTCCCCTGTCTAGAGCTTCTTTTTTTTTGTTGCGAAATGCTTAAAATAAACTTAAAACCACCCAAATATTCTTTATGGAATAAAATGTGCCAAGAGTTTCAGGTCAGTCCATTTCTTTTTTTTTTCTTGGCCCCAAAGCGCAAACTAAAAAAAAACTCGCATGATGCGCGCATCGATATTTAATTCGTTTCCATATTTATTACTTGAATAAGTTAAAGGAATAGTAAAGTATCAGGGTGACTCAAAGTTTGTATGTTTTCGTATATAACTACTGAGTTCTATCTTTTATAGAGATAATTACCTCCTTGCTCAATTACACCCCCAACACCCTTCAAACTATTGCCTGGAACAAACTCCAAAGTCATCGCATGTCAGGGAATCGAACTCAGATTTATATGCCTTTTTCACTGCTTGAATATTCCTTAAATCGCGATCTTTGAGCTTGTTCTTGATGCACAGGAGAAAAAGAAAAAAAGAAAAAAAGAAAAAAAAACCAAAAACCACAAAGTACTAGTAGATCTGGCGAGTGCGGTGATGCTTCAAGCTACTTCATACACTGTTCATAGGGCGAGAAAAGCTTTCACACTTTGAGTCATCCTGATAGAATCAATCCAATTATCTGTTCCTTATTTTAATCCACTTGGAGCTTCTTGTTTTTGAGCTTACAATCTCGCTTATGCATCTCAGAAGAAGGATAATAATAATAAAAAAGGGGAGGGGGGAATGGGAGAAAGAGAATGTTGATGCCAATGTTCATAGTTGATAGTGGCATGGCTGTTGTTGCCATGCATATATGACCATTTTTTATATATATATATAAAAATTGCAAAGATAAAATAAACCTATGCACTTTATGTGCCTATATTAGATGCCACCACACTCGAAAAATTAATATGTCAAGTTACTGAACCGTATTTGTTATAAAAGGCAATAAAACACAAACAAAGCACATCTTATACCTCACTATATATATTTTACACTCAAAATAATGAAAATTTTAACAACTCGTTTGACCACAGTCAGCACAGTATTCATCTCATTCGGCGCCATTTTGGTTGCCGGGTTATCAGCTAAGGAGATGAGTGCACTCAAGCACTTCCTTGAAAGTATCGAGACCGTTGGCACGACAGAAACGGGCCCGACGAAGGAAGAAATAACTCATGATTTGGCTGTCGGTCTGGGCCTAAAAAACTCCGCCGGTCTGCTGTACAAGTACTCACCTGACGCCAAAATCGCTTACAGTACGATGTACGACTCGCTTCTGTTTCTTTCAGTCAGTGGGGTTTCGGACTTGGTTCAGAAAAAACAGCTCGCCAAAGTCATTAAATACTTTGAAATCTCGCTTATCGACTAAACAGGCAAAAGTAAAATAAAAAACATCTTTTTGTTGCAAGATAACAAAAATGAATAAATATAAAAGTGGATGTGTGACAAAAACATTGTTCTTTTTGTAATACAAAAAAAGGTTTGCTATTTAGGCACGCTCCTTCTTGATGAGGGCAACCTGGCGGTCGACGATGGCGCGCTGCTGCTTCTTCAGGCGCATAAGCTTGAAGCGGTCAAAGTCGGACATGTTGGCACGACGCTTGCGGGACTCGATCTTCTGAGCCCAGGCAGACTTCTGCCAGGCCTCAACGACCTGCTCCTTCTCAAGGAACTTGGCAAGAGCCTTCGAGCCGATGGTGCGGGGGAGACGCTTCACAACAATGTCGGTCAGGACAACGTTCTTGAAAGCAATGATCTGACGGGGAACGTTGGTGGTGGGGCCATCGATGATAGCACGGTTGTGGTCAACAATGTCAACAATGGTGGCGATCTTGCCGGCGTTGACACCAGTGTTGATGAGAACGACGCGGCCGACCTCAACGAGACGTTTGAAGGATCCCTGCTACAAATAGTCAAAGTTGCGCGCATAAAAAATAAAAGGCAAAAGGTGATTAGTAAAAAAAGCTCCATTGTTGGCTTTGGGCGTTGGTTATAAACAAGTGAATGTGCGCGCTCGTGTAAAGCACTCGCGCATCTGTGTCAAACAGCCCAGTCGCGTTGAAGGCTGTTATAATTGAATTCAACCGAGGAATATTCGGGATTGCGAATAAAAGATAGAGCTGTGTTGTTTGGATTCGAGGTCGGTTGGTCGGTCAGTGAGACTGAGGTTATAAAGTAACACGCGTGGAGTTAGCCTGCGTTCGTCCAGAGTCTGACTGGCCGTGTGGGTGTTCTTGTAAGAAAAAACGTGTGCTAATTGCTCACAAAAAACAGCACAAGCACAGTCCATTTCAGTTGTGGAAAGAAAAAGCCCGAGATGTGGATTCGCAAATGAGATAACCAGGCGAGCCAAGAGACACAAGAGAAGCAGAATAAAAAGAAGCTTCTGAACTCCAATTGCTCTCAAACAACATCAAACTGTCTGCTCAGCAACAGTAGCAGCTGTATTGTTTCAAAACAAGCCAGCCATTTCTGCAAATAAAAAGCAAAACTGTTTGTTGTCGTTAAAGTCGCCGCATGTCAGCCTATTCCGCTCTTTAACCTGTGTGTCAAGAGTAAAACACACTCTGTTGTGTCTCCGTGTCAAAACTGGCTGCCCCTCCACACAGTTTCTCTTTGCCGGAAACGCCACCAAAGTTGCGTCGTTTTGGCATGTAAACTCTCCCAGAAATAATGGCAAATGGCGTTGGTGTCCGCATTCAAAATTCAAAATTCTATGAAATTTCAAATTTCAAAAAACGGTTTCCTCCAGCCTTCCATAAACAGCCTAAATCGTCGTTATCCCTTCCTCAAAAAAACCCGTATATATCTCCCTCTCATCAGTGATGGATGCAATCAACCCTCCTTGCGCATCCATCGTGTTCTGATATTTGAGTATCCTCGAATCCAACAGTCATTATATGCTATCCCTGTTTCCCTGGTCTGCTGTAATCCTTATTTCCCCTCGAGTATTCATGAGTACGCACCATTTTCAACTAATAGACGTCGATGTGAGAAAATATTGATCGGACGAAAAAGAGATTGTAACTACAGCTTGGGCAGGACTCTTGCGGGCAATCAACAAAGGCGTGTCGAAATGTATTTGCGATATTATTCCAATTGAACGGAAATTCATAATTGGGAACCCACACACAGTGCCTAAATTGAGCTTGGGCTTCTTGAATGTGAAATTCAAATGTTTGTAAATTACAATCACGTGATTTATTGATTAAGTGATTGTGATTAAATGGGGTTTATCCACCACTAATGTGTATTTTTTGAACAATCTCGTGCACAGAGTCATCGGTTACTATATTTATTTTACCCCGCAGTACTTTTCTAGATACAAATATGCAAAAATGACAATATAAACATGTCTGACCCTGACATGTCTCACCTATAAAAAACAAAGGCGCATGTGTTTTTTTTGCACATGGCTCGATACAATTGTCAAGTAGTATATATATAAAATGGGAGTATTTTTTGATTGTAAAAAATAGGTAAAATGTTCAAAATTTTAATTTTTTTTTTGCTTTTCCCATCTCTTATTTTTTAAATGTTATTATTTCATATTTTGAATGCCTTTTGAGGATATCAGCGGCTGGCTCCTGCTCGCACTTTTGCTCACAGTAATCACCTGGCGAGTACTTCTGGCGCTTCCCTGGTGTCCATACTACAGGCGCTACAACCAGTTATTCCCACAAAGTCGCGCTGTGCACAATTGGACCTTGGAATGGGAAGACGAAGAGCTACATCTATCTTTAACTACTGTCACAAACATGATTAACTAACATTAGTAGCTCCTCTTTTTTGACTTGTCCACAATAGCTGGAAACAAAAAATTAAATATTTAAATGGAAAATTGAGAAATTTACACACACATAAGAAAAAAAGAAGAATAAGGAAGGAAAAAGAAAAAAAAGTCAAATATGAAAAAAAAGAGTATTCCATGCTTTTTTGTTTATGCAGCGACAGCGGCAGCAGTGGCGGTTTTCTTGACAGCACGCTTTTTGGTCTTTTTAATCTTGCGCGGGCCCTTCGTGCCGGATGTCTTTTCAGAATCAGCAACCTTCTGCTCCTCCTCAAAACGCTTACCCAAAGGCTGCTCCGCCTTGATCTCTGAAGTAACTGCAGCAGGCGCCGCCGGCTTGTTAGCCATGACAATTCCTTCAGGAACCGAGTCAACAGGAATTGGCTCCTCAATAATGGTAGTGGAAGCCAGAACAGCAACCGGCGTGGTCTCCGCCATATCAGTCTGCTGTGCCACCAGGGGGTTCTCTGCAGAAAGCGCTTCGGGAGCCGCAGAAAGCTCCGGTGTATCAGCCACCTGCGTGACCGCGCGCGTGCGCTCCTCGGCGAGCTCCTTTGAAATGGACTTGCGCGCATCCTTGACCCAGTTTGACGCAGATTTGCGCACGTCTTCGTCAATGGAGTCAACGGAATCCTCGTCCAGGGCGGCAGCGGGAACAACGGGCTCGACATCCTTCTTGATTACAGAGATGATCTCGGGAACAGCCGGTGTGTCTGTGGTGATCTGCTCATCGACGATCTGAGGGAATTGCTCGAGGTTGTCGCTATCAGAAGCCGCGTTAATCAGGTCCTCAAACATTGCCTTGTCCTCGGCGGGAATTACGATTCCGGCCATGGCGTCGCGCGCCGCGAGGATGGCCGAGGCGGCGTCTTCGGCAACAGGGGGTTGCTTCTCGGTGGTCTCTTCGGCGGTCTCGAGCTCCTCCTTTGCAAGGAAGCCCAGGATGCTGGTCTCCTCGGCAATGTTGGAGACTGCGGATGCGGCAGCTTTAGTCGCTGAGCTAGCGGTGTCAGCAAGCTTCGCAGTGCCAGTGTTGATTACGGGAGCGGCAACAGACTTGACAGTCTCGGCAAACTGGTTGGCAGCGGATGTGACAGTCTCGACGATCTCAGGGATAGTCTCAGAAGCAATGGAAGCCACAGATTCAACAATCTCAGGAATAGTCTCGGCAGCAACAGAGGTCAAAGATTCGAAGATCTCAGCGGCGGCTTCAGTAACCGAGATAGCAGCTTCAGCAGCGTTCTCAGTAGCCTTCTCCACAACATACTCAGCAATGGACTCGACAGGCTCAGCAACGGACTTGACAATCTCAGCCGCCTGATCAGTGATAGACTTGATGGTATCGACCACCTGCTCAGCGACAACGGAAGTCACAGACTCGAGTATCTTGGGAACGGTCTCAGCAGCAACCGAGGTGGCGGACTCAACGACCTCGGCAGCGGATTCAGTCGCAGAGCCCACTGCCTCGACGACCTTCTCGGTGATCTTCTCGACAACAGACTCGACCTTCTTCATAACGGGTGCAGCGACAGACTCGACATTCTTAACGACAGGAGTGGCGACAGACACGACCTTCTCGATAGCAGACTCGGCCTTCTTCACGACGGGTGCAGCGACAGTCTCAGGATTCTTAACGACAGGAGCAGCGACAGTCTCAGGATTCTTAACGACAGGAGCAGTGGCAGTCTCGGACCTCTTAACGACAGGAGCAGCAACAGACTCGACATTCTTAACGACAGAGTGAACTTTTTTCACAACAGGAGCAGCAACAGTTTCAGCCTTCTTCACGACAGCGGCAGTGGTAGGCTTAACAACAGGCTTCATGGCAGTGGCAGTGGCAGTAGGCTTAGCAACATGTTCTGTGGCCTTGGACCACTGCTCCGCAACAACCTTCGTGGCCTCCGCAGCCGCACCCGTAGCCTTTGCCACCTGCTGCACAGCAGTCTCCGCCATCCGGCTAGTATACGTAGCCACGCCCTCCTTAGCAACCTCCACAGCAGATCCCACCCACCCACGGGCAATCTGCACCCACTGTCTGGCGGATCCCGAAACCTTACGTGCAAAACCCTTAATCTGTCCCGCACTCTGCGTGACCATCGGCACGACACTGTTCTCCTTAGCCCTAAGCATCAACTCCTTCTCCTGCTCCATACCCACTTTCTTAACCCGCTCCACAACAGCAGGGTGCTCATTGCCGGTGATAATGGTGTAGAACATGAAGAAGACCTCCTCGGTGAAACTCTTGGCAACATCCAAGATGGTCCAGGCAATGGCAGCGGCCTTATCTGATGTTACCTGGACTTTCTCCCAGGGCACAACCTGGTCAATATGGGATTTTAGCGTGCGCGCGTAAAGGGAATGCACCGGCGGGCAGATATGCGCCTTGGTGAAGGCATAGGCGTTAATGGCAGATATCTTGGCATACGGAATGACATGCACGGAGGCAAAACTCTGCGACACCCTCCATGCCTGCGCGGCGCCATCAGCAATACCAGGTAGAACGTTACTGCGCGTGTAAGCAATGACGACGTGGGAGTAATGGCAGATCGCCGGCTTCACTTGGTTGCTCCACCGCGGCTGCACATGGTTAGCAAAAAATGGCACAACATAGTCATTTGCCACGCACCTCACCACCGGCACCGCAGAGTCCACCGCTCTGCCGGCCTGCTGAACAAGCATGGAACCTGTCGGCACAAGGTACTTTTGGGTGACTCCGCAGACTCCCCCGAGGACAAGATCCACGGAGGGCTTGGCATGCCTTGCGTAGACTGCCGAGACCTTGGCCGCATACGGATTGACCACCCGGTGGGTGGCGTCGCACAGCGGTGCTGTCGCCTTGCGCAAAACCGGCAGCGCAGTGTCCACGAGGAGAGAGTGCGCTTGGACGACGGCCGGCGCCCCGTGCTTGTGGTAGAACGGCACTAGGTGGGCATTGTACGCTGCATTGACGCGTGCTCCGGTCTCAGTGCCCACAAGGTAGCTTTGCACTGGCGCGACTATGGCAGAGTGCGCAAGTGACTCGATGCGGCATATCGGATGGCCGGGTGTGTTCGGGCATGTAAATAATGTCACGAAGAGGATGTACAGGAGCGCGACGCGTCGCAAAGTCCAGCTGGCGCAGCTTTTAACACACGACTAGGGGGGGGGGTGATCAACAATAAACAAAAGAATAATTAATGCAAGTTTTTTATATCATTTGTTCGGGAGAGACTGGATAAGCCAGTTGAGCTCAAAAATAATAAATAATTGTATGTTTTTTTTCATTCTTACCTTTTCGGTCGGGTTAGCAGCGGAAGCATAAGCAGGGGCAGCTGGAATTGGCTTGGGGTGCTTCTGACCGACAGTTCTCCTCTTGGCCATTGCGAATTCAAAAAAAGAAGAAAAAACCTTTTTTCCCAATCTAGTGGTTAGCGAACACAGATGTTCTAAATTAAAAAAATAAATAAAGAGGAATCTGGGGTTTTAAAAATAAGCTGATGGTTCAAGAATGTAAGGAGAAAAACAAAGAGTCAAGAGAGGAGGGGGAGCGGATTGTTAAAATAAAAAAGCAAAACTGCCAAAGCAAAAAATGCAGCAGGCACAAAGAGATCCAAGAATGCACTTTAATTTATCAACACTTCAAAAAATATTATAATACGTAATGGCGATAAAAAAATTTTATATTTGAAAAGATCAAAAGTCCCCTTTTCCTAAAAAAACAAAAAATTCATGCGCTTCACAATCCACTGCCAGCAGTGAATTAATGCCACGTCGTCACCAGAAATGCGCTTATTATTTGATGAATAAATTGAATGTTACTGTGACACAAATTAAATGTAAGAAAAAGCGCCAAGCAAAAAATACTTCCTGGCTGATTTTTTGCTTCTTTTGCTTGTGCGTCAGAATGAAAGCAGAAGCAAAAGCAAAAAGCAGCAGAATCAAATCAGTCTTGTGGTCTCAGCCACTTATGCACGCCCATAGCCACCGTGCAGCCAACAATAACCAGGGCGCCAACAAGGCCGATCCAATCCGGCACCTCATCAAACAGGGTAATTCCCAGCACCACAGCAAACACCACGTCCAAATTGCGCATCAAAGTGCCCGGTCCCGCTGGCGCCAACTGCAGCCCGCGATTCAACATAGCCTGGCCGACAAAAGCAAAGACGCCAACCAGCCCCATCACCACCCACTCATACCGGCCCCTGGGCATCCTGGGTTCCTGCAGAAGAAACATGGCCACGGATGAGCCGATCATCGAGATAAAGCCAAAATACACCACATGCACCATCGCATTAACGGCACGGCCAACCTTGCGCACAACGCAGTACGCCAGAGCGCCGGACATCGCGCCAACAAGCGCCGCCACCGCACCCCACAGCTCCGGGCCCCCCTTGGGCGACTCTGATCCGCCAAACAGCGCCGCAGGCTTAAGCACCAAAACAATCCCCAGAATGCACACTGCCGATGCCACGCGATCAAACTTCCCATAGGGTTCCCCCAGCATCCAATACGCGAACACAGCGCTGAACACTGGGCCCGTAAAGAAAACCACCGTCGCATCCCCCAAAGTCATCACCGAAACTGCATAGAAAAAGCACGCATTGCCGAATGCTCCCGCGGCGCCGCGCAGCACCAGGAGATGGCGGGGGCTTGTGGGTGGGCCCAGGGGGCTGGCCCTGAGGACGACGCAGCCGAGGAGGCCCAGCGCGAGTTGCACGATGCTGCGTGCAAAGACGATCTCGAGCGACGGGATTTGTGAGAGGGAGAGCGCTTTGACACAGGCCGAGTTTGCTGCGAACCCGAGCGCGGAGCTGGCCATGAGAATGTAGCCGGTGAGCTCGTCGCGCCGGCGCCGGCGCCCAAGGGATGTGTTGATGGAGTGGTCGAGAGCTGCGCTGGCGGAGCGGTCGAGAGCTGCGCTGGCGAAGTGGCCGAGAGATGCGCCGGTGGAGCGGTCGTCTGCTGGCAGTAGCAGCGCTGTGGTCTCGGACGGTCGATTATCCCCCATGCTTGTGCTACTTGATTGAAAAGAATTGATTAATAAAAGGCAAGAAAGAAAGCAGGATAAAAAATGGATGGATCAAAGTCAAAGTGTGTGTGCGACAAAAAGGGGGGAAAAAACATTTTTTTCATGCGTCAACGTCCATAGCGTCGTCGCCATCGCCGCGTTGGTCGCGAGCGAGCCGCCGCGGCATCGGCGTCGGCGACATGCTCAGCATCGACTCGCGCGCGGCCAGCCCCACCCCAGCGCGCGCCTCCTCCAAGCGCGCGCTAATGGCGCCAGCCTTCGCCAGCTCGCGACCCAGCGCGCGCTGGTACGGCGCAACAGCAGCGACCGGCGCGTCGCCCGCCAGCCGGCGAATCTGCGCATCCAGCGCCATGGCGTGGCGCGGGCGCACGACGCCATGGATGGTCTGCGCCAGCGCCGCAAACCACGCGGCCATCGGCGCCCACTCCGCCGCAGCCAGGGGCTCCGTCCGAAGCTCGCCTTCGGCATCGAGCATCTGCGCCATGCCGGTTTTGGCAGCCACGGCGCGCTCCAGGCGCTGCGACCACGCCAGCCCAATGGCCGGCGGCGCCAGCGCTGTGGCGTCGGGGCCGCGGCCCGGCGTGCGCGCCAGCGTTGGCGCCGCCGGCTGGTGTGCGGCAAACGCCGAGCGCAGCGCCGCGCCGACAAAGCGGCCCAGCGTCGCGACGTTGACGGGGGCGGCGGCGCCGCTGCGCGCGTCGCAGGCGGCCACGGCGCCCAGCATCGCGTCCATCGCCGCGGCCCGCGAGCTCTGCAGCAGCAGCTGCGGCCGCAGCGCATCGACGGCCGCCTGCACCAGGTGGTCGAAGGCCGACAGCGCGACAAAGCCGGCCGAGCGCCGGGCGCCCGCCGGCTGCTGCCGCTCGGCCGCCTCGAGCCCCGCAATGCCCGTGTACGCCGCCGCCAGGGCGAGCGCAGCCGGCGCCACGGTGCCGTCGCCCAGCCACTGCGCCCAGAGCGCGCCGAGGGCGCAGACGCGCGCGTAGCCGATCGCCCACGACGACGGCGCCAGCGCGCTGATGCTGAGGCTGGTGGGCTGCGCGCAGTCCGCCAGCTGCTCGTGCCAGGCCGCCATCCGGCGCGCGAAAAAGCGCTCGAGCTGCGCGCGCACCGGCTCGGCGCTCAGCGGCAGCACCAGCTGGCGCCGCAGCTCGGCTCCGCCGGGCGCCGAGGCAAGTGGGCCGGTGAAGAGCCGCAGCACGCGGCCCGCCACGGCGAACGCCATCTCGCGCACGCGTCCGCACGCCGCCTCGTCGGAAACCAGCGCCAGGCACGTGGCCGCCAGGCTGTCGCGGTCGCCGCACAGCTGCTGCACAGCCTCGGCCGCCTGCGCGCCCGGGGGCGAGCCGCCGGCGGCGGCGGCGGCCAGCAGCGAGTCGACGCGCAGCGCGCGCCACAGCGTGCAGTGCAGCGCCGTGTCCAGCGCCGCCAGCGCCAGCAGCGGGTCCGCCGAGCGCGCTGCGGCCAGCAGCGCACCGACAGCCGGCAGCCGCGCCGAAATGTCGCGGCGCCGGATCAGCGCGCGCACCGGCACCAGCTGCGCATACGCCACGGCGTCGCCGGCGAAAAGCCGCTCGACCGCGGCGCCGGCGGCTGCGCCGACCAGGTCGCTGTCGGCCGTGGCGGCCAGCAGGCGGCTGTCGTCCAGCCGCTCGAGAAACGCCGCCGCCAGCCGCACCAGCCGCAGGTGGCCGCTGTGGCGCGCAACGATGGCCAGGTGCATGCGCGCCAGCGCCTGCAGCACGTCGGTGCGCTCGGCGTCGAAGAGCTGCTGCGCGTCCAGCGCCTCCGCCGCCAAAAACACCAGCGGCAGCAGCCGCTGCGCATCGTCGATGTTGCGCGCCACCAGCGGCGCAAACAGCGCCTGCCACAGCGCGGCTTCCGGCTGCTCGGCGTCGGCGTCCGCCGTGCGGTGCGTGCGCAGCCGCCGGGCCCGCGCCGCCCGCTGGCGCTCGCACACCCACACGGCAAGCGCCTGCAGCAGCGCGCACTCCTCGGCCGGAAGCAGCGCAGCGTGGTCGTGGCCGAGCATCTCGGCCAGCGTGCCGAGCGCCGCGCCGAGCTCGGGCATCTTGTGCCAGAGCGCCTGCGCCGCCGCAGCGACGCGCGGCTGCACGGCGCCGGCGCCGGCTGCGGCGCCGACCGCCGCCTCGATGGCCCCGTCCAGCGCCGTGGGCGATGGCCCGCCGGCCGCCGCCTGCAAAAGCTGGTGCTCGTCGCTGCCGAGCCCGGCGGCGGCTGCCGGCGGCGCGCTCCACAGCTCCTCGACGCTCGCCGCCGCCTGCTCGGCCACCCAGCCGCTGTGCTCGCACGCCGCCTCGCCCGCCGCCGGGCGGCTCAGCAGCGCGAGCCGGTGCAGGAACGCGCCCAGGCACCTGAGCAGCTCGCGCGTATGCTCGACGCTGCCGGCCTCGCGCGAGCCGCCGCCGCCGCCGCGCCCAACCCAGGCGTCGCGCAGCCACCAGGCGACAAGCTCGGCCGCCGCCGCACGCACCGTCACGTGCGTGTGCGCAACCAGCGGCGCCAGCAGCCGCAGCACCGAGTGGCGCGGGCACGCGCCCAGGTCGCCGGCGTCTGCGTCTGCGTCTGTGTCTGCGTCTGCGTACAGCGGCTGGATGCCAGCCAGCGGCCCAGCCGCGCCCGGCTGCGCAGCGCCCTCGGCGTGCTCCCGCGGCTGCTCTGCCTCCGAGCCGCTGCTGCTGCTGCCGGACTCCTCCAGCAGCTGCTGCGACAGCGAGTGGCTGTACGTGCCGCGCTTGCCCGCCTTCTTGCGCCTGCCGCCGCCACGCTTGCTCTGCCTGGCCTGCTTTGCGGGCGCGCCGCTGAGGTCAGCATCTGGGTCGAGGTATCCGAGCCGCGCCAGCTGCGCAAAGAGCTTCAGCGCAGCCACCTGCACTTTGGTGTCGACGTCGCCGGCCGCCATCTGCACGAGCCGCGGCAGGAACCGCACGATGAACGGCCGGAACCCGCCCGAAATAACATCTGCCGCTGCCGCTGAGTCCGCCGCCCCCACGGCGCCGACGCCCGCGCCAACGGCGCCCGCCACGCCCAGTGCCTTTCCGGTCAGCAGCGGGCCCAGCGCCGCCGCCAGCGCCGCCTCGCGCACGCGCGCATCCTTGTCGTTCAGCGACCAGCCCAGGTACCGGAGATACTCCGTCGCCAGGTACGCTGCCGGCAGCGCCCGGCACCAGGACGCCAGCGGCACCAGGCACTCTGCGCGGATCACCGCGTGTACGTCGCGGTATCGGTAGATGAACACCGTGTCGTAGATGGCCTTGAACGCTGCCTCCGCTGCCTCATCCTGCTCGCCCAGCGCGCCAATGCGGTCGCGCAGCCTCTGCTGCGCATCCGCACGCACTCGGCTGCCGGACTCCAGCTGCCGCTGCGTAGTCTGTAACTGCTGCGCCGTGTGCGCGCGCACGCTGACCAGCGCTGACTGCACGGCGAGCGATGCCAAGGTGGCTGCGTGGCGGAATGGCCGGTAGGCTGAGGCCGCCATGGCCACGAGCCACTGCAGCAAAACCTCGGTGAACGGTGACAGTCCGTTGTCCTCGCTCACGTGCGCAAACACCAGATGGTGTTGGCCGTCGATGACCAGCCGCTGGACAAAATCCAGCGCCTGTTTGCGCTGTCTTCGGTGCTCCTTTGATTTTCCCAGAAGCAGCTCCTCATTGGCCTCAGTGGTGGTGGTGCTGTGCTTCAGTGCTGCAATCGACTGCGTCTGCAGCCGCTCAAGCTGCTCTGCAATGCCCTCAGTCTCGTACACAGTGCCATGGGGAATTTGTCCGGGGCAGCCGGCGAGCTTGATCAGAAAGTTAATCAGCTCGCCCGTGCTCGCCTCGTCGTCCGCGCGGTACGCCTCGATCCAGTCGCTGACGACCTGCGCGACCGCCACGTTGTCGTCCAGCACGGCATTAAACAGCTCCGACGACAAGGCATCTGTGGCTGCCGCCATGGCCGACTGCTGCTGCTGCTGCTGCTGCTGAGCCCTGCCCCCAGCCTTCTGCTTAGCTGTTTTTCTGCTGCCCTGCGGCGTCCTTGGTGCTTTCTTGGCCACCGCCCTCTGCTTTTCTTCAAAGTCACTGTTGTCGTCATCGCTGTCGGCCTGCTCGCTCTCCTGATCGCTCTCCTGATCGCTCTCCTGATCGCTCTCCTGCTCACTGTCACTTGTCGTACCGATGCGCTGGGTGGTGCGCGCTGTGCGCTGGCGCTTCTTGTTTTTGCTCTTGCTTTTGCTCTTGCTTGATGCTGCTGGTGGCTGTTGTGCAGGGAGTGGCGAGGCAAAGGCGCTGGCTTTGGTGCGTTTGCGTGGCGTTGTGGCTGTTGTTGTAAGGGGCGATGATGTAGGCACCGGAATTGATGCTGCCAGTCTCTCGGGCGCCCTGGTGACGCGTGCCGATCTGCGTGCCGGTGTAGCCATATTGTTTTTTTTTGTTTATTTGTTGGTGAAAATGTAATTTACCAGAAACAAGGAAAGAAAAAATAAGGAAAAAAAGGTAAACAAGTCAAATGTCTATCTTTTTTATGTTGCTGCGCGTTCTTTTTCAATTAGCTCGCGGATTTTGCTATATACTATGTGTTTTTTTTGCGTGTTTTAGCTGTGAACAAGGAAACGCGTTGGTGGGGGGTGTTTTTTTTTGGAACACGCGTATCATCAATGCGAAATTTCGCTCTCTGGCTGATCTGGTGATCAAAACCAACCATCCGTTATCAACTAAACTACAAGCGACAAAATGCAAGAAGCGATCATCGACTGTCGACGTCGATATTCCCTCTCCCAAATGATCTCTATCTCTTTCTTTTTACCTCGATGTTTCCTCTGCCCACTCTTCACTTTTCACTTTTCACTTTTTTTCTCCACTAATCACTCCCTCTTCTTTCTTTGTAAATACACAAAAAGATGGCCACGCTCGACTCGGCCATCCGCCTGTGCTTTGTAACAGGAATCCTCCTACTGGTCGTTTTGCTGGGATTACTTGCCGTGCGAATGCTCACGCTGGGCTCGCAAACGCACCAACAAAGCAACCGCTCGCGCATCCAAGCCAGCACAACCCCAGATACCAGCGCACACCCTGCCTACTACATCGGCTTTTTCCACCCGTTTCCGAACGCTGGCGGCGGCGGTGAGCGCGTCCTCTGGACAATGATCCAGGCGCTCCAAACCAAATACCCATTCCTGGTCAGCATAATCTACTCTGGCGACCAAATACCCCTGGGTGAGTTGCTCGCCAATGTGCGCGAGAAATTCGGCCTCGAGATCCGCCCAGAAACCATATATGTAGTGGAGCTGCGCAGCTGCTGGTGGGTGGTGCACCGCTTCCGAAGGCTGACGCTTTTGCTGCAGAGCCTCGGATCAGTTGTTTTGGCCAGCGAGGCCCTGCATGGGTTCTGCCCGGATGTTTTTGTCGACACTGTTGGTTACGCCTTTGCGTATCCGCTCGTGCGCCTGGTCGGCAGCGGCAGCATCCCGGTGGTCGCTTACACACACTACCCGACTATCAGCAGCGACATGCAGACGCTCGTGGCATCGCGCGAAGCCGGCATTGCCAACGACCCTACAGTGGCCGCCAGCCTATTGCTCACCCAGCTCAAGCGCCTCTACTACACCCTGTTCGCCCATATGTACGCCTTCGCCGGCTCATTTGCTGCCACAATAATGACGAACTCATCATGGACGCACGCGCATATTATTGCGCTGTTTGGGAACCCGAGAATGACTCGGATTGTGTACCCGCCATGCGACACCGCGAACCTCGCTGGGTTTGCGCTCAGCCCCAGGGTGCCTGCAGTGGTGTCGCTGGCGCAGTTCCGCCCGGAGAAAAACCACGAGGTACAGGTGCGCGCCTTCGCCAGGCTACTCGCCGACTGCCCGCAGATGGCTGCCCCGAAACACTGGATGATGCCTGCGGACAACGACAACCTGGACTTCCCTGTGCTAGTGATGATCGGCGGCGCACGCAATCTCGCAGACGAGGCGCGCGCCGAGACCCTGCGGCAGCTGGCCGACTCGCTGGGCGTCGGCCGCCAGGTCAAAGTCGTTGTGAACGCACCCTGGGACAACGTCCTGCAGTGGCTGCGCCGCGGCTCCGTTGGCCTGCATACGATGCGCGACGAGCACTTCGGCATCAATATTGTGGAGATGATGGCTGCTGGGCTGCTGACTATTGCGCATGATTCGGCTGGGCCAAAGATGGACATTGTCACGCCGGCTATTCGCTGCCAGGATACCGGCGCTCCCCCGCTGCTCCCTGATGTGGAGCAGCAGGAGCGGTGCTTGAGAGAGGGCGGAGGCAGTGGGTTTCCGGTGGGCATGGTTGCGCGCTCTGTGGATGAGTTTGCTATGATGATGCGCGTGGCCTTGACGGCCTCGGATACTCTACGGGAGGCCATGCAGTGTGCTGCAAGGGCCTCGGTCACCGCAAAGTTCTCTGAAGACGCTTTCCGCACGGCATTCTACCGCCGCTTCGACCCCGTGCTCAAATGGCTAGACATCCAGCAGTTGGACTCCGAATGATTCGTACGAACAAAAACAAAATAAAATAAAATAGTAGGATCCAATTACTTTTCTGTACTTTAATCAAATCAAATCAAATCAAATCTAAACCAACGCCAAAAAAAATTCATGCTGTATTACTTGTTGCTGCTGCTGCCTTTCAACGCAGCATTGATGGCGTCGCTGATTTCATCGGCCTTTGTCAGCGCCACTTGGGTGCACCTCTGGATCTGCTCAGGCGAAAGCGGCACGCCTCCGGCCTTATTAAGCGCGCAAATTTCCTTATGCGCATTCAGCGTCACTGTGAAGCTCGCTGCCTGTGCCTGCTCCTCCAAAAGCGATGGATCTAGCACTGCCAGCTCCCCGAGCGCTCCCAAAAACGCAAAGCTAACGCACACCGGCGTATGATGAATACTCAGCGGCACCGGGTTGCGCTCCCTAGGATCATGAATAATCGCCTCCTCGCCCTGCACAGTGACATCCGGGCGACGGAAATGCCTCAAGGCAACAATAGCAGCAGCCGCCGCCGCATCCATCAGATTACCGCCATGGTCGAGGAAATGCAAATCAACCCGCACCGTCCACACTTTAACGCCTGCCAAAATACACAGAGCTTCTGTGTCGATCGCCCGGCTCTGCCGAATTACGCGCTCGACCATACGGGAGATCGCCACTTCTTGGGCAGAAACCCGGCCGCCTGAGGAGGCGTCGAGGTTGGGCGCAGCGAGGTTGGAGAGCTCAGAGCTGAATTGAACTAGACCTTCGGTTGGCCGGTCGGGGGAGGGCCGGGTGACTTCGCAGGAGACTCGGGCGAGTACCCGGGTTTGTCCTAGCTGGACTTCGGCTAGACCCGGGGTGGGCCCGCAGCTGATACGCAGCGTGCGGTAGTCATAGATACCGCGTCCGTCCACGCGCACGTTCTTGCGCAGCGCTTCCAGCACAAACGCCGTCTCAATATTCGAAGGTCCAATATCAACAACCATTATTTTTCAAATAGAAAAAACGGGAATAGAATATGTGTGTGACAAAAAAAATTGAAAAAGTGAATTGAAATGAAATAAACGAGTATGAAAAATATCAAAAAAAAATATCGGCGAAATAATTTGAGGCCCACTGCACAGGCTATCACTGCCTATAAGTTGTGGGGAAACCCTCACGTGTCAAAGCACGCTTTCCCTTATTTTTTTCAAGTGGAAGGTGCATAATGGTGATTCATTCTCTTTCACACCTTTGGTGCCGCACGCATCGGACACGCATACCCGAGCGTCTCGAGCTCATGTTCTCTCGCACGCGTGCTATTCTTAAAAATCATATCTGTCCTGGCACCCGTCGTGTGCAAATGCCACATATGCAGGCGAGTATTAATATCGCGGGCCATCCAATAATGCACCGCGGTATTCATATTAAAGTCGTCCATCCACAGCCGGTCATAACAGTCCTTGCGCTCGCCGCACGTCTGGTTGACAGCCACAGGGTCAAGGCCAAAGCATTGAGGGTTGACTGACGCGTGCTTGATAAAATGATATGCGTCATAGACCATTATTTGCAGCCGACCTCTGGGATTCGCAGCAGGCTTATGTGCAGAATCAATATTGGTATCGCGTTTTTGCATTGGCTGGTGAATGCCGTTGCCAGCAGTGTGCAGGGCTAGGCGTGGTGAGGCGGCTTTGGGCAGCGGGTGGCCGCCGTTATGCTCCTTGGGCGCTGTGTATGTGCGTGGCAGGTCAACTGTAATGTAATGGGTAATGGGGGAGGCTGCCCGCGTGCGGTGGTTTGGCAGGTAGTGCGGCGGGTGGAGGGGCGCCAGCTGCGCGCTGTTGGTCATCGTCGAATGTCCAATTTTGCTGAACCGGTTGAGAAGACCCTGTGGCAGATCGTGCGTGATTCTCTCAGTAGCTCTCCTAACCTCCCTCTGCACCTCCCTCTTCTCATGCTTTATCACCAATGGCGAGTCCTCAATGGGAGGCGGCGTCAACACAAGTACCTGAAGAACCTTGTTGTGCGACTCGCGCTCCATCTGCAGAATATCTTGGAATATAGACTCTTGAATATCCTCGACCGTAAACTTTGTATTGTTTCCACCTTTGCCCAGCGCCAGGCAATCATTGGCACCCGTCCAGATCGTATACAGGGTTTTTTGGGGATCCGCATACCCAGTGTTGCGCGACTTGAGCATAAAACCACGCACCTGCTGCTTTGTCCCCGGAATCGTATGCCCCAGGAGATTGCCCTGCCACAGTGCGTTATCCGAAGACGCTCCGCCGTGCGCGAAATTGCGCATTTTTATCTTGCCCAATCCGCCCAAATCCAGAATAAGGTTGTCAATCCAATTGGGTCCGTTAGTAAATCGGTGGTGCCAGTAATAGGGCTCGCTCGGGTACTTGCCCTCGGTGATGTGTGCTCCATTGCCGCTGTCCGAGTAGTTGTCGCCAAAGGATATTATTGACGACCATGGCGACGGAATATTGTGCCAGCGCCGCTTATGGTGGTTGATGTTGGCCAGCCGGCAGCTTATTATCACTACGGTCACCAGTGTGACCAGTGGGTATATTGCGTACGTGTAGTCGCTGAGAGAGATTTTTGGTCTGACCCACATTGTATGTTATTTATTATAATAGAGTGCTCAGTTTATATGTATTTGAAATTGATGTGGATATGGATGAAAAGATAAAAAATAAAAGAAAGAGTCAATTTTTCATATCAATTTTTTTCCTCCTTGCCAAAGTTGTTTTTGGTACTATTTTTGGTAACTGGATGTATATTTATTTTGTATTTTAGTAAATGGAATGACATAAATATAGCTCAAGGTTCTGTTTTTTTCAGAGTGCAACTGCACATTAAGTTAGCAACACATTGAAAAATAGATTCAACTAAAATAATAAAATCCGCAATTATTGTGTATGTGTATGTGTGGGGGGAGGGAAGAAAAATAAAAATAAAAGCTAATTATCGGCAACATTCGAGCCTTGCTTCTTTGTTTACTGTCAAATTGTAAATTTGCAGTAACCATTTGGCTGTCTCGTTATTTTTAAATGGTAGTTATGTTTCTCTTTTCTTTCTGTGGAAAATGGTGGATTTACGTAAAACAGAATAAATTTATTGAATCTTTAAATAAAATTTGAGCCTTGAATTTGACCTACAATATAAAACATAATGTACAAAAAAGAAAAGCGGTCAATACAAAAACAACAAATATTTGAGCGAGCGAGCACGCACAAGAATGTAAAAGAACAACTATCGAGTTTGCTATTTTCACGGTTGCTGTCAGAGTTGATTGCCTATTCATGTTGCCTGTCGCCAGTATTTTGGTTACAGGCAACCCTGTTGAATATTTACTGCAATTTTTTTACCATAATTCAACAACCGCAAAAAAGGCATCTTCAAAAGCCCCCTAGCCTAGCACTCTCGTGTGTGTTGGTCCCGACAAATGATCGCAAGATACAATACGCAACAACAAACAGCATGATATGCATCGGCTAGAAAACATCTCGACCTTTGCAGTCAAAAAGACTATTTTTATTATCTCATTAGCTTTGTTTTTACTCACCAAGAGGTCGCAGAAGAGAGACTAGAAAACAACTCAAAATTTTTAAAGCTGACCAAAACGACCTCTCACAACCTTGAATTGCTGTTTCTTTTCTGACGCTGGGCGGAAACTGAAGGCTCCCAGTCCAGCCAAGCAATTTATCAAACCACAATATAAAATTGCACATGCTGTAAATGACCTTGCAATTGCACAAAACCAACTAGAACGCTACATACGCTATATGTCATGTTGACCCATGTGGTGCCCAACACACATTTCAAGCCATTATCTTCCCTTTTCAAGAATCAAGATCGCCCTCATGGCCACTATACACATTTCTGTTATTGCTGGCTGACATCAAGGAACACCATGATGTTTACAGCGCTGCCCACACAGCGCTGCCCCCTTTTTCAGTTTGAAAAGTAATTTTTAAGACTTGAATATATCGATTTAGACCCACATTTTTATAGAGCACGACAACCCACACCAGACTCATATAATATGTGTAGCACGTTTGCCTATTCCCGCTTGATATTCAACATATTACTGACTGACCCACCTACAGCCCCCAGTCAACCGAGTAATTGGAGCATAGCCTGGTGTTTCCATCACTTTTACTCCCTTTATAACAAAAGGGTTTGGTTCCGGGTGAAAACCATGCCGCAAGGCCATTCTGGGCTGCCCAAATGGCTTTCATTCCTGCTAGACCTCAAGCAGTGAAAAAATAAGGCCATACATAACACGACAGCTAGCAAAGAAGCACAAACACAGAACAGGAGAAAAATGAGTGCGGGACAAGGATTGCCAAAATAAACCTGGTTGCATCCACTTATATGGCCCAGCAAAAAAACAAGCTTTAAGAGGAGGCTTATACTGTTCCAATAGTGCATTTGGCAGCTGTATCAAATACCACAATATCCATGTCATAAAGCCCAATACCAGAACAATAGGAAGAAAAGCCAAAGGTTGTGTAAAAAGTATGCAACCTCCACGCAGTCATTGGAATTTACCTTGAGACATAAGTGTAAGAACAGGAAATAGTCATAAAATAAAAGTGCAAGTGAGGCAGCCTGAGTGAAGTAAAAAGAAAGAATGGTCCAGAGTATGTCTCTCCTTTTGAATAACAACTTCTCAGGTTTTGCCATTTGGTGACAGAAGAAAGATTTTCTCTTATTTTCCGCGTGTTTTCGGTTCTAAGAAAACTGGTTAGACAGCTCTTGTTATTTTCATTGTTGTATTAGAATGTTCCGCAAATACCAGATAGCATAATTCATTTGGAATGTTTTTTGTCCATCAAATAATTTTCCGCACCAAATATTTGCCTGCTCAAAAGGAATAACAGCCACCAGGTTTAAAAATTAAAATATAATTTGGCGCTTTGAAGTATGTGCTGCCCACAGCAAAAAAGTTTCACTGTTGGAGAAATTAGCTGTTTACCGAAATCCAACCAAATTTAACAAATACCTTGATAGGAAATTTTGTGGGGGCTGCACGCACTTATCATTGCCCATTTCTGTTTTTCAGTTTTGCACAAATAATCAAAAAAATGCCACCAAGCCAGAAAAGTGTTCTCACACACGTAATGACTGTCATTTGTGCCATTGTTTTTGGAAGCTATTCAAACGATAAAATCAGTTTATTTTTGCAAATGAGGGCACAATTGTAAAATAAAAACAAACAAGCAATATTATCATTAAACAGCTTTGCAAAGAAAAACCAGGAATGCAAAAAATAGGCGTTTCCAAGTTTTCGCAAGCGCAATCCTTGTCAATTAAATTTTATCCACATATTAATTGCTTTCAACTTTTCATGGTCAAAAAAGGAAAATCAAAACTTGGTAATACATATGTATTACCAAGTTTTTTAATCTATGCATAACTTTCGAAGTATTGGTACCAAAAATATCTACATTATTATTTGTCAACAGTAATGTAGTGGCAGCCGCATAATATTACATTTTATAATAACCAAGAAAGCAACATCAATTTTTCTGACGACAATATGAGGAAAGGTGAAATATTCGAGAAAATTATTTTCAAAATAAAATTTTATATGCCACAATATTTGGATTTAAGCCGCTTCTTTTTCAAATAACCTATAGTGCGCTCTCATAAACAGACACCCAATGGCATATTTGTTTTGTTTACATAAGCCGTTCAATTCAATGCCTGAGTTTGTTTTAATTTTACAGTGTGCCACATTTAGCACTGTTCGCTGTTTTCTGTTGTTTATTTAGGAAAATAAAATTTAGTGGGATTGGGGTCAATGGGCGGTGAAAAAGAAAAAGAAAAAAAAGATAAAAAGAATTGATGGATCGGTGGATAGGTGGATGGGAAAATGTGCCCATAAAGCGCCAGAAACAATGTACCGCTTTAATTTTTTGAAAGATTGGTTAACGGGATATTAATTTCCGGTTTCAAATAAATTGAGCGAGAGTGTAGTATAGTATAAGTCGGATGGTGTTTTTTCTGATTACCAACAGCAAACGGTAAATACAAGACATGAAAAGCAGCATTTTTATGTGAGCTTTTATTTTTGGCAATCCATGCTTATGCGCACACACACCAGCAGTAACAAAAAATGCATTCGTATTTTTAAGCCCGTCGGTTAGGTGCAAGATAACCATGGTTACAATTTTAACTATAAATTAATTTGGGTTGTGCGATTGATATATTCAATAATTGTCTGCAAAGAAAGCGGAGCAGAAAAAAGATAGTAAGGGGGAAGGGGTGGGGTTATTTGTATTTTTCGGGTTTAAACTGGTGAATAAAAATAAAAATAACTGTTTACAAAATAGCATTGTCGAATGCATTGCATAAATTTTTCATCCTAACCGACATGGGAAAAATGCACACTTTTTGATTGTTTATTAAATGGCAACAGTCGTTTTTCCCGGCCAGTGTGGAGAAAAAAGACTTGGAATTGAAAACAAGATTGATTGCTATTTGGGCATAAGGGGCTTTTAAATATCAATTAAAAAATAAGAGGAGAAAATAAAAATAAAAATAAAAATGTAGTCTCAATGGTACATAATGCTTATGATGCCGAAATAGATTATCACATAAGCTCATCTGAGCTGAGAGGCCACGAGTTACTGTATTAATGCCGAATAGACATTTATACAGTAGCATTTGAGGGGTTTTTAAATTGCACGTAAAAGAACAATTAGGGAAGATTCAGTAGGAGGCTTCCTGGAAGGAAGTCCGGGAATTTAGTATAATAAAATATTTATTGATTAGTCTTTTGAGCAATGAACTATTGGGGTATGATTCTAGGCTTTTGGCAAGTGGTGTGGCCAAGATCACGGTCTCTGTTTGCCTGGATTAGGTCGACTGTGCTTGCAGCTAAAATTGTTGACTTGTTTTGACACAACCCCGTCGGCCAAGATGCAGCCCTTGCTCTTGACTAGCTTTCTAGCAATTCTGTTAGAAAGCTAGTTAGGGGGTGTTCACCGTGTCACAATTAAAGAGGGACAGAATATGACAATCCTGGCTGCTCTCAGACCAGATTCTTTCAATGGCATAGCGTATTTTAACCATTGGTCCTAGGATTGTCAAAGATGGGTTGCAGAGGTTTTATGCGAGATGTTATGAGAAAAAGGTAAATAAATGATTGAAGAATTCATTTCACGTTCTCGTCTTTTTATACAAACTGTCGATATCTACAAAATAAACAAAAAATTGGAGAATACGCTAAAAATAAATCCCTAAATAAAAAATAAGCATTGATCTTGATATATCGCTGCCAAAATTTTTAAAAGCAATCATTTTGATATGATAAATTGTTGCAAAAAAAGATAGGTAAATTTGTCGACGCAAATGAATTATCAAAACATATACTATACACCATGTGAATATAGAGACGGCACAATCATAGATTAACCAAAAGCAACCAAAAATAGTTTGCTTGACTGACAGCAAACTTGCGGTTCTTGTCCATCGACGTCTCTCAATTGTCCAGATGAATTATTTGCTCAAAGGAGATTACACTCCTGATGTGTGGCCGGATGCGTTATTATGGCTGGCAATCAATGTCCGACTGACTACAGCAAGTGGGTCCTTAGTGATGGTATTGGCCATAGCAGCCAGGCAGTGGGCCTTGTAGCTGTGGATGCAGCTAGAAAAGGTTGGGAAAAATATCCTGGTTCAGCATGAATTTCAAATACAGCTGCTTCTTAAACAGGTTGTTCTGGTTGGCCATGCTTATAGGCATGGTGCGGTGGCAGCCAATGCCGCCCTCGTCTTTTACACCAGCATCCTCTTCCATTAAGTCACTGACCACCTGGTTGATGATGTGCAGGAGCTTTTGCAAAAGCTGTATGTTCCTCTTCATGCTAAAAAATATCCTTGGAAATGAACACAAAGCTCTCATAGTCCTTGTATATGTTGTGCTGAAAATTCTTGGACGCCAGTTTGCGCGCCTACTCTATCATCTTGCAAAACTGCAACAACTTGCCTTCCAAAATCGCCTTGAGGAGTTCCTTTAGGTATTATTTGGCCTGGAGCTTGGATCTGGTCAGTCAACTAAGCGAGCCCCTGGGCATTTTACCATTGGATGCTTGGCTAATGTAGTTGGTATCATGGGGCAGGGTGCAAGCTGCCGTTCACATATAATGCTTTTCCCACTATCTAGGATCTATGCATATTTGAAAACATTTGCATAAAGATTGAATTGCTGCCCAGCTGATCAATCCAATCAACCCTGTAAACACAAAGAGCTCAAACTATTAAAATGGTTAATCTGGTGTTACATCCCCGACCAAATGGCCAGAGATATTAGGTAAAAATGCAGTTGTAGCTCGGTTGTTATTTCCAATATTTTGACGTTTGAGTTGCCCTGCAATTAGTCGATAATTGTCGGGCTCACAGTCGAGATATTATGCCAACTGATGTTGTTTGCTATTGTCACATTATTCACCTTGCATACTCCGGGTTATCGTTGGCTTGAGCGTCTCCTTGATTTGTATTGTGTTTTCAACTTATCTAAGCGAATGCAACAATATGTAGGTGGAAATCTCTCTTCTCACACTAACTTTTTTCTCTATTTCATTTTTACAATGAATTTATTTTATTATGTTAAATAACCCACACTTTTAATTTACAATTCTACTTTGAACTTGGTATCAAGAATACTTCTAATTGGTCAAATATTTACAAAAGGAAATAAAAAATTAATAAATCCTGAAAATCCACATTGTTTTCTTTTTTTGCCTCTTTTCTTTCTGCAGGTCAGCTGAAAGGGTGTGTGACCATATTTGACGACGACAAAAAAATCAACTTAACTTTGATAAAAAAAATTTATTGCTCACACGCTATTTGTCTTCATTTATGCACTATACATTGTTTTTACGCTCTTTTTGGCTTTATTTGACTTTTCAAACCCTATTTCTGTTGGGGACGTCAGTATACTTTACCTCTTGCCCTTAAGCCTGCCAGGTTCTCACTTTTTTTCCTTGCTCTTTTTTGAATATTTTTATTTCGTATTTTAACGACCACTTGGTACTTTACCATATACACAACTTTATAATGAACTTTGCACACACAACACAACCACTATCACCAGCAACACCACCACATTCACCCCGAGACACCAGCGGCTGGCTCCGCCGTCGCAACCCACTGCCCGCATCGTTTTCCAAACCCAGTACCCCTCCCCGGCGAAAGCACTACGATGCATACATAAGGTCACTTGACAACAATTCCACAACGGCAGACTTTTCTTGGGACACCGACACCATCTCCGTGCGCAGCCAAAGCCCCAACAGCTCATTCAGCTACGACAGCCACGACGACTCACTGCTTGCCATTCAGTCCAAGCAAAAGCAACACCAGCGCACAATCAACGAGCTCAATCTCAAACTCGAGGCCAGAGACTTTGAAATCGCCCGGTATATCGAAAACATTGACCAGCTTGAGGAGCAACTAAAAACCGCACGACTCAGAGCGGCAGCCGACAACAAGCGCGACGAAGAGCGCGACGAGTATATTACGTGGTACGAGGAGCAGCTGTATGCAAAATGCACAGAGCTAGAGGCCCTGGAGAACGATCACCGACTGGCGCTCCAGTCGTCTCTCCAGTCGGCCGAGGTGAAGCACCAGAGGGTTGTTGATGGGCTAATGCTCAGGATTTCAGAAGCTGAGGATAGGTCGAGGAGACTGACTGTATGCTCCGATGACATGTACAGGGAGCTCGAACAGACCAAGACCGATATCAAATACCAGCATGAGCGCGAACTCCAGGATGCCCGGCTGGCTCTTTTGCGTGAGAAGCGGGTGTCATCGGACCTGCAGGATAAGCTAAACAATTATGCTGTGCATATCGACGAGCTGAAGTTGCAGGTCCAGACGCTTACGCTTGCACTGGCTTTTTACAGGGACCGCGAGTTGGACAGCAACCCTGCGGACGAATTGACTGCTGTTTCGGGCATGTCGCTATCGCTGCATGTTGAAATGGCACAAGCGATGCAAAATACCGGCCACTCGGATTCAAATAAAAATCAAGTATTGGCCGGTGCTAGTGCTGTGCCACTTGACAGCAGATTTTCTTTATTTAATACTTCTGCTAATGTCGGCCATGTGTTGGCCGGCTACGCCGCTGAGGATGCCTGTTTTCAAGTCGGCGGAATTCGGCCAATTCCACTCGAGCAGAAGAAGCACAAAAGTGGCAACATGTTGCCGGCATCGGCTCCGGCTCCGGCTCCGGGAGGTACTATATACTGGCTGGCTGTGTACGTGCACATGGTCTGGTCATTTTACTTAAGGCTATGGATCATGCCTCTCTGGCGCCTGGCGTGCTTCTCCATCGGCATCCTAGTTGAAATTATGGCGTGCAGACCGCTTGGTCGTCTGCTGCTCATGATTATGCTGATGCCGTACAATGTGTCCAGGCGGATTCTGCACAACAAAAAATAAGCACAAGTGGGCGGAGATTTCTCATATTTTTTATATTTTTCTTTGTTCGTATCAATCAATGTTTTACTCTTGTGTTTTGATGTATCAGCTATCAATGCTTGTTCAAATAAATAAATAAAGGACAGTAACTTAGCTTGACATGGCTTAGAAATGGGGGAGTGTAAGAGTAAGTAATCGAATGTTTGAAATGTGATTAATGTCCACAATGGTCCAATTTATCTGTAAAACCGAGTGCACGCTATCCCGAGCTGCATTGTTCCTGTAAAATAATATTTTAATGGGACAAGTTTATTAATACTATTGTTGTCATAATTCTAACGAAAAACGAGGCAAACCACCATCCTCTGTGGCTTGTTTCACAAAATTAGCCTTGGCAAATAAAAGCACCAGGACCATACACAATGCTACTTCTGTTTATAACATGCTATACCAATATGGACATTGGCCGCATATATTGTGTATTTTGCTTATTTCAGAGAGGCAGAGTATTCAATATCATTCGATATCTTGAATGCCCTTGATTTCTTGTTTACCTTCTTCCTCGCTTTTGCCACACACATGTATAAATAAAATTGAGGAAGCCATACATTTTTGCACTTGACCAACCTTTATTTCCACATATTTGTAAGCAGCGCTACTTATTATTGTTTTATATTTTCTAATTTCCAAATTAGTCTAAAATGATGCCACGTCACCATAGCCCGCTGGCACAGGTTTTAATTATCAGCGCCGTGTGCTTTCTTTGTCCAGGCATGTTTAATGCATTAAACGGTCTGGGCGGAGCGGGTCAGTTGGACATGCACACAACCAGCAATGCCAACACTGCGCTCTACGCGACATTTTGCATATTCAGTTTAGCCGGCGGCGGGATAGTCAACGTCTGTGGAGTGCGGTATACCACTGCCATATCATGCCTCACATACGCCATGTACACTGGGTCATATATCTACTACAATAATACAAGTAACGGCGGCCTGACAATACTTGCCGGTGGCATTCTGGGTATTGGCGCGGGGATCCTGTGGACCGCCCAGGGCGTCATCATGGTATCATATCCAGCCGAAGAGGAAAAGGGCAAGTTTATCTCTATATTCTGGGTAGTCTTTAATCTGGGCGGTCTGATCGGTGGCATTCTGCCATTTGCCATTAACTATTACCACTCTGGCACGTTGACCGATTCTGTCTATTTTATCTTTGTCATCCTCGAGTGTGGCGGCTCTTTGACTGCTTTGTTTCTGGTTCCCCCAGCAAGCGTTGTTCGTGACGACGGCTCACACGCCACTATTGTCAAAGGGCACAACGCGAAGCGCGAGTGTCTGGAGGTGATCAGATTATTTAAAAACAAATGGATGCTGCTGCTATTACCCATGTCATTCACATCCAATTTCTTCTATGGGTACCAGTTTTCGCAATATAACGGATCCATTTTTACTCTGCGCACCCGAGGATTCAACAACCTGCTGTACTGGGGATCGCAAATTATTGGCTCCTACGTGCTCTCCCTGCTACTTGACTATTCAAAATGGTCACGGCGGCGGCGTGGAATGTACGCGCTGATCATTACAGGTGTGTCTTTTAACGCCGTCTGGGCGTGCACCCTGGCGGTTCAGCTGCGGTATACCCGTGGAGGCGAGTACACGGATTACCCTGGCGGCCTGATTGACTTTTTAGAAACTCCACGAGCAGCCGGACCTATTACGCTATATTTTTTTATGGGCATGGTTGACTCTTGGTATCAGAACATTGCCTACTGGATCATTGGCACCCTGACCAATGACGCGCATATTACGGCTCGGTATGTCGGATTTTATAAGGGTATCCAGTCGATGGGTGCTGCTGTCTCATGGCAGATTGGTGCGCAGGAAATACCGTTCATGAATCAGTTAATTGGGAATTGGATGCTTCTTATTTTATCGCTGCCCACCATGGCATATACGGTTACTCAGGTGGAGAACTGGGCCCTGGATGACCAGATGTTGAGCTCATCGCCAGCGCTGGACAATGACTCTATATTCAATCGCAGCTTTGGCTGGAACATGTCGTCGACACATATTGTAAAATCTTCAAAGACAAACGAGATTATTATTTAGTTTGTTTTGTTTTGTGTAGTTGTAAAAGTTTATAAATTATTCAAGTATTTAAATTAAATATCGCCAAGCGAGTTTGATCGCTCATTAGTTTTGTACAAGGAATACTGGCGGCTTTGACTCTGGCACCTGTGTACCAAAATGCTCGGATATGATTTTGCGCAGGTTGTCCGTGCCGATGCTCAGGTGTTTGCCAGGCAACAGCACAAAACTCAGCCGATTGCTTTCATCGAGCTCGCGCAAGCCCAGCCAGTCCTCGGCATACATCTGTGACTCGTGCAGGCTAGTCTCATTGCCTCTTTCGTCGACAAAGCCAAACCACGATGACGCAGCCGGGTAAATCATGTTGTCCTCGCTGAACCTGACCAGAACCATCTTTTCTAGCGCCCGGATGCGCTCGCCGTACGCCTTGTCCCTGTGCTCTGCGATCTCGCCATTGATGTCGGGCAGAAATATGTTGTGCTGCAAGTACTGGTCCAGCCTCCGCGGGTCCTTAAAGTACTGCGCCTGGATGACATGGTCCCTGACATACCACGAGTACACGCCGCGCGCAGCCAGCTGACGCATCCAATTGCACAGCACGTCGCCCTCACTGGCGCATTCGGGCACCCTAGCCACTCCCGAGTGCGGCGACCCGAATGTGACCAGGGCACGCGCGCTGATGTTCGGGCATCTCTCAATCAGCGCGCGCAAAAACAGCCCGCCCTGTGAGAACCCCATCATGTTGATGCCGCGGCCCTGCAGCTGTGGGATTTTTGTCAGGTCGCTGCACACACTGTCTACCTGGCTGTTGAGATTGCCAAAGAACCCCGCATTGCGGTCTGCGCCCTCGCTGGACCCAAGCCTGACTGAGTGCACAAACACGCCGGGCAGCTCGTCCTTGATTGTCTGCGCGACTGCGCCCATTGTGTTGTTGTCACAGCAGGTATCGCCCATGCCATGCCAGATAACAACGGGAAGCGGCAAATCGCCAGTGTCTATGTTGTGGTTAGACGCAGCGCCCACTGGCCTAGTTGTCAGCAAAAGCGCAAAGAGCAGGTTCAAAAGCAGTAGTGCGTAGTGCACTTTCATTGTATAATTTTTGGGTGAGAAAAACGAAAGTGAAAACGTAAAAAATGGAAAATAAAACAAAGGAACAAAATTTCCGAAAACAAAGCAGACAAAGAAAATATATAAAACTATTGCGAATGTCCGCATTCAAACGCTGGCTGCTTTGGTGGTTTTGTGGGTGGCAGTAGCAGCACGAGAAAGATGTAATGGTCTGCCAAAACAGTAAAATAAGCACAATTGACCATGCAAAAATGGGCAAGAATGAATTATGCGGAAAACAGTACTATTAGATTAGGGGGTTTAGCTCAGATGGTAGAGCGTCCGCTTTGCATGCGGAAGGTATGGGGATCGATGCCCCAAATCTCCACAAATTGGTTTTTTTTTGCCTATATTTTGCACTTGTTTATTTTTGTTGCGCGTGAATGGTTTTTCATGTATTTCTTTTTAAAAAATGGGTTTTTGGCAAGATGAGCAGGCAAAGTACTGGGTTGTTTTAATTTAATTAATGGCACACCCTGTTGCAACAATTTGTCATTATACAAGTGCTACACAATTATTTCTACACATGTGAATAAATGTCCAAATGAATGAGTTGTTTAAATTTTAATAAATTACACTGTTGGCCGCTCGTTTAAAAGTCAGTTGTCATGCTTGCCACCGACTTTGCAGACTTGTAGAAACATTTTGTCAAGATGCTGGTAGATAGTGAATATCTTGCGTTTCTGAATTGAACGATTTGCCATGTGATAATAAACAATCGGCCCATGCGATTATAGTCACACACATAAAACCTATTGTATGAAAAGATGCGGCTATTGTCTCATTCCAATAAAACACAATTATGCCTGCTTTTATTGGAAAAAGTGAGCTTGCATTTCAAGTGAAATGAATTGATGAATCGTCACTTGATAGAGCTCACTACATCAGGCAGTAATAACAGCTGTATGGCCAGCTCGGTGCTATTTAAACCTGGGATTTGCGCTTCAACTTTCTTAATTTCTCTCGGCATTTTACCTGACCATCATTTTATATTTTTACATTTATTTATTTATTGCTGAAAATTTCTACTTTTGCCAATGGTTGAATACGCGTACTGCCGCTACCACAACTTGTTGCACGGAAACAGCACTTTGGTGATAACGACAGACATGTTAATCAGTGACGTGTACTCGCTTTTGAACGACATTGCGCCCAGCAATGCTCGAATAAATTCGATATTGTACTACGGCACAAACGAAAAGGTTGGAATACCTCTGGAATACAACAGCACGCAGCGCTTTGCAGACATTGCCAACCGTGATGAGGGCGAGCTTGAGTTTATCGCCGAGCCAGAGAGTGGAATAACAGAGACTGTGCACTATAGAATAGTGCGCTAACCAGGCGATTTTAATATATAAACATGCACTTTCGAGGGACAAAGTGCGCGGGAAGGTCCTGCATGCAGGGCCTTATTTTTTGTGTTTGAGAGAGAAAATAGATATATTGTACGAAATACAGAAAAATACAAAACATGAAATAAAGTTAATGATTAAGATTAATCGTCTGCCGCGTCACCCTGCCCATCATGAGTTGTTCTATTGCAGAACATGGCTATGTTCCCCTATAACAAAAGGTATTCAGACCTGGGTCTAATTGCCTGGCGATGGAAGTGTTTGCCAAGGGTGTTAGTAAAATTAAACTCGAGCACCCGATCTGGCAACTAGAGCGTCAGTCGTGGCCAGATAGCTAGTGTGCATATCTGCCGTTTTCATTGCTGTTTGTCCGTGGCCACTTTGGAAATCTATTATTTTTGTCTTGTCGCGGATTTGGTATTCGGGATGTTTGTTGAGATTGGAGTCTCATCAACAATCGGGGTTTCGCAGGCGTCAAGGATTCCCTCATTTCCTGTTCAATCTGTAGGTTGCACCGTCCTTTGTACCAGTCGTGCTGTTTTTTTTACAATCTTGTTTACAAAACCAATGTATTTTTTGGGTGCTTGAATCATAGGATTTTAATTAGCATTGTGCGCCTGTTCTCTGCCATTTTTAGTTATATATTTTTAAAGCAACCAACCGCGTGATTTTAGCATTTTTAATTTTAGCATTAGAAATATTAGTATTAAACCCATTTATTAAACTCCCATCTGTCTAACACTACCACAATAGTGCTCTCTCGCCTCCACCCCCTCTCATACCAACACAGTTCTAAAACTTGAAAAGTAAATTCGGGCAATAAAAAATAAAACGTTAAATGGTAGCATAATATTTACTATATTACAAGCCTTGCAAGTGTGCAGTCAATTTTCCAGACCGCCAGACCAAATAGGTTGTTAGTATTCGGGAACTGCTTTTCCCATTTTTAAAGTTGTTGACCACCATGGGCTTGACAACTCAGAACTATAGACATGCTTGGTTTTTAAATGTGCAAAAAACGGCACACCTGTATTTAAGACTGCTGGATTTGTGCGCACTTTTAATTGTAATGTTCGAGAGTTCCAGCCTTGATAGTGCACAGCTTGCATGTCTTCTCCAGGCCCTTGACCATGTGGAAAGGTTGCAACGCTGTAAAACCATACCATATACAATTGGACAGAGCAGTGGTATATGTTTGGGTTTTAGAAGAGTCTTGTGGGGTTGCTCTCATCAGCGCAGCCTCAGTGATCTGTGCAGCCAAGTGCCTATCACTTGGTATGTACTCCTTCAGCAAGGTGCCTCCGATATAACACAATATTTAAATGGTCCATTATCACGCATCGCTTTTCTATTTGCTTGGAAATGAGTGCAACAAGCCGTCACTGATATAATTAAAAACTAACTAAAGCCAAACTATATGTATATTTAGAAACATTGTGTGATACAAGGAATTGCAGCTTGTCTCCGGCGATTGATTAATGCATCAATCGCTAGTTAATTCTCTACTTGGATATGCGGGAACTCATGCGCATACATAAATACTAATGAATATGAACAGTGGAGGCTGTTCATCCCTTAGCTTTCTTTTAGTTCATTTTGTTCAATATATGTTCTGTTTTATTTTTGGAATGCTAAATATTTATTTTTATTACTAGAGCAGCTGGCGCTCGTTCAAATCAAGGTGTTCTAAATGTATTTCACGGGCAGCACTTAACTTGAGTGGCGGCATAACTGCAGCCCTGGTAACTGAAATTGGCGTGTGCAGCTGTGGCTCAGCCAACGGCAACATGTAGCGATCAGGGCAGTCAGACGCAATGTTTTTGTATAATAGCAAGGGGCTTTCCGGAGGTTGGGGATAATTGGCGTGTGCATTATCCCCAGAGTAAAAGTTTTTGTTCTCATAGGCAATCTCGTTCATAGTATAAAAGGCCCCAGCATTCCTGTTATCTGCTGTGCTTGACATCAGCAGCGTGCTGCGCATGTTGTATGAATTTGAAGACTCATGCTCGTTAGCCATACTTGCGTTAGAATCGACCTCATACTCCTTCTGCAGTCCGTCCTTGCGCAGCTTGTAGATCCACTGGTCGAGGTATCTCTGTCGATAAAACATGCACTTGTAGAGGCATTTGCCCATGATGAGCCACCACAGCGAGTTAGTTGCAATGTGATCAATGGACGTGACGAATATGCGCAGATAAACTTCCAGAGGATACTGAGGACGCGAGTAGTTTACAACCGTTGCAGTTAAAAGTACAGTAAACATGATCGCGCATGTAGCCATCATCTCGCGCCCTTCGTTGAACGAGCTCTTGATGTTGCGAATCATCCAGTGAGCAGCTACCACTATGAACAGGCTCAACCAGAGAAACACAAACAACAAGGCCAAAAATGTATTATGAAACTCGCAGAGATCAATGAACTCCGTGTACTCTGTTGTTATTGCAGGCTTCAAGAACTGCAGAATCAATCCTACAATAACCGCGCATATCCAGTACAAAAAAAAAGGCAAGTAAAGGCCCATGCCGTGGTACGGCTTAAACAGGAAAAATACGCGGTACAGCCCATAGGCCCTCAGCGCAATCAGCGAGCACATGCCTCCCGCGCCCAATAGAACTCGCATCCACATACCAAATGTCTTGCAGTTGATCAGAGGTGTGTTTGCCAAAGGCAGGTGTCCATTGGACTGCAGATCACCAATAAACCACACAATCGATACTGTCATAAGCAGTGTCATGATAATAACGTTTTTGGACTTGATTGGGGGGTAGTTCCTGTTCCACAGCATGTATACGACCGCCAGAAAGTCAATTGAATAGACGGTCGAAATGACGATGAGCATAATCAGATCTGCTTTGCCTCGCGGATCCACTAATACATCCATCGTCTCGGCGACTTCCTGACGCTGAAGCTCGCTCTCAGTCACGGTGAATGATAGCTGGTTTCCCATGCTTTAAGTGAGTATGACGAACAGTATGTAGAAAAATTAAAAAAATAATGGTTAAAGTTATGTTTGGCAGTAGGTGAAAAAATATAATGTCGCGAAATTGTGCTAATGTAAAAATGGAAGGCAAATGGTATCAGTATGAATTAAAGTCTAGCTAGTGGTCATATAAGGTAGGATTTTTGTGGGGCTTTATACTAACCATATAAAACATGCGCGCATGCTAGTTTTCTTAGAAAGTAAGCAAACACCCTTTATATTTTGTTTGCTTGTTTTGTATGATACACCGGCACTATGGCTGAGTAGCGCAAAATCTCCTCACTATCTACACTTATTATTTTATTTAAAAACGTGCAAAATGTCAAAACAAGTCAACACCTGTTCACTGTGCTCGCCTTTACCATGTACACAAAACAATTTCCTCATATTTATGGTCAATAAGGAATTGGGGATTAAATAATTGATCTACACAATACGTGTACACAATGTTTGTGTAAACATAGAGCGCAATATGCAGCCATAGGATTCGCCCAGTACATATTAGTTTATGATTGGGCCAGCTGTCTGTAATTTGTATTCTTCTTATTGGAACAGTTACTTAATGTGGTATACTAAGAATGATGTTAATATTTAGGTTGGCATTTTAAATTCCCCTATTTGTGTCGATCAGACCGAAGTGCCAATCTATGCCACAGAATGCCAGTCTAACGGTAGACAAATGCGTGTAGTATTCTAAAAATAAAGCAATAAATAATTAAAAATTTATCGTTGTTCTTTACTAAATTTTATTTACTGACACGAATGCAGATCGAAATTCCAAAATTTATCCAAAATTTAGTATTTGTTTGTTTGTGTCGATCTATTAATTTAAAATAATATAAGAAAGGAATTAGGGAGGGATGGAAGTTCAAAATACTCAAAAATACAAAATTGCTAAATAATAAAGGCTAAAGGCTAAAGGTTAAATACTTATTTTATTCATGATTATACACGGATGCAACATAGGAAAGTTGGATTGGTCTGAAAAAACTTAATAAGGCAATCACAATTGCAAACCAACTCTTAGCTACTTAGTTTGCAAGCTGTGGCAAACATTAGATATTTACACATTTCTAAAAGTAAATATAAGCAAACATAAATATGAAAGCTAAAAGTAAAATAATATTTAGTAAATCATTTGAGATAAAAACTTTACAAAAATGACATTCTAGTAACCGTTCCATTGCGCGCCGCGAGTGGCCAATTTATCCGCCCGCTCGTTCCCTTCAATTCCGCTGTGGCCGCGAACATGAGTAAAATTCAGAGTTTCCTGGCACCCATTAATCAGAGATCTTCCACGCTCAATACGATTGCGGTTCTTCATTGGCTGGCCAGTGCTGGTTCTCCGACCATTGGTTTCCCACTAATCAGTCCGCTCGGTCAGACTCAATGCCATACCTCGAGTCCGAATGAATGTTGAGGCCCTGTGATGATCCTCAGTCATATCCTTTATTGGCGCCTTCGATCGCCCTGTTGATGGCTGCTAACTCTGCCCGCTAGTTGATCTGGCGAGACCTATAGAGGCTCTGAGGTGTTCCGTGAGTCTTTGGAACCAAAAAACACTCCGATGCCTGCACGTGCATTTGAGCGGCCATTGTTCAAGCTAGCGCCGTCAATATAAATTACAGTGTTGCGACTGAAGTCGCCAGCGGTAGGGGACTTGAGTTTTGAGGTATAGTTATTGTATCTGCGATAAGTGGATCCGCTTCTGTAATTGTTGTTGTAGTTGGAAGATTCACCGCTATTTCGATAAGAGTAGTTTTTGTTTCTGCGGCCATATGATACAGGTTCAGAGTTGGAAAATGACTCAGCATTATCGTAGCTGCCAAATCTCTTGAACTGCGCTCCTGGATAGCTGTTGGTTGCAGCTTTGCAGTCCTTTCAATTATCATAGACAGTTTGCTCGTGTCCAATGCGAATAGCATAATACCCGCCGGAACTTCTAGGCATTGCTTTATTGTTGGTAGCTGGATCAAGACAGATAAAGGCAAATAGAAAAAGTAGTGCTTGGAAGAGAAAAAATGAGGGCAAAAAAGGTGATGGGATGTGCTTTTCGATAACTTGGCCAAATTCGGAGCGGAGCGATCCCCATTTTCCGAGCCAACCTCACATCTTGTCTTTTATGAGAAATGTGTCGTTTTTTTCGAAATTGTAAACAAAATTTGCACTATACCGGAATTGCAGTGACAAGCATGGGTCAGCTAACACAAATTGGAACATTATCCATGAGCTGTTAAGCCAAGTTAATTTATCGATTGATCATTTTATCGGGTCCATTGATTCAGAATCACCGTCGTTGGCATGTGCTACAACATTTCAATTTATTTAATTTTTAACTAGTCCTACACATCGTTGATTACTGTCTGCAGCAGTCGAGTGATGTTATTGAGCTTCTTATCGACACTGGTCATGCGCGCCTCCATCAGGGCAATCCTTTCGTATGTTTGCGTGTGCAAATCACAACCACCCACCGAATTATCGGGTTGAACAGTCGACGCCCATCCGGCATGCTGGGATGACGACGACTGGCGGCGCTTCTGCTTCCACACTTGCATCAAAGACGTCCACAAATTGGCCCGAGTCGCGCGGCGCATCTGCTCTGTAGTATCGTTCTGCATTGTGATCACCGACGACATGTTCCGCATATTCAGCGGCTGTCCACCCGGGCTATTATTCATAGGATGGCTGTCGTCGTCATCGCCGCTGGACGTGCTCTCAGTCGAGCCAGAAAATGCAAACTCATCGATTTCGTCCTTGTCGATCTTAATCCAGGCCAATTCCTTCTCGGCCAAATGACATTCGGCTCGCAAAGCCTTGTGATGCATACCGGATTTGGCGCGCCACCACCGGCCGATGACCTTGTAGGCCTTGTAGAGCACCAAGTGAGGGGCATACGCTGTGATCAGGATCATGCTGCGGAACAGTGCAAAGGGCCGATGTGACAGGGTAGTGGTTTTGCGCAGTGGCCAGAAGACCACGACCTGAAGGACATTCAGTGGCGGCACGCATGGGTACGTCTGCTTGGCACTGACATACTCGACAACGCGCATCGTATACGCAAATCGGAACTCTTGCGCGGAATTCTGTGTAATCTCGACCATGCACTGGTTGATAACACCAATGAGGATGTTATAGAGGATGAGCATGGACACGCCGATGTACATGCTCATCATCAGATGGCCGACATACGGACCAAACAGATCTGCCTGATCCCAGCCGAGCAGCGCCGAACCAAAAAAGATGCGGGCCATCAGACCCCAAATGCTTTTGGCGTCAAGCTCGTTGTGGCGCTGGCTGAGAGCAAAAAACGTCTGAAAAAAGCCCGCGGTCATGACAATAAGTAGCGCAAAAAATAGGCTAGTGCCCGAGATGATTCTGCGCACCTGGATGATAATGGTGCCGCAAAACTCAAACTGGTCAAGCACAGCAAACATGCGCGGCCAGAGCATCGATGCATTCAGGGCCAGCACATCAAACGCCTTGTCAAGGTCATCCGGGTTTCCCGTGTACAGGCTGTGCATCCGGAGACAAAAAAATGCAACAAACACGACGTAAATGGTCACGTCAAGGATGTTCCAAACGCTTTTAAAGTACACGACCAAACCGTTCTCCTTGCATTGCCTGATCTCGTCGGCAATATACGCGAGGGCGCACACGTGCAAGATGATTTCCTCAACGTTGAGCGCACTCTGCCGTCGCAAAGAGACAATTGTGTACAAGGTCAGGAAAAAGAACGCGTGGATCATGGTCAGTGTGTTTTCGACCATCGGGATGCGCAGCGGCTCGAGAGTTTTGGCCAGCCATTTCTCAAGAGCAACGGCCCATGTCGGCCAGGGCTCAAAGACGCTGGGCGCAATGTCCAATCCAAACCCCCGCGATAGAAGCGCGCTGTTTGCAGTGGAGTGAGTGCGGCTGCTCGACATATCTTCGACATTGATGTTGGGCGGGCCAGCGGACAGGGCAACGCATTGGAACCCCTTCCAATGCAGCGTGCCGTCCCACAGCAACTGGACAATCTCCGCAACGGGCTTTATCGCTGTGAATCTTTTGGCCTCGCTGCGGATGGCCACCTCAATGGCCCGCTCTGCCAAGATGCGCGAGCTGCCGGTTAGGTACTCCCTGGCGGCGTCGTCCCCAACCTTGGCAATTGGCGACTCCGACCCAGCCGCTACGCTGCCAGCTTTTCCGAGCCTGTAAACGCGCACGCGCTGCTCTGGTGACAAAAGCGACATGTGTTTTTCGCCGCGCACCAGGTTCTGGCAACCGCTGGCCTTCAGCTCGTCCACATCCAGGGGTGTGAACTTTGCGCACAGTGCGTTTGCAAGCGAGTTACCGCCCAGCTTGTGTAGTGCCTTGGCGCACAGGATAGCCAGCGCCTCTGCCACTTCTGCGCGGCTCTCGTGCAAGTCAGCTTGCGACTGTCCAGCACCGGCCAATATAAGAAAGTAGTCGCGGTTGGCCAGTGCTGCGTATAACATTGCAGCGCTGGCAAGTGGCCCGCCATTTGGCTCAGTATCCTTTTCGCTCGTGTGATCGCTCACCTTGCCTCGGTGTCGCATGGAGCTGCGTCTCCACACACCACATCTCTGGCGAGCAGACTGCCAGAGCGGTGTCACCAGGTTGAGCTGCACGTCGGGCGTGTGGATTTGCCCGGGTGCCAGCACCAGGGAGACGTGCTCGAGAAGTAGCCGCCGTATTGTGGTTGTTTCAAAGTATGCACCAACAGGGTTGAGGTCGTTTGTAACCTCCATTTCCCCTGGGCCCTCGTTGCTGTCATCTACACATCCGTCATTGGCTTGTAGCACGTTGCTGTGTGTGTAGTCAGTGCTGCCGTATCCTGCCATCGCGGCCGCTGACGATGCCTCCATGTGTATGCGCAGAGCGGTGGATGATCTTTGAGCGTGTGCGTAGTAGTCTTCCATATGCGTCAATTTTTATGTGTATTTGAGTCAAACAAAGATACAAGAAAGAGCTTGAAAAAAAGGGTTTATGAAAAAAGGTTTATATTTTTAAAACTGTGCCTAACTCGCAATAGTGCGCTTTGTGATTTCTCTAGCAAGCGCTGCGGCTGGGGAACGAGGCGGCCACGGGCACAGTGGGCGAGCCACAAGGAAGAGTACATGTATTGCAAGGGGTCCCGAAATAGCAGAAAGAAAAAGACCAATTGAGGTTAAATCCTGCACATACAAAGATACCTATGACGTCTAACTTTAATAAATAAATCTGAAAAGGAAAACGCCGTTCATTTGTAACGTTTACAACATTGCCCGATCCTTGATCGGGCCTTGATCAAACCTGGCCATTGTTTGCCCCTTTGTGGGTCAACGGGCAAATCGTGTCTGCCAGCGTTTATCTGCACAAATACTTTCCTTCTCATTTCTTTTTGCTAAACAAAAGACCACACATTTTCTCTCTCCCTCACACAAAATTCAACACCAATGATTCGTCGCTCATTCACTCTCTTGCACCCGCTCACTCAGAGACCCACAGGAAATTCACTCATTGCTTTGAACACAGCCACGCGCCATTTCAGCAGCACCGGTACTCCAAAGGAAGAGATATCCTACGAAGAGAAAGCCAAGCAGCAATGGCGGGACTACCACAAGTGGCGGCGTCATTTCACTTGGAGCCGCGAGCAAATTATCCACACACTGCGCGACTACGCCTTATGGTCAACCCTAGGTCTGCTTGCATACTATAACCTGACTAAGCGCCAGCAATGGCAGGAGTACGAGGCAGAGACGTTTGTGGTCATGGACAGGGCGCTCGGGAGGATTCACAAGCTGGACCCACACAACCATTTGCTTGAGGGGACGGTGTGGGATAAACCTGTGGTGACTAAGGATAAGCCGCGGAGACAAAATTCGGACACGCCTGAGGCTTACACACCGAGTCCAGGGCCCACTGCTGGTAACGGCGGCAAGCCAGTTTTCTTTTAGAGTTGCTTAAAGTTGTAATAAAAGCGAAATACTTTCAAAAAAATAAATGCAAAAAAAGGCAACCGTTTATTATTTCTGTTGAAAATTCAGTAGAAAAAAGTCGATAAAGAGAGAAAAGCATGCATACCCGTCGCTGTCTTGCATGTCCCCACTTTTATAGTATGTCAGTGTCAGGTCTAGGGGCGCCCCTTGTCCATCGGGTTGTACTGCAAGAGCTTCTCAATAAGATCGACGTGTGTGAGAACCATACGGCGGCAGCAGTACCGCTTCAATTTAATATCATCAAGAGCCTCGCCGTCATTAAATCCCTCTTCCAAGAGAGTCAGGTACCGCTCCCATTTGTCACCGACGACCTTTCCGCAGGTAAAGCAACGAACTGGAATGATCATTTTTAATTTAAATGTGAAATAAACTAAATTGAAAAATGCTCAATCAAGGTTTAAAAGAAAATAAAATAAAGTACACGAAAATTGAAAAATATAGCTTGAAAAGAAAAAATGAGATTTTGAACGCGAGTTTTTCTTTGGCAGTATTAAGTGTAAGCAAAAATAATCAGCAAAAAAAAGTGTGCGTTGATCAAGATTAACTGATCTCGCAAGCCTATTCTGGTTCTTTTTCATCTTTTTTTTCTTGCATTTTTTACTGTTGTTTCTTCCTTTAACCACGACACCGCTCTACTTTTTTGTTTCCAGTGCATTTATTATTTACCATATATACAAGCTCATACACTCTACTCCGTTTTATTTATATAACAAAACAACTACAATTAGAATTCGAAAATGTCCACATCAGTCAGACAGCGCGGCAGCAGTGGCAGCAAGGGCAAAGTGACCGCAAAGGTCGAAAAGACCGACAAGCCCGCCAAACAAACCAAGGCTGCCAACTCAGACTCCGAACTTAGCGGCTCCGACAACGGTGACTCTGACAACGGCGACTCCGACAACGGCAACTCAAGCGATGCTAGCGACTATGATGACCTAGCCAAAGCGCGCAAACAAGCACACAAGGCGATCGGCAGCCGAAAGAGAAAAACCGCAGATGCCGAAGAGTTCTCCACCATTCTCTCGTCTATTCTCGGACAGGATGCCAGAAACGAGAGCGCGCCGATTATGGCCAAGGATAAGACACGCGAGAACCAGCTTAAAGAGGAGCTCTTGGATTACCGCGCGCGCAAGGCTCTTGCTGCTGAGCGGCGCATGCAGAGAGATAAAGACAGGGTGGTTCCTTCTATGGTTGGGTTTGATTACGAGAGGAAGTTGAGGAAGGTTGCGACTAAGGGTGTCATTAAGCTGTTCAATGTCGTCAAGGCCCAGCAGACGGAGCTGACCGAGATCAACAGTGTGCAGACCATGGGCACCGAGAAGGTTGCGGAGATGTCAAAGACAAAGTTCCTCGATTTGCTTAAAACCAAGCCCATTTCGGAGTAATGATTTCAACTTGCTGTTTTTTTTTGAATATAATATGTCATTTTCGATATAAGGATATGTGTATGTGTATGTGTTTTAAATTGGAAATTATAATTTTAACTTTCTCGATTTATTATCGAGTGCAAGTATGTCGACCAAAAGAAAAACGCAGAGTGTGGAAATGGCTTTAAGGGTTACATGTATTGTGAGCTGATATCCGGGTTGTCTATGTTGGGGAGAAGAGAAAAGATGTGACAACATTTCAATATGCACAAATATGACCGTGATAGATGAATTAATTTGGAAACCGATAAATTGCACAATATTTCAGTACACAAGCCTCGATTTCATTTTCATTACGACATGCATGCGTAATGTGGAAAATGGAGCCCTTCTGAAATAAGGGGGAAAGGGGAACAAAAGAGAAAAGAAAAGAAAAATTTTCAAGGGCGAACGAAGGAACAATATGAGAAACAAATAATGAAACAAGATAAAATAGGTGCAAATAAAATAAACAATGTATTTATTTGCTTGGCAATGTAAAATATATAAATAAAATTAAAAAGAGGGACCACATATATGTATACGAAGCAAAAGTATTGAAAAAATAGTGTGGAGGAAAATAGGGACCGTTTGAAATAGTGCAAGAGAGGGGGAAATGGGGGTGTGGGTGGGGGAGTCAAATCGCAGACTTTGGAAACCAATGCTGTGCAAATGCCTCGTACTCGGCGCTTTCTCGTTGGTACGCCTCAATCTGCTCATCAGTCAACGTAAAGCAATTGCGGTTGTCAGAGCCAATCGACTCTGATGAGCTCCTCATGCGGCCGCTGTACGCCGTTCCTGCCGGCTTGGGCTCGACTGGCAGCTCGGTAATATTCCGAAACGGGTCGCCGCTGGGGTCCTTCTGAGTCTCATTCGGATCAATCCAGCGCAAATTCTGCGGATCAAATATCGGCCTCGCGCGTCCACCCGTCTGGCCCACCATGTCGACAGCAGCAGAGGGCGGAATCAGCACCGGCCTGCCCTTCGTCGCGGCTTCCAATGCGCCCGGCGACAATGGACTAGCGGGCTGACGAACATGCACGGCAGGCGGTGATGTGCGCCAGGCCTGGCACTCGGGCGACACAACAACCATTTTCTCAGAAAGCTGCAGTGGCGCCGGGTTGCCTGAGCGCTGCGAGATCTTGCGCGCCAGCTTGTCCGTGTCGATGAGCCGCTCGGTGCGCAGAGTGTTGGCGCGAGCACGGGAGAGCTGGCGCTCGGACTCAGCAATGGCGTTGGCAAAGCGCGAGCCCTCCTCCTCATTGCCGACCCACACGCGACTGATCGGGTCGTAACGCATGCAGCCGACAACCACGGGCTCGGCTGCACGCTGTGCACTCTTGATCAGAATCGGTCGCCGTGCAGCGCTGCGCTGCACATGTGGTTGTGACAGCAGTTGCGGCTGCGGCTGCGAGAGCGACGGCTGGAGAAAATGCGATGGAATGTGGGAATGGCTTGGCGATAGTTGCCCGCATTGCGATGTCGACCTGTGCTGTATCTGCGCATGGTGGATCTGAGTCGCCCTGTGCCTCTGCTGGTTCAGGTTCAAATTATAGCTCTGAATCTGGTTCGGATTCAGGCTCAGGCTCAGGTTCAGGTTCTGGGGCGGCAGCTGAGTCGGCGTCAGTGTCGGTGTTGGCGCTGGCGTCGGAGAAAAGTTGGGCGGGATCTCAACGTGCTGCCAGTCGGCCATCCGGGGCTTGGAAGAGGGAATACGCTGTTTCGAGCCCGAGCTCAGCACCGCGCGCACGGGCTGCACCAGGCCGAGGCCCAGCGCCATTGCCGCCGTCCTGGGCGTCGACTTGCGCTGCTCGGGGGCATACTCCTTTGTCTCCTTCGTAGGTGTTGGGGTTGTTGCTGTTACCATGACCCAGTCCTCTGCTGTCGGCGAAATCTCCACTACTGCGGGGAACTCCACAGCAGTAGCACCCGACATCGTCACTTCAACGCACACCCCCATGTTTTTGGCCCAGTTCGACTGCAGCTTCGTCGGTGTCCTCCATTGCCGCAGTTGCTTATCCAACATGTGCTCCTCCTCGGGCAGCACCAAGTCATCATAGTTTTCGTTGTCTGCGCTCTCCACGTATCGCTGCAGCACGTCTACGGGTGCTCCAGGCGTCTTCGACCGCGGCCAGTGGAGGGCGTGCAGATTGGCTGGCAGTAGGGCAGAGGGCGACATGATGGTGCTGGAGGGGAGCAGCGAGCACGACCCGGCTTTGTTGAATTTGGGTGGCATTGGGCGAGTCGCCTCGGCGGTGACGCTCTCATCTATAATGAGACCATAATCGTCGTCGGCCTCGTCCTCGGGCTGTTCAGCCCACCTGGAAAGCCTTTCTTCTAGTCTCATATTCATAGGGGGGATAAAAAGGTTGCGTGTAAAAAAAGTGTAGGACAAATTTAAAAAAGAAAAAAGAGCAGGTACAAAGTGAAAATGAAAATGAGAAGAGGAAATATACAAAATAAAGGACAGAGGGGGAAAGGGGGAACAGCGAAATTGAAATTTAGTAATTCGAAAAGCGAAAGAAGAGAAAAAAAAAGTAAAGAAAAAAGACACGAAACGAAGCGAAAGGAAAGGAAGGCGAAAAATATTATAATGATGGTGAATCAAATAAAAAGAAAAGGACAAGAGACACGAGTATTGAAAATTATGTCAATTTCGATTTTCACTGTCCGCTTGATTCTGCACTATCGCTTACCTGGGAAAGAACGAAACCACTATGAAAAAACTGCATTGATGCTCCAGAAATACTCTAAAATAGAGTCAGGACGAACTTCGTCCACCCATTCCCCACCAGTTCCTCCTTCAGTCTTGCCGCTATTAATGCAACGGCAAACAAGAAACACGGCATCATTGGTATCCCGCTTTCTTCTTTTTTCTCCTTACTTCCTGCAGTTCTTTAATGTCTATGCGCTCGGATTTTTATTATTAAAATTCTATTGGGGTAAAAAGTTTTAAACCAACGCAACCCTCTCTCTTCCTCATGCACGCACTTGGTTTTCTTTCGCCTATTTGAAGTAAAAATAGAGGGCTAAGCAACATCCAATATGCAAGAACCATGTATGCTAATCCAAATATATATTTTTCTTGTTCATACACAATTGATATGTGCTCAGGCACAAGTAGATCATTATTCTTGTGCGGTGGCAAGCTAGATCTGCAGATATGCTGTTTTTATTCAGCCAATGGGGCAGGTCATTCTTCAAAAGCGTAAAGCAGGATGGGTCCCTGGACGAAAGAGGAATAAAAAAGGAATAAAAAAGTCGCGAATCCCTTCCTCACAAATAGTGCTACACGCATCGTTTTTTCTTTAGGAGATTGTTATTTTCTTGTGTGGGTGTGTGTTTAGGGTATTGAAGCCAAAAAAGCAAACATATTTTTATTGTATTGCCCACGCTCAGCTCACACCAGTTTGCTTGTTTGTTTGTTTGTTCGTTTGACAACTCAATGTATATATAAAAATAAAGAACAATCGAGATAAAGCCATAGTGAGGCGGTGGGCGGCTAGTGTTATCGATTGTTATGTGTCAAATCTAGCACTCCCACTTTTCAAACTATATCCAACACAACAACGATGTTCAAAACAAATACATATTGTTTTGTATTGTTTTACGAAAAGAAGATTGACAATACAGGTGTCAAAAATTATTTAAATTAAAAGATCTAAATCAATATAAAAGGGCTGTTGTTTTTGCAACTAAACCACGTTCGCGCCTAATTTATATTTATTTAATTTCTAAACACATGCTAGTATATAAAAATTAACCAAATGAAAACGTACTGGTCATAAAAAACAATAATTGCTGTTTGGCGAGCCAGTTTATAATTTAAAGCTTTTTTTGTTCAAGAAAATAAATTTTCAGAGAAAATAGCTCTATTGAGCGAAATATAAAACAAGCAAAAAACAAACTAAAGTTGATGAATACGACTAATTGCATACCGATCTACCTTGCTTACCACGAGACATATTGCAGACTTGGCTACATGCCCCTATAATTCCAATTATCCTAGGTGTGGTGAGGTTGGGATTTCTCCAGACCTGGGTCTAATTGCCTGGCGGTGAAAGTATCTGCCAGGGTGTTAGTAAAATTAGACCCGAGCACCTGATCTGGCAACTAGATCGTCAGTCGTGGGCAGATAGCTAGTGTGCATATCTGCCGTTTTCATTGCTGTTTATCTGTGGCCACTTTGGAAATCTATTATTTTTGTCTTGTCGCGGATTTGGTATTCGGGATGTTTGTTGAGATTGGAGTCTCATCAACAATCGGGGTTTCGCAGGCGTCAAGGATTCCCTCATTCCCTGTTCAATCTGTAGGTTGCACCGTCATTTGTACCAGTCGTGCTGTTTGTCTATAACCTTGTTTACAAACGCTGTTGCTTGTTTTTTTACAATTACCTTGGGGTTTCTTGACCAGCGTTGTGTGCATGTTTTCTATCAGCCCCTGTCAACCACGACTCACACCCAGGTCCAGCTTCTTGTCCTGGTAGTGGGCATTCACACGCTTCTTGTGTTTCTCCAATATGGCATCTGTTGGCCCTGGATACACCTAGAATCTATTGATTATCTCAGCCACGAGATCTGCGGCTGGGCCCCAAAGATCCCAGTGAAAGTCCTCTCGCATCAAAATTTTGCGCTCCCGTCGTGAACACATGAACATATCGCCATGTGTCCCAATTGGTCTGACAGCCAGGCGACGGGTCACAGACACATCTCTGGTTTAGGGTATGCGTCGGGGTATCATTTCCACTGTCTTTTTGCTACAGGTAATAAGCAGAGAAGCATCTTTAATGCAAAGGAGCGACGGGTGGAGTCCCTTGTATTGGTGATGTGCCAGGTGTTCTTGTGATGCTGACTGCCTTCCCTATCCATTGCCATATTCATTGCCCAGAGTATGGTGGTGCCTGTCGTGGACGAGGTCTTTAGCAGCTGTTTGGGGGCCAGAGGCAGCGGTGGTACTGTTGCTGTTGTCACTGCCGGTGCTGCATCTGGCGTCAGTACCATTGGCATTGCCCCTTATGATGCCTCTGCTGCTGCTGTTGAATAGCTTTATTCGAATAAATCAAATAAAATGTCAAACAGGGAAGCTTTTTCCATCCCCAATTTGGAATATTACTCCATGTTTTTATATCTAAATTATAGTCATTAATATACGCCATGACAAAACCCTGGTCTTCAATTTTTTTACTCTCGAAACCTGCACCACGAGCAATAGAGTATACGGTATATCTTAATAGTACTCGCTACACCTTTATCAGAATATTTATCATATTTGTTCTTAAATTTTTAGCTTTTATCAATTTGTGTATCTCTTTTAAGACTATTATGTCTGCTTCTATACGGGATTATTAAATATTTACTATAACCTTTTCAATACAAGGCTCTAGAAATTTTAGTTTTATATCAGCGTATTTTGTTTCCTTTTTAGCTGTATCGGTACTTGTGTTTAAATTTTCGCGAGGAGCCTTATTTGTCGTAGCTGCTGTAAGAGCAATAAATGAATCTGATATGAAGAGACAAAACGATATCTAAAGTGCATCGATAAATAAATAATAAATAGTTGAAATGAATCATACTATTTAGTAGTGTCTTTTGCTGTTTTATTATATATTTGTGTTGCGCAGACCGGTATCTTGGCAAGTCAGTGTTGTGGTTTTCGTGTGTATGCACTCACGCGTATGCATTGCAAAATGGGGAGCATGTTTGGGCATCAATGTAATGCCTCCCTAATTTACGCCTGCATAATCCAATTAGTGCCCTATCAATCAGCATGCAGGTAGAAAGCTGTTTCGTGATTCTCAACCTCAACATCCACTTCCATATCTTAAGTCTGTGAAATAATACGACTTATATGCTATTTTTTGAAATATAAATTAATACACTGTTGGTTTTTGTACACAGCCAATCAACCTTATTTGAAATGCTTATTCACGGATGTATTGGCTGGAAAATATAAATTCTTGTGCAATATTTTTATTATATTAAATCAGCCTTGGTTTTCCAATTTTCTTCTACAATTAATTTGTGTTTCCAAACGCAAACAGAGTGCCATATGATTTACATTGCATTTGTTTCACCGGGTAAAATAAAATTGCAAGTGAGCTTTTATTGGCCGCAACAAGCAGACAACTTAATTTAAAGTCTGTTGCAACTTTTAAATCCGTTGACTGTGAGAGAAATGCAAAATAATATGTGTAATTGTTTTTTGTTTGTCAAGCTGCCAGCCACAGAAACAAAAAAGGATAATTTTCTTTCAAGCTTTGTTATGACTGCAAATTGGGCGGCCAAGGTTAAATTACGTTTATTAATGTATTTTAAATATTGATTCAGGTCTTACCATGCCATTTTAAAACAATATGCGTTTTTAAATGCTGCGCAACACTGGCTTTCAAACGAGCCCAAATATGCGTACCATGCTCATTTTTATTACCCTCTGTACTCTAGCGCTGAGTTCCAAAACTGTATTTCCAGCGCCGCTGTGTCGTTGAATGTCTTGACCAAGCGCTCCAATCGCGCAGCCGAGGGCATCTCCCTCTGCACCAGCTCCTCAATGACACAGCGTCCCTTATCTACAACGCTTTGGAACTCATCGTCTGCGTATGCGCATATCCATGGCCAGTACGGATTGTTCTCCGACACCGAGTCTAGGTCAGCAGCCTGCCTCGCAGCAGCCTCGCCGTATCCCAACAAACACGGATACATGGCAACCAGCAACTCGAGCAAGTCGCCACATAGCCCGCGGTCGATGATGTAGCGTGTGTAAGCTACGCTAGTGCTGCTCTCGAGCTCGTTTTCCATTTGCTCGCGTGTGATTCCCCATTGGGCGCACAGTTGGAGGTGCAGGGTGCTCTCGCGCACACATCCAAAAATAATGTCGGCGGAGGCACCAATATCGACAAGAGAGTCAGACTTGAATGCGGCGAGAGCCGCAGCGCGCGCGTAGTGTTTCAAGTATATGTAATCTTGCTTGAGGTAGTGAATGAAACAGTCACGGCGGAGTGACCCTGTCCCGGCTTGGCGCACAAAGTCGTGGTTAACGTACCGTGTCCAAAGCGCGCCTGAACGCTCCTTGAGGTACTTGGTGAACGGGTGCGGTGCGTGCAGCGTTGGAGAAGAGAACAGGGACCTGTGCAAAGTGTGTGCATGGTTGACCGGACCATGCGCGCCACTGCCCACGCGATATGCGGTCTGAATGGCCATGTTGACGTAGTGGATGCCATGCTGCGCGGCTGCTAAATGGCCCATGCCTGTCGCTAAGTTGGCCGCAATGGCCGCGCTCAATGTGCACCCTGTCCCGTGTGTGCTCTCAGAATTGATACGCGGTCCAGTAACCCGCACACAGGTATCCTCGTCAGCCAAATAGACCACGTCAATAACGGCTTTGCCGCCATCTTCCAGGTGTCCACCCTTAACAATGGTAACTGGAATACCAAACCGAGCAGAGAGCTCGCGCGCTGCCACCTCCATCTGTTTGACTGAGGCTATGGATCCCACGGGACGATCAAGAATAGCCTCTGCCTCGCACAAATTGGGAGTCAGCACTGTCGCCAGTGGAAGCAATTCTTCGCGCAGCGTGTCCAGGGCCTGTGTATCCAAGAGCTCGTGGCCACTGGTAGCCACCATGACAGGGTCAATGACCAAAGGAATATCGCGGTGCTGCCTCCATATATTGGCGACTGTGCGGATCACAGAGGCATCGGCGAGCATGCCGGTTTTGGCAGCCTGCACGGGGATGTCATCGAGAACGGCTTCTAGCTGCTGTTGAACTACCAGAGAGGGAATGGGCATGACTGAGCGTACCTCTTGTGTGTTTTGCGCTGTGATTGCGGTGATGACCGAGAGACCGTAAGTGCCGTGGGCCATGAATGTCTTGAGATCGGCTTGGATTCCGGCGCCACCGCCGCTATCGCTGCCTGCAATAGTCAGCACTGCAGGAGGAGGAGTGGTGGCGGTCATGATCAAGAAAGGTGTTTATGCTAATAATATCTGGCGCTGTTTTTTGTTGAACTTTTGCGAAATCAAGATAAGGAGGGTTTGCAGGTTGAGCCGACAGCTAAATATTCTTGATCAATGCAAATGGATAATAATAACCACCCTAAAATTTTTGTACAAAATACCCTCCTCCTCCCAGGATAACAGCACAAACTGGCCGCCATTCTAATCAAATGGGCAGACAATAAGAGGGTTTGCTTTTGCCTACATTTCTATATTTTCTTTATTGCCAATATCAAAAATTTACACCCACTCGCTCACAAACACACACCCAACATGAAACCCGACTTTAACCTCACATTGTATCTGGTCACAGACAGCGGAATGGTGTCCGCCGATAAGACGCTAGCGCAGATCGTCGACGAGGCCATTCAGGGCGGCGTCACTATCGTGCAGCTGCGAGAGAAAACAGCCGATACCGGCGCCTTTATTGCTCTTGCCCGCTCGCTCCAAAAAGTCACCAAGAATTACGGTGTTCCTCTTCTAATTAACGACCGCATTGACGTTGCGCTCGCAATCGACGCCGACGGTGTGCACATCGGCCAAGACGACATGGCCCTAACGGAAGCCCGTCGCATTTTGGGCCCAAACAAGATTATCGGCATGTCTGTGCAGACTGCCGCGGAGGCCGAAGCAGCCATGTGTGATGGCGCCGATTACCTGGGGATCGGGGTGTGTTTCGACACAGAAACAAAACAAATAAACACAGACGCCCTGCGAGGCCCTGTGGGCGTGCGGCAGGTGTGGGAGCATGCTCTGGAGGTTGGGCCGGTACGTGCAGTGACCATTGGCGGTGTGAACGAGTACAATGCAGTGCATGTGTTGGACTATACGAGATCGGCAAAGGGTATACCACTGGAGGGTGTAGCTGTGGTTTCGGCTATTATGGCTGCTGAGGACCCATGCGCGGCAGCCAAGGTGCTCCGCAGCCAAGTGAGCTTTGCTATAGAGCGCTCGTGGGCGTCAAAGCAAGCGACCGCGTATGTGGACCGCTCTGCGGCTTCCGTGTGTCAGGCGGCTGCTGCTGTGGTTGCGCACGTTAGGGCGACCGACGGCGCGCGGCCGCTGGTGCAGCATATGACTAATGTGGTTGTTATGAACGACTGCGCCAACGCGTGCCTCGCCTTGGGCGGGTCCCCAATTATGGCGCCTTCCGCCGAGGAGCAGGCAGACCTGGCTCGCAATGTATCTGCGCTTGTTGTCAATATTGGCACGCTAACATTGGCTCAAATCCCAGGCATTCGCGCTGCTATGCGCTGCGCTCGCTTTTACAACACCCCCATTGTGCTCGACCCAGTCGGCATGGGCATATCCACCTTCCGCAAAAGTTTTGTGTACGAGATACTGCGCGACTATGGCGTCCATGTCATCAAGGCCAATGCTGGCGAAGTGGCCTCGCTTTTGGGCTCTGACGAGGTGAGCATGCAGGGTGTAGATAGCATTGGCGCAGGCTTTTCAGACCCTGCTGCAGCTGTGAGTGCCTTAAGTCGGCGCCACCGGTGCATAGTGGTGATGACCGGTCGGGTAGACTATGTCTCGGATGGGACAAGCACATTTGCTGTGCGCAATGGCCATCCTATGCAGGCGTGCATTTCGGGGTCGGGGTGCATGGTGGGCACGGCTGTGGCTACTTTTATTCAGGCTGTGGCCCACGAAGACCCATTGGCGGGTGCGCTGGCTGGCCTTATTGCCGTGAATGTGGCTGCCGAGCATGCCGCGGTGTCAGCTGATGTCCGAGGGCCTGGGACGTTCCGCCCGGTGTTTATTGATGAAATGCACAGACTTTCTGACGACACTTTGCTGAGCGAGATGCGTGTTGAGCGGGCGTGAAATGTTTGCTTGGGTAAAATTGCAACAGACAAATTACTACAAAATACTTTGACCTATAATTGATTGATACAATCCATTGTGTATTCTATATGTTGTGTTTATGCAATTGGGAGTCTAGCGTGCGTTGTGCTCTCTTTGGCGACAAGCACAGCAAAATAAAACATAAAATTAGAGCTTGGCCTGAGCTATCACACCCGTAGAAATAGCCTTGCGGCCCTTGTGCACAATCGGCGGTCTCCCAGCCAGCAGCTTGATCGAATCGCCGATCAATGCCTCGTCCTCTATACACCTGATCATCTGATCAACAACCTCGTCCACAGTCAAAATGCCATTCATGCTGAGCAGCTCGTTGTTGCTCTTTGATAGAGAGTCGCGCACCATCGCAGTGTCAGCAAAGTTCGGAGCCACAGCATTGACTCTGATGGGATGCTCCAGCAGCGACAGTGTAGAGCATGATGCCGTGAAATTGACAATACCGCTTTTTGTTGCGCCATAGATAGGGCCGAATTCGGTCGGGAAAAAAGCCATCATCGAGGCCACGTTAACAACGCAGCCGGGACGGTTGCTGTCGATGAAATAGCGCACGGCCAGCCGTGTTCCTTCCAGGGGCGCCTTCAAGTTGATGTCGATGGTGCGCGCCAGAGAATCGCCATCCGAGTCGTACCACGGAATAGTCCCACCGATGCCTGCGTTATTCACCATGATATCTAGGCCGCCAAACTCCTGCGTTGCCCGGGAGACGAGCGCCTGCAGGTCGCTAAACTTGGTGACGTCACAGCGTTGAAAGACAGCAACCATCTTGCCGCTCTTGGCGTTGAGCTCACTGGCTATGTCATAGCCCTTTTCAAGGATGTCGCCCAGGACTACCCGCCCGCCCTTGGAGACAATGACCTCAGCCAGCCGTTTGCCAAAGCCGCGAGCTGAGCCGGTGATAATGGCGACTTTGTCTGAAATATGCATGGCTTATTCTTGACTATGATTGTGCGTTAAAAGTACAGATTTGAGATTTTGTTGTAAAAACAGATCTATTTGGAAGAAAGAGAAACAGAAAGTTAGAAAAAAGAGAGTGTAAAACACGAGGCTTAGCACGCTCAAGCGCGATGTTTGTCGAAAAGACAGAAAAGACAGTTGCAAGGCTGTAATACTCAAAACTGTGAGAAAAAGGGCAACAGCGAATTTGACAGCCATGCATCCTGCAATAAATAAATTGCTCGCAGATAATTTTCCAACGACAAACTATAGCAATAAAAACGGAAGCACATGTCAATGAAAATAACGCACTTTACTCGTATTCGGGCAGCAGTAAATACAGGGCGGTGCTATCCTTGTATCCACAACGACGACAAAAATAAAGACAATGGCAGAGGCTGAATCGACCAAAAAACATTAATGCCCAAATATTAAATAATTAAAACAACTAGCCAACATACATGTTGGTCCCAGGGTCTTCCCCCATTAAATCAAATGCATGTATGAGTCTATTTAAACGTAGAAAAATTGATACTAACATTTATATTCGGGTCTATACCTCGATATCGAGGTTGGCGACAAGACCAAAGTTGGGGGACTTGGGTCCATCGTGAACAACGCTGCCCTCAACCAGGACTTGGATAGTGTCGCCAGCCAGCCCCTCGTCCTCAATGCACCTAAGAACTTGTGTCGCAACATCATTAACAGTGATTATACCACAGGTCCTAAGCATTGCGTTGACCTTAGCGGGCGTGCTGCGAGTGATGGCTGTGTCGACAAACGACGGAGCCACAGCATTAACCCTGATGGCTGGAGTTCTGAGAGCCAGGGTGGCGCAAGCACCAGTAAAAGATACAAGCCCAGCCTTGGTGGACGCGTATACTGGTGAGAACTCAATTGGCACATAAGCAGCCATCGAGGCAACGTTGACCACGCAGCCGGTCTGGTTGGCGCGCACGAATTGGCGAATGGCCAGACGGGTACCGTCAATGGGCGCCTTGAGGTTGACATTGATAGTACGTGCGAGAATCTCGCTGTCTTTATCCACCCACAGCCCAGAGCCTCCAAAGCCTGCGTTGTTCACCAGGATGTCAACATGGCCAAATGTTTCAAGGGTAACGTCAAAGAGCTTCTGGAGGTCCTCGGCTTTGCTCACGTCGCAGTGCTGAAAGATGGCAACGGGGGAGTCCGCCGAAGCTTGCTTGCTGTCGTTGATCTCTTGGGCAGTCTGCGTGCCGAGGGGGAGAATGTCAGCGATAACGACGCAGGCGCCCTTGTTAACGAGAACCTCAGCTATCCGCCTACCGATTCCTTGCGACGCGCCGGTGATGATGGCTACTTTGTCTTGAACTTGCATGGTGCTGGCTAACTATTAATTATAGGGTGTGTTTTTTGATTAGAATGTTGGGAAAGTGGACAAGAAAAAGCAAGCCCGGACAGAAATTAGCTGGAGCAAATACACGCAACTATTATTTGAACGTGAGGGTGCAGGCTCTGGAGGAAGATGTCCTTTTACTATTGTCCATTCGACACAGATGATCCTTGATAGCATTGCTGACACAACATTAATGCTTTTTGGGCGAGATAAAACAGGCATTTCGTAGGTTTCAAATTTTAAATAAATATTAATGTGCAATATAACAATAATGCAGGAATGCAAATCCAGGAACAATGGGCAAAAGAGTGCGCAATGCAAATCATTGCTGCTTGGACGTAAGGCTCCGCTGACCACCATTCAACCCCCACGACTGCGTGTACCTGCGTCCGCCCATGGGTGAGCTCGGCTGCTGCAAGTTGCTCGCACGGCTATTTTCCACAATGGCATTGAAGACAGTGACGCTGCTTGGCCGCCACGCCATGTTCTCTGGTGTCAACGACACGGTGTTTGACCTGACCAGCGGCTTTCGCTGCATGTTCCTGCCCAAGCTAACAGTCTTGTTGCCCAGCGCAGACATGGGAGGCTTTGCCGGCTGCTGCGGCACCAAGGGAGAGGACGGGGGCATGGCAAGCTTTTCCCGGGCCTGCTGCTTGGGAACGATAATGTCGGCCGGCAGTAGGCAGTCCGACGCTACGTGACCCTTCTGGCGGCACCTGTAGCACAGCCGCGGGCGGCGGCGGCGCTCGTCGGACTTTTCACGTAGCATCATCGATAGACTCTCCAGCTGCTCGGCCAGCGAATTCAGCTCATTGGCGGTCTTTGGATCCTCAACATCGCCCGAAATTGAGCCAGCGGTCGATCCAATGCTGGTCACAGATGCACGGCTCAAGCTGCGGTGCTCGGAGAGCTCGTAGGCTCTGGACGCCATCGCCATGTTCGGGACGGTTGACTGGCGCGGGGGTGGAAGCGCCGATGTGCTCTGGCGGTGGAGGCGGCGCTGCCGGGAGTCTGGCAGGCGAGGAGGCGTCCAGTACCCGCCAACTGCCTGTTCATCCTCTTCGTCATCGTCATCATCAAGCGAAAACGATGCGCCATTGGCTGTGGCCCCGGGCTCCAGGGCGCTGCTGCCATAAACCTCGCGTGTGCTTAGCGCGTCGGCCTCAGCAATATAGTTGGGTGCTGTAAACGTCGATGCCTCGCTGGCTGGCGACAGATCGCCCATGCTTTCGACTGTAGGCGGGCGCATACCCACAGGCGACAGCAGCGGCACCAGCTTTGCCGCGCGATACAGCTGGTCCGGCGCCACGTACCCCACTGCGCGATCGACCGAAGAGATTCTGCGCATGAGCAGATCCCACCTCAACTTCTCGCTGCGCAGTCCGTTAGTAAAGAGCATTGAAAGCATGCTGCTGTCGAAAGATTGTGTGGCAACCAAGTCGCTGATCAGGCCAATAAACCGCTGTGCGTACTCCGACCCACTCTCCCCAATCTGCTGCCGAATACTCAGCAGCTGCACGAGCAACCGGTCCTGCATGAACTCGTCGGAGAACTCAAACACCAGAGATGATTTGAGGTTCCCCCATGAGTTCGGGTCTATGGCCTCGTCGCCCAGCGATTTACCCGCCTTTGCTTGGTCTGGTGTACTGCCCTTGTTGCCCTGTGTCATTTTGCGCGCTGTGCCCTTGAGCATCGTGCGCGCGTAGCAGAAGGTTATCTGGCTCGACCACTTGAAGTGCTTACGTAGCGCATCAACGTTGTCCACAAACTCGTATACGTTCTCGTCGGGCAGCCCGCTGAACGAAATGAATGCCGGACCCTCTTCTTCCATGTCTAAATTTCTAAGCAAGTAGCAAGCCTTTTGATTAGTTTTATAATTTAGGAGTCGTGAAATAAATAAACAAATAAATATGTAAACAAAAAATTAATGGTCAAAAAATAGAAAAAGAGGGGTGGGTGGAAGAACACAGTAAAACACGGAGTGGTTGTCTGTCGCAGTAGAGGCTTAGACAGGCGGGGTGCACGCTAAATGTGAGAAGAGAATAGAGCAAAAGTGGCCAATGTAAAACAAGGGCCACGCACTGAAGGAAAGCACAATCGTGCCTGGTAATATAAACAAACACCAGCCCAATGCAAGCAACCTGCACAATACACACAGAAAGGGGCATTTTGGACACCCCTAGATTGAGCTTGCCGAAATTGTAAGGCCGATATGGTCAGATGACCAGTCCAGCAAAGCCATCGGTTGCATTGGCTCGGCTCACATACTTCTAAATCGACTCAGTTTGTTTTAGAACCCCAAGCACCACTTATTTTTCCCCTGGCTTGAATCCATTTAATTTTTGCACTTGTTAAATGCACTGGAATGGATTCGGGCAAAAACAATGGCTCAAAAAAGTTGCACCTGTAGTCAACTCCTCTTGTTCACTTTAACATTATTTTCTGGCATTTTTGGTAAGCATCCATTCCTACATTTTTATTACATGCGTTTTGACACACACAATTCAGTCGATGCGAGCAATGGATGCACGGGTTAATGGGACGTTGCATCCATCAGCTGAATTCAACTGGCGCGCAGCATTTGAAATTTCAGAATAATTTAAAAATCAAATTTGACATTCTAAATTTCCTTTTTAATTCTTCAATTTTGTAGCTCTTTAAGCTTTAACTACAAAACGTTAATCCCCTCGAATATCAACCATGGGTCTGTCTAAGGGAGAGAAGAAAGCCGCCTACTTCGGCAAGCTCGAGAACCTGCTCAGCTCGTTCAAGTCGATCTTCATTGTCAACGTCGACAATGTCGGTTCTCAGCAGATGCACATGATCCGTCGTGCTCTGCGCGGTGATGCCGAGATCCTCATGGGTAAGAACACCATGGTGCGTCGTGCCCTGAAGCTCCTTGCCCCCGAGAACCCTCAGTACGAGACCCTGCTGCCCTTTGTCCGCGGCAATGTCGGTTTTGTTTTCACCAACAGAGACCTCAAGGACATCCGCGAGAAGATCATCTCCAACCGTGTCGCCGCCCCCGCTCGTGCCGGTGCCCTTGCCCCCGTCGATGTGTTTGTCCCCGCCGGTAACACTGGTATGGAACCCGGTATGACCTCGTTCTTCCAGGCTCTCAGCATCCCCACCAAGATTGCTCGTGGTTCCATTGAGATTACTTCCGATGTGCATCTCGTCAAGGTCGGAGACAAGGTCGGTGCTTCGGAGGCTACCCTGCTCAACAAGCTGAACATCTCGCCCTTCACCTACGGTCTGTCGGTTGTCCAGATCTACGACAACGGCACTACCTTCTCGTCGAGCGTCCTTGACATCACCGACGAGGATCTGATTACCCGCCTCATGGAGGGTATCAACGCCGTTGCGTCGATCTCCCTGGCCGCCAACTACCTGTCGCTGCCCGCTGTTCCCCACATTACCATCAACCTGTTCAAGGAGATCCTCGCTATCTCGGTTGCCACCGATTACACCATCACCGCCGCTGAGTCGGTAAGTATTTTGTGCATTTGCCCTGTGTTTCTTTGCTGCTGTTGCTTTTTTGCTACACCCTTGCCCCGATGTTTTGTGATATTGCCCATGATGCTTAACGTGAACAATCTATGATACTCCGTGATTTCAACATATAAATTACCCTGATGGCATTCAACTCTTATCGAGGATGTGCAGCAATTGTTTACTCTTTGATCGACGTTGGTTGCAAATAACCAATGCAGCGAGAGACAACCAAACTAATTCAGCGCTTTTTATTTATTTGCACTTTGCTTTTTGCTTTTCTAGATCAAGGAGCTCCTGGCCAACCCCGAGGCCATGGCCGCCGCCGCCGCCGCTGCCTCTGCTTCCAGCGCTACCCCTGCCGCCGGTGGTGCCGCCACTGCCGCCGTTGTCGAGGAGGAGGAGGAGTCCGACGATGACATGGGCTTTGGTCTCTTTGACTAAGCAACTAGCTGTGCTTTTGTCATTTACTTGCAGACGCTCTCGAGTTTTCTCTTTTCTAGTTTGTAATTTTATTTGTTTCATTGAAATGACAAATCAGGATATAGAGCTGCCTATAAAGAGATTAAAATTTGAAACCAATGAGAATATTGTCAATAAGGCGCGTCGTGCCCATGCGCCACGCGCCAGACAGGATAGCACCATCGCTGCCGATTTCCTGGAGCTCCGAGAGATCGCGTGGGGAGCTAAGGCTGATGTACTCGACGTCAAGCCCCTCGCGCTCCGCCTCCGCCCGCACAACCGCAAGCAGCTCCTCGCGACCACTGACGCCCGCGTCCAAGTACATACTGCGCGCGGCACACAGTCCGCGATAAAACGCCGGGGCCCTGCGTCTCTGCTCCTCCGTAAGGTAAACATTCCTACTGCTGAGCGCCAGCCCATCAACAGGATCCCTGATTGTGGAAACGACGCGCACATCAATGGGGAAATGCAGGTCCTCGACCATTGCCCGGATAACACAGCATTGTTGCACGTCCTTTTGGCCGAAAAACGCCACCGTCGGCCCAACAATATGGAATAGCTTGCTGACGACTGTGGCGACGCCGCGGAAGAAATTCGGCCGCGATCCGCCCTCCTGCATCTCACTTAGGCCCAGAACCTCGATGAACGTTCCCTGCTGTTTGCTCCGCTCTGTGGTTATCCCTCTCGGGTACATTTCGGCCACTGACGGTGCAAAGACTACGGTGTTGGCTGGGAGCTTGGCAATGTCTTGTGCGAGTGTGCGCGGGTATTGGTCGAGGTCCTCGTGGGGTGCGAATTGCGCTGGGTTGACGAATATGCTTACTACTACAGTGTTGGTGGCCCTTTGCGCTGAGCTGATGAGTGTGAGGTGGCCGGCGTGGAGCGCTCCCATGGTGGGGACAAAACCGATGGTTTTGTTTTGTGCTGATTGGGATGCCCTCCAGTGCTTGAGCTCAGCGACTGTGTGGAACACTTGTACAGTCGGGGTGCTGAAGCTGCTCATAGTGTTGGTTTTTTGTGCTTTTATTTGGGTGTGTTTTTGTGGCTTGTTCAAAAAAAATAATAAAGATAAGCTGCGAACGAAATATATCAATAAAAAGGAACTGTCGAAATTAAAATTTTGTAGTTTTTTTGGGCGTAGGTCTTTTTCTGTGTCTCCCACAAACTGGCAGTCGTAGAGTTGCATGTGTGTGTGATTGCTTTGAGTTTTTTTTGGATTGTTTTGGTTGGCTGAAAAAAATCCTCACATTTTAAAAGAGACTCAATTTTTTTCCTTAACCGACGATGGGCGACCAAGAAAGAGAATCCATTGAGGAAAAACATCCGCCTCAAGCGAGCATCGATCCTAGCGACACCGAAAGTGACACCGAAGATGAGGGCCTGTTTGTGGCCGAGGATGAGTACGCGCCGCTCCAAGAAGACAGCGAAAGCGAAAACCAAGATGACATCGCCGACACCATTGAAACTCACAGTCACATGTCAGTACATATTCCCAGCCTGAACCGCATTCCGCTGGATCTGGAGTGCGCACTGGACAAGCGCATGGAAGACGAGCTGGCTCGCCAGAAATCACCCACCACAACCCCGATTGATGCGCCGCCCGGTGTCACTGCTGACACTGCTGTTGTTGGGGATAGTGACGCAAGGTCAAAGCCTTTAGAGATCAAAGTTGCCGAGCCCATGTCGGCAGAACATATCGACCATATTAAGCGGGTAATGGCCGGGATCCAGATTTGTCCGGATGCGGTTCCCGAATGGGCCCGGCGGGTGCCCGAGAGTGCATGGATACCCAAGCGGTCTGAATCGTCATCCGAACTGTGAAACCGATGCATGTTGATTATGTGGGTAGAGCCATTAATCGGATTAAATTCGGATTAGAGCCAATTTTTTTTAGTCGGTTTGGATTCGGCTGGAATCCATAAGAAGGATGGGTATTTTCTTTATAATATTGGAATAAAAACACTGGCCCAACCGCCAAGCTACTTGCTCGACACATACTGGCTCACCTTTTTTTATTTCTTTTTTTTCTATTTCACACCACTTTTTTTCCTACATATATATATATATATTTTTTCATTTAACTAGGCTTTATATCATTCATTAATTCAAACATGGCCAACACCACGTCGACAGAGGAGGAACCCCTTCCCAGAATGAACGCCGGCACGCAGATGTTCCAAGACCTGGACTCCAACGTTTCGGCAACGGAGATTGAAAGCCTCTGCATGCGCTGCGAAGAAAACGGCTCAACCAAGATCATGCTCACTCGCATCCCGCACTTCAAGTCCATCATTATTCTCTCCTTTGAGTGCCCGCACTGTGGATTCAAGAACAACGAGGTGCAAAGCGGCGAGTCCATCCAGGAGAAGGGCCAGCGGTACGAGCTCCGGTGCACCACCAGGGTGGATCTGAGCAGGCAGATTGTGCGCAACAGCACGTCGTCGGTGGCCATCCCGGAGCTGGAGTTCTCGGCGCCGCCAGCAACCAACTCAATGATGACCACTGTGGAGGGGCTTATTTCGCGCATCATGGAGGATTTGGAGATGGACCAGGCGCAGCGCAAAGATATTATTCCGGAGGTCTATGAGGCCGTGGAGAAGCTGCTGGCAGGCATGCGGGGGGCGCTGGAGCTGCCCGAAGAGGAGGAGGCCGGGCGCGCATTCACACTGGTCCTGGATGACCCGTCGGGCAACTCGTACGTGGAGAACCTGTGCGCGCCGCTCACTGATCCGAAACTCAAGGTGCATTACTACCGGCGGACGCGCGAGCAGATGATCCAGATGGGCATGATCAACCCGGACACGGAGGATACCGACCAGATGGCCGAGCAGGCCAAGGCGCAGCTCAACATGCGCGAGGAGATGAAGGCAGCAGAGACTATCATGCGCGTGGCCAAGGAGGCGTCTGAGAGCAATGAGATTCTGACCTTCCCGGCCAACTGCTCCGGCTGCAACCTGCCGTGCGACACGCGCATGCAGATGGTCGACATCCCTCACTTCCAACAGGTCATTATCATGTCGACAACATGTGACCAGTGTGGGTACAAGTCCAACGAGGTCAAGTGCGGTGGTTCCATTAGCGAAAAGGGCAAGCGCATCACGCTGCGCATCGAGGACAAGGATGACCTGTCCCGGGATATTCTCAAGTCAGAGACCAGCTCGTTCTGCATCCCCGAACTTGACCTCGACATGGTTGCTGGCACCCTGGGCGGCCGCTTCACCACTATCGAGGGCCTGCTGCGTCAGGTGCACGATGAGTTGAACCTCAGGATTCCGTTCATCGACGGTGACTCGGCTATGGAGGAGCGCAGGAATAAGTTCAAGTCCTTCTTGGACAAGCTTGAGAGTGCCGCTGACGGCAAGCTCTTCCCGTTGCATATCACCGTCGACGATCCCATGGCGCACTCGTACATCCAAAACATCTACGCACCTGATGTCGACCCCAACATGACCACCGAGGTCTACGAGCGCACGTTTGACCAGAACGAGGAGCTGGGCCTCAACGACATCAACGTTGAGGACTACAAGGAGGACAAGCAGGATCAGCCGACGGAGGAGTAAGACTGCTTGTTTTATTTTGGCATAAATTTTGGTTGCAAATTAAAAATAGACTTTATTCCCAAACATAAACAAAACAAAAGCACAGTGACAAACAGAAGAATAAAAACATTTGACACGCTTTTTTTGTTTTGTTAAGATGCCAGGCCAGCATCGCAAATGGTTATTTCCTTCTGCGGCTTCAACGGCGCGTTCTTGTCTCCGAGCGCCTCGACCATGCGCACAATGTCCATTCCCTGTATGACCCTGCCAAACACCACATGTTTGCCATCCAGCCAGGGCGTCTTATCCAGCGTAATGAAGAACTGTGACCCATTGGTATTCGGTCCAGCATTGGCCATCGACAAAGTGCCCGGAGCCGCATGATCCAGCGTAAAGTTCTCATCATCAAAGGTCTCGCCATAAATGGACTTTCCACCAGTGCCGTCGCCCCGGGTAAAGTCGCCGGCCTGAATCATAAACCCAGGAATAATCCGGTGCACCCGCGACCCCTTATATCCAAGCCCTCTTTTGTCTCCCACACACAACGCGCTGAAATTCTTCGCAGTCCGCGGCGCCACATCCATCCTCAATTCAATAATAACTTTGCCGCTGGGGCGCCCATCAACAGCAAACTCTAAAAACACCCGCGGATTATCCTCAACCACCCTTACATCACCAGCAGTTTTGCCTTCGGGTATATCCCTTGTAATCGCGTTATCACCAAACGCCACTGCGACGGTGGATTTGCCCAGAGCTCCGGGGCGCGCCTTGCGTACGGTGATGGTGCGGCCGAAAAGCTCGGCATCGTGCATGTTGTCGATTGCCGCGAGTGCATCGTCGGGGTCTTCAAATTCCACAAAGCCGAAGCCGCGGTGTCGGCTAGATGAGGACGGGTCTGGGGGCAGCGTCACTTGGGTTATTTCGCCAAAGGGAATGAACGCTGCGTGCAGAGTTTGCTCAGTTACTTCAGCGTCCAGCCCATTTACAAACAGGAGGCACTTGTTTGCTGCGTCCATTATAGTGAAAAATAAAAGCTATGAGAGTGGAATGCTGAAGGCTGAGGTTGAAAAGCTTGTAAATGCGAAGTAGGAGTGTATATTGAAACTTCAAATGGCTCTCAAAGCTCAGGCCGCAAAATGTGCGCGCGGTCGACCCGCTTGTCAATGGTCCGTCTGACTTGTGGGGGGACGTCACTGATTGTCAAGGAAGCAGCTAAAAAAATTCGCAAAACAATTTTTATAAAGTTTGAAAAAGACAATTAAAAAATTCACACAAATTAGAAAAAAAGACATCAATGCTTAGCACAGGTTCAGCAGGTTAAAGTCAAACTTGGGAGTAAACGACGCGTCAAAAATGCCAAAGTTCTGCTCCGAAGCTGCCAAGCCCTTCTTCCACTGCGCGTTCTTCGCCTCAAAGTAGAAGTAGTCAAAGCCCGCCGCCGCCGCTGCGCACTTGAACCCACGCGCAAACGCAATTTCATTTGCCAAGTTCAAAGGGCTCGGCCCAGTATTACCGGCCGACGACCAACCACACTCGCCGAAACGCACAGGCTTGCCGCCGGAGACGTTACTTCTGATATTGTTTGCGCGCTGAATGACTGAATCAACAGATGCGCTGATGTCCGTGTAAAGTCCGTCAAAGATAGAGTAGACGTTGATCTGGACGACGTCGCTGGCTGCCGCCAAGGCCTTACTAAAGTGCGCGTCGGTTTCGGTAGTGTACACGGAAATATGGCCCATGCCCTCTGCCTGCAGACGAGCGCGCACCTGGTTGATGTACCCAATAAGCGTGGACTCGCTCATGCCCTTGAAGATGTCCTCGTTACCGACCGACACGCCCTTGATGAGACTTGAGTCGTACTGCTTGGCTGCGGCCACAAACTGGTCGAGGTCTGACTCCATGCGCGACACTCCATCAGTGACCCAGATGCCGGCGTAGACGTTGAGAGGAATGTTGTTGCTGCCGATGGCCTCCAGGGCGCTGCTCAGCTGCGAGCAATCAGTTGAGTAAAGCCGGATGTTGCTGGCGACCGAGGCAACCTTCTTGAGCTGATCAGCGACTGTGCCGACGTCGGGGCAGGATCCATCAGTGTTGTAGGGGGAGTATGTCAGACCCCAGAGCGAGTTTCCACCGCTCGAGACAGGGGCCTCGACTACCATGGGAGCAGCAGCAGCAGCAACTTCAGTGGTCGGGGCGGGAGCCTCAGAGGTGGTCTCCTGGGCCACAGGCGTCTCTTCCGTCTTGGTGGGGGCGGGGGTGGGGGTAAGGGTGGGCTCGGGCACAATGGCTTGGGCAGCATGCGCAATGGGAGCGATAGGAGCGATAGGAGCAGTGGTAGTACCGGACTCCTCTGTAGTAAAAGTCGCCTCGGTTACAACAGTCTCCACTGCAGCCTGAGCAGCGTGGGCAACAGGAACAATAGCCTGAGCAGCAGCCTGTTGCTCAGCAACAGGGGACTCCGCTACCAAAGCGGGCTCCGTCGTGGGCGCAGGAACCTCGGTGCTGACAGCCTGCCTCGTGGATGCAGTGCCCCAAGTGACCTGGTTCCAGTCGACCTTGGTCCAGTCAACCTGGTCCCAATCAACGTACGCCGGGTTGAACTGAATATCGATAACGTTGTTTTGAGCTACGCCCATGGCGTCACCGATGTCCTGCGCAATTGGTGCTCCCGAGACCAAGATGGTGCTGGCCATCGCGGCGGCGACAAAAGAAGTAAACAATGCCTGCATGTTTATTGTTGTCGCGAATCGAGTTTAAGGGTAGTAAATAAAAGTGAACCGGGAAGGTGTGGAGGAAGTGTGTGGAGAGAGTGAGAGAGAAAGTGGTCGGATGAATAAAGTGGATTAGATTGGATTGAATCGAATCGAATCTGTAGCTGGAAGATAAAAAGGGAGTTGTTTTTTGTTAACCGGTAAATGGATATATTAGAGCTTGTCTAATGTTTTATATCCACGAAAATGAAAAAGACAACGAAAGCCAAACTGGTGGTGCGCTTGGGGAAAAGCGGGGAATAGAAAATGGGAAATAGGATTGCAAAAAAATAAAAGAAAAAACGATGTGATATTCAAAAATAGAAAAAATGAGGACCACGGTCTTTCGTCGCCGCACATCGCCTCTTTTATATTTCTTCCACTTGTCATTAAATCCACATCACATCATATCACAGCGAAAATAGAAGAAAAAATCAACAGCTCATTGTGAAAAAAAGCAGGAGCATCAACAAACACCAACACAAGCATGGTCAACGCCATATTTTGGTATTTCTTTCTATTGCCGCCATTCTGTTCATGCAAGTTTGCTTCCAATTTGGCATTTCCACTTCTTTTTTGTATTCCCTTTTGCCAAAAGGAAAATCATAAGAATGAGAATAAAAAGCTCAAATATAAAAATAAAGCCTGACAAAGACGCAAATCTTCCACACATAATTTCATTCCTCTATATCTTGAATTTGAACAGCCGGCCAATCGCAAGCATACACTGTGCTGATATTTTTTTACTCTCATTCACTCGACATGTATGAAGGACTGAATTTTTTAATTTCCCTCACTACACAAATTGCGTTTCCCAACCGGACACATCTGGTTTTGGTATTACTATATTTACATGCATATATATATGTTATACACAAATGGTATGTCTTGGAAAAAATTAAATACCCGGCCGCGCACAGAATGTGAGCGTGAGTGTGGATGTGAATTTGAATTTGAATTTGAATGAGCGTGTGAACGAGTATGTGTGCGTTGGGCAACTCTCAACATATGCGGCTACATTCTGCACTGTTTCTTTTTTCTTCAGCTACAATCATATACATGATTTATTATTTGCTTCGGTATTTGTGGCGACAATAAAAATTAACAAGACAATTGGCGTCGCTTGTGCCGAGTGATGTGGTTGACCTGAATAACTCGCATATTTGCATCCGGAATTGTGCTAATATTTGATGCTATACCAGTTTCTTCAATATATGTGAGACACTATTTCAACTATACTGTTTCCAGTTATGTAATGCGCTTTGTATGTGTGAGTTTTTAATGAAACAGAGCAGTGCAATTGAATGTATACCAAAACACGAGTCTCTTTAAACCTAGGTTGGACACACCAGTGTCTTGAAAAGTCTTTTTTTACGTTAAGCAAATTATAAACATAATATATTTTATTTAAAGTGCTAAGCAACAATAGAAAACGAGATTTGACCAATGATGCTCTGACTCTAGAAAAGTAAAGCTATAGCCTTGTAACTTGAGAATGAATAGAATGGGGAAGGTTTAGGTAGGAAATATTTCTGCAAAACGGCTGGCGACCATCTACAGGGCTTATTGTTTTAATTCAGCCAGGAAGTAACTACCAACGCTGGCTTGCTGTTGCGTCTTGGATAAAGCGGTTAATCATTCTCATCATCATTATCTTCAGTATCATTAAACTTTCTCTTTTTGTTATTTGGGGCGGCGTTGAACATTTTGAAAAATAGGTTATGAGTTGTCAAGCTTGGATGCTGTGTTAACGTGTGTCGAGTGAACTATTGCGAGCCTGTAACAAGCAATATTGAAATGAGTATTCAAAAAAGGGATGCAAAAAGGTATAAAACAAATTAATAGGGGAAAAAGAAAAAAAAGAAGAAAATGAGAAAATGAGCAGCAGGCAACAAACGGCTTTTATATACTTGCAGGAATCAAGTATTAAAAATAAAAATACCGAGCAAAGTGGAACGCTTTGCTTTTATTCCAGTTAAAGGCTCATTCTCGCAGTCAACGAGCATGGGGGAGGGGGGTTTGCACTGCCTATTCTTGGCACGATGTACGTATACATTTTCCAAAATGGCACGCTAAAAAGCACCCATTTACACAATGTCTTCTCCCTTATGATGAAACTTCTTTTAAAATATTCTTTCTGAGGATGCCAACATCCGACTTTAAGCGTTGACTGCAAGCTTTTTATTTATTGGGCATTTAAAAAAGAAAACGTAGGCGTCATTTACTAATACAATTTTTGCAGTCAACCCTTATTTATTTGCCTTTGTTGTCTTATTTCTTTTCCCTGCTGAGTTGAAGAAAAATAGCAAGAAGCTCATACTTTTTATTTCGACAGTGGAAGGAGACAAGGGCGGATAATTTAGACACGGTGTCGTCTGATTGACTGTAAGATAAAATTGAAATTTCTGACTGACTGACAGTTGCTCACTTGGTGCTAATTATTCTTGCATTATGTTTGAGGTAAACCCTTTGCTTATTCTTATTGCCGTGCTTTTGCATGACCCACTGGGTAATGTTATCAAAGGGGGTGTTTCCAGCCAACCAGTTGAACAGGTGCGTCTGTTTGGGGGGTTTGCGAGTTGAGTGACAATAAGGAATGCCGACCTTTACAATAATACATTAAAATTAAGAGAAGACAGTTTGACAACAGCCACTCCTTTGCTACACAACCCCGGAATTTAATTATAAATAATATAAATTAAAAAAGCAGAGCTCCAATTTATAATAGATGCCGCGTGTAAAATAAGCTTGACTGAGCGCACATTTGGATTAATATGCTAGTCTCGGCTAGTAATGCAACGTGCTTAGTATTTTCTAGTTTAAATCGATTTCCGCTTCTCACGTACACCCAATAAATATCATCTCGAGCATTAATATGCACTGTAATTATTGACTAGTCATGATGTAGTGCGTGTGGGTTTTATTTTTTCTATTCGTATTGTCGAATGCCAATGCCTGCTAATTCAACCAATTGAGACTTTTTAAAGAATAAACGGATTTATTAAAACAAAACGTGGGTAGAACAGGGTAAAATAAATGCTAATTGTGTATGCTGAAATAAAGGACAAAGCATACTTGTTATGCTACAACATGCATTGATTTTCATGTTTCTCATACCCCAGCTTTAATGAGTGATTGTAATAAATAAGGTAGGTAGTAGTGTAGTTGAGCATTAATGCGTTTTCAAGCATCTATTTCGTTTATGGACATGCTTATGTGTAATATACAGCAATTATTTGCATACCTGAAAACCACTCAACGCCAAGGTCCATATCGTGTGGAATGGTTTTTATGAGTGCATAAACACGCTGCACCCCTTCAAACGTATTTTGTATAAGTCTGTATATTAGGCACGGGAGTCAGCCCAAAACAAAACTACATTTCTCAATCCTCTTCCTTGGACTCGGGTTCGGGCTCGCCCACAGTTGTTTCATTGGGTTCGTCATTGTCGCTGATTTTTCTTTTTTTATTCGGTGCGTCATCCCCGGTATGCATATTTTTTTACAGTTAAAACTTGCTGCTGCTGCTGCTGCTGGTTGTGCGTGTGGTGCTTGTTTGTGGGTATTTCCAACTTTAAGGCTAGGGGGAGTAAAACTTTAATAATAAAGGAAAGAGAAAAAACAATTCTTTCTCTCGCCAAAAACAAGCTACTTTTATATAAAATTAAAACCCCTTTCAGGGTGGGAATAAGTAAGAAGGTCTTTAAAATGTTGGAATTCTCGAATAAAGCTTGGTTTAAAGTCAATCAACACAGTCAGCCAACGAGTGACACTTACATTCCTGCTTTTTTTGTCTATTGCCAGCCGTATTTTTTACTCAACTTTTGCATTAAAGAATTTTAATATAATACATATTTTTGCTTGTCTATAGAAGAACTCATATACCATGATTCAGAATTTTATTTTCCGCATATATTATTTCTAGTTTTCTTTGCTTTTTATTAATGAAAAAGGTTGTGATGTCTCATTTATGTATTAAGCATATAAACATGTTGCAGTCAACATTTCGTGGGGGGGGGTTGAATTTTTCCATCTTGCATAATTAAAACTCAGTTTGCAAGCCAAAAGTTGGGTATATGAATTAATAAAGCTGTGTTTACATACCCAAATTTGAAATAGAACCAGTCAGCGTCAGCTGATAATTTTTTTTTTTGCGTTTGCAGTTATTTAGGAAAACGCATAAGTATATTTTTATACATGAGGATACCCGCGTCCTTTTCCACACAACTATGAAAACGACAAATTTTGGGCGAATCAAATCTGTGCATGGTCATTATAACAAATAAAAACAAAACTTTATTTTTGGATTCATCCCCCACTCATCCACACATTCGATTTTTTTAAAGTCAGCTCAGCAAACACTCAAAGCGCTGAAATCAAACTTTGGAACGAACGACGCGTCAAAAATACCAAAATTCTGCTCAGAAACAGGCGCGCCCTGTTTCCACATTGCATTTTTCGCCTCAAAGTAAAAATACTCATACCCGGCCGCCCCCGCCTTACACTTGAATTTTCGCGCAAACTCCGCTTCATTCGCCAATGAAAGCGGGCACGGGCCAGTATTACCGGCCGACGACCAACCGCATTCACCAATGCGCACGGGTTTCTTGCCAGCAATATTGTTTTTAATATTGTTCGCGCGCTGGATAGCTGACTGAACGGATGCATCGATGCTGGCAAAGCTGCTGTCAAAAATAACTTGGAGGTTGACTTCTATTATGTCGCTGACTGCAACCAGAGCTTTGCTGAAGTGCGCATCGGTTTCGGTAGTGTACACAGGGATATGACTCATGCCCTCCGCCTGCAGACGAGCGCGCACCTGGTTGATGTACTCTATAAGCGTGGACTCGCTCATGCCCTTGAATATTTCCTCGTTACCGACGGACACGCCCTTGATGAGACTCGAGTCATAGTGTTTGGCCGCGACCACAAACTGGTCGAGGTCCGACTCCATGCGCGACACTCCATCAGTGACCCAGATACCGACGTGGACTCCCAGCGCTATATTGTTTTTAGCAACAGCCTCCAGGACATTGCTCAGCTGCGAGCAATCTGTCGAATAGAGCCGGATGTTGCTGGTGACTGTGGCAATTTTTAACAACTGGTCAGCGACTGTGTTAAAGTCCGAGCAAGTGCCGTCAGTGTTGTAGGGCGAGTATGTCAGACCCCACAGTGGAGGAACAACGTTAATATTGTCTGCAGCGTTTTCTAAGGACACATTGTTTCCGTCGCCGCTATTTGAAATTAAAGAAGTATCGCTTGGGTTGGAATAAATTATAGTAGCAGTTTCCGTAAAAGTCACAAGGTTGCTTGGACTACTGTTTACTGCGGGCGCAACAGACGTAAAGTCGGTTGTGGAAAGATACGTATTTGCGTTTATCAGCCCAGTATTGACATTCACGACCTCGGTCGTTGGCGATGTGCTAATAATGGGCACATAGGTGGATTTAAGTGAACTGCCGATGCTATTTGAGGCAATAATGCTGGCTGCTGTACCGGTGGGACCATATATGGAGCTCAAATCGCCACTTTTTTCGACACTTTTCTCGCTGCTACTACCGATACTACTAAAGTTGGTGGCGCTTTCTGAGTTGGTGTTGGCTTCGTTTGTTTGCTTGGATTTCCGCGATGGAAGTACAGTGCTCAGTACGGAGATAATTATGATGGCAGCGAATATAAAAACAAATAAAACATTCACTCCGTGTTTTTTAAGCGACTGATGCTTTTTAAAAAATGCGAGGATGGTCATTTTTTTTGTCCCTATTCTTCCGTAATATAACAGATAAAAAAGATATGGCGCGAGGGAGAGGGGAGTTTTTATATATATATATATAGTACAGGAAATATGGAAAATAAAATACGTGTAAATAAAAATATTGATAGAAATAAAAATATATAATTTGTTATTTTTTGGACAGCGTATTTACTTTTGTATGTGTGCGAATACACAAAAAAAAGGCCCAATTATTATTAAAAAGGTTAGTTTGTATATAAAATTATTTTCGTCTGCTTTATTTCTTTTAGTTTGGACATTGCAAAAAGAAAATTAAAAGAAAAAGATTTCAAAATAAAAGGGGGTTCACATTGTTATTTGTACAAAAAAAAAATCAACCTTTTTCTTTTGTATAAAAACCTCACCTTTGTTCTTTTTATATTCTCTTTCGTTTTTTCTTTTTTTTTTTCTTCTTTTCGAAAAGTCAAATAAAAGTTGAAATAAAGCAAAAAAAATAATGTGTGAGAGAGAGGAAAAGAGAGAAAATACTTATGATTAAATTATAACCAAAAAGAAAAGGTAAAAGTAGTCAACAACACAACAGCAACAAAATGTTTACTCCATGATCCAACTTACTCCTCAGTGTTGTCAATAGCCTCAACATCACTGACATAGTCCAGTTCCCTAGTGGAATCAGCCAATTTAGCCAAAACCCTACGATGATAATCCACAACCGCTCTCCCCTTCTCCTCACCAACATCCCGTACAAACTCCTCCAATCCAGCAACATCCCCGGTTTCCTCCTCCGAAAGCTTTGCCAGCCTCAAAGCATAAAGCAAGCATCTCTCCGCCGCCAACTTCACCGTAATAACACGATCCCTCACATGTGCAATCGCCACCAGAACAATGGTATCGCGCACGGGTCGGATAATATCAAATCTGCGTTTAGCCAAGGTCTTCAGCGCAAGCATCGCGGCATGCTGGGTGTCGGTATCAAATGAGCCCATGGTCTGCGGATCAACGGTGCGAATAAGCGCAGCTACCAGGCTCCGTGCCGCAGGTGACTCGCCGTTGGGCGTAAGAGTATCACAGAGCAATGCGTTCTTGGCTACTTGAATCGCCTGTATTGCCGCCAGACCCTGGTCAATATCCCCACTAGACTCCATCCCACGCTCAACACTCGCCACCACGCTCGCCAATATATCACCACCAGCGGTAGTGAATATTTCAGGACGCTCGGAGATTGCAGAAGACAGGAATGCGAGCTTAACTGCTTGTTCTACGGCAGAGTCGTTGGATGCGGAAATGGCGTACTGCGTGACCAGTTTCACGGCCGCAGATTCCTCCGGAAGGACAGCGCAGAGAGCACCAAAGGCTTGGCTGCGCAGTGTCAGCCAGCGGGAATCAACCACAGCGGACGCATCTGCTGTGCGACATACGGCATCCTCGATTGCCTGGAAGCTAGCGGGCGAGAGGGAGGAGGAGGCATTGGGAGCGCGTACAAGTGCGCAGATGGCCTTAACCATGGCCATCTTCATACCAAGGTCGTCAGTCTGGCGAATTCCGGTGGTGAGCTCGGATACCAGGGGATCGAGGCGGGGCTGCAGCGGGATAAGCGCCGAAAGTGCCACAGCCGCGCGCTGGCGCACAATATCGTCGGTCTCCGTCAGACCGCGCACGAAAGTGCGCTGCAGCTGCGGCAGGAACGGCCGCATCAAAGCCGGGATCTGCGCCAGAAGGAGCCCGAGCGTGGACAGGATCGCGGCCTTGACTGTCGCCGGGTGCCTGTCACCGACTATGCGGATGAGCGGGCCGGTGATGCCTGTGGCAAAGAGCCGCAGGGCAGAGGGGTCGGTGAACTTGACCATCCGGGCCATTCCCCGAACAGCGCGCTCCTTCGTATCCGGGGAGCCAGTCAACAAGCCCTGGGCGTAAATCGGCAGCAACGGGCCAAGGCCCTTGGGCAGGTCAAAGCCGGGCAGCGTGCGCTGACCGGCAGGCAGCGACTCCGTCACATGCTGCACCGCGCGGCTGACAGGCCCAACATATCCGTCAAAGTCCTCCTTGGGCACAGTCTTGCACAGCGCATCCAGGGCGCTCCAACTGGCCTGTACGACCTTGGGGCTTCCCACCGTACCCATGAGGTCGATGAAAATGCGCAGCCAGTCGGCCACATGCGGGCCGAGCACCGAGCGACCGCGGCCGGCCGAGCCAGCACCAAACGCCTGGCACATCGCCTCCATGCCAAAGCACGCCTCAGCGACTCTCGACGCGACCGCCGGCGCTTCCGCCAGAAGGCAGCTCTTGGGCACCTTGACGCACTCGTGGAACTCAAGCATAAGCGAATCCAGCGTATCCTCGTCCTGCGCCGCCGCAGCCACAATGATGCGCACAGTCTCGTGCAGCGCCGCAGCCGCCGCCTCGTCCCCGTGGTGTGCAGGCATCGAGTCGAAGAGCGCACGCAGGATCAGCGGCAGGCGCTTGCTCAGGCTAGCGCCGGCCACCTGGATGAGCGCGGTCAGTGCGCGTGCGTTAAACGCCGAGACGGGGACCTTTGTGAGCGTCGGGATGAGCACGGGGAATACAACGTTGGCGCGCACAGCCATGAGCTCGCGCAAGGCATCGAGGGCAAACGGCGACCCGCCGTCCTGCAGGTCGTTGAGCAAAGGCGGCACAATAAGGTCGATAACGCGCGGGCCGGCGGTCTGCTGCAGCGCGTTGAACGCCGATGCTGCGGCCTCGCGCACCATCGGGTCGGCGTCGCACAGTCCGCGGCGCACCAATGGGATCATCGCATCGGCGTAAATGTCAATGTAGATCTTACCAGCAGACGCCAGGATCTCCGACAAGCCAATGAAGACGCCGTGGCGGATACCGCCGGCATCGCTGCTGGTGGATGTCTCATCGGGCGTGGCCAGCGCGCGCTCAAGAATAGGCACGACACGCGACATGACGGCCTCGCCCAGCTTGTGCACGAGGTCACCCAGCGTGCGCGCAGCAGTCGTGCGCCGGTCGTAGGACTCGGAGGCCAGGCCGACCAGCACAATGTCCATGATCTTGGGCAGACACTCGCGCACGGTACGCGGCGTGTTGCTGACCAGGCTCTTCCACACAGTAAAGGACATCTGCCGCACAGACGCCGAAATGTCGCTGCGCGTCACATAGAGCGCGGCCAGAACAGCGTGGCAGCGGTCAGCGCCAAGCTTCTGCGACAAGATCTCGCGCAGGTTGCTGGCAATCGCGGCATCGTCGATGGCAGACTCCTCGTCCTCGTCCTCCTCGTCCAGCTCAGCGCCGCTCCCAGCCTCACCCTCCTCCTCGCTGCTCTGCTTGGAGAAGAACAGGGCGCGCGCAGCCTCGCGGTCGCGCTCCGCCTGCTTGCCGCTGATGCCAGCGACGCGCAGAAGCAGCTCGCCGAGGAGCTCGACGGCCGAGTGGCGGATGCGCCAGGCGGCGCTATGCATGGCGTCGAGCAGCGCCGGCAGCAGCTGCTCGACGCCGTCGCCCTGCGCGAACGACGCCACAAGAATGCGCCCGGCACGCAGCGCGGCGCTGCGCACGAGCTCGACCTCGTCGGCTAGCGCCGCGAGCACCGGCGGCACGACCTGCGGCAGGAACGGCCGGAAGTCGTCGCCGAAAGTGGCCGGCAAAAAGATCAGCAGCAGGACAAAGCCCTCGCGCACGGGCGCGCGCGCGCTGGTGCAGTTGGCGACAATCTCGGGCAGCAGGGACTCGAGGCGCCCGATGCCGACGCCGGCGAGCACCTCGGACAGGCCCTGCGCGGCGCCAGCGCGGTCGACGCCCGAGGCGTCGCTCTTGAGCACGCGAATGAGGTCGGCCACCAGGCTCGGGAACCGCTCCTCGCCGAGCCGCTGCACCAGCGAGCCAAGCGCCTTGGCGGCAGTTGCGCGCGCCTCGGGCACGGGATCGACCAGGACGCCGCGCACCAGGGGCACGAGCTCGGGCAGGTATGGCGCCAGGTCGGCGGGCTCGGTCAGCGTCGCCATGGCGCCCATGATCTGCGCGGCATTGCGCTTGGTCGCGGCCGCGCGCTGGCGCATGCCGCGCTGGAGGATCGGCACAACCAGCGCCAGCGACGGCGCGTCGATGTAGTGCACAAAGGCCGTGTGCAGCAGGCTGCGCAGCGCGCCGTCGGTCTTGGCCGCCGGGTCGTCGAGCGCCGCCAGCAGCGTGGGCACCAGCGCCTGGATCTCGGGGTTGTGGATGACGTCGCCGAAGCGCAGCAGCGCGGCGCGCGCGGCCGCGGCCACCTGGTGGTGCGAGTCGGCCAGCACGGTGACGATGCGCGGCACGACGGCCGGCAGCGCCAGGGACAGCTGCTTGGGCGCGCAGAAGGCCATGGCGCCGAGGATCTCCACGCTGCCCTTCTTGGTGCGCCACTGGTCGTCGGCCAGGCCCGCCAGCGCGGCTGGCAGCACCAGCTTGACGCCGTGGCCGCTAATGCTGGCCATGATGACGCGCGCCGTGTCCAGCGCGGCGTCGCGCACATCGGGGCTCGGGTCGCCGAACAGCACAAGCAGCGTCGGCACGAACTGGATGACGTACGGCTCGAACAGCCGGCCGAGCGCGGCCGACATGGTCTCGAAGGCGAGCAGCGCGCCCTGGCGCCGCAGCGGCTCCTTCTTGTCCTCGCAGGCGGCGCGCAGGCGGTCGACGACGGCGAAGCGCTTGAGCGCGGCCAGGCCCAGGCCCTTGACGACGCCGGCCAGCCCGTACGCGCCGCCGCGCCGCTCGGCGTAGCGCGCGCCGCCCAGCGTGCGCGCCTCGAGCAGCTCCTCGACAACGGCCGCCTGCCTGGCGGCGCCGAGCCGCTTGGCCAGCGGCGGCAGGCACTCGCTGACGGCGCGCTGCACGGACTCGGCGGGCGTGGCCAGCGCGGCCACCAGGCGGCCGACGGCGGCGTCGACGCGCGCGTCGTCGCCCGCGGGCAGGTGCTGCGCCAGGCGGCCGAGCAGCACGACGACGCCCTCGCGGATGCAGTCGTACGCGGCCGTGCCCTCGTCGGGCTCCTCGAGGAAGCGCTCGAGGATCGGCATCAGGTCGCCGGCCCAGCGGCCGCCGTGGTCGGCCACGGCGCGCGCGCCGGCGGCCAGCATGCGCGCGCGCACGGGCTCGGCGCGCTCGCCCAGCACGCGCTCGTGCACCAGAAAGCGCACCAGCCGCTGCACCTGCGCCGACGTGGCCAGGTGCGGCGCCAGGTGCAGCAGCGCCTCGGCGACGGCCTCGCGCGCGTCGGCCACGTCGCGGCGGTTCTGCGTGCCGGGCACGACCAGCCCGAAGGCGTCGAGCTCGGGCTCCAGCGACACGTACCAGGCGCGGTACGCGCGCAGCAGCGCGTCCAGCGCCGCGTCGACGGCCGCGGCGGCATCCTCGGCGCCCAGCGCGGCGATGGCCGGCATGGCCAGCGCGACGGCGCGCGCGGCGCAGGCGCGCACCTCGGGCGCGGCGCTGGCCAGCAGCGGCACGACGGCGCCCACCAGCGCGGACGACGCCTCAAGCCCGTTCTCCTCCCACAGCGCGCGCGCGGCCCGCGCGCTGTCCTCGAGCTGCGGCGCGCCGCTGCCCTCGCCGCCGACGCACACCCACAGCTCGGGCGCGTGGTCGCGGTCGGTCAGGTCGGCGTAGTCCAGCGCGGCCAGGCACGCGGCGCGCACGGCGCGGTCGGGCTGCAGCAGCCCGCGCAGCAGCGCGTCGCGCTCGGCCGCGCCGTCGCTGCCCTCCATGGCCTCGGCCACGCGCCGCAGCGCGTCGGCGGCCGGCGCCAGCAGCTGCGCGTGCGCGGCCATCAGCTGCACCAGCAGCTCGACGACGGCCGTGCGCGGCATGGACGCGTCGGCCGCCAGGTGCGCGTGGAACCGCACCAGGTCGACGACCATCGTCAGCTGCTCGGCCGCGTGGTCCATCTGCGCGTACTCGTCGTGCTCCTCGACGCCGCGGCGGATGGTGCGGCCCCAGCCGCCGGCGTCGACCGTCGCCTGCATGAACGGCAGCACGAAGCACAGCCCGGCGGCCGGCAGCGGCGCGGCCTCGCAGGCGACGCGCAGCCGGAAGTACACGCGCGTGGCCAGGTCCTCGAGCGACTCCTGCGCCCACGCGGCCGGCACGGCGGCGCCCAGCCCGCGCGCGCGCAGCAGTGCCGTGGCCAGCGGCATGCGCAGCGGCGGCTCGACGCCCTCAGCGCATGCGGCGACGGCCGCCAGCGCCTGCAGCAGCTCGGCGCCGGCCAGGTCGGCCGTGCGCGGCACCATGGCGCGGCCGGCGACGTCGATCAGGTCGCGCATGCAGGCCGCGCCGGCGGCCGCGCTGCCGCCGACGACGGCGCGCACCAGCGCCAGCGCGCGCACCAGCGCGCAGCGCGTGGCCTCGACGCGCGCGCGCGTGGCGGCCTCGGCCGCGAGCTGCGCGTCGACCAGCGCCTGGTCGTCGCGCGACAGCCCGCCGCTGCGCTTGCGCTCGAGGTCGAGCCTGACCTGCGCGGCCCACGCGTCGTCGGACGTCTGCCCGCGCACGTTGCGCGGCGCCGCCGGCGCGCGGTCCTTGGCGGCCAGCGGGTCGGCGTGCAGCGCGCCGGGCGCCGTGCGCCACACGGCCACGTCGTCGGCCGAGACCGCCGCCAGCGCGGCTGGGCTGACGTCGGCGCGCGCCAGCTGCACGACCAGCCGCGCCGCGCGCGAGCCGCCGACAAGCACGAGCGTGCGCGCGAGCGCCTCTGCGGCGGCGAACTCCGCAGCCGCGCCGCGCATGCCCGCCTGCACGGCCTGCAGCAGCCGCTCGGCGTGCGCGTCGCTCAGCGCGCGCGGGTCGACGCGCAGCCGCTGCGCCAGCGCAATCCACAGCCCGGGCCGCGCGCACGCCGGGTGGTGCGCGGCCAGCGCCACGGCGACCAGCAGGCGCTCCTTGTCGGCGCCGCCGGCGCCGCAGCCGTCGGCGATCGCCGTCAGCACGTCGCCCCACGCCAGCGCGCCGCCGGGCGCGGCGCCGTCGGCCATCGCGTCCAGCAGCGCGCGCTCGGCCAGCCGCCACAGCGCCAGCGCGTCGACGGCCGCCATCGCCGCCACCGCCGCACGCAGCGGCTCGCGCGCGCCACGCACCGAGTGCGCCCAGGCGACCAGCGCCGCCAGCCGCGCGTCGCGGCTCCCACGCACAAACAGCGCCTGGGCGGCGCGCAGCAGCCACGCGCACTCGCGCGGCGCCGCGCAGCGGTGGAAAGCCTTGTCCCACAGCACCGGCGACTTGTCGGACGCCGTGACGAGCGCTGCCAGCCGGTCGCCGGCCGCGCCGGGTGCTGCCAGCAGCGCCACGCCCACCAGCCCGTCGAGCGTCGGCCCGGCCAGGGGCGCGGCCGCCGCCTTCTCGGCCGCCGCGGCCAGCGCCGCCACCAGCGGCGCTATGCTCGCCTCGCGCACGCCCTGCGGCAGCGCCGCCAGCGCCGCCGCCCCGGCCTGCCACAGCGGCTCGCCGACGGCCTCGGCGGCCCACGCGAGCCGCAGCGGCGCCTGGCGGTCGGGCAGCGCCAGGCCCTTGCGCGCGGCGTCGGCAAACAGCGCCACGGCAGCTGCGCTCTCGTCCTGGCCCTCGCCTGGCGCTGCCGCCAGGTGCGCGACAAGCACGCCGAACAGCCTGCCGAGCGCCGCCATCAGCGCCGCCACCGGCAGCTCCAGCGTCTCCTTGGCCGCCATCTTGAGCAGCGGCGCCACCAGCGCCGCGGCCGATGCCCAGCCGTTGCCCGGGCCGCCGCGCACGGCGCCGAGCAGCGCGTACAGCGCCACGCGGTGCTCCGGCTGCGTGAAGCGCCCGCCCACCAGCGCCGCCGTCGCCACGGCCGCCGCATCCTTGGCGTCCTTGGCCGATGCGGGCGCCTCTGCGAGGAACGCAAAGAGATCGGCTGCCGCGCCGCGCACGCTGGCGTTGGTGCTGCGCAGCAGGTTGGATGCCAGCTGGTCGGCAAAGACGCTGCGGCTGATGGCCGCCACCGCTGGCGGCGGTGTCTGCGCGCCGCCGCAGAGCGCCCGCAGGAGCCCCAGGCTGGTCGGCAGCACGGCCTCGGGCGACCGCAGCAGCATGCGCGCGATCGACGCGCCGAATGCCGCTTCGAACTCGGGCCCAACAAAGACGCGCACATAGTCGCCGAGATCGCCGACGCTCGAGAACGACACCGGTGCCTTGGCGCCAATCAGCACCGCGTCGATGAACGCCGTGACCGCCGGCTTGGCCGCCTCGACCGCCGCCTTGGCATCACCGCCGAGCCGAGCCGCCACCGAGATGACGTTGCCCAGGAGCACCGCTGCCCACTCGCTGCGCTCTGCCGCGAGGACCTGGACCATTGGCGCGATCAGCCGCGGGTGCGCGCGCAAAGTGCGCCAGACATCGTGGCGCGCGCTGTTCGCCAGCGAGTTCTGCTTGGTGCACCGCATGTTGCTGCGCGCCGGCGCTATGCCCCAGAGCAGCCTTGCCGCGAGCTCAACCAGCCGCCGCCACGCCGCATCCCCCTCCAATGGCGCGTCGTCTGCCAGCTCGGCCCTGGCTGCCAAAGCCACGTTGATCCACGAGAGCACCACAAAGCGCGGGGCCACTGCCGTCGGGATCGCATCGGGATGCACGATCGTCTTGGCCTGCATGCTCTCGACAACAGCATCCATGACAACCGCAGTGGCCTTGACAAACACCGCGCCCTTGGCTTCTGCTAGCTGCCGCAGCACTGAGAGAACCAGTGTGCGGGACGCCTTGTCCTCATACAGGTTGATCGTGGCCTTAAGCATCACCAGAACCTGCACTACTTCGCGATCCTCCAGTGCGTGCGCCTTGAGTGCCGGCAAAAGCCCCATCTCGATCAGTGAGCGTCGCTTGTTGATCCCGGGTGCAGTGATTTTGTCTGAAGTCCTCTCCAAGAATGCCTTCCATGAAAACTCCTTGTCTGTCTCCTCCGTCGAGCTCATTGTAAAAAAAAAAAAAAGATATGCTTTTGTTTGTGTGTATGTGTGTGCAAGTGTATAGTTGCTTCTCCCTCGCGTATGTCTACTTTTTGCTTGTGAAAATAAAAATATTAGTTTTAGCGTTAGTGTTAGCCTCAGTACTAGTTTGATTTACACCAATGTTGAGCGCTTTGAATTCAGCTTGTTGTCCGTCGTTGTACCTTGTGCAATAGAAATAAAGAACCTGATGTAATTCTGCTCTAAACTTTTTTATATTATTTAAACAGAAAGACAGAAAATATATATATATAATTTAGTAGACAAAGAATGATAAATTTAACACTACAATTTTTAATAAAATCCTATTTTCAATTCGCTTTTTTTGTTTGGAAAGTGACAAGGAAAAAAAGAGAAGAAAAAAATAGTAAAGCGGCTCTTTTTTCTGCGGCCACTGCAGATCAAAATTTTTTAACTGATTTCAACAGCAGAGCTCACACGCACCCACGAAAATACGCTAATCGAATCCCGAACCCCCTCCATATTTTAACTTTTGGTTTGTGTATATATTTTTTTTAAAAAAAATTAAAATTTTAAACAAAAAAAAACTCTAATTTGGCAGGCTGTCTACAGCCATGATAATTTGGCAACGGGAATCACGCTTCTATATAATATTTTTGATTCTGGTTTGTTGTGATAAGTAACCCTCAACATACCGCTTTCTTTAGCAATGTGCAAAAAGGAATGTTGCTCTTGTTTGCCCAATATCTCCATTGTATTACTTGTTTTGCTTGGATAATAAATGTCTTTGGTGACGTGATCTAGCTTTTTACTTTCAGCAAGCACAATAAAAAAGTCATACAAATCCTTGGCTATTGTATCTTCCGTGAATGTCAAATAATGTTGGCCTTTGGTAGTTTCATATTTGATACCGTAGTTATAGGAAGCCATTGTAAATTATTTGTTTTTTAATTCGAAAATTGCTTGTGCTGATATCGATGTTGATGTTGATAAACTATCTATCGCAATTTGCCCAAAACCCTTGCCTTTTATATCCCCCAAGCTTTTATTTTTTGCACTATATTGTCAACAAATGATACTGCCATTAGTTGTTTTTTAAACTACTCCTTTTCAATGTTTTACTCCAAAAAAAATAAACCATGTTCAACACGATATAAATAACACCCAACAAAAAAATATTTTATACACAAACAAATTTAGTTTATTTTAAAATGTATTCCTTTTTAAATAGCTGTTGGTGTGTACAGAAAATATTTACATTTACATTTTATTATTCTTTTGAAAAATAAGATAAAAATACACATATTATTTGTTTGCCGTGCGCAATTATTGTTGAAATTAGCTCTCAGCTTATCAACCAATCTACGACAACCAAATACATTCCAACAATCTATATCTGCTGCTACAACCTGGGCTACCAGGTGATCCTGCTTGTTTTTCTGTGGATTACTGTGATTATAATGGTGGCCGTCCACTGGATAATTCGCAACAAGAGCCCGTTCAACGAGAGCCGTGAGATGCTGATTATGTGTGTGATCATATATGCTTTCCTTCTATACGTGACAATTATGAACTACGTATGCCCTAAATATCAGCAAGACGTTTGCCTGCGCATTATAAACACGTCACTCAGCCACGTCGCGACCAACGTGTTGTGGTGGCAGATTATGCGGAAGCCTCATTTCAAGTGCATGTTTGATCGACAACAGTATCTTGACAAATGGATGTGCACTTTCTGCAACGATGGCCTGCAGAGAGAGAAAGAGTACGATATCGATTTAGGCGGCTCTGTTTCAAGCAACATTAGAGCTCAGACGCGGGCGAGCTCTGCTGGGAAAATGGAGGGCGGAGCATTTTTACAAATTGACGACGGCGCCTTTAATAGTAAAAGCAAGTAAAGCACCACAAAGAAGAGGTTGTGACCACATTGCAGCTGTATACACTGGTATCGACCCCCCTGATGATTTGGTCACCGAGTCACTCAAAATAAGCACAGCTCACAGCAGCCATTTGAATAACTTTGATCCTGATTAACAGCACTTGGTTTAGCCTTTATAAATATATACTTGTAGTATACGCATCTGCCAATGTTTCTAAATGCTTTGTATTGTTATCTAAAAGTTTCTTTAATCTAAAAACGTTGATTTTTAAAAACATGATTTTTTGTACAGAGGCGATCAACACAAAATTATGTTTTTAGGATGCAGTAGCAACGATTTCACGACTGCCTTTTTTCTAATTTCATTTTATCAGTGCACTTCTTTCGATTTTCTTTTCCCTTTTCTCTCT